CAGCATCAAACTGCTCGTGGAGATCCTGGACTGGGTCGGTGAGTCACCGTTCTTGTAATACTGGCCATAAGTCCTGGGCTGTCCTGGAGCAACAAGCCTGCTGTGTGGATGTTGCATCTGTAAGTGACAATGGGAGAATTGCTTTGCTGCTGCCTTCAGCATTTTCCAGCTTGCAGCACAGCATTGCTTGCGCAGCAAATTATGGCAATGCGGAAGAAGAAAACTGGGTTGAAGGTTGAACCAACTTTCTAAGTGATGCTTTGCAGGAGTGGTGTCGATATGGTGCTGCGTTGTGGCGCTCTTTCTCATGTTCCTGCGGCGCTCGTGGGGCAGACCTGTGTTGGCAAGCCAGCGGAGCCTCTCACGGCCACTCATGCACTGGCGCGCTGATACAAACAGTAATCAGGGATGCTGAGCCTTAAGCACTGTTGATTGTCGGGCAGAATAAAGATTGCAACGCTAGAGTAGTTGGATTTCTTTAGGTGGTCATTGTTCTAGCTAGCTTTTCTGACGATTTGGGATTTCTGCTGCTCTAGATAGAAATATACAAGCATTGCTAATCCAGCTGGAACAATGAGGGTCTTGTGAAGCTTGAAGCTCAGCATGAATAGGGACTGTGAAACACATTTTCCAGCCCATTTGAGCAATTCTTCGGCATTAAGGTTTGTTATTCTACTAAACCACCTCAACTTTTAAGATGTGTACTAGCTATTTGGTGCCAGCAGCAGAAGCAAATATTCAGTTTAAAGTTTTGTAAAGAAAAGATGACGTTACATGAAGGTTAAATCCCCTGGTACCGTTCGTCGTCCGACCATCGACCCGCGAGTTTCATAATCATTGCTCTGCCCTCTTTTCATTGCAGTATCGCTTTGGAAAAGGACATTTCAGATAATCAAAGACCTTTAGCATAATTGATTGAAGCTTACACGCAATTCAACATCACCTTGGTATTCGCTGATCGTCAGGATTCTGATGCTGCACGCCACTGATCTGTGTCACTGAAGGCTGGCGTAAGTTGGGGTCACTGGAGGAACAAGATCCTAAGGAAGATGGAAAAGGTTAGACGCGTTCAGAGGGCATGGCATTCACCGCAGCAGAGCAGCAGGCGCGAGTCAGGTGAGGCTGCGCTGGGGGAACTGCAGTATGCATATATGACCAGCATGCTACGGGTTTACATCTTTGCAGCGCTGTTGTCGTCATGTAAATTTACTGGAATATTTTGTGGCAGCTTTTAAAAGCTGTATGTCGTCCCCACCGTGTTTGGCGTCCGACCTCACTTGACGATCCTGCTGAAGATCGTATCACTGGAGCGTTACCTTTTCACCTGAATAGCTTCTCCTGACGATTGCAGTTTAGTGTGCCAATCAAGACGGCTTGACAAGCGCCACAGCGGGCGCCACAAGTCAGTCTGTCTGTGGTTTTGCAGCACAACTAATCTGAGCTTGTGTCTGCAGGCTGGGCCTCCAGCACTGACAGTATAGCCACCACAGCTGCGGCCCCCTCCCGCACGCCGTCACCAGCCAGACAGACCGCGGATAGGCCACCGCCTTTCCACCCTGCATCGCTGACAGAAGCTCTTGAAAATTACAGGCTTCAGGGTAAGTGGCAGCAATTTCAGCACCCGAGTCTGAGCTTCTGACTGGGACGTCAGCACATGAAGAGATGCACCTGGCTGTTACAGGATTCCAAAAGTTCATGATGGGCCTGTGCCTTGCACACTTTTCCAGCTGTCAGCCTTTCTGCTGGTGCACCGTAGCTCTTATCCTGCCATGACAGGTGACGATTCAATCCGTCCCATAATGCTGCTGCACAATTTTGTTCCTCCTGATGTTCCTCCTCATAATGTTCCTCCTCTGAATCAGATTCCTGGGTGCTTGCAGATATTATTCCCTCGGTGAAAGCGCAGTTCGGCATGAACCACGTTGAGAATGCTGTCGCCTCTGACAGCCTGCTGGCTCTGGGAGGTGTGTTCCTTCATCCTGTTCTGCTCCCAGCTTGCTCAGGATTGTCGGGCAATACACAATACGTGAGCGTGTGGCTGCACACCCTTGTGGCCATGTGAGTGCTGCCAGTAATTGACCTCCTCCACTTTGCCTTGCATCAAGTTCTGTGAAGGCATTTATGCTCAGCAAGATTTTGCAATGCAGGCACCTGGCAATATGCCAGGCACCTCCACAGATCTGTCCCACTGTCAGTAACTTTGCATTGAAATTTACGTGGATTCGTTACTGCAGGCTCCAGAACACCAGAAATGGCGCAGGCCGCTGCAAACCTCTGCTCGATCAAATCTGGTCCCGGGTCTTCCCGTGCCAAGAAGAGACAGCATGGAGGCCCTGCCGCATGCGTGCCTCTTGCCCCTCAAGAGACCGCTCCTCTTCTTTTTACGCCTTCCACCGGTTCTGCACAGCCGCGCAGATGGCGCGCCGAAGCTGCAGCTGCCGCGCGGGCGCAGCTGCCGGGCAGCTGCACCGCTGACCTCAGCAACGTCGGTGTTGATGTGGCGGCGCCAGAGGTGCGTGAACGCAAGCGCGCGCGCTCCGCATCGCCTGATGCCGCGGATCTCCGCCAAGGCCGCCGGTTCAAGGCCGCCAGCCAGGCAGCCCCGGCCCCCGCACCACTACCGGCGCCACAGCCGGCGCCAGCTGCCTTCCCCCCTGCGCCACATGCCCCCGAGAAGGCTGTGAACGCTCCGGCCAGCAAGCACTGCGAGGGCAAGAAGAGCGGCCATGGCGGCAAGCACGCTCCTCGGCCGGCAAAGGCAGCCGCGCCGGCGCCGGCCGTAGCTGAGGCCCCGGCTGCTCCAGCTCAGCCGGCGCCGGCCGCAGCTGAGGCCCCGGCTGCTCCAGCTCAGCCGGCGCCGGTCGCAGCTGAGGCCCCGGCTGCTCCAGCTCAGCCGGCCCCTGTCCAGCTGGCGGCTGGTGCTGAGGCAGAGGCAGCACCTGCAACTGAGCTGCGGACACCCAAGCTGCCCCTGAAGGTGAAGATTGGCATGCCGTCATTCCTGGCAGTGGAACGTGGCTTATACAGCCCTAGACACCTGCCGGGCCTTGCTGAGCCGCAGCCTGCCACTGTCAGCCTCCTCCCTGACGGTGAGCTATCCTGGCCCCCACCTCACCTGTGCCTTAAACCTTGCCGTCTCTTGTATGGGGCAGGATGAGTGCTAAAGCTTTGATAAATTCAGTGGGCTCTCTCTTGGCATTTTTTCCTGGATACCAGCCAGCATCAATTTGACCAAGACTTTCCTGTATTAGAAGATGTGCCTGTCTGAAGCCTGTGCTTGTCCCGCAGGGCACATCTGCATCACACCACCTCAGTACTCCAACTGTGATGACGCCGGAGCGGCCGCCGCTCCGAATGCCGGCAAGAAGCGGAGCCACGCAGCGATGGCTGGCCCCGAAGAGCAGCAGTGCACATCAAAGAGGCGGCTGTTTGCTCCCAATCCTCCTGCAGTGATCAACATGATACAGGTGTAGCGCATGACGCTCCCAGGAAATACATCAATTTATTGTACCAAGCCCACTATCAAGAAGACCACCGACTCGTGAGAGAGAGCAGATTCTGCAGTGTGTACCATTGACACTTTTGGGGTTCTGTGGGGTTGTGGAGCTCAGTACCGCCATTCCGGCCCGTACTCGAGCGCCTCTTTTGGGGTCGCGGTTTTTACTTCGGCAGCATTGCGCCTTAGCAGTGTGTGCTGCAGCGGCCCTGCCCTGGCAAGCTTAAGTGTCAGGGCCCATGACTCAAGGCACTGCAGCCATGTCAATCATGTTCATGTGCCTGATCCTTTGGCTTCAGTGAGGCACATACATGGGAAGGGGCCTCCAGATAGTGCTTCATCTGTGGTCTCCTGTGTCCTTGGAATACTGGCAGTTTTGCAGCAATACAGTCTCCAGGTTGAAGACGAGACATTACATGGCTCTCGATTGATCCTTCAGAGAGTGGCACGTTTGTGCATGTGGAGCACTCTCACTTTACTTACGTTGGGAGAGCAGTTGGTGCTAGTGAGAGCTCCGTCAGGAGCAGGTTGGTGGAAGTGTGAGTCTGTTGACTGTGCTGGTTTAATTGCTGAAATCAACAGGGCATGACTCAACATCAGTAGGTCTAGGTGGTACAATGCTGTGCACTCCACCTCAAGAAGAGTTGACAGATCGAGCGTGGACATTGATATTGTCCTGAAATCTGCGAGAGCCTACAGCTGTATGAGTAGAGTGCTTTTGTATCCATAACCAGGATAATGGAGGCTATAATGGATGCCTTTTGATGGGTTCAAAGAGCCACCTGATTAGCCGATGTTGGTATGAGCAAGAATCCTAGGCAGCAAGAATGCATGATGTCCTTTAAAGCACAATGTTGAACGGAATACAGAGACAAGACGCAAATATCGATCTGGCATGACACTCTATCATCGAATGTAATCCAGTTTGACTGCCCCAGTCCAGCACATCCATTTCTACCCTAAGCAAAGCCCCCATGGTGTGCTGGCTACTAGTGACTAATTATACTTATAAGAGTCTCGACCAAGCGCAGCAACTCTTGTCCACCAGGGCCAGCACATTCCATGGCGGTCAGTAGCTACCTATAGGCCTGGTCCTCCCTCTGGCCAAGTTTCCACTCCCATGGGGAGCTGACCATGCAAGCTACATCGGCTATAGGTTTGTGTGAAGATGCATGGATACCTGTTTGTAGTAAGCTCACGATATGTCTTGATCAACTGATTTTTGCAAGGTGCACCTGCTGGTACACTGTATGAATATATATTCATGATTTGTAAGCAGTGACTCAAGCTGATCACCAGGATTCACATGTACGGTACTCAATAGCAAAGACTGAGATCCGAAGTTCTCATCCAGATGCACCACCCTCAAGGCTTGCTGGTCTTGAGATGAACAGTTTCAACTAAAAACGCAGCTTCCATGAAAAAGGAAGCTGGGTCCCCCCTGCGGATGCTTACGTGTTCAAGGAAGGGAGATCTGTGCTGTGGGGCCCAGCAAATGTGGTCATCCGCTCGCACACATCTTCTTATCAGCACCTCGTGGAGTCTTCCGAACCGTTGAAATCTTGAGCGGGCGCCCGGGTCAGCCCGCGATAGGAGCCCAGCCCTGGGGTTGTTGTTGCAAAGTTCTAGAAAAGGCGCAAAGATGCAGCCTTTGCTCCTGCTGCTCGTCCTTGCAGCAGCAGGGAGCTGCCATGCTGGCTTCATCTCAATCCGCTCCCAGGTATGTGTCCATTAACCTGGACCAAGGCAAGATGTGGTATTGACCTGTCTCACTAGTGAGAGGGTCTGGGTCTCTAGTGCAAAGCTAGGCCCTCCGAACCTGTATTCCAATGTCCTTATTGTGTTTTCAACGTCTTCAGATATCGGTGTTCAGACTTGTTTCTCTTCAAAGGTGTTCCTTGCTGTAGAGATTCCTTCCAGCCGTTTTTAGATTCACAGCCCACTGCATCTGCAGCCTTTACGAGACTGGCAGAAGGACTCAACATCCGTCTGTGCATTGGAAGACATGGAGGAGAAGCTCTGTGCGTCGTACTGGAGGTTCTGGCGTAGACGCTCAACCTTTGTCTTTGGATGTCCCAGGGCCTGCCTCAGGGAGGCACCCTGTATGTGCTGGGAGGGCAGGCGGACAGCCAGCCGGTCATGACAGGGATGCTGTCACGCATTCAGCTGGCGCCGATCAATGTACAGGTCCAGGCAGGCTCTGCCACGCAGGCCTTCTCCAGTGTCTTTACAGACCGCCGCTCAAGCCTCTTTGACAGCGCACTCAGCACCTGGTGAGCCCATTGCTTGGACGTATCTTCATCACTTCAAAGATTTACAAAAACGTAAAGAGTTTTTTAAAGGGTTGCTGCAATACTGCAATACTACACCCCTCTCTGGGACTAGATAAGTATTTTTGGTCCTTGATATTTTCAATGCTCCCCGTGAAGTCCAGCAGTCCATTTTATTGCTGCGCCCTGGCATTGCATTGGCGTGGCAAACTAAGGAGAGATGAATGCCCTGGTTACTCCTCAGAGTCACATATTGTAAGAGCGAAATGGCAAGGTCTTGACCGGGCGCCTGTGATCGTGCAGGATGGACCAGCAGCTGGCAGCGCTGGACTCGCTTCAGTCGATGGTAGACACATCGCCCACCACGAGGATGCCCTGCCCGCGCGCAGCTGCCACGGCAGCCGCCGCGCAGGCCAACATGCCGGATGTGCTTGCCTACATGGCGTCATCGCGCTTTGGGCCTGCTATGCTCAGCACCATCGCGCAGCAGGTGCCAATCTCTTGGCCTCCAGGCTGTTTCCAGGGCCCATGTCTAGAGCTGGCCTCAGGGGGCTTGTGAGTGCTCTGTGACTTAAGTTTGCACACTAGAATGCTGTCTATCATCAAGACTGCCGTCTGTATGAGACTGCGTTGCATGTGTTATTGGGCTGTGATTCCGCTCTTCCCATGTTTACAATGCCTCATGTGAGCCTCATGTCACCCCCTCTCCTGGAGATCAATTTTGCAGTCTATGTCCCGTTTGTTCTTACAAAAGATAGGCATCACTTGTGCAGCGACTGACGTGGTGCATTGTGTGCAGTCGATGGCGGGAGCGGAGGAAGGTGCAGAGGAGGACCTGACCTTCTACGACAGCACTGACCTGGACGATGCTGACATGGCGGCTGCTGAGCTGGAAGGCTTTGATGCCGGTGGCATGGGCGAATACACGGCGGCGGTCATCGCAAATGGCTATGCATCGGAGCAGCCTGACACTCTGGAGAGCGTCGACGGCTTTGTCACTGACGACCGCGGTTTCTACTCGTCCATGCTGGTGCGCGCTGCAACTCCATTTGGAGGTCAGGCTGGTACATGAAATCCCAAGCCTCTTCTGACACTTTGCTGTCTTCAAGGTTTCTGCCACAGGGTCCGTGCAGATGCTAGAGCGTGACCCTGATCATGCTCTCAGGAATATGTCGGAAGAGTTTGTGAGGTCGCAGGAGGGAATAATTAATGTCTTTAGAACACAGAGTCCCACTCTTTGGCCAGTCAGCTCTGGGTACTGACAGAGGGCCTTGCTATTGTTGTTCTACAGGCGGAGGATGATGCTATGGTTGGGGAGTACCCTGCCTCCCTGGCGCCCGGCCAGATCATCAACAAGGACGATGGCCCCACATGGTTCTTCGTGGTGAGTCTTCACATTGCAAGCCATCACATTTGATAGTCTCCAGCAGCATGCTTTTTCCGTTCGTGTGCAGCCTTTGGGGAGGTTCATGTCTTGAGCAGAGTGCAGGTTTGCTCCAGCAGATCATTTGACTATGGGAGGGTATGGCTTGTGTCTAGGCTCTTCGCAAGAACAATTCTGAGACCTTCCATGCAGCCGCTCCGCAGCAACAATTGTATTCCGCAAAGCCTGAGTTTGTTAGAAGCATTGTTATGAAATCATGCATGCATGCGCGTGCAGTTGGACGACGGGCAGCAATCCAAAGTCTGCAATTTATCAGTAGTCATAAAACACATTGCTCTGACATCCTGCATGCATGTGCGTGCAGTTGGACGACGGAACTGTCAACTGGGGCTTTCTGCTGTTCCTGCTGCTGGCCGCCGCGGTGCTGGGCCTCTGGTTCCACATCTGCCGCAGCGCCGCGCGGCTCTTCCGGGCGCGCCGCTTGCAGACTACAGAGTCTGCGCAGTTCCTGAGCTCTGCCAAGGCCCCTCTGCTCGCCGACTGGCGCGCCGCCGTGGCCCCGCTCGCCCCCGAGAAGCCCGTTGCGCAGGCCGCCGCCCCCGAGCTGTTCTCACATGTCGAGGTGCGCTCGCACTGTGCTGCCTCCCTTCCAGGTGCTGTTGAACCTGTCTGAACGATGTGTGCTTGGAGGAAGGAGTTGTTGCTGTGAATAGTGTGTGTGCCGTGAAGGTAGGAGCATATTCTGCAATGTCCAGATTGTGAGAAGTGCGCAGTGATGGTTGAGCATGCTTGAAGCAACTCGTTGAACAGATTTGTCCATCTTGTGATTAAAGTTCCAAGCAGGGTTAAGCATGTTGTCTTGCAAAAATCATTTCCATAATGTCTGCTTTTTTGGTGGTGCATGCGTTATGCATCTCTGTCAGGGTGCGTGCTGATTGTGCAGGTTTGGACTCCTGACGATCTGTTGATGTTTCTGCACAGGTGGCCAGCGAGCAGGCGCCCAGAGGCACCTTCTTTGCACCCAAGGGGAATGAGTATGTCACCATCGCATATGTGCCCCTGAAGGGTGAGCAGTGAGAGCAGCCCATCGACAGTCTGGTACCTGGATGCAGTCGGGGGCCAGTTGTGTGTGCAACCATATGGACAACATGCATGTACTCTCAGAGACAGTGTGATATTTTGGTACCAGGCAGATCGCTTGTTATGCAACTTCTGATCAGACGGATGCAGGATCTTTGCGGACCTCTCTGAAAAATACTTGTACAACAGACGCTCCCATATTTTAATAAAGTTGCACTGCAACGCTTTTGGCTAATCTGTTCACCAGTGAGTCACCATGTTGTCGGCATCTCATGAGTTGAGACAATGTTATGTCTGTCCACAATTGTAAAGTTTCCATCCCGTTCCCTCAAGCCAGAAGGGCACAAATAAGGTCACAATATGCTGCTACTACAATTTAGCATCAACTTGATCTGCCTTCTTCTGCCTTCAAGGAAACTTTCTGATGCTCTAGATCTAATGCCAAAAGTCTTTGGTCATGAACACACGCGAGAGACACGCATGGGCGCATCCTACATCAATACAGCAGGGGCTTCAAGAGGTATGCAGGTCATGTCTTGGCATGACCCCATGCAAGTATCTACAGCTGCTCCTGCACGCTGTGTGGCATTGCTGCTGAAAGTTCACTCCCTCCCCGTCTCTCCCTCAGTATGTCATCAGCTATAAAGGGCAAGCCTTGCACCTGTTCCAAACATTTGACCAGTCAATATCGTTCCTCCCGACAGTACCAAACGGATCAAAGCAAGTCTTTTAAGCACTTGCAGGACGCCAGTCACAGCAGTCCTTTGTATGGTAGCACAGGCGGAAGGCACGCACCTGATCAAGAATGCATCATGACTCCTCTGGCTTGCCTCCTGGCACTAGCACGGCAATGTTGTTGCCGTTGAGCAGGATCTGGTCCATGTGCGTCACTCTCAAGCCCTCAGCTGTCATCTCATACTCCTCCACATCCTCCAGCACCATGTTGACAAAGACATCAAAGCCACGCAGCGTCCCCTGTAGCTCCTTGTCTCCCTTCATGATGACCCAGATCTTGGAGTTTATGCACTTGTCAATGAGCTCGGAGGGCATCAAGTGCGAGGGGTTTCCTTGGAAGGATGCCTTTTTGGGGGCTATCATTCTGGCTGAGCTTTGCCGTGCGGCACTCGTATATCTGATTGATATCCTGCAGATCTATCAGTATTGATAGACTATGTGCGCCAAATTCGTACGATCGCAACAAGGACAGGGGCAATCCTCAGGCACAGATCGTCGGTTTGCTTAAGAAGCTTGCGCGTCTCTACACCTTTCTATACAAACAATCTGTAGCTAAGAATTGTTTGATTGTCCCTTCTTCTTTCCTCCTAGAAGTGAGAATGCAATGTTGCATGCTGGAGTGCAGAGATCCGTCAAGCGGCGTGCTCAACTATTTTTGGCTTCTCTCCACGAAAGCTCTGATGTTCACCCATTTTGCTCGACACGCAGCCTCACAAAGATCACCTTCGATCTCATCAGGAAGATTGCATCATTTTACATCGCATCAGAGAACCAAAATCCTCGGGCCGTCTCAGAACATCCGCAATCGTCTGTTAATTCGCGGACGATTCTTTGCGCCAGTTACAACAAGCGTACCATGACAAAGAAGACGATTCAGTCGAAAAGTTTGGGAAAGTGAAAGGGGGCTCTGATTGAAATCGCCAAACCTAGTGGTGAAGGTGCAGCGCCCGTGCATTGAGTCCACTTTATATTTTTGTTGAGTGCAACTCAGTGCAAGACGAGTACCACCTGGCGTTAAAGTATGACTAAAACACATTTCATTGCTGACAGCGCTGGCGTATGCTTGCAGGTTGCCACAAATGCTTGAGCAACCAGCTGAGCCAGTCCCTCTGAAAACAGAGGCATCATCTCCCTTTGCAGACGCTGCCACCTCGAATGGCTTCTCGAATGCACAGCCACAGCCACAGACGCAGGATGGACCACCAAAGCAGACAGTGGAGCAGGCAGGTCCCCACAGTCAAGAAGGGCATCAACTTCACCCCAGCAGCATGCCTATCAATTGCACCACTCACTGGATGCACTTTGTTTCCTTGCACATACACTTTCTCAGATATGGTATATAGAATATACCTCACCTCGGACACGCCCGGTTGGCCTGCCTTTGAGTGATATGGAGCCAATTGCCATGTGCGCGCAATGCAGGTGAGGGCGGAGCAAAGGGCAGACAGAGCAGCAAAGATCATATCCCTGGCGTCCCTGCTGCTGCTCTTTGTGGCCGTGGCGCTCTACACATCCCTTGCCAGCTTTGGATGGAACCCCTACATTGCGGCTGTCGCTCTCTTCTGCGCGGGCATCGCAGGATACCCTCTCCTGTCCCTGCTGACCCACGCGGTCGCCTCGCAAACTTCTAGAGCCTTCAAGAGCCTGGGCCCCTATGACAGGCAAGCTCTCCTTGTGATCTTCCCCTTAGCTGGCACCCAATTCACATTTGCAGAGCCTCACTTATGGACTGCATATCCGCAAACGCACTAGCACAGGAATTATGTGCATAGTCGAGCTGCGGACATCCATGGATGGTGGAGATGGTGCAATGTTGCTTTTAACGTGCCACGGGCTGCAACAAGGCATGCAGCACGTGCAAAGGACGTGGGACTGACAAATTTATCTGCATCAGTGACAAAAGGGTGCAAAGCATGGTGTCATTGCGTCCTACAGTGTGTACACCCTATTACCTTGCCACTGCCGACACTGTTCATGCTCTCAATTCCCGGAAGCTGACCGAGAGGTGACATGATCGCAGGTTCCAGTGGGCGCAGAAGGTGCCGTCGATGATACATGCGGTCACCTTGACCGTTACGGGCCTCAACGTGGTCCTGCAGGCGCACAGGGCAGGCCACGATCTGATGCACGGCCGCAACGATTTGGTTGCTGCCTTCCTGGGTCTCGAGCTGGCCTACCTCTTGCAGGTGATTAGTCGGCCGACGCACATAATGACTTGCTAGAGTATTCCCCCCTACAGAGATCTCTGCCAGGGGGATGCCAAACACGACTGTGGTATAATCAGTATTGCCCTGTCTCTACCACGCCCAGGGAACTCTAAAATTTGTTTAGAGTCCCATGCCATGCCAGTCGTAAGCTCTGTACTCGCATGCAACTCTTGGCATTGTCAGATGATACGCACAAGAGTACTCTCACAATACATACCCTCCAGAAAGTTCTGTGACGAAAATCTGGCAACACATTGGCCCACTCGTTACCAATCATGCTACTGTGGTACACAATCCCATTGCCGGTGCAATATCAGGAGTCATACTGCATGTTCTCAGGGCAGCTGATGCAGGAATCAGAGGGTTGAAACGATTAAGCTGGCTGCACTGTGCGCAGGACACGGGCATGGAGGTGTTGAAGCAGGCGCGCTTTGGCCGAAGCCACTCTCTGCTACGCTGGGGGCACCACATCGCGCTGCTGGGATTGTTGCCTGCCTACTACTGGCACCGCCAAGGAGACCTCCTCCTGGGCCTCTTCTTCCTTTGCAACGCTGCCACCATCCCACGGCAACTTCGCTGGTGAGCCAAATGTTCTGTGCTGACACCTGTTATACCTGTCTTAAAATTTAAGAAAGTAATAATGTGAGAGAATTTGTTGTCAAGATCCCTGCTGGCCATTTCGGGCAGGCAGTGCTAGCCTTCTATCTCTGCATTTGCTTATTCCTGCGCACTGAACTGTTGCCAGTAAGAATTGTCGTCTCTTATCGACTTCATTTTCATGGACAAGACTTTGTGAGGTTCACCAGCCAGTCACAAAACCAGATTGGGTGCAAACATGCTCAGCTGTGCGCGTGCTTGTGGCTGCTTGAAAGGAAAAACAGACTGGCGGAGCAATTGAGCTCCGGGTTGCACGGATGCCTTAGTGACATGGAGCCTGCAATGCTTGCAGGTATTTTCAAATGGTGGGAATGAGGCGGCGGCGCATCTGGTACCGCCTGAATACTGTTGCACTTTTTGTGGCGTTTGCAGCAACACACATTCTCAGCGTGATGTATGTGCTGCACGTGCACTGCCGCTCCCAGCGCCTGCCCTGGCACAAAGCTTCTGCCGGGTGAGGCGCCCTCCTCGCCAGTTGCCCAATGATACCCGCATGCGCCGAGAATCTCTCAGTCCAGCACTTGTTTCTCAAGCTCCAGGATTCTCGATGGTGGAAGTAGAGCAAGATCTGCACTGGATGGGTTGTTTGTCTTGCCATGTTGTGGACAGTGGGCTTGACATTCCAGATTTGATGCCGGAGTCGGCTCCTTCTCGAAGCACTCAACGTACTGAAAGTTGCTGTTGAGTGAAAAAGGAGCGATGCGCCAGTGCTTCTGTGGGGCTTCACTGGAGGCTGTGTGGCTGCAGGATACCACCCAGATATCTGGCGGCTGGAGCAGTCATTCTGGCCCTCAATGCATGCTGGCTGTGTGCCGTGCTCAAGGACTCTTCGGCCAAGCGCAAGGCCTCACAAAAGTCTTCATGACAGCGGGTCTTTTGTATGGTGTCTTCACTATGTGCCCGTTTCTGCCTGTATTCTAGCGTCACTGGGTGTCCGTAGGGGAGCGACTAACCCATGCAGCATGAAGATCGCATGTGGTCCAGATACCTGGGAGGTGTTGTTTGTCGTTTGGGGAGTCCCTTGATATTTGAACAATTCACTTTCATGGCTATTTAGTGTAAATACACGAGTAGGGTGCAGAATTGAGCTGAACGCATGCACGTCAGGATGGAGGACAATAGGCCTAGGTGTACAGTACTTTACTTTTAGCGTCTTGTCTAGAAGATCTTCGTTTCAGTGAAGGTTTCTCTATGGGTGACGATTTCGTTTGGAGGTTTCTGAGGGTTTGAAGGGGAGCCTTCCAATGTTGGCTTCTTGAGGGTGTTCAATGTGTTTCTGTCGACAACATTGCGTTCGCTGTGTCTTTTTAGGTGAGTCAAATTGACTCTGCTCCTTACCGCTAGGCACCATTCTTTGGCTGTACCAGATCAATGTGGCAGTCATTAACAAGAGCAGAGCACATGGGACCACGTGCCAGCAATCGTTGCCATGAGGGCCATGCCCAGCCTTTCATCTGGCACAACATGCTCCATGTTTTTCATTGAATGCACGCTCATCTGCGTGCTGCTGGTTCTGGTGTGCATATGCATGCACCCATCTGAGCTCTAACGAGGCCACGCAGCTGCAGCATGCTACTTAGCTACGAGCGAGTCTTCGCAGCGCGCGTATACGTAGATCTACGTTACACTGCTCTCACTTTAAAACAACCAACGAGGGCACATATTTTGCATGCATGCATCGCATGCCGTGCTCTTTCATGGATGCGCACAGTGTGCCGCAGACGTGGCTTGCATAAGCAACAGTGTCAGCCTCACCATCTCCTAAAGTATTTTCTATCCACACGTGCAGCAACTCACGTTCTCAACAATATAGGAGCATGCCATAAGCATGTTGCTTAGTACCGTTATGTTCATCTGGATTGGTCTTGTCTGCCCTCAGGGGGTCCCTATCTAGTGGCACAGTGCTCGTTGAAGATGGCTTGGCTAGCTCGCAGCATAAAGCTCAGCCAAGAGTGCTTCAAGGAGCAATGAAAGCAAGACTCGGTGTCATAATGCATCGATGCCACTGCCTTCATAGAGTGCAGGTATTCCATCTTGCAGCAAAAAGGCAGCGTTTGCGGGCCGTCGAGTGTTCGACATTTGCATGCTAGCGCGGCGCTCTGCATGCTCGCAAATGTAAAAAAGTCCTCCACACAGCTCGGGCACAGCAGATCTCTGTTGGTTTCACACATTAAGTAAGCATGCCCTCGCCTAGCTGTGAGGCAAGAAAGGCAATAAAAGGTGGCCGCCATGAACCAAGGAACTGAGAAAACCCTACATTACGTGCCGACCCAACTTTCGTGTTGTTTTGTATGCGCAAATCACGAAAGGACAGCCACCTTATCAGCTAGCTTACTGTATACAGCTGAAGCCTGCCCCGTCACTAGAGTCCGCTTCAAGCAAGGTGTAAACATCTTGAATTTTATTCCGGGCACATTGAAGGCGTCCCTCTCTCGGCTGGCCCAGAGTGGGTGGAGGCAGCACCGGCCCACCGCGCACAATGCAGCAGGCAGACCCAGATCGTGCGCCGGATTCAAAATGAAATATGAAAATGGTGGTTGAAATTAATGCGAGGAGCTGCGACTCCAGGCAGTAGGACCCCCAACTTGCCAGCTGGCAATTCCATGCATCGGCGGTTGGAGGGCCCGCTTCCGATATTTGACCATGCGTAAATAAAACCAGTTTAGACTTATGGAAAAAGACAGTCCCTTTGGGCACCTGCTGCAAAAGGTATCCATCACAGCTGCAGAGCACGAGTCATCGCTGACTCATCACTGGATGACAAGGCCGGTGACGGTGTTCTGGTAGGTCTGGATTGGGTTGGCAAAGTCCCCGTAGGTGCAGTTTGCGGGCACGATGTACGAGTTGCCGCTGAAGAGCAGGTTGGAGGAATATGCCAGGTAGATCGGCGGCTGGGGAGTTGGCACAAACGGCAGCGATGCCCCGTAAGTGTACGGGTAGCACAGCACTTTGTCGAAAATGTTGTCGCGGACTATGATGCCCGTAGATGACGTGATAAGCATCGGCTGGTCCGCGGCGCTCTGAAAACAGCAGAACGGCTTTCAGTTGGGCTTGACAGCCTGACAATCCTGTGTCATGTGCGCGCTAGGACGACAGCAGAGAAATGGGAGCATAAAGGGGCAGCTTCAGCAGTCTGCTTTGCGAGCTGTTTGAGCCTAGGCACACAGGCAGGTCAGCCTCTGTCAGGCAGCCATAAGCAGAAATACTGCATTTGCGAATACAGTAGTAGGATCTCTAACTATGGGCATCACGACACTGCATCCTGTGTTGCTCTGGCAGGGCAGCTCACCGGAATTGCAGGGCATGCATGGAGCAGCCCACAACACATGTATTGCATGACTGCATGTGCATGCACCAGACGTCTCAACGAAGAAAAATGCCAGGATGCTGTGCAATGACGTCCGGTGCAACAGGGCATGCGTTTATGCAGATAATTAACAACGGGCAGCAAAACAAATTCAAACTCAAAAAAGACAGCTGCGCACCCGGATGATGTTGCCGGTGATGTTGATGTTGGCGTGGTTTTGGAACCGCCCCGGCAGCAGGGGGTTGTCATTTATAAATGCGAGTTGGATGCCGCCATAGAACGAGTCAAAGATGTTGCCCTGGATGAGCAGGTTGGAGGAAAAGTCCGCCTCCTGGAAGAAGAACTCCGGGTTGATCTGCGCGGCCACAGTCCAAATATCAATATATAGTTCTTATTACTGCAATACACGGTTCCTGCCAGAGGCAAGGTGCGTCTACGGACAAGCTGCGGGTAAAGTCTAGCATATGTCCTATCCCTTGTTGGACTCGCCAGATTCAAATTAGGCGCAATCCACACACATGCGAGGGAGTCCGGACACTGCCTTCCATCTCCACAGAAGTAGAAACTTGAGCAGGAGCAGGGAGGACAGACGCACCTGTGCTGCCACGAACTTTGTCTGGATGAACTGGTTGCCGGTGATTATGCCGTCATTTGCTTTGAGCAGCATCCTGCACACCATGCGCACCCCACCCTCAATGAATTTGCAGACACTCCATCGGCTGACTGTTTCTGCTCCTGTAAATGCTGGCATCCTCAGTGGAAATGCGGACTTTTCCTTGTCTGAAGATTCAAGCTCCTGAAAATGCTGGCGGCAAGACAAGCGATATGAGAGGGTCATGCGCGCACCCTCGGCCGCGGTTGTAAGAGATGGTGTTGTTGATGAGATTGAAGCCGTTGCCCTGGTTGTCCAGCGATGTGACTATGCTGTCAAACGTCTGCGCACACACAGGGGTAAATTGCCACCATGGTAAAATGATTCCCCCCCACGGAGGCAAATAATATTGTCTCCTGTCAACCATCGAGACAGGATGATTTGCATCACTGTGTGTGCCTTGAGGTGAGTCATCCTTTCAGCACCTCATGGCACACAGTCTCGCCTGTCTCCCACCACCCCATTGCTTCGAAGCTCTCAATTGGGTTGTGCATTTGTACCATTCTGTGAGCTAGGCATATGAGCAACAGTGCAACTCTCCATTCGTCTTATCATATGATAGACATTAGAAAACCGCAGCTTAATCTGCAGATGCACCTTGCCTCTTGGCAAGAAACCCGCTTTTCCAGTTATAAATATAACAGTAAAAAATCAGGGGCAGGGTATCGCACCAGGTTGTCATACGCAGGAGGCCAGCATTCAACAGTGACGTTGAGATACTTTGAGTTGTCCAGGTTTGAATAGGGGAATGTGATGCTCCGCGTTCCTGCACAGCCATCATTGCTCGGTACAGTGCCCTGTCAAACCCAAAACCAGGGGACTCTAAACTGAAGGTTAGTTTAGAGTCCCCTGCCAAAACCCCAGACAAATTCCTCAACACTTCCATTATCCACTGGGCAGGATGCTGGGTTACCTGACAGCCACAGAGCAGCACAAAAGCTTCCTTTGGAGAGTGCAAGCACTGACAAGATTTGCACTCAGAATCAATTTAGCTTTGGACAGTGCTTTCAAATCGACTGGGGCACTTCTTCAGTGCCCAGCACCTGACCTTTCAGAATTGGGATCATTTGTGGCATAGGGTGCAGCGCATGCTGCTGAAGCTCTCATCTCAAGCCTCTCAAATCACTGAGCTCCTTTTATAGCGAGCCCAAAAAGACCAGTTCGCATCAGACAGGCTAGCTGCAGGCAAAGTCTCGTATATATCCTATATCTTTATTGGCCTTGGCAGATTCAAGCAAGACCCAATCAGCAGTCGGCACAGTGCTCAAAATTTGCATTGCCCTGCGCCAGCCAGGGCAGGTACTTTGTGTCCAAACTCAAATCATTCAGAAACAGAGAGGGGATCACAGCAGATGATGTTTAGCACCTTGATTGGGACTGGGGTCAAGGGCACGTGGACTGTAATAACAAAAGAGAGGGCCTGCACCTGCAGGCAGGGGGTTGCTGGGGAGCAAGGTGACGGAGAGCATCTTGGTGAAGCCGAGGCGCTCAGTGGAGCTTTTGTAGGCGAGCAAGCTGTTGCCGCGGAAGAGGCGCTCGCACGGGTACCCGCAAAGTGTGGCCACTTGGATCACTCCTTGGTCTTTGTCCGTCTGGCAGCCAGCAAGGCGCACGGTCAGCAAATTACTCAAGCTAGTATGAAGCCACCCACCTGAGTTCTCCACCATTCATGGCATGGTACCACGCAAAGACCACTCTTTGCGGTGCTGCGCTGCTGGTGACATGGGCTCATGGTATCCCACGAGGGTAGCAAGGTGTCTCTGTTTTTTGGAGCTTGTCAGCCAAGCATTTAAAAAATTGCATGCTTCCTGGATCCCCCCCTAGGCATTTTCTGTCTGGCAGACAGCAAGGCACACAGTCAGCACTTGAGTCAGCGCGCTGAGGTGGAGCACCTGGGGATGCCAACTCAAGTGCGGGATGCCACCATGCAATTTCCCCGCTGAGCTGCAAATTCATGTGCAACACTTTGCAGCCCACAACTCTTGTGCTTATGACTTCTATGTGGGCTCCTCAGCACCTTGTTTGCGACATTTCTGCACAGTCACCTTGTGCCACCTAAAGATATTATTATTACACGCTTTTCCTGCCGAAGGCAAGGTGCGTGTGCTGACAAGCTGCATGTAAAGGCTGCCAAATTCCTACCCCTTGTTGGACTCGCCAGATCCAAGCAAGACCCAATCAACCGTGGGCACGGTGCTCAGTATTTGTACGGTCCCCTGCCAGCCGGGGCCTGTAGATACCAGCTGGCAGAAATCGATTGCTGCATGTGCTGTTAATCATTGCTTCACAAGCGTGGCTTTCCTGATTGCATGCGCTTTCATGCTTTAAATCAACAGCATATTTTGCTGGAGCAGAGTACAGGGTACCCCAACAACCAGGGAAACACCTGGCTTGTCTTACTGCGTGCCCCTAGAGGCTTCCCATTGACAGTACTGACAACGCAATAATGCAGCACAGAAAGAAGTGCGGCCGCACCCCGACAACGAGGTAGTAGCGGCCATGGATGGCGATTCCGTCGTCGCCCATGTTGGTGAAGTAGTTACGGATTAGGGTGGGCCCCTTGAAGGATCCGCTGGAGTGGAAGCCGTCTGCCAGGGAGCTCTGCAAGGGCCTCTCCCTCAGACCACCGCTGCCCACCGGGAGTGGGTAGGGGACCACCTGGTTGTTGATGTACGTGTTGCCGCTGCCTGTCTCCTCGTAGATGCCAAAGACTGCACACAGCGTATAAGATCAGCAAAGCAGGCACAGCAAAGTTTGAAGACCGAAATATAGAAAAGTTGTGTGTGCACAATGATTGGACAGGGCTGTCTCGGTGTAAGTGTTGGCGTTGCCTGTCTCGTCAGAGATGCCAAAGACTGAGCACTAGATCAGAGACAAGCCATGGCAGTCAAAGTGACCCGCAGAAACAGAGAACATTTTTGCCAAGGAGCATCATTGCAACTTGTCAAGCAGGGCGAATTGTGGTGGAAGGTGTAACTTATGAGGGTCTTTTTTTTACGGGGCCAGACTGTCAGTCGTTCTCTCATCAGTGGTTGTAAGGTTTTGCAATGCGAGAGGGCCAAGAATGACTCACTCGCCGAGTTGTAGATGGTCAGGTCCTGGAAGGTGCTGTCCTTGTTGTACCACGGCAGGACTGCAAGCACACCACAGTCCAGCAATCAGCCACCATTCCTGAAATATACCTGCTCGATGCAGCAGGTGCCATGCAGTTTTTCTCGTCGACGTGCACGCCTTTGCATTCACGATGTAAACATCCATGCAAGTGTTCATAAATGTTCTCGGCAGCTTGGACTTACTTCCATGGTTCCCTCTGTTGCCGCGGCACTGCATGCAGACACAGACATCCTCGAAAACAAACAGAACACCAAGTGCAAAAAATAAAGAGATCCTTTGGGTGCGCCTGCTCTTGGTCCCCATTCTTGCATAAACTCTAAGCACGGAGCCACGATCAACACAACATTGCACAGGTGTAACACTCAGAAGAGGAGAGATAAATCCGATATTGATGGGACGGAGTGCCAAGGCCGTGCACTCACAGTGACGAAATCTCCCTTGGAAAAGCCGACGACGTTGTATCCGAATTTGAATTGGAAGCTGCGCCCTCCCAGGGATGTAGTGAGGCCCTGCTGAGGGTAGATGTCCGATGCATTTGTGCGCGGCAGACGGCTGTCAGGATCCCACCCAACACACAGCGCCTGATAGTTGGCTGTGACCATGTCTATCGGGTAGCCATCTTGTACCTGCACAAGTACCAACAGCCATGCATCTAAAATCAGCTCAATGATGGAAGACAAGCAACGCTGCTAGCATGACTGCAAGAAGTTCAATACAATCTCATAGCAAATAAATGTATGCAAAGTAGAAAGCGCTGAAGCAGGGGGTAGTAAAGACTCCCAAGGGGGTCTTCCTAAGTGTACTCCTCTGGTCATTACTAACCAGATGACCTCTAGATGGGGCTCCCTCTTACAGCAGGCATAGCAGGAATGCAATAGACAGTATCTGCTGGCTGAAGAAGTCATGGGTTGTGATGCATTGCTACACCACTAGTTTCTCCCTGATTCTTTTCTTTCTTCACCTTTAAAAGCATAATGCAGTAAGTGATCGTTAACGAAGGTGGGTCAAAGTTCAGAGACACACCGTGATGTTCCAGGTTCGGCCATCGGATGAAATGTCATCCAGGGTGGACTGATACCAGGGGTTTACGCTGAAGTCATAGTAGAAGGTGGCGTTGTGAGCGGTCAGATTGTAGCAGTAGTTGAAAAATATACCGCCCAGAGTTCCATCCTGCAAATTTGCAGACATTAAATCATATGTACCCACAACTCAGATGACCATGCGTGATCAGCGCTCACTGGAAATGGCCAAACTTATCTCAACCCCCCATTGTCAGATCATAGCAGAACAGCACTGGGCCAAAAATACTGCAATCTCAGGAATATAGCTCATCAAGACAGCACATGGTACTTGAAGACAGCATGTCAGTGAACACTGGAAGCATGCAGGTCATGACATGCGCATGCTGGCACAGAACCCCACCTGGAAGATGATTGTGCTGCCGCCAAAGTCCAACTCGAAAGCAGAGCGGACGACTCCCTGGCAGGTGAGGAGCAGGTTGAAATTTGAATTCGGGTTTGTCACCCTGTAGGTCCCCGTCTCCAGCCGGAACTTAGTAACCGCCCGGTTGGTGACGGCAAAATAGAACTGGAGGAAGAAATTGGTGCTGTCGATGGTGCCGTTGTTCCCAGAGTACACCACTTCTGAGCCTGTGGAGACCACGGCGTCCAGGGGCGTTGCCTGCTGCAGCTTTGCCTGCAGGGAAGTGGCTGCAAAACTGGAGGTCTCTGCAAGCTTGCGGCCGGTCTCCTGGGTGACAGAGGGTATTTGCGGATCCGGGTTGAAGGGGCCTCCGGACGTGCCGTTCCTGACCAGGTCATAGGCATAGGCCGGGCCGTAAGTGCCCAGGGGACTTGGCAGCGGCTGGGTCTGTTTCCCTGGGAACAGATCGGCCTTCAGCTGGTCGTGCTTTGAGGGCACTGCTGGAGGAGCCTTTATGAAGCCCAGCGCCGCCTGCACCAGCCATGACAATATGTTAGGAATCACATCTGATTGAGGTGAACTCTCTTTCCAGGACACAATGCCAGGGGAATTTGCTGTTGCGCACATGCCTGGGATGCTGCAGTTATAGAGGAGTGCAGGAATGCTGGGGTTGGGGGGCTGGGGCATCACCTGGACATCACAGGAGGTCTTGGGGAAGCTATAGGGAAATTTTGCTGCCCACGCTGCCGGCAGCTTCAGGGATGATAAGCTGCAAGGTTTGCCCTGTGGTTGCCCGTGGAAGAACGTGTCTACGTCCTCCTGAGCATTCACACCGTTGTCAACGTAAGTGGTCGATGATGCACTTAGCATTTCATCAGACTCAAGCAGGCTGAGCAATGGACTCCCACTTGTTCCCAAATCGTATTGCTGGCAAATGGAGGCCTCGATGCAACCGGCCAGCATTTTGGGCAAATTTAGTACGTAACATCTGTAATATCCTGTGACAAACTGACAGCCTAGGATTGGTGCGATGGGTACCTTGATGTCGTGCACGGCCTCCGAAACATTCGGCAGGAGACCAAAGGTTCCCGAAATGGCTAATGGTCCGTGACTAAGGACTAGGGCGAGAACTGCTACAGTCCAAGACGTCCAGGATGCCATCGCTGCACGGCTGGGCCAGGGTGAGTTTCTTGTCTCAATGACTTGCACAGTGATCAAGCATCGCTGCCTTCTGTACCAGCCATTCACGTTCCCCAGACTTTGTCAAGCTCTCAATATTCTGTATTTGTCCTGCACATGATTCAAATATTGTACGGACAATATATTGTGACCCCTCGATGATAAATTTTAAAGGGTGAGCAACAGGGCTTCGATTTCAGGCATTTCCATCAGTGTGATTCTCACCCCAGAATAGTGACTTCTTACCCAACAAGTCTGTAAGAAACCCAGTGAAACCTCTATTGCAAGTCTACGTTGCATGTAGCGCAATACCTTGTTGCACGAAACCTGGAAGCGACGTGATGATGTGGGAGTGAAGTTGACAAGCAGGGCGTTAAAATCAAAGAACGTGCTAGTGGACTTTGTGTGAGATTACTGTTTCATCCTTACGGCAGGCATGAAGCCTGCAAGTGGCTCTGCGTTCAGCGAGGATGTCGAAAGGGTGAGTTTCTGATGCACCATCAAATATGTTCAGATAAGTTTAAAGCACGCGTGACTCCTTTATCAAAACCGTTATCAAAACCGTAAAAGAAGACAAAACGATCATTTTGTAGTCATCAAGGAATTCAATAAATATTTGAGGATCGTCAACGCTCTGGTTCGGCAACACCTCCCTCAAACATCGGACAGGGTCAAAGGGGGCAGACACTTTTTGCATTGCATTAATCCATTCATATTGTGCTGCAACACAAGATGGAACTTCATATGGCAGATGGCATCCCGTCAAATGTCTTGAGTTTCTGGTGGGTTGCTGCAGCTATTCCAGCACGAGGGGCCACCAGTGGCATCTGCTTCCACACTGCCAAGCTATGCTCCTCCCTCGAACAGCGACTTCTCCTCAGGGGGAGGTGGCGCCAGTGGGATGGGCAATGCGCCACTGAACACCCTCGACGAGCCCATCTGGGAGACAGTCAAACGCGACCTCCAACGCATTGGAGGCAACCTGATCCTGGTCGTCTTCCCCTTCAAAAACCGTGACCAACAGAGCGCTGCGCTGCGCAATTGGGACCTCTGGGGCCCCATGGTGCGTGCCTTCCCACGTCCTGTCTTTCATCTGCATTCATTGGCGCATATTGGCAAAATGCATGAGAAGCACGATGTTTGGAGCAATGGTTGAATCATTTGTGCAGATGTACAAAGTTGACTAAAGATTATTTTGTGATGTGTTGCAGACCTTTACGCTGGTGCTGGCCATCTGCCTCTCCATCGGCTCTCCAAAGCCTTCTGCTGTTTTCTCGGTGCGCCAAGGAACCTGCATGCCTCTCATTCTGCTAGAATCCCAAATGATCCATCATCTGCGCACAGTATTTTCCTGTGTGTCGCGCTTGTGCATGCTAATGACTGACCACCTGAGTCGTGTGCGCGCTCCCATCTATGGACGGACTTCATTCTTGCCACTCGTATTGTGCAGTAGCATAGTGTGAGTGCGCTGTGTGCGGGTGCAGTTTGTGTTTGGGACGTGCGCGGCGGGCGCGGTGGTGCTGACAGTGAACGTGGTGCTGCTGGGAGGGAACATCGGCTTCTTCCAGTCCATGTGCCTTCTGGGCTACTGCCTGTTCCCCATGGACGTCGCAGCCATTGTGACTGCCCTCACCACCAACATGATTGCCCGCTGGATCGTCGTCCTGGTGAGAGGCTGCAACCTGCACGAGCTTCTTCCAGGCAGCTTCCATCTAAACGTGGCTGTCTGATCTGCATTTGCAGCAGTCCTTGCAGGATCGGATGCCCCCAGCAGTGTTCGCTCTGCTTCCTGTTGCAGTGAGTCATATTGTGGAAGATGTTTTGTGAAAGCTGTTCTTGGCTAAGAGTCATCAGTGCTTGAAGGTCATTGACCTGAAAATAATGCTGGCCCATGTAGTCTCCTGTCACTGAGGAGCACACGCGTCAGCCACCGTTGCTGCAGTTGCAGTATTGAGAAATGGTAGAAGGGCTGTGGTTGCGCAGGTGGGCCTGGCGTGGGCGTCCTGGGCATCAGTGCCTTTCATCGGGGGCTCTGTATCCCCAGCCAGGCGCGCTCTGGCAGTCTATCCGCTGCTGCTGCTGTACGTCGCCATGGGTTGGCTGGCCCTCATAAAGGGATGAGCAGGCCAACCAGACATATATGGGAAATGCGTGTGTGAAAGTGTAAGCACATGGGTTCCGGGCGGCTCTTTCGGTGGTTGAAGATGCAATATGATGTAACTGATGTAGACAACTTGGCAATGTGAAGAGGCAGTAGTCACGGTGTGAGTTAGCCAAGGAGTCTGCGGACAAAGAATCAGTTTGCAGCCAAGCGGTATCCAGCAGCTAAGGTCACAAATGGCAGCTAATTAGGTGCAGATGCACATGTGTTCTCTGCGATGTAACAGATGTGTTCAGCATCAGATGGTTGAATTGTGACGCCAGGCGAAGTTGATTGATGCGCTGATCAGTATCAATTGATTTGCGACCGCTTTGGCACACCACCAACCCGGGCCAAGGAACAGATTGGCTGCTATTGAAAGAACTCACAAGGACACAGCCACAGACAAAACCCGCCTCAATATCCACTCATCTCCTCTGTTGGGGGTCCTCTCCTGTTGTACCCAAGTTGTGCATGCAAGGGATGGGTTGCCAAAGTAGGGACAGCTGGCTTTGAATCGGTTCGATGGAAGTTCCACAGCTCAGCACAAAAAATATTTCTTCAACCACCACAACCTACCCACAAAGTAAGACAACAGAAGCATCTCGCATTTTAAGTCCATTTTGTGAACCGTATCTGTCTCATTCTCAGCCCAACGAACTATTGTAATGAACTATCAATCGCTGGTACCAAGGTGACTGGATATTAGGCGTACGCAACCTCTTTTCTACCAGGTTTATATATGATGTTTTGAAACATAGGGATCTGAAGGTTGTCATGTTGACAGCAAAGACACACAGCAAGGTGAGGACTAAACCTTGTACAGACTGAACGACCCTTTAGATGCACGTAGTGTTATGACTTTCTGGTCAAAGGTGTTGATTTGCATTAATCATATCGTCAGATCGCATTTGATGCTTATTCTGATCAACATACTTGAAATCTGGTGCTGGTGATACATGCAGGAGAACATCTAGCTCAGGACCGTAACAGAAGATTATCGCACTCTTTGAGCTTTTGAAAGGTGACTGATGATTCCCGACTAATTTACCAGGCGTCAGTTGCCGGGTCCATGCCTGCTTCAGTGGATCCTGAGAACAGGCTTATGTGCAGGGCAAACATGCCAGCAGACGATGAGGCAGGCACCTCAGGTCGCGGTCACATTGTAAATGCCAAGGAAAGGGCCACCTATCTTCAGGACCGCAGCATACACATCGCCCCAAGCCCCACTGGAGCTTCAGATCTGCCATGGCCCACCTCTCCCCCAGACTACCGGCGCCCCATCAGCAGGCCTGAGATGAGGCCTCCCACCCAGACAACACCGCCTCCCGCTCAGGCATGTACCCAAGGAGCCTGCTTGAATCTGTTTGCAGCAAAATAGTGGGATGCATGCTTGCATATGTTCCTTTGTAGTCACAGGGTGACTTTGGTGACCCTTGAGGGTCGAGCTCGCATCATGTAATTGTCACTTGGTTGCTGATGTTGGGGATGAGCATCCTGGCAAGATTCTTACATGGCCTTACAATGCTTCCTGTGACAGGGGCTGGTGGGCAGGGTGGCGAGTTGGTTTGGCCCCACGAACAGCAACGGCGCGGGGGCGTCAGCCCGGGGGCGTTCCAGGGCGGCGTCTAATGGCTCAGCCGCGCCCCCAGACTTCCTGGCGCAGTCAGAGGACCCCGACAAGCGGCGGCTCAGCCAGGCGCAGGCGAAGCCGAGGGGTGTGTGTCTTTCCTCACTATTTATAACCCTGTCATGCACCTTGAGCCTGCTGCGGTGTTGGCAGTCAAGGCCATTCTGCAATGGTGGCTGAGCTACATCAGCCAGAAAAGAGACAACGCTGTTGTGAAGTCCGCTAGCGCGGTGTTGTAATGACTAGAGGAATCTGACAGATGCCATGGGGTGGTGCAGAGCCCCCCGGGACGCTGGAGGCAAAGTGGCGGCAGGACTGCCTGGCCTTTGCGCGCGTGAAGAAGCTGGACCATGTAGCAGACATGCGCATATTCTACGTGGTGAGCCCTTCACCAAACTCAAGTCCGGCAGCACGCTTCTGTACACAGAATGCGGCATGGCAGGCATGCACGCCACTCTGAGATGTCCGATGAACCCAGAGCATTCATGCATCTCGGCAACTGTGGAGGAAGCCGAGCAGAAGGTACTTTTGGATTTGAATCACACTTTGGTTTCCAATGCGACATCAGGATGCGGATGCCAAAGACAGGGACGGTGATCCTGTAGTGGTGGCAGTGGGTGCTCACTACCGCAGCGCTGCAGTGACCAGGGAAGACCTGCTGCTGCATGTTGTGAAGGTGGGTTCTGAGCGCTGACCTGCACCCTCTATTCAGGGGTCAAACAGTAGATTGCTTGGAATCAAGCATCCCGCTGTCACAAAGAAGTTGAGGTAGCTGAGATCAGCAGCCTGCCACGTTCCTCCTGAGTTGCAAGTACATCACTTGTATGCAATGTGATTGATTGTGCTCCCATGCCAGAAGTTTCTTGCATGTTCCATGCGTTGCAGTTCTGTCGCGAGGCAGCCCTTTCCTCTTTCCATGCCGCTAGCTCTGCTTTGATGTCTGCATTTCACTTCTCTGAATTTCAGAGCAGTCGCTTCATCTGCACTCTCCGAGTACAAATGTACAGGTGTGTTGAAGTTCTGATCAGTTGAATGCATGGGATGCACAGGAGATGGAGAAGGTTGGGTCACGCCCGTTTGTGGTGGTGTACTTCAACGCAGACGCTGACCTGGCAATGATCCCCGAGCCCAGCTTCTTCTTGGATGCCCACTCCGCGCTCGCCCCCTCGCACCGCCGCCAGCTCAAGGTGTGCCCTGCTGTGTAACTGATGTATTGTTCAAGCAGGCATGCAAGTATGTGTAAGCAGTCTTGTCGCAGTGACTGTCTGCTCCCGACGATTACATGCACAACATCTGCAGTGTCGCTGCAAACTTATCCCCAGATGCATGTTCTGTCTCCTCACCTATGGCACGTATGCACATGCATTTTTAACCACTCCTCGTCCAGATGCTGATTGGTCATTTGCACCGCTGCACTCGGATCTGGCAGCATCCTGAGCTGGCAGCATCGTAGGGCATGCAAGAAGTTGCATACAGCAGCAGGCTGCAGTACATCGAGCTCTCCTGGCTTGTAAGAGAGTGTTCTGTGCTGTGGTCTGGCAGGCGTTCTATGCGGTGCACCCCAACCGGCTGCTGCGCGCATGGATCATGCTGCTGCGGCTGAGCGAGCCGGACATCTACGGTCGCGTGTGCTTCTGCGAGTGCCTGGCGAATTTGAATCTGAAATTCTCCGGGGGCGGCCGCGCGCCGTCACCGCCGCAGCACGTGCTTGACTATGACGCCGAGCACTGAACATTCCCCTTTTAGCAGAGTGCTCTTGGAAATGTTAAAATTTTGTCGGCTGGAATGGATGGTGCGCATTCCATCTAAGAGTGGCTGGATTCCTAAATGTGTGTACAGCTTGTATTAATGTGCTTGAACTTCAAACATTGGTCTGAGAAGCTATTGAGCTAAACCGATGTAATTGCTGCCAAGTACTTCTTCTACACGGCCGGTTGGCAAGCTTTCAATGCCGTGCTGCAAGCTTGTACATGGGTTCGGGCTTGCCCCCCGTAAAGTCTAAAGACACTGGCTTTTCTTTCAAATTAGAATTTTATTATTATTATTGATATTGTTACACGTTTTCCAGTCCTTAAAATCTAGGTACGTCAAGCAACACCTGAATTAATGCTCTCCACTGGAACAAATGTATCAACAATGATTCTGAGAGCCTGCTGCAAGTCTTGCTCACTCTCAGCTACAAGGGCGATGTCATCAGCATACATGAATATCCAGCTCAAACTTGTTGCATCAGGCTTGTGGCACTCTCTGAGATTGCCATCAATTTTGTATGACCACAGCACACCTTAGTGGCTTATCAATGGCTGAAAGACTCTCACTATAGTATCGATGTAAACGTTGAACAACAATGGGGCATTCACATCTCCTTGCTTGAAGCCTGTGGCTACACTAAACCAATTCTCTGCTCTGCCTGAGTCTGACTGCATATCATAAGTTGTGCCCAAATGCAAGTTTTCAATCAGATCAACAAATTTTTCTGGTGCCCCTCTGCTTCTCAGCATCCTCCAGGCCAGTTGCCTATTTGCAGAATCATATGCTTTACTGAGATCTATAAAATACGTGGAGACTGGTTTTTGTTTCCTTAGATCCCGCTCGTACAACAATTTCAAGCAGAACAACGCATCATTGCACCCTCTTCCCGGCCTGAACCCACATTGCTCTTCAGAAAGGAGCTCCTCTGCCCACCTGCCAGTCTGGATCGCAGAATAAGCGCATAAACCTTGCCAGCAATACTTAGCAGGCTGATGCCTCTGTAATTGTCTGAATCAGCAGGATTGCCTTTTTCAAATTTGGAACAATCAAGGCCTTCTTCCAATCAGCGGGTGCTGAGCCAGACTCCCACACTTGAACAACAATGTGATGGAGCCATTTTGCAATAGCCTCTCCTCCACAATTTCTGGCAGTATGCGGCAACTAGAATATAACTCATTATAAATATACCGCACTATAGCCACTTCTCACTCAAACAGTATCAAATTGACCATAAATCATTGTTGCAGCTACAAATTACAAGGAGAACACGTAATTCCACACAGCACCTTTCAAGGCAGCAGCAATGCCCACAGCTCGGCAGTGAACCCCAGCACAGCCAAACACTGCGGCGCCAGCCGCACCCACGGCCGTGCGCCGATTTTGCGCGTCAGCAGCAGCGACAGCGCAGCGCCGCTGAGTAAGCAGGTGCCCTGCAGGAAGGCTGTCACTGCCCCGTCCTCCACAAACACCGGCAGCTCCTTTCCCCACTCTTCAAGACCCACAGTGGCAGCCGTCACCTGCGCACAGGATCCTCAGAAACTATCATCATTCTTACATGCATTCTCTGCCCCCCTTAATGCACTTTCCAAAGTCCATGCAAGACCCGACTGATATTGGGCACAGTGCTCAGTTTCTATACCACCCCCCGCCAGCCGGGGCCACACGGGACCCTCAGGAATTATCCACTACAAAATATCTTGCAGGCTGGCATAAATTAGATTCCTACATGCTGCTCCTCATGATCACATGTGCCCATGCGTCTAGGTGAATGATGCCTCTAGGCAGGGTGTTACTAGGCATGCCCATTCAATTTGTGCTTCCGCTGTGAAAAACACTGCCTAGCAAAAGAGCATTACCGGCAATAGCCGCCCGGCCTCGCTGAAGAAAGGCAGCAGGTAGTGGGCGAGTGTCCCGGCCCACACCAGTGGCATGTACCCATACGCCAGCTCCAGGAAGGGCTTGCCTCTGGCACGCCTCTGCTGCCCTGCACCAACTGCTGCCTGCTTAGAACACGTTGTGAGAAGCACTGTTTTTACATCATCTCCTGCACTGCTTTGACGTGGCAGGTGCTCGGGCCAAAGCATCCTCTGCCACTGCATGCACTCATGGTAGGCATGAATGTCCCCATGTGGCTTATTAAAGCAGACAATGCAACGCTGCAGCCAGGGTCTCCTGTCACTTCTTGCTACCCTGCAAGAGGCCATCCTCAGAGCAAAGAAGCAGTCGAGTTCGATATTCAGCTTTGAGGCCATACTTTCAAATGCATTCTATAATGGATCTGAGATGGTGCTGACCTGGCAGCATTGCTGACACGGCATCTGCCAGCTCAGCAAGGCCATGTGCTCCCAGCGCGATGCAACCGGGCGCCAGCAGCACAAGGGTGGATACTATGATGTGGGGGGTCTGAGCCTGCACCAAATCAGGATCCAGGCCCAGCTGTTGCAGCAGCTGCGGCAAGTGGTGCACGTACACTGCGGCACAGACCAAAACGGAAATCCCTTCAGTGGCATTTGGAGAAGATGAAACAAAGGCACTACGCATCTGGGTAGCAACAGTGCAGCAGTAGTGGCGATAGCAGAAAGCAGTAGCGCATTCTTCCCACAAATTCAAAGCATGCCCGCGAACCTAGGTTCAAGGCTGTCAGCATCCCAGAGAGGCTTAGTAGGGTTGATGTGGCCGCACCCTATTAAGTCAGGACCACAGCTATTTTGCCATCCTCCCAGTAGTAAATTTCCAGCTTCTGGTTCCCCCCCCCACCCCCCCCCACACACTACTTTCTGGGCAAGTTGAGCATGAAATTCTGAGGTGGATTACCTGCGCCCAGGAGGGTGAATAGAAGCGCAAGTTCGGCTGCGATCGGCTTGTGGGTGGACCACAGGTCTACCCCAGGTACACGCAGCCGAAACTCCAGGTTGTCATGAGGGCACGCCTGCACAGACAGAACCACTTAGTTAACTGCTGCTTGCAGGTCAGATACTAAATTTGCGCCTCAGCTCTGCTGCCTCTATTACATCCGACCAGTGAACTTGGGCTTGAAATCGTGCACGGCAGGAAGCATGAATCTAGAAAGGAAGAGCATATGCCACTGGGCCAAGCAGAGCAACCTCAAAACATTCTCTGCACAACCTGTTCAATTGAATCAGACCAAGAAAGATTCTGCGACCGGTCTGTGCATGAGTGCATGCCTCTCAGAACAGTCGACTGAAAGGCCGTGTTTCAACACGCATGCATCCCTTAAAAACATCCCATTTAGGAGGGATGTCAGGGCAGGGCACAACATTGTCACAAAGATGATTTGGAGATATCCAGGAACATGCACCTTGTCGCACTCCATACAGAGGACGCAGTTGCGGTTGTCTGTGAGCTGGGCCGGGTGCGAGTACAGCGGGCAGCCGCCCGTCTCCTGCCCTAAGGGCGGCTCCTCCGGGCCGCCCTTGTAGCAGTGGTACGTGGAACAGTTGCCTGCAAATGTAACACAGGCTAGCTATGAGCTCCCTGGCCATAAAGCCTTGAAAGGGTTCCTTTTATGAAGTAGGAACCACCAGGGCTTTGTTTTGTGGGTGACGGCTGCTGCATGTGGTACATTACTCACTGAATGGCAAAGCGAGTCTGGCCACGGAAATTGCGAAGAACTCCCATTGACCTGTAATGCTGCTATAGCTGTGACTCACAGAAGATTGACTTGGAAAATCCGTCATGGTATTACCCAAAAGAAACAGTTGCCCAAGCAACATCTACAAGACTCATTTACTGCAATGTTCAGGCAGCACCTCATAAAGACAAGACAAAAGCTTGGTACTCCTGGTTGCTTTTCTTGGGATCCTAGAGAGTAAGTCAAGCAGAGGACGCACCAGAGCAGACGCCCGGCTGCGCGCGCAGCTCGGTCATTGACAGCTTGGCGAACATGCCGTTCATTCCGCCGATGGGGCACAGGTGGCGGCACCAAAGCCGCCGCTCGAAGAACCAGGAACACACCATCGCGCCGGCTGTGATTATTATGAGGAGCCAGCCGGAGAGGTACGCCGTCTGAGGCAGGTCCCACACCTCCTCCCACACCAGAATTGCTGCGAACAGCGCCCACAGAAACCACGGTCCCCACCTATCCACTGCACAAGGTATTCGGGGTTGGCAATTGTGAGACTTGATGCCGGGTAATGAGCAACAAAGTGCAGACAATATTTGTAGGTTTGACATTGTGAGACATGATGCTGATAGGTGGGCTGCAGACTGCAAGGAAAACAAATCTCAGAGCTGTGGTAGGTTGGAGGACGATGTTGCAACCCATTGCTGCATGAAAAGCTTGCTCGAGCAGAAAGAGCAGCACGCAAGAGCAGCATGCTTGACAGATGTAGTGCTGGTGCACAAAAGGCAATAATATTTGGTACTGGGGGAGGGTGCAGAGAGCTGTACTTGACTTGTGGGGCCACTTGCGCAGGACCACTCCCTGTGCCAGCCGCCAGCGCTGCACAATCTCCCCATAGATCATGAAGGGGCACACTACGCACAAAAGCTTCAGTGTCGTAATCGTCCATTATACCTCAAGACCAACCAAAGCTAAGGTCTTTAAAAGTGATAACAGCTTTTCATATTATTCTGCAACGAAGTTCCTGCCAAGACAGGCAATTGTGCGCCTGCAAATCAAGCTGCAGAGCAAGGCTGCCACCTCACTTACCCCTTATGGACCCCCAAACCCAATTAACACCCGAACAAGCTTGCCACGGCACTGAAGCAACATACTGGCCACCGCCAACTCAGCGTAACTCAGGTATCATGCAGTAGAGTAATGTGCCCATTGGCATTGTGATAACCTGGGGAAAGGGAGATGGGCGTCACCTGCGCACCAGATGCGGCCCAGGAAGGGGTAGACAATGAAGATGAGCGGCCACCAGTAGCACCAGAACAGGTTGAGGCCAAAGTTGTGCGCGCGGTCCTGCGGCCCAAAGAGCAGCAGTGCCACAAAAGCAGGGTAGACAAAAGCCGTGAACTTGAAGTTGATCTCCTCCGGCCACAGCTTGCTCCTGAACAGGCGCTGCAGCAGCGGCAGCGGCCTCAGCAGGTTCCACCTGAACCTGTCCTGTGCCTGCGCCAGTGACAGTGCAAGTATCAGTGCCTTGAGTATGTTGAAATCACTTGTTTTAGCCCGTTTTTTTAGCCAGTGACATGTTTAGTATTGAGTAATTTTCCTGCATTCAGGTGCCACAGAATGTGGACCCACACATGAATCTAAGATTACAATGCAGCGGTTGTGTCTGTGCACCTGCGTCTGTCTTGTGCTGCTTGCCTCGGTTCCATAGAATTTGAGCCCGTATACAAGATAGGGGCCAATCATGATCAGCATGCACAGGGGATCTTTGCACCAGGTGGTGAGGAAAGGAAATAGTGCAATAAGTTTGACTGGATTACATGCACGCACCTGTGTGGCAAACCAGAAGACGTCCTCGGGGACCTGCAACGCCTTGTCCCCTGTCAGCTGGCTGGCAGCCCTGTCCAAGATTGACTCCAGCTCCTGCTTAGTCACATTCATTGGTTCAGATAATATCAAAAATCAGTAATAAAGATATCCTAGTTCAATTAAAGCACAAGAAGGAACCTTCAGCTCTGTATCGTCCAGGATAGAAGCCTCTAACCCATGAAGACGTTTGTATTGAGCAAAAAAGAATCGAGTGCTGCCACAGTGCACCAGAACCATCCAAGAGGGCAAGGCATATTACGGTTCAGGAAATCAAGATGCATCAATATCCAGGCTGAAATAAAGTGGCTTCCAAGAGATCGCATTGGTTATTAGACACCAGAAACTTCACCAGAAGAGCGGGCATGCAAGGGAGATAAGCAAGGGAGAATAAGTGCGGCCCTGCCTTAATGTTGAATTGTTAAGAAGACCCAACAGGTTGAGTCTTCATAGGGAGTGATGAGAATGGGAGACAAGCGGAGCCCTGCCTTGATGTTATTGGGGAATGTGTAGGACTCCAGGTGGCGGATGGCTTCCTGGGTGAGGTTGGCCTGCGGCAGCCCCTTCCTGCGCGCGGCCTGCCGCACAAAATAGCGCGCCAGATCGGCTATGTCCCCCGGCCGCACGCGCAGCGGTGGCACCTGCGATATGCTCCACATTCATTCATCAAAATACTTATGACATGCGATTGTGTCAGCCCCAGCTTCCGGTGTATTACTTTGGTGCAATCCTGCATTGGAATGCCCACTCTCCCAAGAGTCCTCAAGATTTGATCCTGCCTTGGGATGCTCGGGTGTAAAGGGCATGGTTACCTCAGGGGAGGCAGAGCCTGCAAGGCTGCAGTGGAGATATATTACTGTATATAGTGTCTGCCCAGCACTGCCCAGATGACCTTATTGCACGCACTGGATAGCCAAGGCAACTCACCACTTTATGGAAGCACGGCAGAGTCTGTCAAGTGTCAGTTCTGCGGCGGCATTCTGGAACGGTCACAATGGGGACTAGTCAAAAGCATGAAATGTGTACCTTGATGAGCGTTGCCAGGGACTCAAGCTGCGGCACGCGCTGCTCGCTGGACATCATGATCCTGGCATGGCTGCTCTGCCACGCCTCCTCACCGCTGTCTCCTGCAATCCCTGCCAGGAATATACTAATGATATGATTCCTGATCCGTTCAAAGACTTTCTTTCACATGGCCATGCTGGCATTTCATCTCAGGGAGTCCCATTAACAAAACAGTGGCATAAATTATTCATGCATTGAGTCATCCAAAGGATACGAGGGGAGCTTTCTGTGGCGCGTTCACAAATCCATGCCGCCATCAATTTCCACAAAGTTCCATCGCACACCACCTGTTGTTTATCTGGGCATTGAGACATCAAGGAGGACACTATGAGTGCAATAGTTTATGTACCCTCATCTGCAGGGGTGGATGAAGAGGATGAAACCCTGGCAGAGCTGCGCAGGGGCCGGTAGGTGCCGTCGCGCACGAGCCGCTGCAGCGCTGGCAGCGTGGAGGGTGCCGCCTGAATAGGACAGCCAGACACACTCTGACTGCCAGCAGATCAGCATGCATTATGCATCACCGCGCAACTAAGCACATGCTCTGGCGTACCCAACCCATCACAAGGCCGTACCCGCTTGCTTGATAGCAGTATCCCCGCTGCATGAGCATTGCATAAGACACCGAGATGTATTGTCCCCCGGTCAGCGGACTCCTGATGCTGGATATGTACCACAGGGCTGTTTCTAGTGCAGAGAGTTGAGAGCCGCACCCGGTGCACGTTGTTGAGCAGGAGGGTGCCTGCGCCGAGCCATTCCAGCAGGCCGGGGCGGCTGCCGGCGCCGAACAGATCTGCGGCCAGGCCGTCCCCGGCGCGCTCGCAGTCCACGCGCGCCATCGGCTCCCGCCGGTCGCGCGAGCCAAAATGCACCAGCGCCGCCGCCTCGTCCTTCTCCAGGCCCGGCTCCCCGAAAATAAACACCGCACCCCTGCAGCAGCCGCACGCATGGCTTTGTAAAGACCGGCAGTACTGGCCACAGTTGACATCAAATTGATGTCTGTTTGCGAGGGAAAATTCAAATGGCTTTGGCGGCTTCTGAACAGCCAGGATGTTCCACCTCGGATATTCCTTCTGCCAGGCATGCAGCGGTGCCACAAGACAGCCAGCCATGCTCAGGCCATGCATCAGCCATGCTGTCATGCTGCAGGCAGATGCGGCCGCAGTTTCCAACAGAAACAGGGAGGATGGCTGGTGATAGTCACCTGGCGGGGTCGCGAGCGGCATCTAGGATGTCCTTTCTGAGGCGGGCGGCGTATTTTGAGTTTCCGACGATGCCGCGCTTAGGGCTGGCCACCAGGAACGGCCGCAGGCTCTGCCACTTTGTCGCATCATCCTGCATTACGCGCAGCAGTTCTCATGCAAGGGCAACACAAAGCCGAATGCCGATTTTTGGATATCCCCGACAAATGCAGAAGAACTGCGTGCTTGAGGAAGTGTGCGAGGAGCTCTCAGACATGCGGCAATCACATGATCAGGGAGACCAAAATAGGGAGGCTCGCTGTCAACGGCTTCGTGTCACCGGCATCTTGACATGCGCCTCATCATCACCATTTGAAACATGAGGCTCTTTATACAGCCCGATGTGATGGCAACAGAGATACGTTGTACTCCACTGCAACCTACAGCTCTCTCACTGTGTGCACATGGTATTCAGAAAATATCAAGTGACCGCGCCTGCAGCGCCTGAGTCAGCGCGCCGGTGGCGCCAAACGCGGCCTGGAAGAGCAGGAGGCTGAGGTCCGGGTGCTGCCGGGCGATCGCGCGGAAGGCCTTCTCGGGGATGCGCCAGATTGTGGCCTGCCCTCCTGCCGGCCCCACATCCTCCCCAATCCTCTGCCCCAGCAGCAGCTCGCGCAGGCCCACCACCTGCCCAGGCCCTGCAAGCAAAAATTTGAATTTGAATTCGAATTTCATAGAAAATACCAGCTGGCGGGGGGCGGTATAGACACTGAGCACCGTGCCCACGCTTCATTGAGGTCTTGTCTGGACCTGGCAAGTCCATCAAGAGGTAGGACTGTGGCAGCCTTTAACTGCAGCTTGTCTGCAGGATGTACCTTGCCTTTTGGCAGGAAAGCGTGTAATATAAATAACAAAAACATCAATCCAGGACGCTTGTGCTGCGTAAGTGCAACAGGCAGAGCAGCGAAGGGTTCCTGGCTCGCGCCTGATCAAAGAGGGCAAAGATTGGAAGTATGTAAAGGCCATCGGGGCAGGCATAGCCCAAGCCACACTTCACTGCAGGACGTGCTTTTGGCAGAGGAGTGTCTGTCTGGCCAGGTGTGCCTGGGAGCATTTGGTACAGACTGAGAGTGTGCCCAGCAAGTATGCTCAGGCTCAAGAGGCGGCGCACCTGTGTCTGATGACTGCTGTACACTGCCTTGCAGGCGCCCATCCCTGAGCAGGATGAGGTCTGTGATGCGCTGGTCTGTGCGCAGGAGCTTCTCCCCTTCAAGCACCAGCTCAACCTGGATAGCATCTGCCAGCGCCATGCATGCGGAGGCCGGCAGGCGGCAAAAGGGCTCCTGCTGCTGCAGCCATGCCGAATTCTGCTGCATGACTTTGCTCACTCTTGCTCTTGCTGAGCTGGATCCCCCATCTCTGACGGTAGTGAGGGTCTCGGATGCAGAGGCGCGCAGCTTTGTCATGGCTTTGAGACCCCTTAGAGTCTCCGTATGCCGTGGTTTTGGCAGGTTGGGCCATCTGTGACTGACCAAGGGGCCAACGTTGACTGATGGAACGTGCTGATGAAGGGTACACCCTTTCATTGAGGGAAATACAAACACTGCACCCGTTTGCATTGTTGAATCTTTCAGAACGATGTGCGTGGCTGTGTCCCATTCGGATCTACAGACGCGATCTTGGAGATCACGTATTCTTCAATGCCTGTGCACACCATGCCGAGTCAGATGGCACCTTATCTTTCAAAAGTCAAATGCTATCATTGCTCATGTCGACTAAGCAATTATAACTGTAAAAAATATATTCTTTTGCAGGTGTCGTACATATACCTCACCCATCTGTTCTGCTACAGTATGAGCCCCATGCACCAGAGAGCAAACGCAGAAATTAACGACACACAAATTCCAATTTCGAGTGGGTAGCAAAGCCTGCTTATCTGCACACGATGTACATATATTTACGCGCACGATGGCAGATTTCCCCATCAACATCTTGAGAATTTCTTGGAGACATCCTTTAGCTTCGCCTCGGGTGCCACGAATGCAAGCCCGGATACGCACGGGTACAAAGGACAGCCTCCTTCCGTTCCAACCTTGCCATCTTATTGACGAGACCGATATTCATCACAATCTTTTGAAAATCAATTTGCAAACATGGCTTCCACCACAATGTCTTCCGCTCGTATCGCCGGCGCTCGTCCCGCTGCACTCAACAAGCCTTTCTCGGCATCCCGCCCAGCGCGTGCTGTCCGTGTCGTTGCTGCTGCTCAGCAGGTGAGACTCTTTATTGAGTAAATTTGTCTATGAAGCCTTTCTAGAGTGTGTCTGGCATGGTTGATGTTCTGGGTGATACTTTCCCTATCGGTGATTGATGGATATTCCGGGTGATCATGCACAGCTTTTAATTCAGGACTCGGCCATTTGGTCACTCCCATGACCGTCCGCACTGTAGCAAACTTTACAGGGGTTGATAGGCATATGTTTTGGGGGACACCTCGCTTTTATCATAATTTTGTGTTTGGACTCACGTGTACCGAAGCTCACCAGCAAGTGTGCTACACCGGCTTGGATGGCCCATTTTTAATGTTCAGGAACTGAACAATATGCAATCTTTGTTGCATTGGTGCCGTATTGCATAAGAATCGCTCGCGTCTAGTGAAGTGCACGGCGCAGGGCTGTCGCTCTTATTTTCACCCCGAAAGTCTGGCTAATTCCTGCGCAGGAGAATCAGGGACCAAAGGATGTCGTGTTGAAGACATTCGGGGCCCTCGCCGCAGTGCAGCTGGCCCTGCTCCCGGTCGCAGGTGCGCTTTTAGCTGGCTGGTATCTAGTGAGTCCCACGGCATGAACGGCATCCTGGGTTGGGAGCCTTGTCCGGCATGCATGCTCGATCTTTTTTTATACTGCTTGCCCTTTTAAAAATATTGCAGCTATCAAGATTTCAATTATTGTAGAATCTCTGGAGGTGAATACTGACGGAAGTGATTGACATCTCGGAAGCTGCTCTTGAGATCACCGTGGGCGTGTTCCTGCAGGAAACGCGATTGCTGACATCATTCCGAACAAGGCCGAGCGCGCCGAGATCAACGAGAGGACCTCAAACCTGCCGACCTTTAGCGATGTCGGCGAGTCCCTGAAGAACAAGCTTGGCCAGAACGACCCCAAGGACATCGGCAGGGCGATCGACCGCAACACCCCAGGTATCTATGAACTTGTGTGTTTTGCATCTACCCCCTGTGCATGGTTTTCTTTTCACTTCATGGTTAAAAGTGCAAGCCCTCGATAAAGGCTGTTGTCGCTGTCTAAAAAGTGGCAGTCAAAGGTGCTGACACCGGTGGTCTGTGGTCCTTGCAGATGTGGACTTGACAAAGAACCCCAAGGACATTGGCAATGACATCAAGCGCGGCATTCAGAAGAACACCCCCAACCTGCCAGACCTGAGCGAGTTGCCCAACCTCACCAAGCAGCCCAACTTCTTCAAGGGCGAGGGCGAGGTCAACGCCACCAACGAAGTCAAAAACAAGGTGTGCACCACTCTTTGCTTACTGCGCACAATTTCTGTTATCCCTTTTAATGCTCTGCTGGAGCCTGTGATGCATTGCGCCCCTGGTCCCTACATACAGTGATCTCATTGAGCATGGACTCAAATTTATTGTCTCCAACGGGTGGATGTGCATAGCACCCAGAGAAGGTAAAATTAGACTGGCGTGGTTTGATGTTTGACTTATGTGCCGCACAGGTGAAGGATGCTGGCAGTGACATTGGCAAGGGGCTGCCCAACCTGCCCAACCTCTCAGGCAATCCTGCCGAGAAGGCTGCTAACAAGGTGAGCCCAGACTCTGACAAGTGAGTACTTATATTACTTGGAGTGCCTGTTGCATGCGATTGCAGACTTCTGGAGTCCCAGTTGTTGAATGCCCTGATCGCACGATTCCTTACCCTTGCATGGGAGGGCTCTGAATTGATGAGCCCTAGCAACGCCACACCCACTGCAAGCTGATGCTGTCTCATATATTTTTGAGTGACCATTTTGGCCTTTTGTGCAGCTTGAGGGCGCTGCCAACAAGATTGGCAACAAGGCCAAGAATGTGGCGTCTGACATCTCCGACCTTCCCAACCTGACCAAGCAGCCCAACTTCTTCAAGGGCGAGGGGGAGGTCAACGCCACCAACGAGGTCAAGAACAAGGTATGCACCACTGCTTGCTTACTGCACACAATTTCTGTTAACACTCATACGCTCTGCTGAGCCTGTGATGCATTACGCCCCTGGTCCCTACATACATTGATCTCATGAGCATGGACAAAATTCATTGTATCCAACGGTGGACGTTCATAATACCCAGAGAAGGTTAAATTAGACTGTTGGGTGGCGTGTTTTGATGTTTGACCTCTGTGCTGCACAGGTGAAGGATGCTGGCAGTGACATCGGCAAGGGGCTGCCCAACCTGCCCAACCTGCCCAATCTTTCAGGCAATCCTGCGGAGAAGGCTGCTAACAAGGTGAGCCCAGACTCTTTATATGTCAGTAGTTATATTACCTGGAGTGCCTGTTCCATGCGATTGCAGATTTCTGAAGTCCCAGTTGTTGAATGCCTATCGCACGATCCCTTACCCTTGCATGGGAGGGCTCTAAATTGATGAGCCCTAGCAACGCCACACCCTTTGCAAGCTGATGCTGTCTCATGTATTTTGTAGTGATCATCTTGGCCTCTTGTGCAGCTTGAGGGCGCTGCCAACAAGATTGGCAACAAGGCCAAGAATGTGGCGTCTGACATCTCCGACCTTCCCAACCTGACCAAGCAGCCCAACTTCTTCAAGGGCGAGGGGGAGGTCAACGCCACCAACGAGGTCAAGAACAAGGTATGCACCACCCCTTGCTTACTGCGCTATATCCATGATCTGCTTTTGTTGCTCTGCTAAGTCTGCTATGCATTGCCCCCCCGGTACACAATTTTCTGTGATCCCTAGTTGTTGCTCTGGCGAGTCTCTGATGCATTGCCCCTGTGGTGTACCCATCTACCTTTAGGTAATCTGTGGGCTGGTGGTATGAGTGCGCACTCTGTTTCGGGCAATTGGGTGGCGGGAGTCTGATTTTATATTGTGCTGCACAGGTGAAGGATGCCGGCAGTGACATCAGCAAAGGCCTGCCCAGCCTGCCCAACCTGCCCAACTTTTCTGGCAACCCTGTCGAGAAGGCTGCTGACAAGGTGATCACTCACCTCGTGCCTGCTCAGCATGTAAGCTTTTCTGCGTCTCAAATGCCTCAACTCAGCGAGATTGGATGCATGGAACCTGGTGCTTGTGCATCTTGGTGGCAGTAGTTTTGGTTCGAGCACTGCCAGTTCAGACATTGCAAGGAGCATCCTCCTGAGCAAATGGTGGTCATGTGCATAGGCCTCAGACGTGGCGAAGAAGGCCAAGAATGTGGCGTCAGACGTGTCCGACCTGCCAAACCCCTTCAAGGGAAAGGCTGACCCTCAGGCCCTTGCCAACGACGCCAAGAACAAGGTGCACATTAGAACCTTACTTGGGAAACATCTGTTGAAACCCGCTACTGCCGCTCTGTGCGTGCTGTACACTTTTGAGCTTGAGCAATCTGGCAAATTGAGCAGAACACAAAGTACTCCTTTGAGATAGTAGACCGTGTGTGTTGCACTGTTGCATAACAAAAGAAAATTGTAGGCATCTCTCCTTGTTTGCATACATATACCTGGCAGTGCTATTACCTGGAAGCTGTGCCACTGCCATTGCTGTGATCGCGCCAGCGTGCACGTGCGGACTGTGTTGAGCTGACGAGCTGCCTTGTATGATTGTTCACAGGCCAGCAGCCTGAAGAACGAGGTGGGCAAGAACATCCCAAATGTTGGTGACGCGAAGCGTGCTGTTGACAAGAACACCCCAAACCTGCCCAAGTTGGGCGGCGGGCTGCCCGGAACCAACCAGGGCAAGGGAGGACTCAACATCCCCCGTAACTCTTGAATCAGCGGTTTTGCAGATTGACTATGAATCCTGGTGATCTGGATTCTTTTGAAGGTAGACTGAGCTCAGCATGCTCCTGTGCTCAGAAGTGCCTCTGGATGGCAGGTGCTCTGTGTGTGAAAGTTTGAAGAAGGCTGGTCAGTCAGGTTAGTGAGTGTGAAGAGAGAGAGAATTTTTTAGGATCTATCTTGCAGCTGTCACGGCTCAGCCGTGACGGCTGCAATGTGGATTGTATTTGGGAGCATGCATGGATTATCCTGCGGCTGTGATCCATTTTGTGTACATTTCCGAAATTCGAAAAAAGAAAACAGTGTCTGCGGATCCGATATCAACTTATGGTTGTAAAGAAACATGCGCGAGTTGGAATGGGTGCTGCCCAAACCCACATGCTGTGTTGGCAGCAGCCCTTGAATATTTCCTGCATCCCTGCGTTTCAACATTGTCGTTTTCCAAACACATGAAGAGTCTTACATGCGCAGCTGCTCAGTGGCTTCTCAGCTTCCTGACGAGGCATCAATTGCATGTGACCCATCTGAACGGCGAAGGAAGCCACGGCTTCTTCGAACTGATAAATTTACTGCCTGATTTCTGGAAGATTCATCCTGGTACCAGTGCCGTTTACTTGCATCCGCCTTGCAATCCTGCAAGAACTTTCCATCTCTTCCTCGCTGTTGTCTTCCACAAATTGCCCCAATCAGAACCTCTACCAATGAGTTTTGGATAGAAACTACATTGAAGATCGCAAAGGGTGCAAGGCAATTTCGAGCACCTCAAGCAGGGGCTGATGGCAAAAGGGGAAGTTGACATCTGGGAGACTTACAAGCGTGACGTTGAAAAGATAACTGCGATCGTATCCCCACTTATCAGAGAGTTCGTTAAACGTATCTACGCTGCCATAAGCTGTGTTCTCGAGGTGAGCCTGGGAACCCAGTTGGGTGAAGCATCCTTGGGAGCAGCATGGAGTGTTTCACATAGGCACCTGAGTTCGCAGATCTCAGAATCCACATTCAGCCAATCCGAGGGCACTGCTTAATTTTTGCAGGAATTTGAGCCCTGGTTCAAGTGGGTCATCATGGACGCTGTCCTTGCGCTGGCCATCAGCCTCATAGCAAAGCGGGTCAAATCTCTGCGTCCAGTCTTTAGGGCAATTGGCTGGCTTTGAGGTGTGTCATCCCCTTCTACGATTCATACTGCGAGTGCAGACTTCTCAGAGAAGAGTCAGTAGAGCTCACCTGGCTCCTAGCAGGAAGTGTAAGATGTCAAGCTCTTTGCCCATGACAGGCTGACAGTGGATTGGAGGACATGGAGACAGGCATGCTGAGTCGCGAGGAGTTTGAGAGGGGCGCGCTGAGCTTTGCAGACGCATGGCAGGAGCAGGACATTGCAGTGGGGATTTGGACTTGGCAACCAGCCAGCAATGGCCTGGTGTTGTACTGACCAGTCCCTGCATGTTTTGCTGATACCCACACTTTGCACCATGGAAGCCCCCTTCACCAAGCCTTATAACAGAGTCCCAGCACGAGGAGCACTTGTGCAACTATAATCACCTGTGTTCCTACCTGTGTTTCTGCCTGCAAAATACAGTCACGCTGACAGTGTTTGGGCTAGCGTGCAGGATGCTGGGTATCTTGCTATGGAGGGCGTGCCCAAGCACGCTGCCAACGCCAGGCAGCAGGCACTCGCCTGCCTTGCTGCGGACACCGTCCTGGATGAAGAGGCTCCAGGAGCTGGAGGGGAAGCGAATGACTGCGGACTGCTTGGGACGACAGCAGGAGATGTGCACTTGTATGACTATCACATCTGCTACCATGCCTCATACTCTGTGCCTGTCCTCTTGTTCCGTGGCCGCAACCGCGCAGGTGAGAATCTACATATTGATGCCAAATATCCAAGCTGTATTGACTTCACGTCTGGTGTAGCAGTCATGCGTATGTGCCATGCCATGAGCACCCGGCATTGACAGCCCGCCCTCCTGAGCGGATTCGTATATGCAACCTTGAGAAGGGGCGGCAGAGGCTGAGCATTGTTCACACAATGATATGGTCTGACTGCAGATGGGGCCATGCTGCGCTGGGAGGATATACTGCAGGAGCTGCCGGCAGCTTCCAGGAAGCTGGCAAATGAAGAAAGCAGCCGCTGGACGTTCATTACTCAGCAGGATCACCCCGTGATGAGGCGTCCCTGGCACGCACCCCACCCATGCGAGACCGCTGCGCTGATGCGCCTGCTGCTGACAGCAGCGGACGCTGACGTCAGCCCCGGCCCTGCTAACATCAGCCAGCACACGGCAGGCCATCACCCCATGCATGGCAGCAATGGACTGCCAGATGCTGATGCAGCCCTGCAGCTGCCGATATCCATGGACACCACATGCGCCTCTCTATCAGGCCAACCTTATGGACCCAATGATTTGGTGACCAAGCATGAGGGAGATTGCAGCTCGGAAGGGGCATTGCTGGATGTTAAGGTCCAGCAAGTCTCCAGTGAGGTGGTGCCAGATGATGTCAGCGGGACTGGTGAGCGCGGTCTGCGCTATCTTAGAGCGTGGCTGAGTTTGGTGGCGCCTGCTGTGGGGCTGCCAGTGCCAATTGGCTTCTGGCAATGAGGGAGGCACCATCAGAGGTGGTTGTCACTCCCTTGAGCGGCTTTGTCTGAGACGCGCTGCTTGGCACGATTCTACTGTATGACAGTGTATTCAAATACAGATAGCACAGGTCTAGACTACACTGGAGAGCAGATTGCTGACTGGGTCCGACACAACTATACGAGCTTTGTGTCTGTACGTGACTGTACACACATGTGTACATTATCAATTTGATTTTGAGGATCATGTGTGTTCTGGTGCTAAGCGCTCTGGACAGTAGCATGATGTCGGTTTGCAATTGTTTGTAGCAAAGCATGCGTGTCTGCGGGATATGAGAGGTTGTACCACAGCGTGCAACATGCCGTTAATGTGTATTTAGATGCGAAATAAGATTCAAGCGCTTATGTGCAGTGAAATGACTGAAGGCCTGAAATTATTGCTTGCAGGCCAATGCATGTTCGAAGAACGTTTACTTTGTGCCATGCCAGGCAAGGGGGCATTGACAGGCTCGAAATATATGTACGTACACAGTAATTGCCAAAAGGGAATAAAAGAAGCAGGGCACATTCAGAGCTTCCAGGTGCTCTGCTAAGCGGGCTTCCATCTCAAAGAAAATTGCAATCCCACATATGTCATCCCATGCTTACCAGCACAAAGTCTGAACTCGCAAGCTTGCAACCCAACCTGCAGCCTCAAGCCTTGCCTCTCCTCATGAGCTGATCAGTGCTTCCACTCAGACAAACGAGCATCATCAGCTGTGCAGCATGTTTCCGGAAAACAGCCGCTGCCAACAGGAAACCAAGCAATCTACTTCCAGTGTCTGCAAAACACAGTTCAGGACAGTGAGTGCTTTCAACAGAAGCTGATGCAAATTGAAGTTTGGAGTCCCAAGGTCAAAACCAGCTGCAGCAGAAATGCTGCCTGTCCAGAGGTGAAAAGGCACACATGCATGGCTGAAACATGCATGTGTGCCGTCTCATGGCAATGAACTTGCATTGGTTGAGAGCAAACCCAGAGTCATCCAGTGTGCATTGAAAACCCACCCCTATCCGCCTTTGTGGCATATCCAAAACAAGAAAGAAAAGGCATTGCTCCCAATGCTGTCGGCCAAACACATAACATCTTGTCCCTTAAAAACAAACACACATTGCAATGCAAAGCACATTGTAAGTACATTTCCTGCTGTCACTTCCCGTGGAGTGTACCACATCCTTCATGGGTAAATACTTATTGATGCCAGTCGCAATGTCTGGGCGGAAGCTGGCCAGAGTAAAGACATGGCCAGAGCCATGAAAGCTGTGTGCCCAAAGGCGCATGTAGGCCGATGACATCAGGCGTGGGCGGTGGGCTTAGTCATCTCCACGCTGCCAGCGCTGCCCGGCTTCTCCTGCACAGTCTTGCTGGGCAGCAGCGCAGCCCTCCTGCAAACAACCCCCATAAGAATCAACTTAATGCAATGCTCAGATTCCCAGCACAAAACAACAAGCGCTCCAAGGAGAGAGTGAGCACTTCAACCTTGCCACAAACCCACACCAGTCCTCTCACTTCCCACCCTAATAGGCGCTCGTGAGAGACACGATTAACACATAACGATTAACAGAGCAAGTGAAGTGCACTGGAAAAAGCAACAGGCAAACTCTTGATCCATTCCCTCATTCTTGCCACCCCTTGCCCTCGCAGCATGCACGCCGTTTCCACACTGCACTGACCAGTTCTCAACGCAGAGGCCGGGTGACAGAGCGCTGAGTCAGCGGGTGAGTCAGCAGGGCGCTTACGTGGCGTCGGCGTGGGTAGCCGCGTGCACAGAGTAGAGCGCATAGAACGCGATCATGACGGCCACGAAGATGGCAAACTCGATCCAGGCCTCCGCGGGGATGGTGCCGAGAAGGAAGGTGTTGAGGATGATGGAGACGGAGGGCAGCCAGGGCATCAGAGGGACTGCGAAGCCGCTGGGCGTGTACTGCTGCCGGCACAGAATATTCATAGACAGCGTTGCGATGAACCTGCAGGAAGCAGCACATGACATCAGCACACTCTATCTCCAGAGCAGCGCTGGCAGCCCCATCACAATGTGATCCTTAGTGCTCCTGGGCCGGGAGATGCTTTTAGTGTTGATGCATTCTGTTCCACCCGCGCGGCAGCCCTTCCTCCCTTCCTTGGCGCTCGCTCTGTGTCTTGATGTCTGCAACCTCTCTTAGCTTATTGACACCAAATTAACACAAGGCAGCTGCATCACATGCAACAGCACATAGCCTTAGGTGCCTGCGGAATATGATGCATCACTGCAAGCAAAGGCACCCCTGCAAAATGCATGCTAATGACAGGCAAATGAGTACATCACAGAAGACCGGTCGGAAAAAAACCAGAGCAGCGCCCTCTATGTATACACCACAGTGACCAGCAACACCAGTCCTGAATGGTTGAAGGTGGTGAGCCAAGTGGAGTGGCAAGACGGGCGCGAGTGCCAAAACCCAAAATTTAGTAACAGTAGGTATGTAAGTAACAAGAGGGCACAGGATGAGTACCAGGAGATGAGGAAGACGGCCATGGGCAGCCATTCAACAAGGTCCCCGACATGCTGAGCTCCCAGCTGGTAGGAGACCGTGAAGCCGATCACAGAGATCAGGATCCAGATCTGCGCAGCACACTTCAGCCTCTCAGCGCCTGCCCTGCCATGCTGCTCTCTGGATTTTTTCCCCTTGGCAGAGGCTGATGGCTGAAGTAAATCTCCAATGCAAAGAGGAAATTCTCAAGAGCTGGGGCAATGCTCTTCACTGCAGCGTCATGAACCGGCATGTTCAGGCCCTTGCTACATTGAGTCCATCAGCAGACAAATGCAGCAAAATGCAACTCAACGCGATGACAGCACATACGAAAGAATTTCATACTTCCCATTTTCAAGCATAGGCTGTGCACCTGCAGCTGCCACCTTTCATTCAGAAGATTTTGGATACTTCGGCTGTTCAATCAAAACACACTGACTACTTTGGCTTTCCAATCCCAACATCTAACTTAACTTTGGGTTATTTGGCTTTGCAATATGAAAGCTTGACATCTTTTGGCCCTGCAACTCTGCTGTGAAGGCACAGCAAGGGAGGCCAAGAGACGAGCGGCTTTGTAGGCATTACCGGCAGTTGGCACTTCAACTCAAACTAGACACAATTTTTTTCTACGTTTCTTCAATGTATATTTAGAGTATGTGGTATGTGTTATTTTATCTATTTCATCTATTCATATATAGGGTTTAGGGACAGCAACAGCTGGCGGACCTGGTGGAGTGTGGGCAGTATCCAGTGCCCAGGGACGATGTAGCGGCGGCTGAGAGTGCCGTTCGCAACACTCCAGAACACAAACAGCGTGCAGATGGACACCAGGTTCACCAGGTCCCCAAACGCTGTGAACAGCGCAATGATGGCTGCGCGCAGGGCAAGCACACGATTGGTGAACAGTCCTGTGCTTTCTCCCTTGCCTTCTAGCTCACCATTGATAACATGCCTCAACAGCCCTGCCTAGCGTTATGGCAGCTCAAGGCAGGCGATCTCTGAGGACCTGAATCTGCAGCCTAACTCCCCCATGCTACCATCTAATGGCTGTCTCAAGCGCACAGCTGCACTAAAATTGTGTGGGATCCATAAATGCTATGCCAAGCGGTTAGCCGCAAAATTCGAACTGAATGTATAAGCCGCCATATTCTCCTGAGACATGCACATTGCTGCTGTACAACAATGCACCGAAATTGGCAAAAGCATCACAGTAAAGGTGACTCACCGGTGACTACCCCGAGCACGAGGGTGGACACCAGGGGAGTTCCCAGGGTTGGGTGAACGTAGGCAAAGAAGCTGGGCAGCATGTGGTCGCGGCCGACGGTTGTCAGCAGACGCGCAACTCCCAGAGAGCCCACCAGGACGCCCGTGACAATTCCCAGCAGTGCTCCGAGCGCAACGATGTACCTGCGTGCATGCGTGGCAGCGCCATGTCAGCATGACTCATGATGACATGGCGGGGCGCGGGGCCCAGCTCTGCATGATACGCAACGCAGGCCTAGGATTCCCAGAAAAGGGCACAAAGATCTAGTGCTGCTCCACGCTTGAAGAGACAGACTTTTGATAGGATAGTACTAGACGAGGTGTTTTAAACAAGAACTGTCATCTCTCAAACCAGTCTGTACGACTGACATTTTGTAAGCGAGTGCAAAGGCGCGTCATGAATGAGGATTGCCCTTTCAGGGTTAGCAGAAGCATAGGTGCAGGGGGAATGACTCACTTGGCCCAATCCAATCCCACGTAGGTGAACGCAGCTGAGAATCCTGCAAGTCATCCGGCCAACACACACAGCCTCAGAGCCCCTTCCAAAGCCTGCACTGAGTTTGCATGCGGTGAGCAGCGCTACGTTGCCCAAAGATCATCAAGTACTGGTCAAAGGCATGTGTGATAAGTGCACTGCGCAATCAAACATATTTAAATTTTCTAAAAAAATCCCTGAATAAGAAAAAACGAGTGGTGCCCGCAGCGGCCCGTGGCCAATTGACTCAGTGGAATCTCCTTCTTCTATGTCGCGATCTCAAGCAATCTTCATGACCCGGACTCGGGTTCTGCTTCGTTTCAATGAGATTGGCTGAAAGTTGCTCTGAACCTTGCTGCGACGTCATCACTACATCATCCTCCTCGAACCCGGCTCCAGGGGAATATGACAGAGATATTCCGGCGTGCCAAGTGATCGCAAAGGTAAATCGACCAGAGGGTCGATTGGCCAACAAGTCAATACGTCTCCAGCATGTGCTTAATCCCTTCCTCTGTCAAACTCCCTCTGTTCCTCAGTCTTCCCTAACATATTTTTGCATCTGCCTGAATATGGCAGTTGATATATACCCACTACCCAACGAACACCCAATACCCAGCAAGGATATAGTATTCATGGCACAACACCATATACTAGCCGATATTGTACCCATTATTGGAACACATGACATAGATGAGGGCGCTGAGCGCCCGCTTTCTCACATTCCGCCACTTTCCCAGTCTTACCTGACATCATTTCCACCTACCTCATCACAGCAATCTCAAATACCCAACTCCCCATAGCATCTGCATTGAGCGCAGTGAGCCCGCACCTGCGCTGGCGTCGATGTCTTGCACGGGGACCATGAGGGTGAGGGTGAGGGATGCCAGGATGTAGAAGGTGGTGACCACGACCAGCGAGCCCACAATGCCGATGGGCAGCGCCTTGGACGGCTCTTTGCACTGCGGGCCAGGAGAAACCCAGATCACATCACCCTCGTTGCAAAAGCATTGCCACAGAAGAGACTGGTAACCCATGGCATTGCTTTTCCAACTTAAGCAATGCCACAGATGGGGAGTAATACCCACGTAGAACTACCACTCGCGAAAAGGTGATAACAAACAGGGGAACTCACACAGTGGGCATCAAAGAAATACTAATGAGATAATATGTAGACGTGTTTCGTCTATTTGCAAGGCTCTGCCAGGGGTGCCCAAAGCATGGACAGAAGTGGCTGAGAGCAGGTTAGCAGGAAAGGTGAAGCGCCACGGCTCTTTCTCGCTGTCACCTTCTTCTTGATCAGGGCAATGTCCTCATTGGATGTGTCTTTGCATTAGCCCTGACAGGTTGGGCAGCAGAGGCAAACAACGGCATGGTCTGTGCAATGCAAGCTCACCTCCTCTGCAGTGGTGGCGACAGCATCGAACCCGATATAACTGAAGAACACCTGCAGATGGCACCAACAATCAGAGCCCGTTATCATTCCCAATACAAGGGCAAATTCTGAAGAAAGCCGCATCTTGCAAAGACCCTGGACACACCTTGACCTCATCCAAGAACTGCACATATACCGTGTAGGGCAAAATTCCAATGTTTTGCATGGGGGTGATATCAGGGCCGCACCAGGGCCGCTCCGTCAAAGACGCCTCGGGGTCCATCCAGCAGGAAGGGCTGCATGTTGGAGGCGTTCGCCTTGCACAGGCCCGCAATAATGATGAACGCCACCACCACCAAATGTAGCACCGTCACCACTGCACAACAGAAAAAGTACAGCAACTTCAGCGGTAGGCAGACAGCCAACAGCCGCTGGGCACTGCATGCATGAACCGGTGAATGCCCTACAAATCATGTCTTGTTCAGAAGACTGACAATGAAACTGGCGAAATTGAGAGATGTGATGCTGCTACATGCAGATACATCGTGACATATCTTGCACAATCAATATATCCTGGCAATGAGTCAGCACCCCGACTCCACTGAGTGCACCTCATATACACCTGACAAACCATAGCTTGTCTCTGGAATTACTAATGTACAGTCATGGCAGGGAGCTGACAAGTGGTGTACCAAGATTGAAGGTGGAGGACTCTCGGGTGGAGTAGCACAGCAGCGCAGTGGCTGCCAGTACCAGGCCAAAAGCCCAGAAGTCCAGGTTGAGGCTGTCATTGGGGGTGACCGCGAAAAAGCCGGAATCCTTGCCGATCAGATTGGCAAAGTAGCCCGAGAAACTCCGCGCAACAGCCGCATTTGCCAGCACGTACTCCAGAATCAGGTTGGCCACTGTAATCCTGAGAAAGGATCACATGATGTCGGTTATGTCACCGCTGATGTCAGCATAGGACTCATGACAGTTGCAGAGGTTGGACAAGCATCAGACACCTTCTGAGATCTTACACAAGAGTCACTGCCATGCGAATGAATGCACAGATCTCTGCTATGCTAGGGTGGGCGTCATCACTTCGCCACCGTGCTACTACGTTCCTGGCACAAGGGTTCGGGCATGCAGGCACACAAACTTTCATCATCAGTGATGTCAGTGAAACTAGCAGAGAGGCAAAGAGGGGCCGCACCAGCCGCAGAGCTCGCCGTAGGTCAGAGAAATGAAGGTGAAGGCGCCTCCGGCAATTGGGTAATCCACTGCGTATTCAGCATAACAGAAGGACGACAGCAACGCCGATATACCGGCAATGGCATACGAAATGATGGTTGCAGGCCTGCAGACGCACAGTATATTTTTAAGCCATTACTCAACAGCCTTCACATTGGCACAACAGCCCTGAAAAGCAGCTACCATTGTGCTCCTAACCTGAGCAACACTGGCAGAGCCTCCGGACATCACGAAAATGCTTCTTTGTGCGCGCAATATCGAGCCATCCGTTACAACTTCAGAAGAGGTCTTCCTTCTGGACACTACATATGAGCACCTGCCAGTTCTGGTGATCAAATGTCAACACACTCCACAAGGGTGATTAGCCACAAGGAGCTCAACTTAAAGCTCTCTAAGAAGTTTGACCATTTTGGGACTTCTTGTGCGCAGAGAGTTGATGGTGAGCAGCACTCACCCGGCATTGTTCTTGGCAACCTGCGCTGTGATGACAAATACTCCCGCACCCAGAATGATGCCTGCACCGCAACAGCCTGATCAGTGTCTCCATAAGAGCAAGACTCAATACACTCTTTTTGGGTTGCCTATAAATGTACTGCATGCCATGTGCAGCACTTGCCACCAGAATCAGCAACCTCAGATGCTCACACTCCTAGTGGCATGGCAAGGAAGTGCCCTGGCTCAACTGCTGATGTCGATAGTTGCTCTACGGTATTGTATAAATGCCCCATTGCATTGTTCAGAGTACCCTGGATGCGGAGGCCACCATTGTTAGTTTGAGAGGGGGGGAGGGTGGGTGGCGGCGCGCACCAACGCCGAACATGAGCAAGTCAAGGCCAGTGAGGGTGCGCTTCATCTCAGCGGCACTGCTACTGCGCTTCTCATTCACGACCTCATCGAAGGATGGCCGGTGGAATGAGCGGATTGCCAGGCGCTTGACCAGCGTTGTGGGCCACCAGCCCCTCACCACGGCCTTCAGCTCCTGGCTGTACTCCTTCCAGGAGAAAGACATCGCGGCAGCCTGCTGTCACCTGCGCGCAGCAAGCATCTGGGCAGCATGAGGAAGGCTGCTGGGAGGAGTGACCTTGTTGCCACATGTCAGCGCTGCAGCGATGGGCCCTGATGCTCGCTGGTACGAGTGAAGCGAACATTTGCGGACAGCAAGCTCCGAAACAGACCAGATCGGGAAGGCAAGCAGAAGAGGCTGCAAGGTGATGTAAGGCACCACCTGCAGCTCCTCGCCCTGTGAGAGGACTAAAAAAGTAATGAAAATACAGAGGGATCATGAAGCAGTATGTATTGTTATCAGGGTGCACTCTCTCTATTACGACACACAGCTCGTCGTCGGGGTCCACCGATAGGTCAAACATTACTGTACTCCAAATGAGTGCAAGGGAGTCCAAATCTTCACTATCAGAGAATGTGAAAATATTTTACTAGAAATTACAATGCATGATGATCGTCGGACCTGACACCCTCGCCAATTTGCGATATGCAGGTTGTTCGGGTGGTTTTTGCAAAGTGCGGTAAAATCGATCGACGCAAAAGGGTTTTCCTTCCAATCAACGCAAATGAGCCGAGTACATTGAACAGGTGGTACTGTCGGCGCACCAATGTATAGCGCTGCCGGTGAAGTGTGGTCCTGCAAATCTGTTGCTGTTCGGCTTGTGCGCCAGCTCCTTGATCGGCCTTTCGGTGGCCTCCTAGCACACACGGACAGCAGAGCGAGGAACGCTTGTACGCCGTCACTTCTTGCCTTGCTGTACCAGACTAGAAATCTTCCCGATTGCGTATTAGTGTCACATGGGTGGGCTGACAGGGAGGTCCAAGTTTGGCTCCCATTTCGAAGCCCCACATCTTGCCCACATTTGCATGCGAGGTGATACATCAGCAGTCGCTGTCTTGATTCCTGCAAGTGGTGTCTCGAAGAAATTTGATCGATCTCACATTGTGAAGAGAGCCGAAGTCCAAGAAGAAGGCACCGAAGATCCTGAGCATCGGAAACTAACGAGATTGTCTCCCTGGAACAATTGGATGTTCTTCTGTTGACCTACTGGAAGGCTCTGTGTTACAATTGAAATTTCATCACCGAAGACCGTGGGCGCGAGCTGTTTTAGCCCAAAAAGTGTATAGTGGTGAGCTGCAGATTGCACCAGGAAGAGAACATACGGCAAGCAGGCCTCGACACAAGAAGGATATACCGCCTTATCGGCCTATTTTACAGGAAAAGGCAGTATTTTGGAAAGCTTACGGAGGCTTTGTTTGTGTTTTGTTTTTATTTGGTGAGCTGATCAGCGAGGCCATCCTGATAGAGAATCGTATTGCCATCTCCTCGCCCAGTGCTCCCGATCCTGGATGCAACACTTCGGTTGAGGTGCGTTACAGTTTCTGAATCTGGTTCTCAGGACGATATGCACCTCACGGATCAGCGATAATCATGGCTTAACACAGATGGACCTCTTTGCCTCCAGGTTGCCGTGGCTGTGATTGCCTGGCATGTTCTCGTTGCTTTACGGCCTTTGGGAGTACGTATGGAGGAAAGAAGAGCTGCGTATACTCATTCTTGGGCTGGACAAGGCAGGCAAGACATCCCTGCTGGAAAATGTGAAGGTGGGGTCGTCCTCTGCCTCTTCGCAGCTAAGTGTTTAGCTTGGCCCTTCCCTCCATGTTCACTGGTCGTCTCATTGCAACCTCTGATCTTCTACTTGGTCCTCAGTGCACTCTCTTGCATTCCTCAGTCCTAGCAATCTTCCGGATATAGGCAGGAACCGACACTGACTTGCTCAGAGCATCAACCAGGCCTCGGCCGCATTCAGGGTGCCATGCTTCTCGACTGAGCATGCTCGCAGCGGACAGCAGGGGCAACAAACCTTATAATGATCAATGACCACGCCATAGTGGCATCACTACCTACCATGAAAAATGTTGGTTCCTGCAGGAGCTGTGTACGGGGTCGCCGGGGCTGGAGCCAACCTCCATAGTGCCCACTGTGGGGCTGAATGTGGGGCGGGTGGAAGCACACCATGCACAGCTGCTGTTCTGGGACCTTGGAGGCCAGGCAGGGCTGCGCTCGATTTGGGACAAGTACTTTGCTGACTCCCATGCGCTCATCTTCGTTGTGGACTCCACTCGGCCCGCCAGGTGCGCTGCGCTGGCCTGTGCTGAATCTGCACCTCTCAAGTGTGCCATCCATGAGCTGCTGCATCCGATAAGGTGCACCCTTGGACACATTCGATCACATGGGTGCACATGTGTGCCAGTATAGGCCCCTGGGTTTCTGGTGCATTAATTTACGCAACAGCCGCTCACAAGCCACCGCTTCTGGCAAGAGTCAAAGGGATATGCACTCATGTCATATACCAGTTGCCCTCGCCACCACCCAGTGCACGGACAGGACAGTTGACGCAGGTTTGAGGAGATCTGCTCAAGACTGACATGCACCCCTTTTACATCTCACGCAACATACGTTTTCCCTGCTCGTTGCAGGTTTGAGGAGGCGCGCACAGCCCTGTTTCGGGCGCTGGCAAGCAGGGAGCTGTTCGGAGTTCCGGTGCTGGTACTCGCAAACAAGCAGGACGCGGCCGACGCGCAGCCGCCGGCCGCGGTGCAGCAGATGCTCGGATTGGACGAGCTGAAGGTTCCCCTAAGAGTGCAGGAAGCTTCTGCGCTGACGGGCGAAGGCCTGCGCGACGGGCTGCAGTGGCTGGTGGCCGAGATCCGCCGCAGCGACCGGGCGGGTCTGCTGAGGCAACGCCTCTGACCGGCCGTGGCTCGCCTTGTTCTGGCGCGGCGATGCCTCCCCCGAGCGGCATATTTTTCCCCTTAGTTGGGCTGTGTACTGTTCCCAAGTGTTCTTGGGGTGTCCCGGCTGGCAAGGCATGCTCCCGTGGGCCTGGCATAAGAGCGCAACAGAACAGCAGGTGCAGAATCTGCATGTTTGTCAGTGAAGCCCCTTTGTCTAGGGATGAGCCAGGAAAAGGGGTGTGGGGAGATGGCCATGCTTGTGGCTGCCCGAAGTCTGCAGAGTGTCGCTGTCAGCTGGTTGTGGTGGTAAAAGTCAAAATAGCAGACATAACAACGGGTGTTACACGTGCTGCATGGTCGAGAACTTGGTGGACAGCCTTGAGCAGTCAAAAAAACATAGTCGAGCGGGTGTGCTTACAAGCTTGCCATTTCCCAGGGACAAGAGCGCCAATCCCAGACAGGCAAACCTTGCAACTAGAGTGACAAGGGCTGCCACTGATGATGATGATTTATGCGCGCACTACTAGGTCTTCCCAGTCTTGGTGTAATGTTAGTGTCATATGATTCCCTCTTGCAAGGTTGGGAAGCTTGAGCTAGCTTTACAAGGACAATCTGATTTTATGATGCAATTGCCCAGCCCCTCAACACTGTAACACATTGTAAATACTTGGTATAGCTGCAGGTCATCAGGCACACAAGCTTTCGACTGCAATCAGTCCCACCTTCAAATGAGTTCACATGACTTCATTAGAAGCACAAACCAGGAAATTCACAGTGCGTCGTGATCACTCAGCTCTGATGGTGATCTGTCACGTACACTCCGGTTTTGTTCCATGTAACATGTTGGCCAAACTTCGAGACAATTATTGTTATTATTATTACACGCTTTTTCGAGACAATACTGTACACATATATGTCTGATTGCATCTGTCCTGTCTCCCCAGCACCATGCAAGTGGCTCACAACCCATGGGCCAGTTACTGGCCAATTCCTGACTCCACCCATTAATATTCAGAGGATTGGCCTGTGCCATCCAAACAGTAGAGTTTCAAAATTGAGAGCCCTGTCTGAGTAATCGTAACTCAATACAGGACCACCAGACCCTCATGGTTGAAGAAGGTGCCACTCTTCTCCAGAGTGAGCCCATCAATGACCTTCAGCTGGGCTGCCACGCTTGTGGGTGTGTCCAGGGGCGGCCTGTCAATTCCCAGGGTGTCAGATGCACTCGAACCCATGTCTGTGTCCACCCATCCGGGGCACTGCGAGGTGACTGTGATGCCTTCCTTCTTCAGCTCCACTGCCAGCGCCACGCTCACTGCAAGCACGACACAGCAGCCTTCAACAGTGGAAAACCGTATTGAGGAAGAACTGCATGCATGAAGCCACGCCACAGCAGCCGTCCACATTGTGCTGAGCCCCAAACTGCATGCAAAGGGGTTCACCAGTGTCGTTTGCAAAGATCAGTGCAAAGGTAGCGCAAGGCGTTACTGAAGGATCCCGGGGCATGCGTGGCATATGATCATCAAATATGATATGATATGATATCAAAGATAAAGGAAGAGAGAGCATGAGAAGTGGCAACTCCTTTTGATCAAGCGGACAGTGCAGGGGAGATCAAAAGCAGCAACTGCATGACCAGGAGGGCACACTGCATGGGGCAGGCCAGAGGTGGAGCATTGCACTCACCTGCGTTGAGGGCTGCCTTGCTGGCGCGGTAGCCCACTTGGTTGCTGGCCATCACCAGGAGCTGCTCATTGGCCTCGGGACCCAGCATCTTGGCCTCTTCACCGATGGATCCCAGCGTCGAGGAGATATTCACGATCTACGCAGCACATGCCACAGAAGCGCTGATAATGTGCATTTCTCACCAGGATTCTAAGCAGATCAAGCCCGGTATTATCTGTCTTAGATTTCCAAAGCCGACATGAACAGTGCGGAGAAACCAGTGCATACACAGCAAGGCAACGGTGGCTTGAGATGAACTTGACAACAAGCAGCACTGCCATCGTCAAAAGGTCTGGTCCAGAAATCTGGGTACAGAGGCTACGAGGTGTCACCTGCTTCTTTGAGCCCTTCCTGATGAGGGGCAGGAAAGCCTGGGTGACAAGGAAGGGGCCGAGGGTGTTGATCATCAGAATATCCCTGAACTCCTCTTCAGTCCTGCGCCCAGCAAAGTACTCATGAAGTCATGGCAGACAATCAGCGTCACATGTATCACATGCAGTCTGAACAGAATTGCTGTAGGAACACGGAATGACTGAACAGGGTGTGATGCTTGAGGACACGCATGTCTAAGGATGCATGCATCGGTGCAATTGGATAAGGGAGACTCACTGCTCTGATGACTTGACGATGGTGCCTGAAATGCCAGCATTGTTGATCAGGACGTCCACACCGCCAGGGTGAGAATCGCTGACGGAGGCGACTGCAGCCTGTAGCATGGCAAAGAAGGTATTTTCACTGTTGCCTCCCACAGAAAGACTTGCGATGCCTCACCAGACTCCTGAAAAGGTCTTCTTCAGAAACAACACATATCACTGTAAGAAATACGCAAGTTGTAGATCATCCGGGGGGCTGACCTTGATAGTGGCTGAGTCTGCCACGTCCAGGGTAACCAGAGTCAGTGCATCGCCATACTTGGCTGCCAGCGAAGTGAGGCCTTTGGCCTTCTGTGGATTCCGAGCTGCGGCGATGACCTTGTGGCCTCGTTGCAAAAGCTGCAGTACAAATAACACACAAGTTGTCATACATAAGTCCCTGGAAAACTGACGATATAGTACGTTGTACAGTGTCGGATGTATAAATCACCAGAGCACGATCTACTGGATATTGCGTCCCTCACAAATTCAACCACGAAGGTGTAATCATTCAAATAACTACAGCATAAGCGTATAGTATATTATTGGCACAGGCGAGGCACACACCTGGGAGACATACTCCAAGCCAATGCCGCGTGAGGCCCCGGTGACGACGTAGACGAGCTGCTGGTCGGAAACGGCCATCTTTGATGCGTATGTTCGTGAATGTGCGATCTGGAAGTAAAAATGTGAGTTTTGCACAGTGCTGAGCTTCCAGATCTTATATTCAATCCCATTACGCTAGGACATCTTTACGAGGACGTATTACTCAATCGCAGCTTCCTTCAAAGTTCCCTCAGCTTCCCACCAAACCAATATTTTCGGGTTTCAAACTCTTCCTTAAGTCCTAGAAGTGACACAAATTGTGTGCCGAAGACATCAAAAGTCCCAGTAGACTCTGGCAGAGTCACTCGGCAGAGTCACTCTGCATTGCAATGCATGCATGCAATACATCTTCGCGCGCGCTTGCAGGTTTGTGATGGTGAAGCTGTGCTTGCTTAGACTGCATGCACTGCAGTGGCACCGCGTCGGTGGCATTGTGCAATTACACCGTGTGGGCGAGTTCAAGACGTCAGAAACTGGCTGATAGCTATGATCATGATATATCATATGATAGTCCATCTGGCATTATTTTGCTGTTAATAAGACGCCAACATCTCATTCCTGCCATAGGTTCAACAACTTGCCTTGGTGGCTTCTGAAGAGAAACCTTGATTAAGGGTAATTTAATTGAATGTGCCATTGAATGTGGTGGACTCCACATCATCTCTGCGCAGCCCGGCACCACAGAAAATATTTATGGACTTCTTTGAAGGGCTGCCTCTCAACTGGGCACCGTGCTACAAAGAATGCGCTGGTGCCTTGAACAGGAGCATTACATGCAATGTGTCATGATGACGACTGTGGTCAGCATGCATAAAGTTCTGGCTATGTAAGGGGATGGCAGGACATGCACACTGACCGCCAAACGGCCGCTGTGGCAAAGACTACCAAATCAAGCTTTGACTTGGTCTTACGCATGCTGGTGCTCATGTGCAGCTGTCCTGGTATGGAACGTGCAGATCGCAGAAAAATGTTGTCCGATAAGCCCAATAACACGGCGAAAGAGAGCGATTGCAATGCTTTCTTACAGGACGGCTCATTGTGCGTTGAGTGCGTATGCTGTCAGTGTCAACAGATGGCCTGCACCTTGTGAGTCAATTGCATTCAAAGTCACTTACTCTTCAACCCTAGTACTTGTCAGATGGAACAGCTCCTGCGATGTTGTCAATATTAGTGAAGCCCCTTTTGAGCACACCAGATTAGCTGGCAGGTACCAGTCTTGATACACTTCCAAAACAATGGCAAAACTGTCCCGGCCATTCAGATCGGCCAGTTACAGAATAATTCATCGACTCCACTATGTCATTGATGTGCTTGACCTCAGTACGGCAACACCTTGCCCTCGTGGCTGAAGAAGGTGCCAGTCTTCTCCAGTTTGAGCCCATCAATGACCTTCAGCTGGGCTGCCACACTGGTGGGGGTGTCCAGGGGAGGCCGCTCAATGCCCACTGAGACACTCGCGGTTGTTCCCATGTCTGTGGCCACCCATCCAGGGCACATGGAAACCACTGTCACTCCCTCTGCCTCCAAATCCACTGCCAGGGAGACAGTCACTGCACAGAGAACCAAGATTAACTGTCAGAGAGAGCACTGTACATGCATGCAAGCGACACACTCGCTGCAAGCAGTGGTCAATTGAAATTTAGAGAAAGAGCATTATGCCCAAACGTGTCAAGGTCACCTCACAAAGGAGTTCGGCAGGAGTGCAGCAGGAAAGCTTACCTGCATTGAGGGCTGCTTTGCTGGCCCGGTAGGCCACTGCCTTCCTGGCCATTGAGCCGGGCTCAGCGCCCCCATGGATAGACTCTGCTTGGATGCCGATGGAGCCCATGGTTGAAGATATGCTCACGATCTGTGCAGCAGACACAGAACTTCAAACAGGTATATTCCCTGAGCCCTGCCTGGAAAAGAAAGTGCTGAGAAACTTTCATTAGTGCTTACCATACATGCAAACAGATGCATGCGGAAGCTGCCCCGGCAGGTGTGACGAATCAGGTCTACCAAGGATGTAGTAGAGACACTTGCAAAGTATTGACTGCAATCTATGTCCAAGAATGTCACCTGCTTCTTGTTGCCCTTCTTGATGAGGGGCAGGAGTGCTTTGATGACCTGGAAGGGAGCCACGGTGTTGATCATCAGAATGTCCTTGAACTCCTCTTCGTCCCTGCAAACGGGCAACTTGCTCGATGAACAATTCTCCGTGACTCTTCTGCACCACTGGAAGGATGGGAATCTGACAGCATGGATGTCGAAGCAATTTGGCTCGGGACGCTAAACCAGCAAGGTCTGTGAAGGAGCAAGAAGCACTCACTGCTCTGAGGACTGACAAGGGGTGCCGAAGATGCCAGCGTTGTTGATGAGGACATCAATTCCACTCGGGTGTGCTCTGGCAATGGACGCAGCTGCAGCCTATTGCAAGGCAGACAAGGGAGGATGTCGGCTTGAAAGCAAGTGCTGGGATCTGCTGTCCAAAGGTTCTGAGGCTTGATGGAAGCTCTGAGAATTTTCTTGAGCACCAAATTAGAAGAATGTGATGGAGAACGACCTTTATGGAGGCTGAGTCTGAGACGTCCAGGGTGACAAGAGTCAGCGCATCGCCATGTGCTGCTGCCAATTTCGCCAGGCCTGGGGCCTTTTCTGGGGTGCGCACTGCGGCCGCCACCCGCTGACCTCGTTGAAGAAGCTGCGATTAATTGAAGAATTTTCAGATGCGAGGTTTTCACATCCCAATCGAAGAGGGTCAGTCCTCATTCACCCCAGATTGCAGCCTTACAGATGGCCGCCTTCCGAAAGCAGTGGATGTCAACGAAACAATTCTAATTTCCAAAGAGGTTTGGATAAGAGGAGGTGGACTTCTTAGTTTTCAGCAGCGATGAAAGTGCTTACCTGGGAGACATACTCCAAGCCGATGCCACGAGATGCGCCGGTGACGACGTAGACGAGCTGCTCATCATTGACTGTCATTGTTCCTTCACTGGAAGACTGATCGTGATGGTGCCAAAAGCGAGTATTTGGATGCAAATTGTGCAAGGTTCGGGGTTTAATGCAGGGAGCATTACGTCCAAGGTGCTTTACAAGGCTGCATTACCCATGGCAGCTTCCTTCAGAACGGAAGCGGATGCCGTAAAGCTGGAACATCCCCAAAATATCTGCATGGATGTCTGTCCTGCAATTTTGCAGTCCTTCTGGCAGTTGACACATTGTTGCGTGCGGGCATACATATTATTGAGTATTCACAGATTGCGTGCTACTGGTTGGTTGAGCTATGTGGGACTTTTAATTAGCCCTGTGTGCCAGTGGCTGGAAAAAGTAGTCACTACTTTTACTACGGTAGTACCCTACAGTGTACTAGCTGGTGTAGTCTCTAGTAATCTCTCTCTCTCTCTCTTTCTCTCTCTCTCAATGACGATTAGTGGCAAAGATTGGGGGAGACATTTGAATTGTCGTGGTCTCTCCTGAGTGCATTTTATGGGCACTCTTTTGGACACAGGTTCAACCCGCGGCCGGCCGGCTGGAGCCGTCAGGCACTTCAAGTTGAGTACTACAGCAGTACTGTACCACTAGTGACTATAGCTTCCTGATATCATCTGAAGGTATCTGTAGCTAGCTGGTATTTGCTAGCCTGAATGACCTCTTGCATGCAGGAAACAAATGAAAAGAGCCTGAGAGATGAGCCAGTGAGAGACATGCCATGCAAGGCATGTCAGTACAGCGCCACATAGGCTCTTAATCATACTCTGACAGACTATGGTTGATTTCCATATTTCTTTCTGGTTCATAGTCTGAAATTCAGACCTCCCCGGGTTCGCCGCCAAGACGCTAATGGGAATCTGGCTAGAGTCGACGAAATTGTCATCAAACATCATGTTCACATGATGCTCAACACATCTGCCCCATCCAAGATCACTGCATGATCAGCAGCCCCTGAGATTGCTTCAACGCCTATGCATGCCCGACTTGCTGGGAGCTCCAGCCAGCACCCCTTGCTGAGGCGCCCTTAGCGCTGCCGCGGCCGCAGGGATTCAATTAAGTTGGCAGGGCCTCAGGATATTTTCAGGGGCCCATAGGGTACTTTTTGGCCACTCTGGAATAGCCCGGAGACTTTCCGCCTACCTAGCTCTTCTGGGCACAGGATTGCTCAAACGCTCTGGCAAAAATTTCCATACTAAGGGCGGGCCAGAAGTTTTCCCAGGACCCAGAAGCCTCGGGCCAGACCCAGGCGGATTCCTGAATCTCCCTGGGCTGTCAAGAGTGCCTCAGAAGGGCACCACCTTGCCCTGGTGGTTGTAGAAGGAGCCAGTCTGCTCCAGAGTCAGCCCATCAACCACCTTCAGCATGCCAGCTATGCTGGTGGGTGCGTCCAGGGTCGGCCCTGGAATGTTCATGGCTGCAGCGCTGCCGGCTCCCATGTCTGTGGCCACCCAGCCGGGGCAAATGGAGATCACTGTGATGCCCTCGCCGTGCAGATCCAACGCCAACGACGCAGTCTCTGCAGAACATTATTATTATTTTTTATTACACGCCTTTCCTGCCAGAAGCAAGGTACGTCTGCAGACAAGCTGCAGTAAAGGCTGCCAAAATCCTACCCCTTGTTGGACTCGCCAGATCCAAGCAAGACCCAATCAACCGTGGGCACGGTGCTCAGTATTTATACCGCCCCCCGCCAGCCGGGGCCCAGAACATGCAGACCAGAAATAGCAGTGCAGAACAGTTGACTGGAAATTGGCTGCAGCAATCCCTTGCTGGTTCAAAAATTGTTGGTGCACATGGGTGTCTTGGCTGCTGAAAAAAAATGCAGGCGCTGCAGTTGCAACCAGGATATTATGAAAGAGGTTGGTGATGGTGAGCTTGCTGGCCGTGTAATATTCCTGCTGATTGACAAGCAGTGGTGTGCAAGGTTACCTCAGCTGCCGAGCAACTAAACAGAAGGGCTCCAGAGCAAGGTCCCTCGTTGCAGGAATGAATTATGACAGTAGTAAGATCAGGGACGAGACGCATACCCATGTTGAGCGCTGACTTGCTGGCCCGGTATCCAAGCTGCATCTTGGACATCGGGTTCAAGCCCTCCTTGAGGTAATTCAGAGCACTGCTGATAGAGCCCATTGTTGAAGAGATGTTGACGATCTGCACAGATGGCACAGCAGATGACCACAATGCGCGTCAAAGAACCAACATTCCATGTTTCTTGGATTTGGAAGCACATCATAATGCGGATCGTGGTGCGCTGTACCTGCTTCTTTGAGCCCTTCCTTATTTGGGGCAGGAGGTTCTGAGTGACCAGAAATGGCCCTACGACATTGGTTATTAAGATGTCTTTCAGCTCTCCGCCATCACTGCATGCAGCACAGCACTTTTGAGAGTGCTTGTACCATGCGTAGTTCTCTTGCTTGCCACTCCAAAGCCGCACCCACAAATCGTGCAGATTGTGCGGTGCCATGCATACTGCACAAGTGATGCTTGCTATTTCATGTACAAAAAGGAGACACATTGGGAAATGTACTGTGACTTACTGCTCTGATGAACGGGTGTAGCTGCCCAGGATGCCAGCGTTGTTTATGAGGACATCAACCCCGCCAGGGTGTGCTTCTGCGATGGACTTTGCTGCAGCCTGCCACACAGTGGCCATCAGTATATTCAGTGGCAGCAGGAGCTGCACTAATTTGGGACAGATTTCATGGTCAATTGGAGAGATTGTGGTCTCCAGTTACCTCGATGGAGCTTGGGTCTGAAACATCAAGCGTGACCAGCGTCAGAGCAGAGCCATACTTTGATGCCAGTGACTCCAAGCCTGAAGACTTGCTAGGACTGCGTGCCGCAGCCACAACGCGGTGGCCCTTGTGCAGAAGCTGCAGATGCAGGAAATTCTGGTCACGATGCCTGCACGGTAATTCTATTGACAGGTGGTCACAGTTGGTCACTGCACCACTCAAACAAGCCATGAAATTTAGAGGTATCCACGTCTGATGGAAGGATGTTCAGAAGACAACAAGGGATTGAGCATGCAGCTTAGATCACTTGTGCACATCGTGCAAATGAAGTTGGCTTCAATGCTGCAAGAGTAAGATGGTTGGCTTTAGATTCAACCTGTGTAACAAATTCGAGGCCAAGGCCTCGAGAAGCGCCAGTGACAACGTAGAGGAGATCCTTATCGGCCATGGTCGTGGTGTATCGCAGATTGCTTCGCGGGATACAGGGCAATTGTCTCGAAGTTCCGCCCACTCAATTCCCAAGACGCTCCCACTCAATTCCGAAGACGATATCCTAGGTCTTTAACGTGAATTTAAATTAAATGTGGACAATGAACCTCTAAATTTCAAGCATTTCGTAGGTGTTACGTCACTGGAGTGGGGGCAGCTTCTCGGGATCCGGCAGCTGCTGCAATGGAAGAAGGAGGTCAACAAGAACGTATATCAGCAGCCCATTTGTATAATATAGATCCAATGATCTAGCTCTACTGCATTATGTGGGACTATTCTGACGATGAATGCGAGTCCGAGGTGTGCGAGGAGTATCCCCCTGACCAGCCAGAGGAAAGGGAGGTGCATACTGTTTCAAACGGTTCATGTGATTTGATCCACGCATGCCAGTACAGCTGCTGCTGGAATAAGTTCTGGTGCAGCTTCGATGTAACGACGCCACAACTGAACTGGAGAAGCACCGAAAACTCTTTCGGTACTGCCCCAGATCTGCCACCAGGTGTGACTGTCAAGGTGCGCCCTTGCAGGATATCCTCCAGCGAAAGGATTCTGATCCAGTCATTGTTCCACCTGATATTTTTCGTATCCAAGGTATTCTGAGTCGTTCCACAGATCGTGGCGAATCCTCACTTGCTCCAACGTGCCCTTGACAACCTTCTGGAAAGGTCTCCTGACAAAGTATTCGCCCTAGGTGAGTGGCATGCAGCTTCACACTGACTTCTGTTGCAGGTTTACGTGTATGCACAGGACTCGCATGCACTCTTGGTTGCAATCGCCACCAGATCATTGCCCAAGTTCTCACCTCCAGGAAAAGCTGTGTGCTTTTGCAGACTGCGAGTGGCGGCCAAGCTACAGAAGAGGGGAGAGGAACCCGGTGGCTCTGCTGACAATAGCATCACAACACCATGTGACCCTCATCCGGCTGTGCCGCATGTATTTCAGAGATGGCTTGCTCCCAGCCACCCTCATGGACTTCCTTTGTGATGGGGGATGCCACTTCCTGGGCAGCGGCTGGAGCTCTGACAGCTCGGCATTGGAATACTCGTATGGTGTACCCAAGGAGGTACGCCTGGCGCCTAAGCTGCATCATTTGCAGATCACAACCCAACTTCTCCGTGATACTCCCAGCATTAGGTCAGTCATTACAACTTTGCCAGCACCCATTCTGCGCAGCAGGCATGACCTTGAAGCCTTACAAAGCTCTTCTCCTTGCCGCTGCGAGCCTTCCAAATTCGTTGTCTGCGATTATCATGCCCCTGGCAGATGTGCAGTCTTTGCGCAGTCCCTTTCAGGCATCTGTAAGAGCACGACAAAGCCCTAGGGGGCGGAAGGTCCATTCAAAGCAATGAATAGTGATACATACTGAGTGTTTGCTGGGTGCACAGACCTGGCAAGGATTGCTGGACATTCAGGCAGTGTCAAAAAGCATCAACCCACAGCTGCGAGTGGGCCTGCAAAGTATGGTGCAGCACTATCTGGGCTTCAGGCCGCCCAAGAGCAGTATAATCACAATGGGGGACTGGGAGGCCCAGTGGCTGTCAGACGCGCAGATCAACTATGCTGCGCTGGATGCACTGTATGTCGGGGAAATTTTCCGAGAAATGCGGGGGATGCACAGCAATTCTCAGTGATTGACAAGTCTTCTGCCATGCGAGGGAGATCCCTGGTGCTTCTGTCCAGCATGTTGCCTCACAGTACACTGGAGTCCTGGCCCAGAAACATTTTGGGCTCTTTGAGCATTCTGGGGTGTGCTTACCGTCTTGTGACATCAATTGAAGTATTGCATCTGGATGATAATTGGTTTGTCAACGCTTGCAGAACTTCTCTCCAGTTGGAAAGTGCCAAAGCACTGCCTTCAAGGATTCTTCTTTGATGTTGTGGCATTCTTGGCTCATGTACTTTTGCGGTTGGTGAAAGGCAGCTCTGGAAGGTGGCATTGCTCTGATACGACTGGTTGAACTCATCGCCTGAGAATTCATCCCACAATACCGGTGCCATTGCATATGTTCTGAATAATTAGCTTTTGCCTCCAAGGAATTTCTTTGAACTAGAGTGCTCCTCACAGATGCGGTTAATTACAGAATTGTCAGTCTCTGCTCTCAGTTTCCTGTGATTGCTGTTGTATTGAGATCCTCAGCCCCTCATTTTGCAGCTCGAATTGGATTTGGGCAGGCCATATCTCACCGCCCCCAATTTCATAGGTGCTCCGCTAGATTGGGCGGACTAATGAAGCATTCGCACTTGTCTTTGTCACGCAGAAACTATTTGCATGCATTGGGAGCTATAGCGCTAAAGCTTGCTTGGTGTGCAGACGTGGCGCCGTGTGATAGACATACAGCATTTGTCGCGAGCATTGAATTCTGAAGTTTTTTGGGCCTGAGGGACATGGATTAGTGCAATGTGAGAGCAGTATCAATCAAAGTCCAGCTCAAGAGCATCTGGGCCTGTCAAGCAGATTTGAGCGCTGGTCTTGTGCAGGTTTGGGGCAAGGTGTCTGCAATGCTCGCCAGTGTGTTGCACCTTATCAAGATAGTATCTGATAGAGTTGAAGAATTGCCATAGCTGGAGAGATCAAGCCAGTCATACAGAGTGTCCCACCGTGGCTGAATATCTTTGAAGGTTTGCAGAAGGGGGCCTGACTCAGGCTGAAGACCTCCTGACTTGCAAGTCTGTATTCATGAGATGTTGAGAGCGTCAAATCACCAGGCAAATGCCTGTGCACAGAGTAGGTCCGATAGGGGGAAAAACTTTGACTGCTGCAACGTTGTGAACAAATTTGTACCGTAGACGGTATGTACAATGCCTCAGAGTATGCATATGGGGCCCAAGCGGGGCACTGCGCGGCAGTCGCAGTCGCAGCTGCATCAGCCTGGGCTCTAACATCGTTGCATCTTCGACAGTCATCATGGTGATCATGATCATTACTAATAGTATGATCATACAATATCATATCATGACTCATATGCATCGGATGCATGTGGAGCCACGAAAGTGTACCATGAACCTGCAGTACCATGAACAGCTGTGCTGCCATAGTCATGACGCTTGTGCTCTAAGGGATGGAAAGCTCAGACTGCTTCAATTGAAACCACAGTTCTCGAGGAAAGTTGGAAATTTCAACTTGAAAACCTCCCTTCACATACAGCAGCTTCTTCAGCAGCTGCCCCACGAGGTGCCTAATTTGACGCCCACATGGCCGTGCTGTGCTGCGCTGCCCTGTTTTGACCAGAACTCTTGGACCAAGTATGTCGCTTCTTATCGCTGTTCACTAGCATCGACTGTCCCCAATTTCTTGAGAAAAAAAACAATTTGAACGATGTGGGGCCAAAATACCTATTACGACAGTGATAGCAGCTCCGATGGGTATACTGACCAAGACGAGGTCACTGACCCATATGATCCAAGCGACATGACATCATGCTGCTATCACACTTGTGGCTGGAATGACGAATGGTGCAATTTTGATGTCACAAAGCCGCAACTGAACTGGTCGAGGACCGCTAATTCCAGCTCTGCAGACCCAGTCCTGCCACCGGGCGTGACGCGAAAAGTACGCATGAGCTGCTATTGTTTGAAGAAAAACAAGTAATTGACGACTTCAACTGTGCGCGCATGCACCTATGTACTCAAATACTTGTGGCATTTTGCGTCGTGCAAGCGGTGTTGTCCTTTTTTTCCTGAACAGATCGTGGCGAATCCACACAACATCGGAAGCGCTCTCGATTACTTATGCGAAGATTGCGAAGACAACGTCTTTGCTCTCGGTGAGCCAAATTCCTGCTCGTGGGGCGTTGCACCAGTCTCCCTCTGCGCAACAGAGAACCAACATGCACAGCTGTGTCCTTTTGAGCGAAGATGGCCAGACCACATCTCACGAACAGAAGTACATTTAGCATGTGCTTGCAGACTGTGAATGGCGGCCCAACACTGTCAGGGGAGAGCGCAACAGAGTGGCCTTGCTCACCATTGCGACACCGGATCGCGTGTTGCTTCTGAGGCTGTGCCGTATGCACCTGGATGGCGATGTACTACCCGACGTCCTGTTGGACTTTCTGGAGGACGAGGGCAACCACTTCCTGGGCAATGGCTGGACCTCTGACAGCTCTGCGCTGGAGTTCTCCTATGATATCCAGAGAGGGGTGTGTCCCTTCTGCTGTACAGCTGGGCGCTCTGAGTTGCACCTCACGCCCAACACACCCCTGCGCGCAGGTCATATTGAGCATGTTCTGCAACCTGCATATGCCAGTGGCGCCTCCAAACTTTGCAGTGTGCATCTTTGGATCAATTTCATTTTGCGAATACAGTGACAGGCAGCCAACCTTGTTGCCCTGCACTAATACTTGCTCAGCAAGCCTCGACGAATGCACACCACCATCTTGCTTGCAGTGGGCTGCTGAAAATTAGCAGCATGGCTCCGGGGAATGAGAACAGCAGGGGCAACAAGACACAATGGCCCTGCAGATTGCAGCGCTGTTCCTCTAACGGCCTGTTGCGCATGCACAGACATGGAACCGCTTGATTGACATCCAGCACATCGCGCGGCAGATGAACGACGAGATGCGCGTGGGCCTGAAGCAGACAGTGCGGCACTACCTGGGCTTCTATCCCCCCAAGGGCCCCCAGATAACGCTGGGGGACTGGGAGGCATTCCGGCTGTCAGAGGCCCAGATCAACTATGCAGCGCTGGATGCGCTGTATGTGGGAGAAGTGTTCCGGAGAATGAGGGCCATCCACTGTGATCATCCCTGGGGATGAGTTTGGTACAAGCAGAAACAAATCCACCAAGGTTTTGGCAGGAGTTTGTGTTCTCCTTACCTGCGTCATCGAGCTGGAAATCTTTTCAATGTACATCATCTGAGGTCATGTTTGTGCCGGCTGGCAGATATCCACGGGCAGAGTTGCATGCCATGCAGTGCACAATCTCGGCTGTATTGCTAATATTTTCTATGTTCCTTCTGATGCGTGTCGGCAAAATACTTTTGGCGATCAAGCAGTGGCTAGGTAGCTATATCACACAGCTACTGACGCTATATGAATAGAGTCACTGAGGGCGAGTAAGAGCTCAAGTCTGGGAATTGTTCTGCATTTCAAGGTTGCCGCAAGCGGCTGAATTGCATGTGAACCCTCTCCCAGTGGGTGTTGGCACTCGAAATGCCATCTGGCGGTTGTACCAGCATGGGACCATGCGGACAAGAAAATTATATGTTCTGGGTAATGTCCCATCTGACAGGCTGATGGGACTGGCGAGCATCATGATGATGCTGTGAGGCAGTAGACGTACAGGCCTTGCGAGGCACTCGCAACAGGGATGAAAGCTTATTGAGCATGCAGCTGCAACTTGTGCAGCTGAAAAGTTGAGCATGGATTGAATTGTTGCTGTGGACGTTTTGCAATTTGCTGGATCTCTGGCTTCGCATGCAGAAATCACTTCTGAAGTCTGGGCCAGAGTCTGAGAAGTGCCTCTTGCACTCACTGCTGCACTAGCAGTGCACTAGTTGCTGGACCTCAGTCTGCAGGTTACTTGCAGCTGCGATGAATGTTTTGCACTTGCAAAGTTTAAATCCATGCTGGGTCGCACTGTACAAAAACTTGCTGCCAGAAAACTGGAGCCAAGTTTGGCTCTGGGCCTACGTAGTCAGCCCCTGGGTGACTCATTGAGCTTCCACCAAATTCTTGCTTCCCTCCGATAATTTCAACAGAAAGCAGGGCCCCCAAGTGTGTTGAGGGCCATGGAGGGGCCTCACGGACGTTAGAATCCGAGAAGGTGTCGGGCAATGCGTTTCTTGGGCAACGGCAGCGAACAAGAGGAAATGTTGTGCATGGAGAAACAAATGGTCTATGGCGATCCTACCGCTCAAAGCGACGCTTCGAGCGACGATATGACAGCTTACGATCTGTCTCATACATCATCAGCCCGGAGGGAGTGCAAGTGGTACTCATTCACCATCACGAGACCACAGCTACAATGGTCACCTACAGAACGATCTGACGAAAATTTTCCAGCCATACCGGATGGTGTTACGTGCGAGGTAAAATGTCGATGCTTATATCCATCAAATATATTTATTTGATCACAGTCGGGTTATACAGATAGATTGTTAGGGTTGAGACAGAGAAGCGATCAGCGCCATATTTGCCAGGATCTGTGTGCCTGTGGTCGGGGTGCAGATCGTGGCAAATCCCTCCAGGGTTGGTGCGGCGTTGAGGAGGCTGTACAACACATCACAGGACAAGGTCTTCGCGCTAGGTGAGGACGAAATGTCTTACCGCTCTTTCCAGGTCAACGAAATGCGAGCACACTGCCTCGCCATAATACCCACGTTCTGATACCAAATCTTGTCTTTCTTGACACAACAGTGAAGCATCCATATAAATGACTACCCGTATGTACCTGTTGAACCTGCACTGGCCATGTTGTGGTGAAGACAAGTGTTTCCTGCCACTGCAGACTGTGAGTGGGTACCCAACCTGAAGCACGGCGAGCGACATCCGGTGGCCCTGCTCACCATAGCTTCAGCCAGTCACGTCGTGCTGCTGCGGCTGTGCAAAATGAGGCTGGGAGGGAAGCTGCCCGATGATCTGATGGAATTCCTGGAACACCCAGATATGCAGTTCTTGGGCACAGGCTGGGCCTCAGATGTTCGCGAGTTGGAGTATTCTTATGGCATCCCCAGCAAGGTGAGCCGCCCTTACAGATAAGAGGTGCAATGGCAAGATTGTCATACTATGCGCCTGGATGTATGTGTAAGGGCAGTGCAGTACAGCTTTTGCGTGGACATCAGATATATGCTGATGATGCTTCTGAGTGTCATGCATGTCTGAAGCACCCACCAGATGGCTGTGTATTGATTGCCCTGCCTTCTACTGCCACAGCTCACCATCTTCAAATTCGCAATTGCACTCAGCCAGCCCTGTTTTTGCATCCCTGCATCGGATGGCATGTCGCAGATTGCCCCTTCTAGAGATCAGCTCCTGCCTTGTAGTCAAGTTACACATGCCCCCCCACAGACCTTCCCACCCTCTGTGAAGACACAAGTTTATTTAATCTGTTGCGCATGTGTGCAGACGTGGGACGGGCTGGTGGATCTACAGAAGGTGGTGCGGGAGATGTTCCCAGGGCAGGACCAGCGAATCGGGCTGAAGCACCTGGTCTGGCAGTTCCTGGGCTTCTGGCCGCCCAAGGGGTGCGCCATTACTCTGGGGGACTGGGAGGCACAGTGGCTGACGCGCGCGCAGATCAACTACGCCATGCTGGATGCGCTGTATGTCGGCGAGATCTTCCGCTGCATGCGCTGCCTCCAGGTTTGACTCCCATACTTCTCCTTTCTTTTTTTTTTTCCCTGTTTCTTTTTTTGGGCATGTCCTCCACCACAGCACCTGGCCCAATACTGCATTGCCTGCACAGATGACCTCTGTTGAGCCCCAGTAGTGTCAACTGCACTTTGTGGGCATATTATCCAGTACGCTCTGCTTGTGCACTGGCAGGCATCATGGTATGCATGCTTCGTGATATCTGCTTGTATCAACGAGATGGCTGAAAGATGCAGCGGTATCTCTGCAGGAGCAGTGGCAGGCGGAGGAGTGGCACATGCGCTGCATGCAGGGTGGCTGGTACGCGCACGTGGGGCAGATCGCCGAGGCTGCAGCGCCCGAGGAGGGGGAAGCATTTGCCGAGCAGGATACGGCCGGCGCCGAGGAGGCAGAGTGGGACTATGAGGAGCAGCTTGCAGCGCAGGAAGAGTGGGAGGCCGAGCAGCAGGAGCTGGCAACGCGCATGCAAGGCTGCTCGGTGTACTGAATATCGTGTACTGCACTGCGTTGCTCTGGCGCCGTTGCGGCGTAGGATCTGCGCTTGAGCGCTGGTGTCTCATGTTGTGTCAGCGGAGTTGGGCGTTGCACACCCTGTGAGCGCCTTGTATGTATTTTACTGTCGGGCAGCGGCGGGGCATTGGGGGATGCCTGGTTGCTGGTTCTTGTTGGGTCTTGAGGGCCTGTTGTTCAATAACTCAGATCAGCTGCATACGGACAGTGTACAGAAGACAGTTGGCACAATAAACGTCGAGCGAGTGCGCTGAGATTGTGATGATTCGGCATCAGAGTCCCTGAGAGTGAAGTTGTTTCAGACAGATTGTGAGTGTGGTTAAGGTGGGTCTGCCCAGAGTGTGTACGTGATTGTTTCAACCAATGATATAACAATATCCACCAGTACTGGGATATTTTGAGCACGCCCAGGCTGGAACAACATCATCTTAGGTGGCATCACAAATCATTTGTAACATGCGAAAACATATAGAGCCCAATCAGTATACCCACAGGTATAGTGCAGCACCAGCCAACAATGGTGAATGATATGTGACATGATATCGAGCAAGTCATTTCCAGATCTAAGCTAAAATCAACACAACAGCTGCGAAGGTTTAAACAGGCAACATCACACAAGGCAGCTGAGCTACGTAGTAGCTCAAGTTCATTGCAGACCAAGACCAGACACTTGATGGACAACCCCGACTGCCACCCGGCACAGATGGATGCACAGCGCCTCAAACAATAGCGACAGTATGAAGTATTGTATGTTTGTTTTAGAGGTGCAAATATGGGATGCACCAATCCTCTCATGCTCAGTCCTGCACAACCATCCGTGACACCCAGCAAAAGCTCTTCACGTTGGACTATTGGCAAGCACTCATTCGTACTGTACGAATCGTACATGCAGTTGACTTCATGACCTCTGCTGCTTGCAGAATTCCTCATCCACACTCCAAGCCAAGCAAATGATTTGCTTGCAGGAGCCGCCTGAGAAACCCTCTTGCAGCACATCTCCTTCCTCCCTTCAGCTGCACATGCATTCCAGCGAAATTTCGCAGCACAGCGTGCAGGAAGCTTCCGGGTAGCTTCAGGCAAACGACTGGCAGCTTCCGCCTAGCCGGCAACGGCGCCCGCCACGGCGAGGCTCTGCAGCGCGGCCAGGCTCTCATACGTGGCGGAGCTGCGCAGCGCCACATCAGCGCCGCCGCTGATGTCATCGTCTGATGATGTGGCGGCCGCCACTGGATTGTCCCAGGTCGTCGTGAAGGACGCCGCCAGCGTTGCACGTACCTCCCGCTCCAGCTCCTGCAATGGGGCGAATCTTTAACATTCAGTGGCGTGCTCACGGGATAAGTGCTCTTGCGAGAAGCTGAAGAAGTGCATGCCGACTTAGAGAGACCTACTGATATCGATTGCTCACTAAGAGCCGAGTAAGCACACTATGGCGCGTGTGCTGTGCGAATACATGAGAGCAGACTTATATGCAAGCCAATGCGTCTCCTTTCTTGACGCATTGGTACTGGCATTCTTCAACACAACTTCACACACTTCTTCAGAAAAGGATTACATAGAAAAAGAAAAACTTGGCAAGAAGACAAAAAGTCCGGCCTGTCGGATTCAAGCCAACGACCCCGTGATACCAGCAGCTTCCCACTGGGAGGTATGCTTCTACAGTCACATGCTCTTCCAACTGAGCTAAGGCCGGTTGATGGTCGGGGTCGCATTCTTTCAGAACAAAAAACTTGTGCCTGGTTTCCAAAACAGGCTTCCCCTTGCATTCAGTGAGCAAGAAAGGCCCGAAAATGTTTACGGAGTAGTCTTGATCGTGTTGAATGCTTCTAGCGTTCAGAGGCTGCTGCCACTGTACTGCAGCTCTCATTCACAAGAGCAAGAAGGCAAGAGGACAATAGCTGCAGCACCAGGGTCAAAGGCACCAGGAAAATACAGGCACTCCGGCATCGCCATTTGCCACACCAGAAAGTCTCGCCTTTCTGGACAACTGTGCTTGTCCGGACCTCCAGCAGCTGTCACTCAAGAGTAGCACTTACATTTCAGTCCACCCACTTTCTATCTTATTATTTTTATACCCTTCATCAACCTTAAACTCTTCCTCTACCATTGCATTCCTCGTGAAAAATCATTACTGTAAGGGCCCCTTCCCTAAACCCCAAGCCAAGGTGGGCGAAGAATAGTGCCATGGAGCACCGGATGCCGCCCCATGCAGAAAGGGAGAGCGAGAATCACACAACCCGCGCCTCATACTTGTGCATGCCGGGGCAATGGCAGGAAAATGGCAGCAGCCCCACGCTTGATGGTACCAGAGGGAAACAAGCGCAGAAAGGCGCACCATGTATTTGTGGTTGTCGGGGTCGGGGGTGAGCGCGGATGCGGAGGATGAGTCAGCGCTGACGTCATCGCGCAGGCCGCTCATCGCCAGAGCCCGGCCGCGCGCCGCCTTGTGCGCCGACATCTGCTCCGGCCGGAACGTGCACTCCTGAGTCGCAGCCAGAACAAGAACACTCAGTCACTTGATCTTTCCTTGACATGCTAAGTTGCACCCAAGTATTGTAAAAGTCATTGTGGTATTGTCAGAATCATGGGTCAGCTGCTCCGGCCGGAACGTGCACTCCTGGCGCGCAGTCACACTAAGTCCGTTCGACCGTTTGGCATCAATCTGTCATGCTGATCTGCACCTGATTGTTAGATACAGCAATCATGCAACAATGGCCCAGCACACCGCTCAACAAAGGACACGTCATCAACATGTCCTGCATGCATACAAGCAGGTATTCGATGCTTGCAAGTGTACAAGAATGCGCACATCTTGCCAAGGCCCAAAATCAATGATGGGTCTGCCTGTTTTAGTGGGTTGCCCAGTGGGCCGGCAGGAGGAGGAGCGAATCACCTTGAGCTGCAGCTGCTGGAAGGCGGCCTGCTTGCGCTGCAGGCGCTGTTTGATGGTGGAGGCTTCCCTGTACAGCTCCTCGTAGACCGGCTCCTCCACCGACGCCGCCGCACGCCGCCGAGCCACCAGCTCCTGCATTGGCCACATATTAGTCATCAATCACTCATATGACTCAAGGATCATACGCGCCACCAGCTCCTGCATTTACAACATATTCGTCATCGATTACTCATAAGTGTTTATAAGTGCAGCACCTCCCTTGCTGAGCACTTGTACGCCTGAGGCACAAGTCTCAGGAAGGCAGTGCACTGTTGTGAGGCAGGCATCAGATTCTCCCAGAATCTGGCCTGAACGCGAAGTAGGTGAAGTGACAAATGGACTGACTCTGAATGGCACCACAGCGGTATTTGATGCTTGAGGTCATCAACAAAGCTTCTGCAAGCGCTCGAAAGGCAAACTTTCAACAACAGGTACAGTATTGAGCTGGGGGAGATGCATGCGTTCATGCATGCCAGCAGAGGTTTGCGAAGACCGGTAGACAGGAAAGGGAAAGGGAGGGCTGCCTGCACCTTGGAGTGGGAGCAGACGCTGGGTTGGAAGGTGGCCTCGTCCGGGTCGCGCCGTCTGTCGGCCACCGGGGACGGCAGCAGGTACGCCCTCGGTCCCCCGCGCCCGCGCACTATCACCTGCACGCTATGACTTCTTACTTCAGAAGGCAGGTCGGATCTGCACGACGTGGCTGCTCAACGGAGTTGGAAAGCTAGGAGGTCATGCAGGTAAGCTCTGTAAATGCAGAAACAACCCCAGTCATTGCTGCACACTTTTCTGCGTACAAGGCTGAGCTTCGCAAGGGCTCTGTTTTTCTCGTCAGTCTGCAATCCCTGGTCTGCGTTGATCAGGCAGACCTATCAGGTGACAGGCTGGTTAGGTCACCTGCGCACCTAACCACCCAACCCAATTACCCTGATCTTTTGGGAGCATGACAGAGAACAGGGGTTTGTATTCAGTATAATCTCTTGACACCATTGGGGGGGACGATGGGCAAAGTCTGAGCAAAAGCATATTATTAATTGACTGATTGCCTGCCTGATCTGTAAGTATCAGATTTCAGCCGCAGCAGGACTGCAGGGGCCCTGCTGCAATGCAGGTGGCATGAGAGTGCACCTCTTCCATGAGGCGTAAAAAGTGATGCGCGTCAACAAGCGGCAGTGCGTATGAGTCATCAGCACCCTGCCCGGCAGGCGGCGGCGTCATGCAGTCATCCTTATCCATGCCACCGTTCATCAGCCTGCAGAAGATTCTACCGTCACTAAGATGCTGCACTCCGCTTTTGACAGAATCATTTCCAAGCAGGATGAATTTCTAATGCAAGGTGGACCACGAAGGCAAGGCAGCACCTGGCTATGCTCCAACTCAAAGAGAACCAGTTTCTGGAGCCCTTTTATTCACTTGTGCATGCACACGGTTTGGTTGAGTTTCAGGTCCTAGTACAACATGCACTGGTCTGGCAGCAACAGTCAGGTTTCCACAAAGACGTAACCGCATTTATCAGCGGGTGTAGATGTGCGCGCACCCCTGGCGGCTGTGCTGCAGCTGGCGGGCGAGCAGCCGCGCGGCAGCTTCCACGTCGGCCGCCACCTCAGCATCCAGCGTCTTCATCAGCCCATGCTCGTCCAGGGCAGCCAGCGCCAACAGGTCCAGCACACCACAGCCCTCCTGCGCACATCCCACCAAATCCCACCCTCAGTCTCACTACAATTATACCTCAAGCCTGTAATTGTGTAGGCATTTTCAGCGCTTGATTGCTGCTGTGGGCAGGCAACAAGCAGGAATATGGGGCAGTGGCAGCAGAGACTGAGCCGGGCTGGAGGCTACTTGTCAGGACATTGCTGACAGGGGGCTTGCGGTGTCTCTCCAACCAACCACACGATCAGCTTGCTCACAATAGGTTCGGGACACAATCTGAGTACACCGCTTGCACACATTGGAACCCTATGTGATTCTATTGCCCAAGGTTGCTGCTAGGGGTGGGAGAGGGGAAAGGGCTCACATGGTCGAGGTAGGAGAAGATCTGGTGGAAGCGTTTGGCGCGCAGCCGGTCGGCCAGGCGCCCCGAGCGGCCTGTCGTCTTCACCGTGCTCGCAGCAGTCTCCCGTTCTGCATCCATGCTCGCGCTCAGCGCGGCCTTCCGCCCCTCGTACTCCGCCCTGCACCACCATTTTTTCGTTTTTGTTATTCTCGTGCTCTGGCTTGTGTCTTGGACGCATGCAAGGTGCCGGAACATGCATACCCTTTGCTCGCAAGATGAGAAGCATGCTGGGGACCATGCAGCAGCACATCTGGACATAGAAAGGAGGCAATGAGGTGTGCTGACACTCGAGGCAGGCGCTGAGGCTAGCATGAGCGCAGCCTGGTACATCTCCTCAAGCCTGCGTCTACTGTCCTCTCCGTGCACTAATTATGGCATGGTCAACTGGTATTTGGCATGACTGCATCTCCCTTTGCGCAATGCCAGAGGTGGTGTTGCGAGCAGCTGTTGCGTATCTTCACGCCGCTCAGTGAGAAAGAACACTCCCAGAACAACATCATATATGTTATATATTATATAAACCCAGCACCATGTCCTGTTGTAATCCGTTTTTTACCAATTTTTAAATAATACAGGTCGCCTCAAAGCCAAAGGCCATGGTGCCTACACGCAGGTTATCTGCAGCCACACTCGCGTAGCCTACAAAGTCTGCGGCCTAGAACTTTGCATCTCATCACATCTCAAGGGCTAGATCATCGTGACTCCCTATTTGGAGCAGAGGTAGTCTGGGATTAGACAGGGACCCACACCATCATGGTGAAAAGAAGATTGCAAATCCAGAACGGTGCAAACCCGGAAGAGAACAAGACGTAGGGACTATCAAGGGGTGTTAGCATATGGCAGGGGCAGTGCTCACCACTTGGAGTAGAGGTAGTCTCCGACGGGGAGGCCCTGGGTGTTGCGGCGGCGAAGGTGGGTGCTCTGGTTGATGGCCGGGGTGAAGAAAGGGCGGCCGGTGGCGGGGTCTATCGGGTGATCCGCCGCCGCCTGCGCCGCGCGCTTGCGAGCCTCTGCCATCTCCCTCCTCTGGTACAGCCTGCGCGCCATGTCACCCCAAACCTTAGTAATCCACCTATTGGGGATGGCTTCCAATCAACATATTGATTGACACAAGCCACATTGGAAGTCTGTGGCCGGGGTAGAACATTGCAACCCAGACCCATTCATAGCCACCCGCAGTAGGCCTCAAAAATCTAACAGCACCACCTTGAACAACATCGTACGGCCCACAAAGGAGCACCTCTATGCTGATATGCGCAGCTTCATGCATATGGTGCACCGCCACAGTAATTTGGTAGGCATGTCGCAAAGTAGGTACCTCTTACGCATGTGGACAAATCCATAAAAAGCACGGTCCGGACATCTGTTGTGGACCGTCAGGCAAATACAGTCAGGGCAGTCTGTTCAACAAACATCACAGCGGGTCTGCGTACCGCTCGGCCAGATCGGCGTCGGAGTCGCGGCGACCGGTCCCGTTCCCGTTCAAGTCACCGCGCAGGACCTTGCAGGAGTCTGGCGCACGGTGGAGGATGCGCGGAGCGAATGTGAACTCCTCCGGCAGGGCGCCCTCGTACTGCACGCGGCGCTGCAGCCGCCTAGTCGCGTCCGCGTACAGCTGCTCGTGCGCGCTGATGCGCCGCTCCTGCCGGGGGTCCCCCATTCAACTTTAATTGACTCTAAGCGATGGGAACGGCAAGGTAAGTCAGCTTGCATTTGGAGGTTGGGACGTGCAGCGCTATTCGCAGCGGGCAGGCCGTGTTGGGCGTCTCCCCAGAAAGCAGCGATTGAACCAGATGGAGATGAGCAAGCACAAGGAGAGCACTCCAGAAGTTTACATGCTAATATCTGGGAACAGGGCTCTATCACCAAGCGTCTGCCAGGAAGGGCCCTTTACAAGGTGATAGAGCGTGCAGAAGCTCAGATGGGTCTTGACCAGATGGACTGTGCATGTGTGTACCTTGAGCACTATGGCGCGCTGGGTCATCATGCGATCGGAGAGTTTGTCGATGATGGGCGCGAATGTGCACTCCTTGGCAGCTTCCTCCTCAACCTCCCGCTTCATCTCCTCTATGCGCTCCTGCACAAAAGTATAAAAACTTGGAATAAAGCGCTTAGCTCTCCTGTGACTCTCAGGCCCCCAGGCTCGGCTTGAGTATGTGCTCACATTTGTTACTGCCCAGTCAAGTTGATGTTTGCCCAACGTATGTCCTCTGAATGCCCCTAACATAAAGTTGGCGTTGCATGCGCTGCACCTGCTGTTTTGTCTGGTTGTGAGAAGAGCAGCGTCATCATGTCATGTCCGAGTGAACCACTTTGGACCCCAGAAATGGGCTATGCTGGTTGTCTGTCAAGCAGAGGGCGCGCATGAGACTCAGTGCGGACCTTATTCTTGTGCGGGGCTGGCTTTGCGAGGCGGGACCAGAGCTCGGTGTCTGACTCGGGGCGGCGCATGTTGCGGGCCATGCGGCTGATTTGAGGCGCCCACGTCACCTCCTCCAGCTCAGCCTCAGCCGCCTCCCTCTGCCGAATTTCCGTCTGCAATGAGCAATGCACAGCTCCAGCTCAGAAATCCAGCTCAGCTCTCATCAGCACTGATTGGCTTCAATTGACCAATGACTTGCCTGAGCTTGCAGAGCTTGCACTGCTTCCATTTGCGCAGGCTAGATTGTATTGTGTGACCTGGAGAGCCTCGCACCTCACAATTCTGGAGGTTTTGGTAATGCGACCAGAAGCAAACTGAGCTACAGAGCTGCCGGGGCCCTTTTGCATATCATGTTCTCTTGAAATGACTGAGACGAAAGGATGTTTGCCGTTTCGCTGAAAGGGCAGTTCATTGCAAAGGAATGTGTCTGTGCGAGATGGTGCTCTGCTGCTGGAACAGACCATGCGCTGGCCTTCAGGGCAGGGCAAGTCAGGCAACACCACGCCCACATGTGCAGATGCACAATAATTGGACCAGCTTCTCCGCACCTTCAGCTTCTTCTTTTCCAGGTCCTCCAGGCCCTCGGCGTACAGGCGCTCGCAGTAGCTGGAGTAGCCGGCCGCATCGCGCGCGCGCATCAGCTCGGCGCTCACATAGTTCATTCCCTTGCGCGCCGACAGCATTCTCGCATCGATCTCATCGTCCCTGGATTGCATGCATGCACACTTGTGAACTCACAGGTGACAGCTTAGTGCTAAGACTTCTTGCGATGCCTTCCATCGTGGCCACCTGCTCTTTACAAGCACAATTTAGGGACGACCCATCGAAACATGTGTATCTGTTGCTGCCTGCCAGATGCGCATCAAGTTGCAAAGAGTGCAAAGATCCTGCAATCAACAGTGACAGTGTCACCGCAGAATTATCTCAGAAAAGTACAAGCTCAATCATGCGCATGCAAAATGTGCAAACCTGGCCTGCCGGCGCCGCTCCTGTTTCAGCGCAATCTCCCGAGCGTGGCCGTAAAGCCGCTCGTGCGGTGGCCGCGGCCGGCCGCCGCCGTCTCGTGCCCCGCTGCGCACGCTCCGTGCGCTGCGCATGGACCCCTCGGAGCGGCCGCCGGGGGATCTGGGCTGGGGGGTGGACCCCCCGGCGGTGGAGCGCCGCGCCCTCACCTCAACTGGCTCGTACAGGAACGGTCCCCCTGACGATGACGGGGGCCCTGCAATTAACAACAAGCACTGGCGAATCACCTGTTTTGGCAGGCGCTCACTGTCATCCGCCTCAGAGTGAGGCCACAGAGCACACAGGTGGACCAAAGTGACACTCTCGGAACATGAAAACTGATGACGAATCACAGGATGGCATGGCTTCTCAACGAAATGCAAAGGACAAGCATGGCTCGGTGTTGGGGGTCATAGGAACATGTGTTGGAAAGGAATGGCCACTGCCCAGCCAAAATCTTGGTGGAGGAGTTTAGTGGTTCGGCATAGCGGATGGTGGCCGCACCAGATTTGGCGGAGCGGTACTCCGCGGCTGTGAGGAAGCCGTCACTGGCGGCGGCCGACTCGGCAGCCTCCGACTGGGCGCACCAGCGCGCCTCCATCTCGAGGCGTTCTCTTCTGGCCGGCAGCGCCCCGTCACTGTGCACAGACCTCCCGCTGGACAGCAGCTCTGCCCTCATGCCTTCCAGCGCGCTGTCTGACTGAGAGGAACGCGCTGCCGAGTGTCTCAGGCTGTCCCTGCTGGGCTGCCCTGGCTGTGGCTGGCCCCCATTGGCAACTCCATCCTGGGCAGCGCAGCGAGAAGTTGCTCACTTGCTGTTTTGGCAGATGCTTTCCAGCCAGATAGACGCAGTTGGAGGGATTTGAAATGGCAAACACTTTGACCTGGTAAGCAGATGTGGGTATTTGCACGAAGGCATGCAGTGACATCCAGGGAGGGTGTGCGGTGGCTATACTAGTGCACTGCAGAGAGACTGGCAAGCAAAGGGTGTGGGCACCTGAGAGTGTTCCTGCTGCGCTGCCTGGTAGTTTTCACAGATGTGCTCTGTCAGGGGCTGAACCACGCAGTCTGGCAGTCCATTCTTCTTGCAGAACGCAGCTGCGATTTCCTGCGATTTGGCAGACAAGTGTTCGATCCATGCACTCATATCGGCACCATGCTGCAAGAACGCTAAATATAAAGCTGAGAACAACACCTTTTACAGGCCCCAGCCTGTCTATGCCGGACTGCAGGCTCTCACCTCCGGTCTGTCTCCAAGATACAATTCAATCTGATCCGTCAAACCTCCACCGATGTCCACAGTGGTGACAAGCACCAGCTGGCGCTTCTCCTTTGCATGCATCGTATCTGGATGACAGAAGCGCACAAACGTGAAGCCCTCTCCCTTCCGTCTGTATGTTTTACAGCTTAAATTTGCGCTGACATAGCATCTTTTCTGAGAATCAATTGGCTCAAGCATGAGCGCTCTTGAAGCCTCAGATCCTGCGATGCTTCCTCCCCCTTGACTTTCCCGTCTTCAAGGCTATTGTGCTGTGGCAAGGCGGCGCACCTCTCTGAGCAGTTCCACAGCACCTTGAAAATTTCTCAAAGCTCCTCTATCTCCAGGGTTGATATCTTCTCCTTTCTTGGGGCAAGCATCTTGGTACGCTTACTTTTGCCAAGGTTCCTATTTGCTAACAGTGATGTCTAGAAATGGTCATGAGCTCAACAGCGATTATATGATGAGAAAGTCGCCCTTCAGCATGCACCAAGGACTAGCTGAACGACGCTACGCTAGTAAATCCAGCTGCTGGTGGAACGCTGGTATATGGCTTTGCGCAGACACAACAGCTCTCTTGAGCAAAAAGCGTACAAATTAGTACTCTGAGCACAGAATGCGAAGAAGTGTCGTGCAAGATGGCAGAATTCCGCTTCGTGGTGGACGCTTTTGTCCTTTCTGGATTTGAACGCGTGTACGCCACCTGCGCGACGGCGTTCTTCCAACGGTAACAATTTTCCTTGCCACATCCCCTCTCTTTGATCAAATGTCAGTCGACATGTGCGCAGTTGCTGTAATAATTTCTACACTGGTATGACCCTTTTCTGCTCGGGTCGCAACTGCATGGCTAAATATGGTCATGTGAGGTTAGTAAAATTTTTGCATTTTTGCAACAATAGGAAATCCTGCGCAGACATATGTGCTGCATCCAATGCGCGCATGCTGCATAGCACTGGATTGATAGCTTGGTGCCACTGAGGTTGCTCGCTGAAATGCACAAAGCAGTCATGAATGCATAGCAGTGACCGCATGGTTACTTTAATTATTTATAATAGAAAGAGTGCCTGGACGTGGCATTTGCAGATCTGAAATTCTAGGAGCTCTCCAACATGCCCGATCGAGATTGTTTAACTGTTACACCGAGCGTAGTTAGATCTGCAATACTGTACCATCTCTCTTCGGCGGCAGTACTCAGGCTGTGCTCACGGGTCTGCCTGTCAGGGCAAGGCAGCCAAGCTTGCCCTAATCGTCAATTTTGAGGCTGCATGCAGCAAGAACCTCCAAGCTGGCTGCAACGCCAAAGAGCATCAAGTAACAGGTCTGCATCAAGCTATCGGGCATGCCAATGCGGCAGCTCCTTTCCTCAGTCTAGCGTGAGATCCTCACTACTCTGGGCCGCTGTTCTGTGAGGGCCCACAGCGCTCCACCATGGTGCTGTAGAGTTTCTTGGCATCGAAGATGATGGGAAAGAAGTGTATCTGGCCCTCCGGCTTCGTCTGCGTCTCCTGGACAACCCAAGGCACAAATGTCAACAGAACCAGGGACACATTGTGACACCCAACATGCTCCCAATCTCCTGGACAACCTTCAATTTCCCACTTGACGCCTTTCTGGGCTGCAACGGTGTATGGGCTACTGTACAGGGACACGCCACTGCAGCAGCACTGGCTTCAAGGCCGCTTGCAAAAGCCAACTGCATGCTATGCCAATGCCTCAACTTCAATTATTACTAGTGCACGCTTTCCTGCCAAGGCAACTTGCGTCTGCAGACAGTTGCAAGCTGCAGGTACAGGCTGCCATAATCTTACCCCTTGCTGGACTCGCCAGAACCGAGCAAGACCCAATAAACCATGGGCACGTTGCTCAGCATCTACACCGCCCCCCGCCAGCCGGGAAGCTTTGAATTATCATTGGGACTCACAATTTGAAGCAATCTGCAGAGGGAGATGCCTCGAACCTTGAAGTAGACGAGCACTGGGAAGCCAGGCCACCAGAACTCCCAGTTGGTGAAGGTGCTGTACTTCCAAACATTTGCTCCGCCCACAAAAGCATTCTCAGTTTCCTTCTGCGTTTCCCCGAGCGCTACCTCTAGCTCATCTCCCCTGAAGATGAACTTCACGCGCGAAGCCTGCATGCAAGGTCCCCCCATTGCTCCAGATGAACAGACTGTTTCGACCTGACGCATTGACTGACATGGTGATGGAAGTCCGTGGGTCCAGATCGGGGCCAATTCTTTGGCTGTCAGAATGCAAGGGCCCAAGGACGCTCCTGCACAACATTGAGGTGCAGGCATGCTGGGCAGGATTGTATCAGACCCACAGAGGAGCGTTTGCACATCTGCAGGATGTGTTGAGGAGGCATGCATGCATACCTGGATTGCGAGGAAGGCACCCAGGATGCCTGTCAGACCAGCCAGCGCGAGATTGCCCTCAAAAGCCGACAAGCCCGTGATGCCTGCACAGCGCAATGTTATGACGGTGTCAAAGAATAGAGACATGGTAGGACAAGCGACTGCTGACAGTGATGGGCATCTCAAGCTGTATAGGCACAATCTGGGCACAATGCGCACCTGCCAGAACAAGGGGGATGTTGTATGAAGGTTTTGGAACGACTGTCTCCAGAACAACGCTCTTCGGTGCCTTATTGAATTTGAACTGCAGGGGAGCATCCTGTTAGAAGCAGTGGTCTCGATCGGTGGAATGCTGTCTGCAAGGAATGAAAGGACGAGAGTCAAACTTACAAACGCTTGTGCTACGATCTTTCTTCCGGCACGAACACGCGATCCCTTCTGAATTGTCTGTCTGAGACCATGAGCTCCCTGAAAAGGACACTTCAACGTCCCCAGATGCTGGGCATGTGAAGTTGCCTCGGCCCTGAAGGCCTTCTGCGATCCTGCTCAATGACACATAAAATTTGTCATGCAGATGATCCATTGATATCAGAAGCGTTTTGTCTTAGGAGGCTTGCACACATCACGCTGGGACCAAAGGGAGATTGAGTCCGAGAGATCGTGATACTCACCAAAATTGAGAGCCCGGAATGGCAGCTCCGTGGCAAATATCATCGTAAAGAAAATCAGTAAAGATATGTTGGACTGGAAAGCACTGGCATTGAAAATAGCATCATTGTATGCTTGTGGTGCTTCTACAAACCCTTCCTCGCAAATTTGTTTAAACCCTTGCTCAGGCCAGCGTTACAGGATATGATGATCAGGATCTGACAATTGACTGTAGCAATAGCGGTTTCCAATCTGTGATCGGCATCAGTTATTGTATATACTTTGTCCAAATTGCCGCACCCTTCAGTTGTATGTGCGTTAAGCTTTAACTGTAAAAACGTGGTTCCGGAAGTCGTGGCTAGCATATGAGCGCGAGTTTCCGTTGCAATAAGTCCTCGTGTGTGTTATATGTAGCTGACAGACATTTTGTAGAGTCTCGCTTGATATAAGTGACCACTGCGCAGAGTATACCACACCAGCTGAGCAGACAGCTGCTTAGTTGAGGTTGCGGCTTTAAGTGAACGTGAGCAGATAATTAGATCTAGACCGCCCAGACTGAAGCTAGTAGCAAGACAATACAGCATGTCTGAAGGCCTGGCTCATGTGAGGATAGCGTCAGCACCCACTGCGGCAGGCGCGACCTCAACACCGCCGTCCCGCCCGATCTTGAGACCGAGACTGCTTCGGCTTCCGCGACGACTCATGGCGATCTGCCTTCTGGATGTGGTGATCACCTCCCACTACTCCGTATGCGGTGTTAAATGTCATGTGGGGGATTGCAGCTCAACAGTCGTGCTGATTACCATTTAATTGTCCCAGGCGTGCTTAGCAGTGGCGATGGTGGTCAATTCGCCTGCCCTCCAGCCGCAGACGGTGCACACACAGATATGGCCTCTCATACCCATGCTCATCAACCGGACACTGGAGATCGTCTGCTTCCTCATGGGCCACGCCTTCCCCCTGGTAAGTTCTCTCAACTCCTCAGACCTGTGAACCTCAAAATAGCACTGTCCCTGCACTGTCCCTCCCCGTATGCTGCACCACAGCTCGACATTACCCGTAGATCACAAGCTACACAGAGGCACCGTTGAAAGTGCACTCCCGGCAGTCCAACATGTTTCATGGGCTCAGGATCAAAACTGAAGTGTGCAGACAGAAATCAAGATCAAAGGTGCTGTGGGGTGTGCTGCGCAGTTCTCGCTGATGCAGATGCCGCTCTCCCTCATGGCACTGGGAGTCTTCATCAAAGTCTCAGAGTGCACAGCCGTGCACCCAGCTGCGCCGCCGCTGTCGGCTGCCGCCGCGGACGCCGCACTGGCTGCAGCCGTCGCCGCGGCCGGGACGCCCCGGCCCTTCTGCTCCGCGCCCATTATCCTGGCAGCCATCCTCATGGTCATCGAGGTGACTCACTCTCCTGGTGTTCTTAGTAAGTGGCAGGCATCTCAGACCCTTTGGACATTCAGCACAACATGGAGAACAACACGAAATTGATTGCCATAAACGCGCAGAGTGATATTCCCCCTTTTAGGCTCCATCACACACAGGAATTTGGCCAGGAGCTGCCGGGCAGGCACTTGACAAAATTGGCGATTGTGCCTGTTGCCCCGATAGCTTCTGTCAAGTAGAGAGCAACTAGCCAAGCATGCTGAGCAGAGAATAGTCTCCCCTGATTCGTGCCGAGTGGTTTCGGGGATTGTGCTGGAGTAGAATCTTACAGCTTTCTAGTCCTGGTGCTTTGCTTGGATGCTGTGCGGGTTGGAAGCACTCAAGCAAGCTGACATTTGACCACGCTCTATTGTGCTGGCGCGCAGATTGTCATATTCCTGCTGGTCCTGTTCATCACCCAAACGCATCGCGAGCACCAGATCATGATGCTGACTCACCGCATCATGGACGCAGACATCGAAGCTGGCAGGTGGGACAGACTCTTCCCTTTTACTTTCACCCGCATAATACACCTAAAGGCTTTGAAGGCTGCCCTTGTGTGCTCTCTTGGACACACTACATGCCCTAGCAGAAGGGTACAATTGAATAGTGCAACTAATGTGATGTCGTGCTCCTGCGCAGGGGCTTCAGAGATCATGCTCATGTGCAGCCGGTGAGCCCAGTCATGCCGGTGACAATTGAACATGCCCACTTACTAAATCAATGCAATGCCGACAGCAGTAACGCTGGAGCTTCCAACTGTACATGGTCTTCTTCTGTGCCTTAAAGCTCAATTCAGAGCTCTCAGCATCAGAGTCGATGATTTTAGGATTTCAGCTGACACTGAGGAATTGTGTCTGCGCAGGAGAGCACAATCAAATACTGCACAGTGGTGCAGCCCTGCGGGCAGGCCATCATGGTGGCAGTGCCAGAACAGGTGCTGCCAACTCCACCCATCCAGCCATCCACACAGCCCCACCCAAGGACGCCATACCCCGGTGATTCACCCCAGCGGCCTTCCCCAATCTACCCGCCAACAGCTCTCCAGCTGTCCTTGATGGAGTCAGAATCGCGAGTGGCGGCGGCTGCTGTGCAATCCGGGGGAAATGGCCAGGGGTCGGAAGTAACGAGCGCGGGGTTGCCGGAAGCTGCGGCGGCAGCTCCCCCGGCGGCGGAAGCTGCCGGCCCGACTGCGCGGGCGCGGCGAGTCATCCAGATAGATGTTGACGCGACTTCCTCGGGCAAGGCAGCTGCCCTCGTGCACTGGCATGCAGAGGACGGCAGCCGGCAGAGCACGCCAGTGCAAGTGCATGTGAGCTGGTCGCCTGTTGCATCACCGCAGCATGCTCTGAGGGACACTACAGGATCAGGCTCGGGATTGTCATCTGACAAGGATGCAGGAAGGGCAGGTGCAGAGAGTGCAAGTGCTGGAAACAGCACAATGGACGGTGACACTGCAGCTCTTAGTGTTTCAGAGGAAGCATTGGCATTGATCCAGGATAGTTTTGATAGCGCTGATGCAGTGACGGATGTGTCAACAGACACCGGAAGTGAAGGCTCAGAGCTTCCTGGGAGGTAGGGGGTAGAGAGCAAGACTTCATGTGTGTTCAGATGTGAAATGCAAAGTATACGCAGGGCATGCTGTGATATATGGTGGCCAGACCAGCTGGAGTAGAGACGCCTTGAAATGAGGCGTTGTCACGTGGGGCAAGCGTGACCATTTTAGGCTTGGATACCTTGGCATAAGTTCTGTAGAAGAACATAGCACAGGTGCACATGACAATTCTGACTTATGAGGCTTCCGCAAATTATACAGGTATTGAACATTAAATGACATTTGCAAATCAATTTAGTAGATAACAGTGGAATGCGCCATCACTTGTAGTCCAGAGAATCTTGGCCACGAAGGCTCTGTTCTCATGGGATATGAACTGTTTTTTGGCTCTCTACCAGCGCTTAATGTCCACTTATCAGTTCCCTGTTCTTCTCCTTTTGAGTCTGTGTCACACATGATTGCTGCACCTTTCTTGGCGTGTTTACTGCCACACGGATACTGATGTTTGTCTCTGCAGACATGACCTTGCCTCATCCTCAGCTTCAGAAATTCCCAATCGAGACCCAAACTGATCTGCCAGCAATTGCAGCATCCCACAACTGCCTACTCCTTGAACGCATGCTCCAGTCTCTCACCTCTGTTACTACCAGTGAGAATGTGCTGCGGTTCTCACAGCTGTGTTGCAGCGAAATGCTGGGGTTGGCATGGTCTGAGGATCCTCTCAGCCCCAAGTATTCCACCATGCCAACCCAGCTGCATGACAGCGATGTCCAATGCCAAGGATGGCGCTCCCTGCTTATTGCCTCTCATTGGAAATTATAATATTATGCGCACAGCACTCCACCTCAGACCTGTGGATGTTGTCAATACATCCTGCTGAAGTGACTCGTGGGATTTGATGATTGCAATGGCGCTCTGGTAAGGTCCGGACCTTACAAAAGTAATTTGCAGAACCGCCACACTACTCAGATTGGGACGCAGCAGGTGACACCTGGCGATACAACCGCCGCTTCTTGACAGGCAGGCACATGTCTGGCAGGTCATACCAGCAGCCAAAGCTGGCAAACCACTCGCGCATGTGTGCATCGAGTATCCGGCGCTTGAGGGTGAGCGCCAGGAAGTCAACAGTGCCATAGAAGAAGTCAGGGAAAGCTGGGGGAGAGAAACGGGGCTGCAGGGCTGTGAGTGTTGGCTTATTGGTGCAGCAGAGATCGCCCAGGACTGCAGCTGCTTCCAGGGCATTGCTTTGACTGCCTGCATGAACATGGTGCAAAGATCAGCAACTTTACATCACATCCTCGGGTTTTGATCAGGTGATGACAGGCAGCCGGCGGACAAGGAAATGGTCACTCAGAGAAGCGCTAGCAGGAGGTACTCAAGACCTCCTGAAATGTTCATCAGTACCTCTTTACACATGATGAGCTATGGGGGAGGTGGGGCAAAATGATCCCTGAAGTGTTCATGAGTACCTCGTGGCATATGATGAACGATGAAGGAGAAGGGGCAAAATGATGGAGAAGCAGGGCAGTCAGGGCGGTGTAAGTCCTGCAAAGAAATGGGAGTAATTTATGGATAGGAGTGGGTGAAGGGACGCACTCTCTATGGGGGTGACAGGCTCCTCCTGCTGGAAGGCTCGTCGACTTCTGGTGAGGATTGTGCTCTGGGGGGTCTGGGGCCGGCTTCTGAGGTTGTTGGGTCCCTTTGGAGGGGTCTTTGGTGCACTGGTTGGAGTGGTGGACGATCGCCTGACGCGCAGGCTTTGCCGGGGCTTTGCCGGTGTGCTCTCCACGATTATCTGCTCACTTTGGCTGCCTGCAGTGCAGAAGAACTTGTGAACGCCTTGTTGAGAGATTTTACGTTGTGGCAGTGCACACAGATGCGCATTGATCACTGCCTGCCTGGAAGACTGGCGGTTTTGTGCAAGGCAGTGCGTATTCGATTACTTGAGAGTGGTTCTCGATCGTGCTGCAGGAAAATACGAACAATATAGCCTTGAAAATCGCCATAAGCGGAAAAGTTGGCGGACGCACTTGTGCTAGAGGTCGGTGAAGGCTGCGTCTTGTTCGCTATGTACGCATCTCGCACGGCAGAGTCAGCGGCCTTGCGTTTGGACCGAGGCCTCTGCTGCTTTGCAGGTAGGCTATATTGCTTTGGCTTCATGATCTTCCCTGCAACGACATAGAACGGAGTCTTTCAGACGCCAACTCACCCTCGTAAAAAGAGATCTTGCATCGTGGCAAAGCATCAATCGGCGCTATGCAGTTCTGGCATTGAGAAGGTCACTAGTACCTTACCTTGCATTACTCGTGGAGACTACCTCTTTGACGAAACAGCACGATGGAGACAAAAAATTTATTCTTCGTAAGGCTATAGCAGAAGGATGAATCCAATAGCGATATGGAGGCTTTGATGTCAAAGCTGCTGCTTCATAGTTTGCAGGCACGCACAGGGGCTTTGCCAGATTAGGCTGTTAGTAACTGCTGACGAAAACCTCAGCTTCTGATCATAATCAGGCTGTTGTGTTGTTGCTGCAAGTTCTACATGTGTTGAATGGAGTTGATGGACCATCAGGAAAGTTGTCTCAATTGCCACCTGACAGGGTCGTCACGATGGGTGTAACAGGCATGCCATGCGGCTGATGACATAGTGCCAAACAATGATCATGATCAACAGCACAATGGCAATCTGTCACGGTAGGAGGGTGAAGGCTTTATCAAAAACCAATGGTAAGGACAATCCTGCCTTTTCCACGAAGGTTTTAAGCTTTCTGCCTAGATGATGAATGTGCGATGATGTCAGAGGACACACATGCACTGTGAACAGCATTTGAAATTGATGTCAACAAACAATCGCTGATATTTACAGACTACCAAGGCCATGCGCTACAGGAAGAGACAGTGCTGTGCACAGCCACACCCCCGAGCATGCCTGAGTCACTCAAAGTATATCCACACAGCACTGCAATCTGTCATCATTTTCCAAAATCTCTCATCTTCAGCATGCATAATCAAACCCACAAGAATGTTCGGATCTAGGCAACGCAAATGCTAGGGCCAGCTGAATAAACAGTGCTACTGGTCAGCAAAAAGGCTCTCTCTCATCGCGTGTCCTTCACCACTCCAGCAAGAATTTACTCTCTCCCGGAATCTGCTCAAAACATTTACAAGGGTGGCGAGGAAGAGCCCTTCACGGTGTCTCCCACTTGGTAGAAGATCTCCTGCTTCTTCACCAGCTCCTGCAGGGACAAAAATAAACATTTGTCAGCAAGGGGTGAAAAGTATTAAAGTCAACCAGACAAGAATTTAGCAAAATCCTAAGCAAACACAGGACCTGGGAGTGCTGCAAACTCTGTAGACTGCTCTCTCTTAGCCCCATGAAACCGTGCGGCAATAATCCGCCGCAGTGGGTCTGCATATTAATTTCAACAGGCTATAGCAGGGGAGAATCTTGCATTATAGTGGCAATGGCTAGTTTTATATCATCTTAGACTTTGCAACGCACACCGGGCAGGAAGAGTGAGATTGACAGTGATCAGTTTCTGACCTGGGCAACGAAGCCAGCAATGCCAATCATGGCAAGACGGCCATTGTTGAGCTCCTTGGTCTGGAGGTCGTATTTCTCCTTGGGGTCAGTGGGGGTCAGGCCGAGGGGGTCGAAGCCGATCTCACCTGCAGATACAAGGAATTAGTATGTCAGCCGATGACAGCAGGCTAGCAGGAGATAGAAAGACGGCCTTCACTCTCAATCCAGCACACCTACCTGTCTGCTAGACCTCCTGACAGGCTGCGGATACATACAGCATCCGTGCCAGTCTGGATGAACACCCGCTGTACATGCATGCTCACTGGCATCAGCAGCTGCATGCCTACCAATTTCACAAAGGGTTCTATTGGCCGTCTGTACCTCTGCACCTCCTGAAGTACCTTGCCACGGTGCACCAAGAATGTACCCCAAAGTATGCAGCTGTGAGTACTTCGAAATACGCAGCACGGCTTTGAATGCAGGTGCAAGACACTGCAGCACAGGTCTCAGATTTAGTTTCAAAGCAGCTGCAGCAGCTGACTCACCGGGGCTGTAGTCGTCACGCAGCTGGTTGAACTTGTCGGAGGACGGGTTGGCCCAGCCGACACCGATGCGCCATGCCTCGGCCAGACCGATGGAGAACACCAGGGGCTCCCAGAAGATGGCGCCCTTGTACTCCACCTGCTGGAAGTGGTCGATGGCCGGACCTGCATTGTAGCGGAAATTACAGATCACATCCTGTCAGCCGATCTAGGAATAATTGACAAATAGCTTCCTGCAATGCTTCAATACACGAGCCCTTCACAGCACCCCAGCCAGCTGTCAAAGCATGCTGACATCCAAGGTGCATGTGATGTGCCCAGGGTGCTGTGCAGGCAGTGTGCCAAGTAATTGTGGCTGCCTTCCTCAAAATTTTAGAGATGTGACTGCAGAGTCCTGGGGTGCGTAAGAGCATTTACGCTAATCGTGATTTCCTGCGGTGCCAAAAGTTGCATGACTCGACACCCAGGCCGATCAACAAAGGCACTATGTGGCTTCACTTTGCGGAAACCTCCAACACCAGGGTGATGTCACCACGGCACTACAGCAAGAATTGGATTTCAGCACAATCCAACTAATGTCGATCAAGAGCGAAGGCATCCAAAGGGATACCCACGTGCTGGGAACTAACATGCCGTCGCCGTGACAAAGGATATTCCCCACTCTTCAGAGAATCGATGCGAAACCAGGTGTACCTGTGATGCGGCCGTCGCTGTTCACCAGCAACTTCTTGTCGGCGACGAACTCGCCCACGATCCACCCCAGAGCGGCAAGCATGGCCACACGCCCGTGGGTGATCTCAGACTCCCTCCACCGCTTGACCTCCTGAATGCTGGTCGCGTTGGAGAGGAGGTTGGCAGGGTCGAAGATGTCAGGGAAGGGCTGGCTGATACCCGGGAGGGTCTTAGCGTCTGCGAGAGCACAGAACCACTCAACCACAATTGCTCGAATCTCACCTCACACACTATCAGCAGTCCAAATTCCAAGGCAACCACCAGATAGCGACAAAATTCTGTAATTTTGCCCTTGTATGGTGAGACTTCCACCGACCTCATTTATTTCAGGAATATCATTATTGTGTACCAAGCGCACGCCTGATGTGAACCAACACTCTCGGTCATAGAACCCCTTTCTACCCCTTCAGGCAAGAAATGGGCTCTGCGACTCACATGCGAGGATGTCATCGGGAGTGGCAGCCTTGCTGGGCTCCGCCTGGGGGCCGAGAGCCAGCACCCGCAATCCCTTGCGAGCCGCCGGGGAAGACTTTGTGCTGGTGCGGAATGCGTCGCGGGCCACAGGGGCACGAAGAGAGCTGGTGGACATCATAGTGGCAGCCATTTTGTAAATATGTTCTGGAATTGTGGAAAGCGCGAGCGCAATTTGAGCATCTGGCACACATTCTGGAATTGTGCCACGACAACCGCCTGTTTAGGTGGCATGCAACCCTCTCTCCAGTGCATCGTGGCCACAGGATTTCAGAGGCCCCTCCTGGGAAGAAGGTGGGCCATCTGTCCACAGTGTTTTGAAACCTGCTCGTCAGTTTGAATCCGGCAGCTACATACGGATCACGACGGCCCCTGCCCAAAGCTGTGCTCAAGCTCATTAGTCATGAACAGAGATCGCCATTGTTTCCAGAGCATGCTGCGCAGCTGCTATTTCATACTTCAGGATACCGTAGCCAGCGGCCACCTGCGCAGCATGCTACCGTCATGTTACAGGTTTCAAGCAAGTTGCCCGGCCTACCACTGGGACACATCAGATTCAGGCAGCACAGTGCGTGGTGTGTGAGCCTCCTAGGCGGCCCACTTGATTCCCAGGGACACTTGTTTCGACCCTTCTTACACATGCTCATGAACGATCGCATTGCTCAAGCTGTTGCAAGGGACCTGTGCATGCACATCCACTCACCCTGAGTAGGCCTCACCCAATGGCATTATCAATGATATACACAGAGGTGCAGAGGTGCACATGTGACAGACACTTGCACCTTTTTTGATCCAGCCAAGGACCTGTTGACAGCCCAGGATCTTGACATCAAGATCCCCTTAATTTGATACCCCTGCCCAGCCCTGCAGCTCCAGTGCCAGCAAGGGCATGACTGCAGGACAAACTTCCCACTTTTCACTAAGCACATACTGGACTAGTAGGATTTTCAGTGGTGGGCGGAGATCTGCTGCTACTACTCTGCCAGATAAGACAAAGTTTCTCACATTTCCTGACTGGGCTGCAGTCCCTTCAGAAGCACACTTCTGGTGCGAAAGACCTGGAAAGCCTTTCATCGTCATGGTATCATCATCTTAAGGGATCATTATGGCATCACCACTGGTATGGCATCTCTGTGGCTTTTTTTTGGGAATTGCTATGAACATCCTTGTACCGGATTCCATGCATGATGCTGTCAGGCTGCTAGTATGCAGCTCCCCAGGTCTTCAGAGCTGCAGTCACAAATCACACATAGTCAAGATCAGCGCTGTCTGACAGATCAAAGGAATGGTTTTAGGAGGGACTTTTATGAGAAGTCTCTCATCTAGAGAGCATACAGCAAGCACTCACTTGATGCCGCTTGTAGCTCAAGTATGGGAAGCATCAATTCATCCCATTACTCAAGTGCACATCCCTGATACTCTTACCAATGTCCCGTTGAAAAATCTGGGCATTTCCGTGACCAAGGGCGTTCAAGAGATACTCTGTTCTGTGCTCACCTTCGCGCTCAGACTTGGTCAGATCCCACTTCCTCACGATGATCTGCATGCAGCATGCAATTCAGCACCATGTTTAAGCTTTTCAAAGACTCTGTCCTCTACCAGGGCCAAGCAACTGGGGCTATATACCGCTGGTGCACTTTTCATTCTATGGCATGCACGGTGTCTGAGATGCTGGCGCCAAGACTGCAGAAATTAAGCCAAGTGTGTGCAATCATGCAAAGAGACGCATGCCATATTGCCCAATTCGGTGCGGCAGAATGATCTGCAGCAGCACAGTTTGCCATGTATCCTATTCTCTCAAAAATACGCACCCGCAGTTTGTGCAGCCCCAGCCATTCCTGGTACTCGATCCAGTCCCTCTGCACACCCATCAGTAGCTGCCAGTCAGGGCTTTTTTCATGCTGCGATCGGTTAGGCAACCGGTGGTTTTGGAGTGTAAGGGAAGTAGATTGCACACCTCTGCGTTCCACTTCCGAAGGATGTTGTCCAGGAGCCTTGCGCTCTCCTTCGTGAAGTACAGCATCTCGTCGGCTCGCTCCTTGTCCGCGTAGAGGGAACCCCCCGGCTTGAGGTTTGTGTCTCGGAAGTACACAGGATGGTGAACGTACTGGTGGTGGAACAGGTTCTCGATGTCGTAGCGGATCTTGCTCGCCAGGGGCGAAACGATCCGAGACAAGCTCATTGCTCCTGCGTCAGCACATGCCAAATTGTTCAATTCTTGACAATTCGACTTTTAAAATGTATGAAGAATCCAAATGGTGGCGGCTCTGTTCTGCATAGATGACCAAGGAAAGTACAGAGGCGTGATGCGACGTCGTGCCGGGCATCACAACACGCATGCGAAGGTGGGCAACACCTTTCTTGCTAACGTGCGCACGGTTTGTCTTGATAGGATTCTACTGTAATTTTATTTTGCTGTTGAAGGGTTTGCGGCTCCGTTCTCACAGATTGCTGTGGATGTCATGGCTGTTCCGAAAATAGTGGGCTCATCTGTGATTGTTTCCTGCCCAAGGTGTCCAACTCCGAAACTGTTTCACTTGAAGACCATATTCAGTGCTCCCTACGAATGCCTGACTCTACTAACTCAGATAGAGGAGATGTGTGTATCGCAGTGTTGTGTGGTCTCCCAGGCGCCGGCAAGACCACGCTTTGTAAAGCACTACTGCACAATGCAGGGCCACGATTCGAGATCAAACACATCTGTTTCGATGCGTCCTTGCCCGATGGTTTCAACGAATGCCAGGAGTGGGACCAGGCCACTGCAGGCGTGTGGAAGGTGAAGGCTTGCCTCCCATTCCCCCATGTTCCAGGCCATGCAATGCGCAGATTCTCACAAAGAAGCGGGCCACCTCTGACGCTCTTGTCATGTGTGGGATAGGCATCCAGAGCGGGTATATTCCAGGAGCTAAAGGATCATCTGATGGGCAGAGGAAAAAGTGACAAGCCCCTTCTGGTGCTCCTAGATGACAACATGTTCTACAGGTTTCCTCCATCTTTCCACAGTGTGTCACTGATGATAATGATACGTTGCGCCTGTGGTGACTCACGACGTCCCTCCAATCTGTCAAAAGACTAACTCAACTGTGCAGGAGCATGAGACGTGAATGTGCCCAGCTGGCACGGCAGCTTGAGGCAGCCTTTGCAGTCATCTACCTCCCCTGCAACCTGGTAAGCACCACAAATAGAGGGGTCCGCACGTAGGGAGTTGCTTGAACAGTCCTAGTCTCTAACCTTCATCTATCCGTGAATTTGCTGTACTTTCAAGCTCCCCATCCTCTGTCTTTGCAGCTCGATTTACATCTGGGCAGGCCATGAGGGGGTTGTCCCCATTTTCTGAGGTTTCCCCCATTTCTCAGGTGCTCCTCTAGATTGGGCGGACTAAGAAGCACTCATCTGTTTTACTTTCCTGCGCTCTATTATTTGCCACATGCGCATCCACACGATTCCTGTTGCTTCCCAGGAGGACACGTCCGCAAGAAATGCGTTGCGCAGCGAAGCAGAGCGCGTGCCGCAGGAGGTCCTAAACAGGATGGCTGCCAGGCTGGAGCCTCCAGACCCCAGCAAGCATGCCTGGGAGCGCAGCACTGTCACATTGCCGATTGAGGAGCTGCCAAGCCCATCCAATGTGGATGATCAGGCACGCTCTTCCTGGCCAGTTCTGAGTACTCCAGTGCTGGCGCACCTACAGCCCAAGCAATGTGAACGCTGAGATTTGTCGGGAGATTCGCACGAGGTTTTGTTCAATGCGCCATGTCATCCAATCTGTTGCAGATCTCCGGCTGTTTCTCACCGGTCACCACCGTGCAATGCCACTTATGCTGCTTTAAAATGTAAATTCTTTTGCAGATGCCTAAGCTTGCGTCAAGCGGCAGTCGGCACGGCCAACTAGGAGCAACGAGCCGGTACCAGTGTTGTGCCTTGCTTCCAACAATTCGTTTGGCACTGCGACCATTTACAGTCTTTGAAGTTGTTGCCCTTCGCAGGTGTGGACCGGTGTCTGGGAGGCAATTTTGAGGGCATGGGGCCCCCCGCTGCCAAGGGCGGTCCCCACAGAACCAAGGGGCCCCGCCACCGCCGCATCGGCCACCGCCGCGCATGAGGCCGACCTGCGCTCGCGCCGCGCGATTGCGGCTGCTGTTGCATTTGTCACAACTCGCGAGGGGAAGGCAGCGGCGGCCGGGCGTCTCAATGCCGCGCGCAGGAAATTGCTAGCCAGGTGTGATTCTGCCAGAGGATAGAATTTTGCAATTCTGTGCTCCTGCAGGTGCAGTGTTTTTGAAAGTGCTGTTTGTAGTTGCGGCGGATCTGCAGGCTTAAAGTAAGGTTAGCAGTGGGGTCACAGAGCAACCGCTGGGGTCATGAGTCTAGAAGTGTTCATGCGTTTAGAACTGTTACTGATGGTCTGGGAGACGTGGAGTGGACTGGAAGAGGAGAGAATCTCATTATTAATGCTACGTGGTGCAGGCTGCAAAAAGATGAAGAGTGGAGGGATTCTGCAGCTGAGCTGGCAGACTTTGAGCAGCTCTGCAAGGATGTTGCTACTGAGTAGCAGTGAGCACAGACTGTAAAGTAGTTTTTCTATTAATCAATCACATCATGCCAATTCAGCCTTGGGAATATATTCCAATGGTCTAGATGTATGTAAATGCTGCAGGACAGATAGACAGCAACATTTGCGGAGAAAGCACCTGACTCGGTTTAGTCATTTCAATCCATGTTTAAATGATTTTACGACCAGCGCAGCCCAAATTAGTTCTTTCATCGATTATAGACAGAAAGTTCACCATTACAAGGCAGATCTACTTGGTGCAGATGTCTTCTTACAGGAAACACGCTTGCTTGGCATGTTTCTAAGTCACATGGCAACACTAGCTTAAACAAATTGTCACAGGCTCCTTTGTCATATTTGATTGTCACACTGAAAAGACAATATTTTGTCCCTTATCTCCTCTATGATTGCGGTTGACCTCAGCTGACAAGTTCCACAGTCTTGATGTCTGGGAATTTGTCCTTGATGGCGGCTTGCACACCCATGCCAATGGGCGGCGGACCCCCAAACTGCACCTTGCAAACTCCCCCGCTCACCGAGAGAACCTGCTCCCCAGAAACAATTAACTTTTTGCTGCAGTGGTACCGCAAATGTGCACAGCAGGCTATGCAGGTGTAATGTACTTGAAACTGCGCCTGTATGAGCTTTGTGGGTGCTGCCAAGTGCTGTACTTACACTGCATAACATTGAAGAGTATAGCTGACAGCAGACCCCTTGCAGTAGTGAGGGTGCAGCACCTAGAAGAGAAGCTTGTTTGATGCGCCAAAACAGAAATCTGAGAAACGAAGCATTCCACAAGATGGGCTCACCTGCACACTGGCGCCATAGGAGGCAATTGCCGGCCTGAGCATGTCCAGGTGGGCATCAACTGAAGCCAGATCAGAGGCTGTGGACGTGGCATCCACCTGCAGCACGCCCTTCAGCTTATCCCCAAACGCTCCCTGCGCGCACATACAGGAGCAGATCAGCCTACAGTCTATTACTAAGGAAATCATTCAGAGCCAACACGAGTGTTTGGGATATTTGCGCATGCCCAAATCGAACAATTGCCACCATATATAGATTTGTAATCGTATGAGAATCTCTTCAGAATGGTAATTTCAGCCAGGGCGTGAGCGGGTCATGCCTGGAGTGCACGCTCGATGCCCATCTTCATGGTTCCTGCTGATGACGGGCAGGTGCCGCAGGCCCCCTGGAAGGTCACATCAACCTTCAGCAATCCTTGCATTGCTCGATCAAGAGCCCTGACCCTTACCGCCCAATCTGGTGAAGCAGCCATGCATGCGCAGCCAAGCATGTCACAACAAGTACGCCCACAAAGAGTCATGTCAAAAAGCTTATATTTGCTCCTCGCGCCATCCGACACTCTTGCCCTAGCACGACTTGCACATCCTTATATATGCATCCTGGCATTGACACACTCATGAGGGTTTGGTCCTTGAGATGCGATGAGATGCGCAACAGTACTAGGCTGCAGACTTTTGTAGGCCCCGCAGACGTGGCTGCAGACGCCCAGCAAGTATGCCCTGTGATCTTCGGCTTTGGGTCTGCTGACCTGTAGTAAAAATAGTAATTACACATCTTTGCACACCTGGAGGCGGAGGTAGACAACGCCGTCGGAGATGGAGGCGACCTCTACGTTGCCGCCGTCAGCGATGAGGTACGGCCGCACCTCGTCTAGCGCTGCGTTCACACTCTCCGGCGTCAAATCAGGCGTCTCTGCCGGCGCCGAATCCCCTGCGCGGCCACAAACCAACATGAGGAATCACCAGACGATGCGTCACCCAGCAGCCATCATCACTGCAGTCTTCGCACACAGCGTCTCTTCCTCTTTGCCTCTTGTTGTCCCTTGATGAGTACTCCAAACAGTCAGCACCCCTGAATTCGGGCCTCCACGAATTTTGCCTCTACCGATACATTGCTTGTCTGACCGTGGGACAATGTTATGGGAGTCAGCTCCCGACTGAAGAAGGCAAGACAGATGACTTCCAGAATGAGGTCAGGTCAGCCCCACAAAACGCATTCTTGCACCACGTCAGGTGTCAGACCCCAATGCCAAGCCACAATAAACAAGGATCAAACACCAGACATGGGCACACGGAGGCATATTCTGAGCTGGGCATGAGCGTCAGAGAAGCCCTTGCACAGAGGAAATTCTCTTTTTGACTAGCTAAGGATAATGCGCTGGGCAGAGATTGTATGCGCACCGATCGAGCGGTGGACTGATGCGCGCGCAAAGGGGGTCGATGCCGGGTGGGTGGGCGCTTCTGCGCCGTTGCCGCTGTCTTCAATCGTCTGCGCTGTTTGTCCGTCAATGACACTGCTCCAATCATCGCCTTCCACCGCCCTAAACAATAAGTCGGGAGGGATTGAATGACCACTTCTGGGGTGACAAGAGCACTGAAAAATGACTTGTCAGGCCCTGCGCAACGCCTGCTATTTCTTTGCAGAAGCAGTGCAGGGCAGCCTTGACACTGGTGCAAAGGACAGACATTGCCAAAGCACCCGCAGCACGTGTCATGCCAACCGTGGCAGATCTCAGCAACAGGGCAATAAGCAGGCAATGCCTCTCATAAACATTATGAGACCCTTCCAGGAGCAAGCAGGTGTACTCTGCTCCTCCCAGAGCAAGCATGTCGCACTGATCTGAGTCACACGGCAAGACACAGGCAACACCACTTGAAATTTAGCAGCATCAGACGGGTAAGGGGGGTTCCAGTGTGAGGATTTGTCCGGATTTTGAACCTGATGAGGTTCAGGCGGCGCTGCTTGGAGTCGACGGATTCGCCAGCGACATCGTCCGCCAGGTTCTCACCCATGGCCTTGCGCATTTTGAGCGCTCGCTCCTCCAGCACAGCCACGTCAGCCGCCGGCAGCCCGCTCACCGGCGTCGTCCCCTGCGCGCAGCACATATTTCAAGGCTGCCAAAACCCACCCCTTTGTTGGGCAAAGCTTGAGCAAAACCGTGAAAATGGTGACAGTATTTGTACTGCCCCCTGGCGTTTGAGTACATCATTCTCAGAAGGTGGCAGGTGGTGGCTGGGTGCCCTTCCACTTCAAGACATGTCCAATAGAGCGGCAGCTCCCACCATGCATGTGCTGGCAACATGCTAGAGTCAGCGGATGACTTAATAAAATCACGAGACGACAAGATTTCAGGTGTGAAATAACTCGTATAAATCAGATTGCTGTCAATAGATCTATCGGCCCCATCCTTACAAGCTCACATCTTCACAGGTCTTGAGACAGAATTGCTGTGCAATGGCATTAGGGGCAGACCCCAAAGGTGTATAGACCCCGTCGAACCCAGTCAAAAAAGGGTGGTCTTAATTGTCTTGGGCGGTGACAGTAAAGCCTATGAGAGACCCAGTAATGCAAGGCGCTTCAGGGGTGACAAATGGGAAAAGACAGCTGGCGCACCTCCCACAGGTCGCGCTCGACGCCGTTGCCGGGCGGCAGCGTGCCGGCCTCGGCGAGCCAGTTGTTGGCCTGCTCCTCCAGGTGGCCCCGGCTCATCAGCGCTCGGTTCGCCACCACCAACGCACGCACGTACGCGCACCGCTCCTCACCCACTCGCCCCGCATGGCCCTGCAGTGCACAAACACCCAACGCTGATTACAAGGGAGTTGGCGGCAAGTTCTCCCCTTTTCGTCCTCCTTTTTCTTGATTTTTTGCGAAGTGAGTGTCACGGCAGCGTAGAGCTGCTTGGAGTTGCAAAGCGACTATTATCTCTTTTCTTATCTGCTTCTCCTTGCCCTATTTGCCAGGATGAGTAATTGCATGGGTGGAATTCGCAAGCAGGGGAGCCCCGTCAGGGTGTCTGAGAGATGCAAGCACAAGCATGCAGCGCTCATAGGGCCGGCCAACACAGGGCCACGGCAGGCGAGGGCGTGTGCAGTTTGCCATGTTGTGAGACGCATGTGCACATGCGCAGAAACCAGCCATGCACTAGATTGACATGAAATGAGTCGGCACGTTTAGACAAAAGTTTCCCTGGAAGGATGCCCTGCATGGCAAGTGGCACCTTGATGGCCATGGTCATGTTGCGCGCATAGCCCACGTACTGCAGGTTGCGCCTGCTGTCGTACAGCGCATACACCCCCAGAGGTTTCTCCCCCTGCCGTACTGCTAGGTACCGTTCCACTGGCACCAGTGATGTGCCGTCATCCTCACCCTGAATGTCAGGAGAAATATTCAGGGTTCCTGGTATGCTTGGTACTTCCGGCACAACCTTGCATGTATGCATTGTAACAGAATCACAGCGCCTGCCAAGCATGCAGTGTAGCCCCTTTGACATGCTACTGCACTCTGCAATGGATGTGGAAAGGGGAAAGCAGGAAGGAAAAACATCAAGCAGGAACCTGCAGGATCACCTCCCGTGTCTGGTAGTCCCTGCCTTCATCGTCATGGACTTCCGCGCCTGATTCGCCATAGAGGAAGCCGTGCAGGCCCTTGTGCCCCTCTGGCACGTTGCTGTCCGTCGCAATGGCCCCAACGCCTTGAGGCAGGGCCACAGTACCCTGTCCATACCAGATTGTGGTGTTGACAGAGTCCTCACAGTTGTGAAGGGTACTGGAGGCTCAAAGTTATGTTAACGATTGTTTTTATATTTGCAGAGGTGGTGATTCGGGAACGCGCGAAAAGAAAGCAACAGAGGATGGTATTAGCTATGCGGTTTTAACTTACATTTTCCGTTGCTCTGACCACTGACGAGATCCTGCCCTTTGGCCGGCTCGTTCGATCTGCAGCGTTTACAAGATTGTGTTTTGCGAATTTGCGGTCGACTGCAGGGAAAGGGCGCCCATGCAAGCACTGTCCCAACATTGCAAAAAGTCTCGAGTTCTCCCTGCCTCTACCAAGCCCCAAAGTAATAGCGTCCTCAATGCACACTACCAAAGGCCGTTTGCACGATTGTTTGCAACTTCTTTCTGTACAGATCGCTTCTGCAGATTGCACATATCCTGGGCATGAGGATATCGCGTGGAATGAGTCACTGAGGGCCACGTGCAGCGATTTTTTGGGCCGGCCATAATCAAGGAAATCATGGAAGCTTCCTCACATGACGCGATGAGCCCAACTCCAGGAACTTCAGCTATTGGTTGCCTACCGTCTGATCAATTTGTTTTGTCTCTGTCACTGGAGTGGAGCGTGAACCGAAAGGGGCTGCGTACAGGACGCACCCAGAAACGTCGACATCTACAGGTGGGCCGGTTTTCGGCGGCCTCTGTTCAACCCTTGCATTCTTGGCCATCCCGTTCAGATACAACGGATCTTGAGTGATATATCGAGCGATAATGTTGGTGTTTGCTACATGTTTTTTCGGAGTTTAAGGTGAGGTGAAGTCGATCATGATTGCGCATTACTTTGTGCATGCTGGTGCCGCCTCGATATCAGTCAAAGTTGATCGGCCCAGATACCTCTACTAACTGACATCATATAGAAAATCTCAAATTGCTGTTGCGAGTGAATCACCTCGGCGTTTCGCACCGGCGCGCATGATGTACCCATGGGACCTGCCGATGCACTTGTGACCGGCGCCAAAGCCGGTACATTAGCTCGAAATTTTGGTACAAGATGGTGTAAGGCTTTCATATTAATTCTCAGATGCCACGTACAGGGATGGCAAGATTCACCACAGCAGCAGTGCCCATCGGTCTGGCCATGCTGCTAATCCCCAAAGCCGTCCTGGGGGACGTTCAGATTCGCAAGACGATCATGCAATCCACGGCTTGGACGAAGACTGGCCAGGACACAGAAGTGATAGCCACTCCCATGGAGTCCTTCCAGTCAATGAAAGCATACGCCCCTGGCAGTGGGCGCGGTACCCCCTTCAGGCTTGACGCCCTCACCATCTGTATCATTGGTGAGTTTCTTGCTAGAACATTGCTTGGCGTTTTGTTCATGTATCCTTTCCTGTGCATCTCCTAAAGCTATTACTCACTTCCCGACAGTCAGCGAGCTCGCCTTGCACGAGGGCAGCATCTATTCCCTGTCCTTCACCACATGCTCGGCAACAAGCTGGTTGCGAATGATGTCCGCTTGCGATCAGATATGAATTCAAGGTTGGCTCTTGCAGGTGCTGTTGTTTTGGTCAATGTCGGCATGGTTTTCTGCTGTGCGCGTCTGGCGTGTCTCAAGGCATTGGGGCGAGACACAGATCCCCTCGCAACAGAGGCGGCTCAGGCCGCAGCCGCCGCCGCGCCGGCTGCGGGGGACGCAGGGGGAGGTCCCGGTGGCGGCACGGCAGGGGGAGGTCCCCGCATTGAGCTCACCGCCGTCACCCACCCCAACATGGATGTGCGCTCCCTTAATCCCTCCGACTGCTGTTTGCTCGGAGTTAGTTGTGCTCTTCATGGAATCAAAGTGAGCTTGGGGTTGCATTCAATGGATCAGTTGAATAAATGAGAGCAAGGATGCGTTGTCAGCCAAGCGGCTCGACGCATGCCTCCCTGCACTGCATTGCATTGTGCACTAGATGTTCATTATTCCCAGATATAGAATGGTGCTTCATGGATCTAAGCATGCAAACTCACTTAAGCTTGACCATCAGGCATACTTTTGGCGCAGCTCAGAGCACATGCTAAGATTCCCATCTGCTAATGACTGCTATGGAAATCTTGTGCTGTACACTCTGCTTCTGCAATGTGTCCTCTTCTGGTCACTGGTACGCAGATGACCTTTAGATGGGGCACCCTATAGCAGCATGCACAGCAGGTGTGCATAAAAGACAGGCCTGCCTCGCGCACTGTACACTCAGACTCTGTGTGCGCATGCAGATGTCATTTGCCAGGAGACTTTCCGGGCGCAACTCTCGGGAGGAGCACACCAACGACCCTGAAGCCGATGCTCCGCTCAGTGCAAACCAGAGAGGGAACAGCGACCAGCGCAGCACGCACTTGTGCGCGTCACCAACGCCAAAGTCCCTGGGCTGTTGTGCAGTCCCCATGGTGACTCTGGTCATTGACAGCAACGAATGCAGCGCGGCTGCATGAAGAGATTGGTTGTACCACGAACACCGTTTATCGTCCTAGAGAAGGCAGCGTGGGTCAAATGATCAGCTGCATTGAGAGGCCGCTGCAAGTCCTGTCTGTGTCGAGCTCACCAGATGCATGCAGCGTCTGTGACATGTGAGCATGGCGCTCAGCATTTTGTACCATATCTTATCTGGTGGAGGCCATAAGAAAGTTCAGGGGTTGAGTTCAGTATTGGTATTCGCCTTTAACAGCCAAAGGAAGTGTGTCTTTGTCAGATCTCAGACATGCTGATGGTCCAAATGTGATGTCGGGGTGAAGTATGCACATGTTGACTCTCAGAAGCTCTAATTCATTTGAAGCTGAGCGAGCGGCTGCACTGCATGACATTTATTATATTAGCTGTACGGATTGGAAGTGCTTATGCAAGTGCTCATTGGCTTGCTGATTGCATCTCGAATGTGTCACATTGCCACATGACATTTCCTTAGTGTTGCTTTCCTCAAAGAAAGCGAGTATGGTGTGCGTACAATAATGCATCAATATGTATGACGTTAAATTTCGAGCCAGGGCATCTCTGATCAGATCAGATCTGTCCTCGCTAAATTGGCAAAAGCAGCATAATCATTAGTCACTCTGTCCTACTGGGGTACAATGTGCAAGGTCCTATATTTCAGCGTGAAATCTGAGTTGTATTGCAAATAGGCTGAGCCACAAAGGCTTGCTGTATTGAGCAGCCTCGTGCTGGCTGCGCCCATGTCAGAAACTTTGCAGTCATTTGAAGCAATGTCAATATGTTCATTAGTCACCAGGAAGGACTTCAGCGCCTCTTTTATTTGATGCTACAAGCTGCTGGAGGTGAAATCATTTGAACGCTAAAGACCAATAAATGTGCTGGGTGCAACCCTGACATTTGTATCATGACCGCCCCCTTCTAAGGGCTATTCTAATGGCTGCACGCAGACATAACTGTCGCAAAGAGCACCAGTGTATCTTGACTGCACTTGTCATTTTTGTCATGAATTCGACAGCACTGATCGCTTGTGTCACCAGTTTCATCATCGAGAATCGCTTGTGTCACCAATTTCATCATCGAGAATTTAATTTCAATTTCTTTCACGCATGGCACTACTTTCACGCACTGCGCATCTTTATGGCCTTGGGCGCGTGCCAAGTGGGATGACTGTGCGTCCACTGCCTGATCTCTGTGGCAATGGCATCAGCAACCTGCAACAGCACATAGCGCCAATCAGTCATCCATTGGCAAAGTGCGCAAGTGAGTCATCCTATCAGTCATCCCTGTACACATGCGCAGTGTCTGGAGGCCAGCCGCATACATGCAGCTAACTTGTAGTCCTTCGGGCATGCCATAATTTGGTGAGCGACATGCCAGGCGCTCAATTAACAGCCACAAAATGTTCAAGCAACTTGCACCGGTGCAGGTATATGACAAATAATACATCACAATCCAGGCAATTCGAGTGTTACTGGAAACTAAAAAGGAGTAAAAAGCACACCTCCTTGGTTTCAGCGCCATGTGCAGCATACTTGAAGCCTGCCACAAGCTGACCCTGCACCCGCAGCACCAGTAGTTACTATTAATTAAAACTTATAATTATAATACTTCAGGTGGTCTCACCCCACTCCATGACCCTGCACACCCGCGTGCTTTGCATGCTTGCATAAGCTGTGGGCATGAATCTGATGTCACAAACAGGACATGTGTGAACAAGGCACTGCATCTTTCTTCCCAGTGCAAGGCTGCAGACAAACGTTGAAAGCCCATAAGTGTGTAATGCACACGCTCTCCATGCATGCCTGGAGCCCTTTGGCATGGGTTTGCTGGGTTTGCCAACCTTGTAGTATGCTTTAATAGTGATCTAGATGTTCAACCTACAGTAATCAATGACAAATCCTGGAATGATTGCGTGAGGGATGACCTGGATCCCGTGGGATTGACATGCCATCGGTGGAGAAGATGCCAAGACAGGGAATGCTGGAGAGGAAATTTTGACAGGTTGCTGCAACGCACCTAGCCCTGAGGGCTGGAATAAGCAAGAAGTATAAAAATTACACGCTTTTCCTGCCAAAGGCAAGGTGCGTCTGCAGACAAGCTGCATGTAAAGGCTGCCAGATTCCTGCCCCTTGTTGGACTCGCCAGATCCAAGCAAGACCCGATCAACCGTGGGCACGGTGCTCAGTATTTGTACCGCCCCCCGCCAGCCGGGGCAATGTCATAATATAATATAAAAAGTCAATGCAGAAGATTGAGGTGAGTCTCACGTCTGGGTTGACGAGGAAGAGGGTGCCATCCGGGTCTCCAGCCTCCACCACTTCGGTCTTGCCCTCCTCGGTCACCTTGTCATTGAACACATTCACCATCTCCCGTATCTGCACCACAAACATCGTGCCATTATGCATGCCTTCAGCCGCAGTGCAGACCATTGATGACCTTTCGTTCTCTTCTTCATTACTCTACTAGAGGTCCACCCTGCATCAGGCAAAGCAACTAGAGTGGTCCGCACGCAGGCACTTGCCGGAGCAATTCCTAGTCTCTAATCTTCATCGATCTGTGAACTTTGCTGCTGTCTTGAGCTCCCCAGCCCCTGTTTTTGCAGCTCGCTTTACAATTGGGCAGGCCATAACACGACTGATTCATCTTTCTCAGGTGCTCCTTTAGATTAGGCGGACTAACTATGTCGTTGCGAAACAGCATTTGAAGTCAGCTGCCGGTGTACTCTTGGCTGACCATCATGCAATGGGAACTGTCATGGGAGACGGCTTCTCTTTATTAGCATTGGTCATGCCTTGGTGCTCACGCCTTGAACTTTGATATTGAACCAATAGGTACTGGAGAAAGAGTGAAACAAACTAGAAGATGCCAATGCAGTAGGGAGAAAGGTAGCTGCAAAAAGCTGCACCTTGGAGATTTCTGAGCCGGCCAGGCCGACCATGCGCGGGCCGTGGCTGCGGCGCTCGCTCTTCTTGGTGTGCTTGCTCATGAGGTCGCCCATCTTCCCCTGAGCCTCCTCGCCCGCCTCCTCGCTCACAAACAGCGCGCGCATGTACTGCATGTTGCTCTTGCGGTCTGGACCAGCACAGGAAAACTTAGATGATGTTTGATCGATTGGAAACTCACCAGCAAGGCCTGAATAGTGTCTTCCTGAGACCTCAACAAGTGTCCCGGAGATATCCTGAACAATTTGGTGTAAAAACATAACAATTGGACAGAACAATAAAATCCAGCTCATCACAGCCGTTTCTTCCGCAAAGAGAGCGGAAAGTTCGAATGCGCTTGCCAAGGAGAGTACAGAGCAGATTGCATGAAGCAAGAACGGCTAGACAGTGAAAGCCTCCATATCGCGTGCATGGCAAAACGAAGCTTTCTAAGTATGATGTGTCATGAAGTGTGAGATTACCTGTCTGCCGGACAATCTCGCTCATGTTCTGCAGGCGGCTCTTAGCGTCCTCAAAATCGCGGGTCACTCCAAACACGAGCAGAGTGAAGTCCCCCTGCACAAATCCCCAAACACTCAGTCAAGCAAATTTGCGCATGCGTCTTAATTGTTGAAGAATGCCGATCATCCACTGTACAGTACCCTTCTATGTAGAAAGTTGCGTCAGGGACTTTTCAAGACTGCTGACAGAAAGCCACAGGCAGGGGGGATGCACATTATTTATTATTATTACACGCTTTTCCTGCCAAGAGGCGAGGTGCGTCCTGCAGACAAGCTGCAGTTAAAGGCTGCCACAATCCTAACCCTTACTGGACTCGCCAGATCCATACAAGACCCAATCAACCGTGGGCACGGTGCTCAGTATTTGTACCGCCCCCTGGATGCACATGGCGCTGCAAATATCCGTGATCACAGGCAACGATCTCGCAGGCATGCACAGCTAGTTGAGTAGGACAGCCAATGGTGCAAAGGTATGCTTGGGAAGCACACCTGTAACTGAGCAAGCGAGAAGTCTGAGCCACTCTGGTCGACGGCTGTGAACTGAGGCAGCTGCACTGGCTCCTCAGGGGCGCTGCCTCCTGGCACATCATTCGGGTCCGTTCCATCGGAGACACTACCTGCAGACTCTGCAGCCCAACAGCGCACACAACACCTCAGCAATTTACAACCTGCTGCTGACGGTAGGTTTACTGCTGATCCACCCTTATTGCACGTGTTTTAGGCAGGCTATCACTCGTTTGTACAACCCTTAGCCAGCGCGCAAACAACGAGCTATCTCCCCGAAAGACAAAAGCAAGCAGCTATGCAGAAAACAGGTGGATGACAACACACAGGAATGTTCAGATCTGTACCAGCTTGTGCCTCTGGAACGGCACTGGAGCTGAAGAAATATGCTCCAGAGCCTACAACTGCAGCACCCCCCGCTGCATAGTAAGCCCAGCTGGGGACGCTCGCGCCCACGAACGCCTGCAGGGAAGCAACGAAAATAAGTGATCCTCCACTATTGTACCCTAAGACAGGAGGATCGTTCCCCTGAAGTAGGCCAGCTACTGACAAAGGAGCCATCTGCCCCTCAATTCAAGCGACTGGACTGTGATGGTTGGAGAACTCGCCTCTTTAGCTGCGCCAGCAGATGCAGTGCTGATGTTCCTTGTCTTGTGAAGGGCGTTCCGTGCCTGCAGGTGCCACCCAAAATGTAACCGGTCCGGACAATGGCACGCATCGGTGCGCTACAGTGCCACAAAGTTAGGCTCTCACACTCCTTGTATACCATAAATGATACGGCGGATAATCAAACCTCTGCTTCGGTGGCCAAAAGGCTGTTTCTCGCCTGCCTGACGAGTACTCTGCCGATGCGGGCTGCGCTCATCGTGCTGAACTGGTCAAGGGTATGCAATAGCGGAATCTAATTTGCGATGGCTGAGTTGATCAGATCTTATCAGCCTTATCAATCGATTTGCTCTACTTGCAAGCTGGAATCGGTAGAAATAATCAAAGAGGACCCGAGCTCGACCACGTTGAAGTTGGCCAGCTTCGCGTCGGCATGAAGCTTCCCCGACAATGGTAGCTTCTTCTCAGATGGAATCCTGATTCAATATAATTCTTCAGCAACTGCTGTTTGCCAATCGACAATCACCAGCTATATTACACTGCTTAAGTCCATCTAGGTCATAAATGCTAGCACTCACGCCAGGATATCGCGGATTCGCTGATGCAGAAGGACATACATTTGCAGCACCACAGGGCTACTTGGTAATCCCCAATTTGGACCCTGTCTTCTGACCTATTTGAGCATTAACAAATATCAATAGGACAAACATACCATGGCGGCATTCATTGCAGGGCACAACAGGGTAACAGCTGGTGCTGTGCATTAACATGCGCATGCATAAACCCCACTTCCCAGCGATGTTGAGGTACGACTCCTGCGTCTTTTCCCTTCACATCAACCTCGTCTCAATCATACATTTATCCGCATCATGCCTTGCACGCATTCAGACCTGCCCAACTCTGCTTGTGGAATCACAATCGTGTACTTGCATAAGGTCATCCCACTGCAATTTCCAAACCTCCCCACCATCCATCGTCCCATGCAAGTCAGCCCTCGTACAAGCCTCCCCACTGAACTTCCCATGCAAATCTGCCCTCAGGAGGCCACATCCCTGACTAATCTTTGACTAAACTTGCCCATTCACTTTAAAAAAGTAGCCCTTTCTCTTACTCCGGCGCCCGCTCTGCATTGAGGTCTGCATTCCTCTTTCCCTGAAGGGCACACTAGTCTTCAATGCAACACTGGCCACACGTCCAGCAACAGGCTACGAAGCTTGCAGGCCTGCTTGATGCCATGCGGCCACAGCTCTCCTTTTGGACCAACCGTTGAGTATCTTGCCATTTTTTGTTCTTGGCAAAAGCTGTGCTTCTTCGATACGGTACAAACCATTACCGGTGCATCTTTGAGGAATGCTCTAGGCCATGCGGCTCTTGACAGCCTTGGGGCCGTGCCAGCCAGGGTGGGAGCGCTTGTAGTCCAGGATCTGCTCTGCCACAGAGTCTGCAACTTCCTCCGGCAATGCTGCCTCTTCGTAGGTGACCACTATCGTGCCCTCCGGGGTCACCAGATGCATGTCGCCCTTGCCAAACTGCGCAGCAACAACAGTCTATTGATAAGGGTTCAAGGCATAGTTACATCATATGGTAGAAATTCTCTGGAGTGATATGGTCGTACGGATTTTAAGACTACGGCATATGGTCAAACACGGCCAAAGCTGGCCAAAAAATCATACATACGACCGCATGTACACCATATAACATATCCCAGTATCTGTTTGGTGCAACTATTGTTCAAGGGGCTTTGTGGTCTCATGAAAGACACCAGCAGTCTCTCAATTACGAGTGATCTCCAGTAGTCTCCCATTTGATGCTAGGAGCAGGGGAGGATCTGCCCACATGCTGACATGCATGCAGGTGCAACAACCTGGAAACCTGAAGCTTGCACCAGGTTGACAGGCACAACCCGTTTGCACCTATACAAAATGGCAAGGTGGTGCACCATGCTGCGCCAGGCCTGCCAAAATTCTTGCGCAAGAAGCTTTGTGTCAGGACTGTTCATGGACTTGACCAGTTCGAGGTGACAAGGACTGCAGACAGATGTGTGCGCTCACCGCAGCGAGGATGGGGGGCTCCTCTTCTGGGCTGCCTACCTCATCGCCACTCTTTCCAGCATCCTTTCCAGCATCAGGGCGGCCCGTGGCTGATGCCCTGACAGACTCAGCAATTGCCTCCTTGATCTGCAGCCCCAGCCATACATTACGATCACTGAAGACACAGTAGGTCAGAATTTCTGCGTCTCTGCTGACGGCATCACTCAACCAACTGTAAATTCTGCAGCAATAATCTGCAGGGACATGAAGGTAGAAATGAGCCAGTGGAGCACAAATTGGTTGTCCACCATCAGCCTCACTTCACGCCTTTGCAATCATGGTTTAGGTGCGTCCCTGCAGTTGTTCAACATCAGCCTCCCAAAAAAGGCTTGGAGTGCAGGCAACTTTCAGGAGGACTGGGCAATCCACCTGTCAGTAAACTATAGAAGGGGACAGAGTTAGCGCATCAATCACGAAAACCTGAACATACAGGTGACCGAATTAGAACAGAAGGGAACAGAGCATGCGCACCGATTTGGTGGCCTCCTCTCCGGCGAGCCCCTTGAAGCGCGCCTCGGTCTTGTGTGCCTTGCTCTTGATCTTCTCCAGGAACTCGTTGATCAGCTGCTTCAGCTTGCCGCCGGATTCCTTGGCCTTGCCCCGCTGGTCCCCGCTCTGCTCCACCACCACAGGCTGCGTGTACTCCATGTTTGTCTTCTGGTCTGCGGGCACCCACCACATGATGTAGCCTCAGGTTTCAATAATCTTGAGCTGAAATAATAATGATGTCGACAAAGCAGGCATCAGTGCATGGTGGTATTCTGATCTGCATGCCCTACTGCAGATATTCAACCCCAAGCTAGCAGAGCACTCTCCTAAAAGAAGCAGCAATCCCTCTGCAACAACCTTGCAGGCACTAACCAACAAAAGTGAGGTGCCATTGGTCTGATAGCCATCAGGACATTTCCCGGAAAGGCACATCATGTTGCACACCAGCATGCAACAGCACTTTACCCTGTTGGAGACCACATGCATGGAGGCAGGATTTCTGCTCGAGCAGGGCACTTTGATCAGAGAATAGAGACTATTGGTCAGATTGGAGCCCCCCAGGGTACAGTCATCTCAGAAGAATAAGAGGGGCGCGCACCGATGCCCTCGATGACCTGCATTAGGCGGTCCAGCACCTGCTGCGCGATTTCCGGGTCCTTCGCGTCGACAGTGACCACAACGGCGAAGTCCCCCAGCAGGTCGTCCAGGCAGAGGGGCGTTCCATCCACCGGGTCCTCCCCCTTGAAGGGGGGGATCCGCACTGGGGGGTCCACCGGCACCACCGCATCTGATGTGCCGGTCGGGTGGGGGCTCGTGTAGGAGTCGCCGCCTGCACTTAGTCAGACAGTCAAGAGTGTTTTTGACCACCTAAATCAGAGTTACAGACAGTTTGCACATCCAAAATTCATTGAGGCAACACTGTAGCGCTCTCTTGGCATGACGTACCAGATATGTGGTTCAGGAGCACTGCATGGAAAATTTAGTGCAAGAAAGAACCCGTTCACTGTTGTTGCGGCAGTATGTGCACAAAGGAATGCTCACCTTGCCTTGCAGCTGCAGACTCAGCGTCCACGGACTGCTTGTTCTTGTAGAGGTAGTAGACACCGCCTGCCCCGGCGCCTGTTGCCACATAGCCCCAGGTGGGCATGCCAGCATTGCCCTTGGCGCCAAGCTGCACCCCAAAGCGCACACAATGGCATTATTTGTAATTATTTTTATCAGTTCGCCCAACCCAGAGGAGCACCTGAGGAAATGGGCCCGATTGTGTCATGGCCTGCCCAAATTTCAATTGAGCTGCAGAAACAGGGGCTGGTGAGCTCGAAACAACAGCAAACTTACAGATAGACAGAGATAAGAGACAAGCAATTTATCTAGCAAAAGCATATGAGCAGACCACTCTATTTACACGGTTTTCCTGCCAAGCCCTGTGCCTCAGAGGCAAGGTGCGTCCTGCAGACAAGCCGTTGAAGGCCGCCATAGTCCTATCCCTTGATGGACTTGCCAGACCCAAGCAAGACCCAATCAACGGTGGACATGGTGCTCAGCATTTATACCGCCCCTCCAGCCGGGGCTAAGGTGTCAAGATATTTGTTGCCAAATGTTGCGGAGAATGATTCAGACAGTGCCATCTTCAACGTGCCCGGGAGTCTGGTCCCTCATTGTTAATGCAGACACGACAGACCATGCAAGAGCTGCAGATCTGCTCTTTTCGACAGCCGTACCTCTTGGACAGGATTTGATCCGCCAGGTGATGCTGTGCTGAAGAGGCGACATTGGGCCCCTTGCTTGCAGTGCTGGGCTTCAGCTGCTGCCTGCTGCATGGTGACATCCATTTCAAATATGCAACTGATATCAGTAAATGCATTGCTAGATGTAAAAGACGTGACGAAGTGAAAAGCAGCAGGCTTCAAACATGCGCTGACGACGCATCTAAAAGGGCTTTTTCCCTGGCTGGTTACCTTTGTGCGTGGCAACAGATGAGTTGATACGATGTTTGATATGCTTGCTTTTTTCAATGCCCTGGCTGTTCTGAGGACTCCTGCCATTCCTCTCAGCGCCCAGGTGATCTGTGTAGATCACACTGCCGATGTCACCTTCAAGAGTACGCTACACGCGAGCGCAACAAGTAGAGCGCACGATGGCTCTTGAAGAAGCGCAATTTACTTCCTCTATTAGACCTATTCGATCTCAACATGCATCGCTTGTCATCGAAATTTAGGACGCTTTCGTTCTTAAAATAGAACCCTTTCGGTAGGTTTCGTGATAGATTCCTTGTAACCCCTGCGAAAGGAGCAAGAACGGCGCCACACGGAGATGGAAGCACAACCATTCTTTCTCGGCAAAGAAGCTGACATCTTTGTTAGTGAGGGATATCATAGCCATATACGTTTGGAAGGGAGCTTTTGGAAAGTTTTTGCGAATAGCAAAAGGCTGCCATCAGGACTTCAGTGTTACTAAGATCAATTCACATGAAGTGTCTGGTTGTGCTGCAAGTGTAGTATATTAGGGAACATTAATTTCCCTTGAATCCTTAAATTCAATCGATTTCAGGGAACGAGAAAAAGGAAAGCATATCCATTGATCTCTAGTATATGCTTTTGGTCCAAGGAATTTGGAAGGTTTCCATTGCATAAAGCTTTTGGGGAGGATTTCCTAACCTCATGGCCAGGGGATCGGGCGAGCCCCCTCACAAGATGGCCAAGCTGGACGTTCCACAGCCCACAAATGTCATCATCCAGTTTCAGTCAGACGTTGGGGAGACAGTAGGTAGGCTTCATTGGAATTTTGACTTGTGGCAGAATGGAATCCATGCTCGGTATATCTGCCTTTGTTGCTGATGTGATGTCTGGCATGCAGGGCCTCAGCTCGATGTGCCTCACGATGTCACCCCAAAGCAGCTGGAGACCCTCCTGAATGGCCTGCTGAAGCAGGAAGAGAAGCTACCCTATTCATTCTTCGTCAATGAGCAGCAGATATCAGATGAGCTGGGCACACACCTGCTCAAAAACAAGGTACCTTCCGGGTTCAGCCGTCATGCGCAAATCAATCCCTCTGTCAAGCGATGTGCTGCAGGCATTCTGCATGCCTGCTCTGCTGTACTCTCTCCAAGTGAAGCACCCGTTTGTGCTGTTTGCGAACAGATAATTTGACCCTGTACAGCCTAAATTCACATGACAACTCCAAATCAGGTGTCTGTGGAGACTGCACTGCGAGTGGTATACCAGCCCCAAGCAGTGTTCAGGGTGCGGCCAATTTCGAGATGCACTGCCTCCATGCCAGGTGCAACTCTTGCTACTTCTCAAAGCTCATTTGACTAAAGATGGCAAAGCCCACATGCCGCCCCACCCAGGCTTCTTCACAGCATGCATGTCACTTGGTGCCACCGCTTGCCTGGCAGGAACAGCGTATCATTATAGACGTGGTAGCATTTTGCCAGAGTGATCAAAGTGACCAGTACCAGGAATGTGCTTGAGGAAGACAGTTCTGGTGGCTTCAGAATTAGTATGCTTTCTCTGGATGCAGGCCACACAGAGGCGGTGCTTGCAGTGCAGTTCAGCCCGGATGGCCGCCAGCTGGCGAGCGGCAGTGGTGACACAACGCTCCGGCTGTGGGACCTGGGCACACAGACGCCTCTGCGCACATGCAAGGCACGTCCACTGCACATGCAAGCATGCAAAACCATGTGTTCTCTGCTTCTGGTTTTGTTTTGCCCATGCAGAGCTGGTATCGGACATTGGTGTTTCAGCGCTTGCTGAAGCAGCTGAGGTTTTGCGCATTGAATAGAGGCATGCGCAGGGTTTTATTTCCAGTTTTGAAAGGAAGGTTTTGGGGTTATGCAGGGCCACAGGAGTTGGGTGCTGTGTGTTAGCTGGTCGCCAGATACACAGATGATTGTCACTGGAGGCATGGATGGAGCGCTGTGGCTATGGGACCCAAAATCCGGCAACCCCATCGGCTGCTGTAAAGGTGTTGATTGACCGCTTGCAAGATTGCTTCAGCACTGTCATTGGGGTACTTTCTGGTACCAATGCGGAAGCACTCCAATGCATGACGCCTAAGCATTTGATAAGTGGATACTTGATAAATCTGCAAGATTTCGATGCATGCTCTGCTCTGGATGGTGCATACTTGGGCGGACTTGAGATGCATGCATTTAAAAATGACCAGCATAGAATCATGGTTTTCACAGGGCACACAAAGTGGATCACAGCTGTGGCATGGGAGCCTGCGCACATGGCCCTCCCCTGCCGGCGCTTTGTCAGCGGCTCAAAGGACACCACCGTCAAGGTGTGCAGCATCACTCTTATTCTTATGCTTCCAGATTCCTGCTTTTAGGTCCTCTGGGCGTCCAGCTGTGCGTCATCTGTGCCACTGTCATCTGTGACTGTGGCACACCATGGAAGGCATTTGAGGCATTCCACCATTAAGAAATGCTGTGCATGCTTAATAATTGCTTCTGGGTTGGTTTGCCTGACACTTGGGGGATTTGTGGTGCAGGTGTGGGATGCACAGACAAGGCGGTGTCTGATGAGCATGTCTAGTCACACCCTGGCAGTCACGAGCGTGAGATGGGGCGGAGACGGCCACCTCTACTCCTCCTCCAGAGACTGCTCCATCAACGTCTGGGATGCGCAGGTAATTTCATAATCCTGCATGTGTTGAAATTGCATGTCTCATCTCTTTGAGTTGCACCCCACCGATGGCTGCCCCAGCAGCAGTCGATGATAAGTGTCTGGGCTGCTCTCAAGGTGGCATTGCCTTGTTCGACTGCTCTGACGCGTGAGAAGACAGCCTGCTTTCTGCAAGGTCTGCTCGCTCCAGCAGCTTGATTACTTGCTTCTGGATATCAGTGCCGCCTTGTGTTTGTTATGCAATAATTGTTGTCGTGTTGGTTTGCAGGAGGGGCGGTTGGTGCGTAGCTTGAAGGGGCACGGGCACTGGGTAAACACACTGGCGCTCAGCGCTGAGTATGCTCTCAGGACGGGTGCATATGACCACACAGCAACTGCCCCGTCAGATCCCAAAGAAGCACAGGCCAAGGCTCTCCAACGGTGCGCTCCCCTTCCCCATTTCCAGAGTCGCATCGCACCTAGAATTGTTCAGGTTCAGGGAGCTGGCTTTCAATTCCCCACAGGACTCACAGCCGTAGGTCCAATGCAACCTAAAATGGTTCATTATCTGAGATGCAATTTTCCATTTCATATGTGGAGTTCGGCCATGCTTGGCAGCTTGAAACGAGTAATGCATGCAGCAAATGTCTGAAATTAAGCAAATGCTACGGTATCCTGTGCCCTTGTTAATCCCTCTTCCAGCCTATCCCGCGGCAGGACGAGTTTCAGATAGGGCGCACATAAAATGAGGGCGTTTCGCTGACGGCACTTAGGGGCAACATGCCTCGATGAGTGTTCTCTGATAGTAGCTCCCTCACATGCTGCAATCTCTACCACCCAACAAACACCCACAGCACCCGCAAGCTATCATGGCACTTTAATAGACCTTCAGTGCCATCACCGCACTCATGCTTATTTAGTGGGTGGTGCCAAATCGGCGTTTATTATAAGGTTTCAACAGGTCTTGACCACTGGGTGCTGCCTAAATTTGACAGCAAAATTAAAATTTGAGTTTGAAAATCCTATCCAGGTATGAGACGGCGAGGGCGGGTCGGCCGGAGCGGCTAGCGTCGGGCTCGGATGACTTCACCATGTTTCTGTGGGAGCCTGCGACGAGCAGCAAGCCCATCGCGCGCATGACCGGCCACCTGCAGCTCATCAATCAGGTACCCGGACCTTCTACACATTCTTAGCTGCCTCGAATACACTGTCAGAACCCAGATGGGAAATGCGCCGCGGTTGAAGCTGTGAATCTGTCATACTGGTGTGCTGTGTGGCATCTTGCATGATCAGTGACAAACTGCAGCTGTGGCTGTGCGCCATGTCATGAGTGTCAACGTCGGGGGGGTCCAATTGTTATGCCTCTGAAATGATGACATCCATGTCACATCGTGACGCCGCAGTTCCCCACTGACCATGGAACCCGTTGCATGCAATTCTTTTCGGCTGCACAGTGCGTACGTAGCTGAACCCTTCTCACCATAGGCTGCAGCATCCAGAAAGGATGCACAGATCAAGTGATTGACGGGCGTGTTGGGGGATGCTGTATGCAGGTACAATTCTCCCCGGACGGCCGCTGGCTGGTAAGCGCGTCCTTCGACAAGAGCATCAAGCTGTGGGACGGCGTGAAGGGAACGTTCGCAGCCACGTTCCGCGGCCACGTCGGCCCTGTGTACCAGATCGCTTGGTCGGCTGACTCGCGCATGTTTGTCTCTGGATCCAAGGACAGCACCCTCAAGGTGCATCTCTCTCCCTGCAGCATGCACGCTCTAAGAATTTTTTTGCGAGAAAGACTTTTGTGGAGTCAAGAGATTTATGTGGAGTCAGGAGTCTTGCCGGCCTGTCCCTAGGCTGTCGGAAGCAGCATGGTTTCCTGCTGCTGGTGATGCATGCATGCATGCAGACCGTCTTCTTCTTGAGAGACGGACAGAATAGCATGCAGAGTATGTAGGACATTGGGGCTCTTGGAAAGTGAGATTGCTGGTTTCTGAAGGTCCATGGAACTTTGCAGGTATGGGAGGTGGCGAGCAAGAAGCTGAAGCTGGACCTGCCAGGACATGCAGACGAGGTGTTCACAGTTGACTGGAGCCCGGATGGCGGCTCTGTTGCCTCTGGCGGGAAAGATCAAGTGCTGCGCATCTGGCGTCAGTAATGTGCAGCATGAAGGCAATGAGAAATATCTGCATGCTTCAATTTATTGTTGGGCGTGCGCCCGACAAAGCATCGTCATGTGGCAAGCATGATTATTGAACTGCTATAGCTAGCGAGCGAAATTGATGGCCTGTTGCTTGTTTGTACAATAGAAATGTATGATTGTATGAAAAGTTGATGTTGATGGAGTTGTAAAATTACCTTTCTGACACGCAACTGTCTAAAGATGGAGGGTAACAGCTGCTTGCTTACTCATCACATACTCACACTTGTGAATTCCACACTTTCAAAACATATAAAGTCCTCTGCTCTTTCAGACGCCATCCAGTAACTTCGAGAGACCCCTTGAGGGTCCCCTGCGTTCGCTTCGAAGAATTCCTGCACCGCTTTGGACAGAGAAGCAGCACACACGAGGCCCGTCATCTCTCGGGAATGGCTGAAGCTGGGCTACGATCAGCACGGCCTGCTCATGTTTTGCTGGTGAGTAGTTGCTTTGCCCTCTGTTTTACGTTCAAGTGATCACAGCGATTCAGCTAGCCTCACGCAGAAGTCGCAAGCATGTGTCCCTCATATGAGACTTACTCGAGAAGCAGAGTTCTTTGTCTATTTTCATGGATTGCAGGTGGCCCTTCTGGCTGTATTTGAAGCCATCAGGCCCGCACAGCCGGCTGAGCTGGACATGATAGGTCTGCCCCCCTGCTCCACTCTCCCTTCATGCTCTTTTCACTCAACAGCTGGCGCATGAGATGGCAATCTGCTTGCATTGCATTTCGCTTTATTTCCTTGAGTTGCTGAGCAGCTTTGTAATTCATCTGCAGGCCACGTTGGCGGCCGAAAGCTTCTGCAGATTGCTCCAGCAGGTCCTAATGCAGGGCTGAGCCTGGAGTTCAATGTGGACAGAAACAGCATCGGTCCCAACATCACAGAGAAGATTGCTAAGGAAGCCCAGGTGAGGCTGTATACATTCCTTACACTTATACTTACACACACCTGGAAGCTCTGCTGGCTGATCTGCAATTTTGGACCGGCAAGTTCTTTGCAGCACGGGCATTTTCCACCCTCTCCAATGACATGCAGATGCCTAATGTCCCTATACTGCTGTGGCTCTGTAGTGCAGAATCTGCGTGTTGCATTCTGCAGAGGGCGCGCAGTCCTGGCTAGTAAATTATTTGACACTGAGAGGACAATCCTGGCTTGTACTGATGTGAGGAGAAGGTGTTGTAGTGAGCCTAAAACTCACATTGAGCGGAACTTTGGCACGGGCTGCTGCATGTCAGAACCAGGCTTGGCTCAGCAGTGAGATTACTACAGTGGCTGATGCGTGCAGATCACCCGGGAAGCCTTCTTCAAAAACCTAGTGAGCACGGTCTACTACTACCTGAATGGCTCCTACAATGTGCTGGCGGCCAACATAGACCATGACTACACCTGGCAGAACCAGCAAGGCACCATCTTGTATGCCTTCGGCGTCTACCAGAACATTCCCTTTGGTGTCTGGTGCGCAGCTAATCCGAACTTGAATAAGACCAGCAATATTTTGTTGTCATTGTTATGTTTTGTTGTTGTTACACACATTCCTGCCATGAGACAAGCTGCAGTTCAAGACCACCAAATTGCGCACAGCATAGATTATGCTCCTAGTGTCAGAGCTGAGAGACAGAGCCTGCTGCCCTGCATTGAGCCGCCCAAAGTGTCACTTTTCACCTCAGACACTGACTCGTCATACTTTTAAGCCTGGAACAAATTTGCAAGCCCACATTGTATGGCAGATTCTGCTGGGAATGATGAAGCAGGTAGACAGCTTTATTCTTATTAGCAGCATGTGCATCTGGCAAGCAGTAGATGATGCATGTTTCTTGTGCGCACAGGGCCTTCACCAGTGGAAACTTCATCAACAGGGGAAGCGACGATCCCAGCAACTGGTGAGTCGTAGCAACCAGCTGACTCTTCTTCAACATGCTTCAAACATACCGCAGAAACTCTGCAGCAGTCACTTGTCCTATATGTGCCCCCTGCTTTGCCAATCTGCTCCTCCATGAAGTGGCCGTCTGTGATTTCTGTGTCTGCTCTGTTGCAGGGCTTTCCTGGGTAGATACACTACCAACGGCACCAGTAGTGTCAGCTTCAAGCAGACTGGTGACCCATAAGGATGACTGCTACTAGTTAGTAACCCCGGGGGGCAGAAAAAAAGAGTGCAGCAAAGCAGAGGTCTGTTGTCCATTGCACTGGACTTTTGGGGGCAAAGCCAAAAACTTTACAGGAAGATGGGATTCTGGGCTGCCCCTTGATTAACAGTGACTAATACATAATAAACCGGAGACCGACATCTCTAGGTGAAAAAGAGAATAGGACTCACAGGGCAAGTCTGCAGCTCGCCCTAAAAGTCAGCCTGGGCAAGCCCTTCTGCTGAAAAGCTCAGCTACCCTGAACACAACTTTTTGAATGCCTGATTCAATCCTGCCTGCTTTCTTTCGTGCAAAGGTTGCTACCAGATTGCCTGCTTGCATGCGCATGTCGTTGCATTGTCGGATGGCCAGGCTGTCTTTTGCTATTGAGCGTTGATTGACCTCCATAGAAATGATTCAAGTGACTTCTCCATGAGCGGCTCTTGCGTATTTACGCATGGCGAATCGCATGCTCCATGCCAAAGCGCATGGTGCCAATGACATGCTGAAGAGCCGACAACCTCAGACCGACTGCAATAGAGCTTGCGTTCTTTGATCACAACCTGTTCACTGACAGGCACTTTGCAGAAACACGGCAGACCGTTTCTGTGTTGAATTTTAATCATGATTGTAACAGGTGGGGTGTGCCTTGCTGTCCATGAGCCAAATTTGGCAAAGGTGCACACGTTGGGAAGGATCCCACTGATTGCACAGATCTTCGAGTCGCTGCCAGGTCGCTCAAAGCTCAACGTCTGGCGTTGCGCCTGCCTCACAGAAGATCATCTGCACAACGATCTGCGCCGTCTGGCCTCAGTTCTGCCAGGTACGAGAAGGTTTCTTCCTCTGACGGTGCCCGCTCTTTTCCAATTGTCCGTGTGTCGCACGCTTCTATCTGCACCTTGTCGATATGAACAAGCCTCGCTCCTCTTGTCTGTTTCATAGCATCGGCTTCAGCATTGTGCAAATCGGAGGGTGGCCACAGCTCGCCTTGGCACCCGATTTGCGCGTCTGCAGATGTGCCTTTTGATCTCCTGTGTTAAAAAGGCTTCTTGGATCAGGTTCTGATGGAATTCCCACTGTGACAGGTCTCAGCCAGGACTGATCAAGACATCAAGGGACGCCATGGCGGCTCCAGCGCGTTTCGCATGCGTCCTGCTTCTGGTGAACGACAGTCCCTCGATACTGTAATGACCAGAAGCAGGATGAGGTCTTGCATGGCCTTCAGCTTGAGGGCTTCAAGCAGTGTCACCTCTGTTCTCCCAATCCCTCTTTTTTGCGCTAACTGTAGCTCCTGTGCTTGAAACCAAGCTTGCAGAAGCAGAAGCAAGCACCTGCTGCTGTGCACCAACGCTGCAAGTCACTGACATGTCTGGCGTTTACACGCAGGCATCACTCAATCTTATGGCCTTCAACGGCTTTGCCAGCGCTCAGCCCAGCGTAATTTCTTTTCAGATATCCCCAACAACCCTGTCATTCTGTCACACTTTACTAACATTTGGGGCAGCTCAGTGCTACAGGTCTAGGGAGCATCATGGCTATGCAGCTGCATCCGTGAAGGCTCACTTTCTGCCTACTGTGCAGGCAAACGCCAATCTGAACTTCAATATCGATGTCAACAAGGCGGCCGGTGACATAGCAAGCGCCATCTCCGGCCAGGGGAATGCGGACCGGGGCGGCTTTGTCAAGAACCTCTCCAACGCCTGCTTCTACTCCCTGGGCCAGAGATACAGTACGCTTCCATCCCTGCCAGGGTATAACTGATATTTGCATGCATGCCACTGCTGCAGCATTTCAAGACCTGCAATACTCTATCCTTCCTCTCTCCTTCCTCTCTGCTACTTGCCTGCAGCTGTGAACATACGACAGCCCAGCTTTCTCGTCTCTGCTCACATGTAAAGCTTGCTGCCGCGCATGCCTATGATGCAGTGCGTGCATGAGCAAAATGGAGCCACTTGCAAAAGCTATGATTTTTCTTTTTTGAATACCACCATGCATGCAGTTGTCTTGTAAAACAAGCCCTGCTTTCTTGTGCTGGCTCTCCTGTGAAGCTTGCTGCAGCGCATGCCTTCGCTAGAGTGCATGCATGACCAAGGAAAGCAACTTGCTGCAACCATGCAGACTCCTCCGCTGCATGTTAATTCCCTTCTACAAACATGCAAATGCACTCGCTGATACTGTGCTGTGTGGCACTGGCAGACTGCATGGTGTTCAACTTGGGCCAGGAGTACCAGTGGACTGACCAGCAGGGCATCGTGCTCTATGGCTCTGGCGTGTACCAGGGCATCACTTATGGCATCTGGTGAGCCTGCCAGGCACCCTGTAATTGTACAGTTGACAGGTAAATCCACCATTTTTGGGTCAAGTGCTGACAGAATCTGCAAAAGAATCGGTCGTGTGCTTTTGATTGGTGCCTGGCAGGAGACGGGCCGTCTGGCCTTGAGCTCATGCTGCAGGTGAATTATTGTATTGCAGAGTTTCCTTCAGAAGTGTGTGTATAGATGGGGATGAGCACACGTGCCCAGTATCTGCCACATGCCAAGTCTAGGCAGATTTCGACAGAGCTCTTCCAGCAGACCACGGCTGGATCTGGCGAGTCTAACAAGGGGTAGAATTCTGGCAAGAATTGACTGCAGCTTGTCTGCAGGACCGCCTTGCCTCTTGGCGGGAAAATATTAAAACATGTAAAAACGTGTTAAAACAGTCGTATATCATATTTCCAGCAGTGTTGGTATATGAGGGCGAGCTGCCCCAAGAGAGTGTGTTTGGGTGCCTGCAGGGGCTTCACAAGTGGCACCTTTGACAACCAGGGCGACGGAGGCTACATCAACTGGTGCGTGACTCTAAATCAACCCAAGTGCACCCTGTTGAGACTGAATGCTGCAGTGTATGAATTATCCTGCTTCTAAGTGAGGCATCAGCATAATTGTCCACCAAGTTGCCCTGTATAATCTGCTTTTACAAGCAGGGGATTTGGTGAGGCCCACTGAGCGACTCAGCTGGCTGGCAGCATGGATGCTCTTCTTTTGGGCAAAAAAATTACCCGTTTTGGGTACCGGCGTTGAGTTTGCAGATCAGGGAGTCATGATGATTGACTGATAGCGAGCGCTGCCTGCCTGCAGGGCGTTCTTTGGCAACTTTGACAGGAGTGGAAACCATGTGGTCTTCAAGCCTATGAGCTGAGGCAGCAGGTCACCTCCTGAGAGCATTGAGCTGCACAGCGGTAGAATTTGCACTGATTCGTCTCTTCACCTGTGATAAAGCAGGCATCTAGGCCAAGATCAGGGTGTAGGGGCAGCTAAACCAAAGCAGATCCATCTCAAAGTATGATCCAAAGTAACCCTTGCAAGCACCAGGTGTCCTGGTCAAAGTCAGATTGTTTACACCTGCTGCATTGTGATTAAGCTGTATGGCACACGCCAGCACTTTGAGCCAGCTGTATGAAGCAGTGAAGTCAGAATTAATTCTGAGGATCTGAAGCACTCCAGAGGTGCCATCGCAGCAGAAGGTACAACACATAGTCTCGTGGGCGATTTGTGGGGATAATTTTGTTTTGTAGCAGTTAGGACTGCTTCCGGCTACAGCCGTGTCGTGTATTTATTAAAAGCACGCCGCACACCACCGCCTTACGGATGCGGGTATTCACCATGACACAAAATGTAAGCAAAACATAATCCCATCCCCTGTGATGGCAAGTAATACTGAACCTTTCACAATTTACGGTTCTTCATTGCTTGCCATGTGGCCACTCAGGTATGACAAGGTTGTGTCTCCTCATGATCACCCAGCCTACTTTTTGCATTGGTCAAACACAAGTACTAATCCTTGTAAATATTAAGATTGTGTTCCTGTCACAAGGTGAACATCCGATGGAGTCCAATCTGTACTCTGTTCAGCACAGTACTATTACGGTATACCTCCTCAATCGGTGAGTCATCAAGGCCCTTGACTAAGAGAACAGCGCATGTATACAGACACGAGTGCCTCCACAGCTGCAGGGTCTGCCAGACGTGTGAACAGGTCAGCCCAGCGTAGCCGTGGAGGCTGCTGTTGCCACTGCACAGTGATCAAAGGACGGCTCGATGCTGCACGCGGCTTTCCACACTCGAGTCTCTGCACATACACACAACAATTAGCGGTCACCTTTGCAGCCCTACTGAAATTACATTAATGCCGCAGAGTGCGGCACATGAAGCTGCTTTAAATAGTTTCCTAGGATTTAAGATGTGCCCAGAGTTTTGCAGGTGGGCATGCCACATATTCCTGTGCTCAATGTGCTGCTCCAGAATTTCACACTGGTTCCTGTGGCTGCGCCCAGGGGGCTCTAGGCATGCACAGTACCACCCTACCAAGTATACTGTTGTAATCAATCTAAAACCCGCAATTAATAATAATTTTTGGCCAAAAAGGGTGGACACATAAGACCCTATCTCCCAGAATGTGAAACCTATGATAATTCTGAGACCAGATTCGGAAAGCTCTCGACAAGCCCAATGCAATGGAGCATGACCCTGGTGAATTTTGATATCAGAAAGACCCCTGAACACTGCTCTGAAAAATATCCCTCACCACCGAGGATGTGGGTTTTAGAATGACTACTACAGTATCCCCAAGAAAGGTGCAGGTCACTTTATCAAGTGCTGTCAGCTTCAGGGGAGGCGGAATGGGATTCTGTGGAGGCACAGACAGGGACGCACGGGTGGCGACAGCCTCCTCTGGCGTGGACTGTGCAGCTGCCAGCGCCAGAACGCCCTTGTCGCAATTGCAGCCCTGTCACAAGCAGACAGCAATACATTAGTAAGGATGACTTGTCATACGCAGTGACGTGAGTGACATGGCTTGTTTTTCTAACTGCAACACCTGGTGCTGCACATTGCGATAAACCTGAGACTTGTCCCACATCATGCTAATTGCTGCTCTGTCAGATCTGCCAGGCAAAGTGAACTTATGTATTGACTTAGCTATCTGGGCAGATCAAGATCAGTGGCTCACCGAGGACAGGAAATCATGATACACTCCACAGCACCTGTAGACACCACACCAAGTTACTGAAGCACTGCTTTACCGCGTGTCGTTCCAACTCCAGTGCTAGGCTCCCAGTCACAGGACTGGCCATCTGGCAATACCCCAGAAGTTTGTTGCATGCTGGGCAGGCACTAGACATTAGAGTAGACATACTATGCGCAAGAGGCATACTGTGTGCTTGGCTGTTCTCCCTGCGCGGCTGCAGCTGCAATGGCGGCATCAGGCGCCCCCACCAGATTACTTGCTGAATTCCTGACTTTGGTCACGAAGTTGCCGCACACCCCAACCATGCTCAAAGTGGCGCTGACGCAGGGGTCTGGAGGTGCACATCAACACGTCAGCTCCTCAGCAGATGGGACTCGGGGATTATTCTTGCAGTTCCAGGGCAACAGCAGACTGTTGTGTCCATGGGGCACAGACGACTGCCTTACTTGTTGTTGCAGCTGAAATGGAGGGTGACTGGCACAGCAGTGCCACAATGAAGCAGAAGAGACAGGTGGTTGTGACCCTCCGCATCTTTGTAAATAGTACCAGCAGGCGTCCTTTCAGTAAACTGTGCCTGCTTGCATCGCATGACAAGCGGTCAGGACAAATTTTGAGCTGCCAAGATCAGAATAACTAAGACGAGATCAGGCACACAGGTGAAGCAGATAGGGAAAAGGATTTTGGGTCCCAAAGTTTTACCCGACCTTGATTAAAGCGTCGTTACCGACGAAGTTTCTCCTGTGAATAATCTAGACTCTCAGAACCTTAGGGATCGTCTTTTCTTTAGCAGTGCATTTTCTATCAATCGGAAGCTGGCCCAGACGAAATCAAAGGCATTTCCTTTTATCATTTCCCTGACACGCCATCACTCCTCACGTGCTGCGATTTGTCTTTCCCGCCCAAGCTTCCTGCATTTGCAACTTGCAAAGGCTCCCCTGTGGTGAAGAGCGGCTACATTTCCCATCTTTGATTACTGTGGATCGCTCAAAACAGTCCTGCGATGGAGGCAGACGGGCTGCCAATGGAAGAATCTGGCAACACAGAACAGCTGCAGGAGCTTGCAAGGCAGAGATTCCTGGAATTTCTGGAGACATTTGTGGTGAACGATGACGAGGACAGCAGGAGCCAATTTACTCAGGGAAGCCAGCAATCTGCACCTGCACCGCCAACGAAGCTGTATGTGGAACAGGTGCATTCCAAACAGATTGCTGAAGATTAAGCAGAATCGCTTTTAAAGGGCCTTACAATGCTTCATTGCTGCACCGATGTCCTTGTAAGATGCCCCAGGGCGCAATGCTTGGGGCTACACCTCTCAGAAATTAGCAACGCAACCGCTCATCTTGTTGTGTAGTTATGACTTTCGTACCAATGGCGCAACAAGGGGCGAGCGATTCCATCTTTAATTATCTTCTTATTTTTCCTGGTTCATGAAAATGAGCATCGCACCACCAATTGTGATGCGCTGGCGATCAGCAGACTGTCAATTCCAAGCTGATGTTCTGGCCAGAATAGTAGGGCGTGGAGATTGCTTATGTATTGTCGAGCTTAAAGCAGCGCTCTTCCGTTTGCTAATTATTGGTCATTGCTGATTACCACAGGCGCAAGAGCTGGAGGACTCAGCAACGCTGGTTGTGGACTTCAACCATGTGGATGTCCAGGATCCCGAGCTGGCAGCCCTCATCCAGCAGCAGCACTACCGCGTCGAGCCGGGCCTCAGAAAGGCACGCAGCCTGCACCTTCTCCTGCTTGACATCTTCATGCTCCTTGCTTGCAAATCTGCACCTGCAAAAGAGTGATACAATTGTTAAGCACCCTTGCAGTGCTCAGGCAGGGCAGCCTTGCTTATGCCTGCAGAGTGATTCCCACATCATCATGCCTGGCACGCAGTCTTGTGATGTAAGGGATGGCATCTGCAATGGTACCTGCAGAAAAAAAGCGGTTTTGTGCACACTGCAGGCAGTCCAGAATCTCATGCGCGAGCACGCGGAGAACCTGCTGGAGAGCTCTGACGGTGTGCAGCGCGAGTTCTTCGTCAGCTTCATCAACACGCCCAGCCTGTTCAGGCTGCGCCAGCTCAAGTCCCTCGACTTGGGCAAGCTGGTCAGCTTTGCAGGTGCATGCACTATTGAACCTACAGCAATACGTTGTCTAGTTGCAAACTCTTGATGCATGATGTGTGACACCACTGCTGTGCCTTCAAAATTTGCCAATGGCGTGCCCAGTGCTGCCACTGCTCACGAGCTGCAAGCCGTTGTCATGCGGCGAGTTTCCACATGCCAATGAAGTAGCCAGGTTGCTGACATGAGCTCAGGTCATTTATTGGGCTTCACAATTGTCATGCATGCAAGAGACAGAGCCTGATTGGTTTGCCCAGTCACTGCCCTGAAATGCGCTGCCACCTAAGCTCCATAGAGCTTTCCATAGAGTTCTGGGCACCATGCATGCATGCCGTTGCCTGATTGGGCGTCCATTGAATGCGTGCAAACGCAGGGACGGTGACACGCACGAGCGAGGTGCGGCCGGAGCTATTCATGGGTTGCTTCCGCTGCCTGGAGTGCGGCACCATCATCCGCAACGTGGAGCAGCAGTTCAAATTCACTGAGCCCTCCATGTGCACTATGGATACCTGCCAAAACAAGTGCGAGCCCGATTCACTGCTAAATGACGTAATTAGATGAGATACCTACGACTGCTGGTTGGGCAACCTTTCATGTGAACCATGGACAGCTGCCAGAACCAGTGGGAGCTCGCTTTGCGCCTGTAGCAAAGCATCACCTGCTTTTCAATGAAGTATCACTGTATGCAGCATAGCCGACAGTGCCGTATGGACGGTAAAGACATTGACAGACTTGCAGAAGTCGCAGCAGTGTCTACAAAGCTTGTTGATAGTGTAACAAGGTGCAAGAACATTCATCCTGTCTTGCAGCAATTTTGGTGAGTTGAAGTAGGAGTGACCAGGAGTTGTTGATGTTTGCACAGGAAGGCGTGGACGCTGGTGAAGGAGGAGAGCACCTTCATTGACTGGCAGCGCGCCAAAGTCCAGGAGACCACCGACGAGGTCCGCGTCCACCCTCAAATTTACAGAAGATGATGTGTGTCAAAGAATATGCAGCATGTGCAAGGAAGCCTCAAAAGCTTACACACAATGTGGCACGCACCCAGATTCATTCACAAAATGCCAGCCTTTCAGCGGCTGACATACTTCTGTTGGGCCTTTGAGGGCTAGTGGCTTCAATGGAAGCAAACAAATCTGAAGTGACCTAGATAGATACAGCAAAACTCAACTATCTTTGTTGCATTGATATCTGCGGTGCCTGTGCAGGTGCCGGCGGGCAGCCTGCCGCGCACGATAGAGGTGATTTTCCGCAACGACACAGTGGAGCAGGCGAGGGCAGGCGACAAACTCGTGTTTGCCGGCTGCATGGTCGTCGTCCCCGATGTGGCCGCCATCACCGCGCCCGGCCAGCGCAGCCACGTCAAGGGTGCAGGTGCGCGCACCTGCCGCCACATGCGCCCGCATGTGCCGGCTCCTCTCTCTGTGCACTCTGCTCGAATCTCTTTGTGGGTGTGTTTTCTGTGGGTCGCATGCGGTGGGTGCAGAGTTCCTGGAGCCATGTTGTGCTCTGCCTGGGCGCCCGTGTAGCTTCCTGATCAATTTGAACATTGCACGACAAGCCAGACTTTGCGGTGTACATGCAGTAGTGTCCAATAGACACAGGCCCCAGGACAGGCAGACAGTGGCCTTTTGTAGAGGGAGTCTTGCTCAATAAAGATGCTCAGTAGTTCAGTGGTGCCGTCAATGTTTGCAGGCCGGCTGAACGGCGCGGCCAACGAGGGCGGCGGCGTCACGGGGCCGCGCAGCATCGGCGTGCGCGAGCTGACCTACAAGATGGCCTTTCTCGCCTCCTCCGTGCAGGTGACTTCTCTTGAACATCTGCCCCCATAACCCAACCTGACTGCAGGTGTCAATGGGAGATATCTACGCTTCTTGCATCACTTGTCTGTGCATCTACATGTAAACAAATACTCTACGGCTCCATCAGGGACCAGATATCCAGCTTTAATGACCCAGTCAAATCTGCTCTAAGCAGCCTATCAATTGGTTGTAGAAGATGACAGTGGCTCTCCTGTGCAGGCGGCTGACAAGAAGCTGGGCATGATCAACATCCGCAGTGACGATGATATGTCTCCCAAGGACGTCCTGGACGGCATGACGCCTGATGAGGCCGCGCAGGTGCGCGCACATGCCGCCTTGTCGCCTGCCATCAGCTAAACAGCATCAAAATTTTGCAGAGCTATCAATTCACTAAATGTATTGGGGGAAGCAGGGAACACCCTTTTCTTGCTTGCCTTGACTGTATTAGGTGATACATTGCCATGCTGCTCTCTGCTCCGTCCAGCAGCATGCACTGTAATGTAGCACGAATTTGATGCATGGCTGATTTAATCTTCTTGTTATTAAAAGAAAGGGCAGGCCAAGAAATGTGTGAGCCTGTGGTGTTTGAGAATTGCACTCGGTTGACGCTTGTGGGATTCTTAGGAGACCAGGGCTCTGCATGTCAGAGGCCTGCTGCTGCAGAAAAATCTGCTGATGTCCTCCGCGCATGTGCCGGCAGGTGCTGTCAATGAGGGACAACCGCCAGATCTACGAGGCGCTGGCCTCCTCGCTGGCGCCTGGTGTGTTCGGCCACCTGGACATCAAGAAGGCCATCCTGCTCATGCTGCTGGGCGGCGTGCACAAGCAGACCTCCGAGGCACGCCCCTCCTCCACATTTGTCATTATTGTCTGCTACAAGTCCATTCTAGGTCTGATTTTCTCTTTTACTGGAACATGAAAGCCTATTCTAAGCACAATTGACCAAGGTCATCTGCACAATAGCTGCTTAAGCAGACGTACTATGCTGCCACCCCGAGCAATACATTCGGTTCAAACACTGCAGCCATGCCCAACTTTGGTGCTTGACTTGCAGAAATCTCTGTACTGTCCTCCAGAAAGCAGAACAAGCCTGAGCCCACATACTTGTTTCGGCGCGCAGGGCATCAATCTGCGTGGGGACATAAACGTGGCGATAGTGGGGGACCCGTCGTGCGCCAAGTCACAGCTGCTCAAGTACGTGGCCGCCTTCCTGCCGCGCGCCGTCTACACCTCCGGCAAATCGTCCTCCGCCGCCGGCCTCACCGCCTCCGTCGTCCGGGTGTGGATAAGCACTCACTCATACACTGCATCTATCTGCGGATCAAGGTCCTTGTTAGTGTGTTGCTTTGCTCAGGTCACCTGTTCTGAAGTATACTCCTTTCAAACGTCAGCCAGCCGCTGGTCTTCTTGGATTTCCTGCTCAAATTTGTCTCGCAAGAGATCACCTGATGGGGTAGACTTTCATGCCTACAGGTAGGTTGACAGAGGCTTCCTTCCCCACTTTTATTAGTCCCATTCGCCATAGAGGAAGGGTGTGGACTTTCAGCATTCTTGCCCAAGTACAGCCAGGAAGATTTAAAATCACCCCCACTGTCAATGGGCGCGCTTATGAGCAGAAATTGGCATGTACTGTCATCACGACGCTGTCATGAAGGTGCATGAGCGTGCATGGTGCGCATTGCAGGAGAGCGACACGAACGACTTCTGCATAGAGGCGGGTGCGCTGATGCTGGCAGACAACGGCATCTGCTGCATCGACGAGTTCGACAAGATGGACGTCAAAGACCAGGTGGCCATCCACGAGGCCATGGAGCAGCAAACCATCTCCATCGCCAAAGCAGGCATCCAGGTGCTGGCCATACCTCCCTCTGTCCCTGTCTTCTATTGTGGGGGCAGTTCTGGCATGCCAGGAATCTTGTGCCTGGGATTACCAAAGAATGCAAAACACAGACAGGTTGCAGGGCAGCAATGAATGCACACAGCCCTTGGTTGCCTTCATCATGGATCAATGCAAAAGGCATGCTCATGGGTGGCGAGCATAAGCACACAGAGAGCCAGCCCTGATGTGCGTCTACGCAAGACAGCCAAATGGAATAGGCTTGGAGATCTGAATGACATGTGCAGGCGACGCTGAATGCGCGCACGGCGATTTTGGCGGCTGCCAACCCGATCGGCGGCCGCTACGACCGCTCCAAGCCCCTGCGCTACAACGTCGGCCTCCCGCCCGCCATCCTGTCCCGGTCTGCCTAACTTCCTTCTCGGCCTTGCACTTCCCACATTTTACCGATGCCTCTAAATGTCTATGGCTGCATGCCAATCCTCCTTAGATGCGCTCATTCACTGCTTATGCTTGCTAGCATTCAGGACTCTCAAACTATTCATAATGCAACTTCCACTCGAGAATAGTGCTTTTCGCTCAAACTTTTTGGCAGATGGGCTTCCATATAAATGCACAAGCGCTGTGGTATCTCCTAAGCATGCAGGTCTTGACGCATGCAAATTTGTGCCTGCGGCAGGTTTGACCTGCTGCACGTGATGATAGACGAGCCGGATGACATTCTGGACTACCGAGTGGCCAGTCACATAGTGGCCGTGCACCAGCGACAGGACCAGGCGTTCGAGGTGCCCTACTCCATGGGGCAGCTGCAGCTCTACCTGAAGTACGCGCGCGCCCACAAGCCAGAACTCACCCCCGGGGTAAGCCCCCACCCGTTCATTGACCCTTCTCGCAGTGTCCACCTCACACCACCTGTCCCCTCCCCCAGTAGCATCTCCCCGTGATCGTTTAACCCTGCCATTGGCCGCTTCATGACACCTTCTGGTCAGCTAGATTGTGGCAGCCTCTTCCTCAAGTCGAGTGTTGGTTGGAGGATCTTCCATTTGACTGAGAGGGAGGATAAAGAGGGGCGTCTGCTGAGTGTTGCTGCAACATAGCACCTCTGACCTTTCTTGAAGAGCCTCACTGTGCAGTCCCTCAAAGGCCAGTGCATGTGCAGCCAATATAGTGAAGTTGAGGTTCCCCGCTACAAAATACGCCAAACGTGCACGGACGGAAGCTGCACTGGTTCTCAAAAATCGTCAATTGCAGCCCTGCAGTGGCCTTGTGTGGACTAGTGTGGGTTTGGGGTCGAAATACCCCTAAAAAAGGGAGGTATGTGCGCGGGCGCAGGCGAAGCGGGAGTTGGTGGAGAGCTACAAGCGGCTGCGGACCGAGGACGCGGCGCCCGGAAGCAGCACCTCGTACCGTATCACGGTGCGCCAGCTGGAGGCGCTCGTGCGGCTGTCCGAGGCCCTCGCTCGGCTGCGCTGCTCCGAAGTCATCACGCCCGCCTACGTCCGCGAGGTGAGGGATACCGCCGCCAAAATAAATGTACAGTCTGCACACAAGCCTGCTCGATGCCCCTCTGACAGGTGGCAGACCTACTGACGTTGACCCGCAGCAGTGCTCAAGCACGAGGCAGCCCATTTGCGCCCAATTTGTCCTGGTAATGCATGCGCAGCACATATCTGGCCTCACAATCGCTTGCTCGAGGTGCTTCTTGCGCACTGCCCACTTGGCGTGACAGACTGTGTGCGACGCTACCGTGCACTGTGACAGCAGTTGCCAAGGACTTTTATTGCATGGAGCTATGAATGGAAAGGCGAAGCGGCGCGCTTGCATCAGGATACACCCTAAGCGCTTGGTGCGTCAATGTCTCAGGCGCGGCGGCTGGTGAAGAACAGCATAATAGCGGTGGAGGCGCCGGACGAGGAGGTGGACGACGACGAGTGGGTTGACGACCCTGAGGAGGCCCAGGACATCATCGCCCGCCACCGCCCCGAAGGGGCTGGTCCCTCCAGCGACGCTCCAGGCCCCTCCGGTACGAACATCAACCCCTTGCCTAGTACATCAATGGCCCCGGCTGCCTGGGACCGGTATAACCTGAGCAGCGTGCCCGCTTTCGATTGGGCCTTGCTTCAATCTGGCGAGTCCATTAAGGGGTAGGATCTGTGGCAGCCTTTACATGCGGCTTGTCTGCAGATGCACCTTGCCTCTGGCAGGAACAACGTGTGAGCACTAGTACATCATCTTCCTGTGGGCGGAAATCGGGGAGGTACTAGTGTTGGTTCGTGACTGTAGGAGCCTTGAGTCTGCTGTGGCAAGAAATACAAGAGAATATCTACATCTAAGTGTTCGACTCCTGGTTGTGGGGGTCTTGGGTCTGTTGTGGCAAGAGCTACGAGGGGATGAACCCTGGCACATATTGTGGGCTCTGCCGCAGGTTTTAATCTGCAGCACAGAGTCGTTCCTGATGGTTGAATCCTTAAAAGAAGAGCCCACTTGCAGTTTCCTTGCAGGGGCTGTAAGTACAATCCAGGAGCTCTTCTTCTATCATATAATGATAAGGCCACACTTTCTATGGCAATGAATAAGGCGTATGTTGGGGGCCACTTGCTGTCTTAAGATCCTCCATCTTCAGGGGGACAAGAGGGATGCTGGTTTCTTTAGGGAATTTCCACTGCTATTTTTCAAAAGGCACACACTGCTGCAGGGGCCGGGGGTGGAGCTGGGCCGAGCAACGATGGCGCCGCGCCGATGGAGGTCGACGGCCGCAGCTCTGCCAGACCTGGACGCAGCCGCGCAGCGGAGCCGGCCGCTGCCGCCGTGGCTCCTGAAGGTGGGTTGCCTCTGCCTTTTTCCGCCATTTCTAACTCTGCAAATGATCAGATTGCCAGGCCCCATAGCACGCTCCCTGGAGTGCTGTATGAGATGGGGTTAGCCATAGCACTACAAAGAAAGATGGCATGCAGATGACTTGTCCAATACCATGCTCCTTCATTCCATGCTCCTTCATTAAGGGAGGAGCCTTGAGTGGATGCGATGTACCCCTCACTGCAGCAATTCTCTTGGGCGACATGGGTCACGTTTTTCATGACTCCTCGATCCCTAATCACATCATCTTTTGACCGATGCGCAGAGGCCGAGCCGGCTGAGAAGAGCGCCGCGGAGCTGGAGGCCGAGCGTGTCGCCGCACAGGCCGCAGTCGAGGCGGCTCGCGCGGCGCGGCCGCAGACCAAGGTCAGCCACAAGAAGCTCAACCAGGTCAAGGTGCGGCCGTGCTCCCTCCCTTGCTTATCTCCCTGTCCTCCCGCGCTCGACAGATATTCTACATCCCTGCCGCACCAGCAAACATGAAAGTACCCTACAGCACGATTAAGACTTGTCAACAAGTTTGAAGGAGGCTGACCTCGTGCTAATTGCCTGCTACATGGCTGCATGGTGCATGACAAGCACCAGCTTACCCATTGCATCTACAAGAGCCAGACACTGGCATCTTTTTCTTCTTTCTTTTTCAAAGAACTTGAACTCAAATGTGGTGTGCGTGCAGGAGCTGCTGGTGATGCGATTCAAGGAGCTGGAGCATGGTGGCCAGGCGGACGCCACTTTTGGGGATGTCCAGGTTGCGGGCCTCAAGCAGCACGAGCTCATGGACTGGTACTTCGCGCACCAGGCGGAGCGGTGCGCGCCCCTTTCCTCCATCCCCAGGTGTCTCTAAATTAATCGGTTTCCTTAAAAATCCCCCGATCTCATATGTGTCCCTCTGGATCCCGAGGCCTCAGTTGAAGGGGGGAAGGGGGGCACCCTGGCAAATGCCAAGAAAGACAGGGATGCTCGAAGACAGTGCTGGCCCACCTATGCCCCCGCCATGCACAATTTGCCACATCTTCTGTGGGACGTTCTGTTTGCTTTACTCTTGCCGGCAGCAGTATGTCTCGCACTTAAAATGCTTCCTACTGTGCAGAGGAGCATTGTTGCTGCGAGAAAGGTACGATCGTAAGGAACACATGGCGGGTCTTCTCCATCATGCATACTGCATCCGTGTGGGTTGTCTGACATTTTGGATTTTTAATTTGAATATGCGCGGTGCAGGCAAGTGGATGCGATGACAGAGGAGCAGCTGAAGGATGAGTTCCTGTTGGTCGGCAAAATCATCCAGCATCTGATCAGGCGCGGCCCCTTACCAACACACCCCACACCCAAAAATATACACCTTCTTTCTGTTTAGATATTGCACAGCCCGCCCGGAGCTGGGCATGTCTAAAACGCACTGTACACGACAGCACCGTCACCAAGAAGAACTGTTACATCTGAATGACAGGGGCCAGTAAGCGTTGTCTAGGATGGCATCCAGTTTTGGGCCTGTGAGGTGTTTTGGGATGGTATTTACTGAATGCATGTCTGACTCCTGAACACTAAGCACCGCGGCCACGGTTGATTGGGTCTTGCATGGATCTGGCCACTTCATCAAGGGGTAGGAATCCTACCGTAGGATATCTGGCAGCCTTTGCCCGCAGCTTGTCTGCGGACGCACCTTGTCTCGGGCGGGAAAAGCGTGTAATAATAACAATTATAGCAATTTTTGATTTCGTGTTTAAATCCGGCAGGGTGATGGGCGTTTTGGTGGTGGTGGAGACCCCCGAGCGCGCGCCGACAGATTCAGAGACGGCGTTCGCGCGGCGCGTGCAGCGCGACCGCGTGCTGGCCGTCAACCCCAACTACGTCGACGACGAGTGATTCACCCCATGACTCACCCACCCGCGGCCTCACCTTGTTGCCGGACGACTATGACGGAACCCCGGCAAGGAGTGACTCACTCATATGAGTGACTCATGCACGAGTCATGAGTAATGACTCGTGTCCGCCAGCCGCGCGGCGCATTCACTCAGTTAACACAACGTCGCGCGGCGGCGGTGAACCGTGGGTACTTCTTGGAGCAGTAGCCTAGACGACTAAGGCACTCAATTGGCCGACTTTGTGCATTTGCGCAATATAGAAGAGGAGGAAGGCAGTTGCAAAGAAAGCGGCCGCTACATGAAAGATCAAAGTCCGGTGCTGTGTCAACAAGCAGAAAAATTTAATTGCACGGTGAAGTTGTATGCTGCATGGTCTATTGTTTGCCATGCATTGCATGTGCTCAACTCGACAATTGTTTGCAAACTCCGCCTGCTAGGTGCTGGAGGATAAATTTACTTTAAAGCATATAAGGAGTTTTCTATTGCCTGTGGTATGCGAAAGCTGTCACCTTCAGCTGACTCTGCAGATCAAAGAGTGTAATGGCGTCAGGAGAGACACTCTTATCATGCGGACAAGCACAGAAAATGATTACAGATACAGGCAACACACTGTGCTTACAAAGTACTTCACCACTGCATATGCATTCATGGAGAAAAATGCCACAAGATAAATGTCCATCTAAAAGTATTCTCTCATCCTCTTCACTCACCTATTTGACTGATCACTTCTAGAGTACGTGCCAATCCTGCTCACAGACTAAAGGAAAACGCCTCGGCCTTTACACATGCCAATATCAAGCGCAAGCACACAGATGCGTCTTGACAGCACCAGGGATACCAGATATTAGTGATCTGCACCAGAGCGGTTCCGCTTTGCTGCAGACCAAATGCTAAATTTCAAGCTTGCTCAATTTGGTCCCTCTCTAATCCAAATATCAACGACAGAAGAGAGTTCATCAACTTTCCAAGGAGCAGTCCGTGGCTTCGAAGGAAAGTTGTGAGGTTCCAGCAAGCTAATCAATCATCAAAACTTGTGGCTGTCCACAAATTCACATAATGCACAGTATGCTGCATAGCACACCACATGCAACATCTACACTTTGCCCATCCTGCAAAGAAGCCAGGGAAAGAATCCAAAGAATTTGCAAAACCCATGCGTTGGAGCTCACAGCACATGATCCTGCAAGATCGTCACAATTCTCATCATCTTCAGCACTCCGAGTACTATCTTCAAAGGCCTGATTGATTCAGATTGCAGGCCCAGCAGAATACCCTTCAGAGACCATTTGATCTCAGAGCCATCACCTGTGTTGCATCTTCTGATCTACCAACCTTTACTGTACCACTGAAATAGGCAATACTCTTCGCACAAAATGTAGCACGCTGTCACAACACCTTGCATGACAAGGGCCAAGGTGTGAATGAACCTCCACAAGACCCCTCAAGATGAGACCCACATTGCTGCCTCTAAGGGTATCCCACATGCAGCAACTCCGTTTTTATGTCCGCGCAAGCTCTGCTGAGTGATCAAAATAGCAGCGCATGGCAGATGCATTCCATTATAGAGGAGAAATTTATGCCAATCCAGTGCACTTCAGCATACATCTCATGCAGCCTTGCATCATGCCGCAGGAAAGCCTTTCGACCTCCCTAGCACAATGCTGACCACCTGCTTTGCGTATCTTCTCAAGCCCACAAGAGGAAATTGGCTATTCAGTGCTTGTCTGCATGCACGTAGTCTACAAAATAGAACTTCTGCACCAGGTTGCGCAGCCAAACAGTAGCTGCAGTGGACGCAGCTGCCAGCAGAAAGATCCCTGCTGTCACCAGAGGGGGCTGCCCACCCCTGGAACCCACCCAGTATGCCAGGCCAAGGGTAGACAGCACAGCGAGCGCTGTCACTGCTACCTGCAGCACTTTCGCCACTCCGAGTGCCTGTACAGACATCCGTAGGGCACGCTCACGCAACATTCACCATACGCATTGGAAGACGGTCTAAAAATGTCATGTTGGCGATGACATAACAGCAGAGGAGCTGTCTGCGGGGCATGAGATGTGCTCCTCCATTGCCAAAGTTACTTGAAGGCAGTGTGTCACTAGAAATGCAGTACACAGCGACCCAGACAAAGGAGTCCTCCATTTGAGGAAGCATGACATGCGCCCTGCTGTTATTCTCATGATCAATGGCACAGGCAGTACTGAAAGACCACAGGTACAGATTCCCCACTGGCTGTTCCATATGCATATCAAGATGAAGAGAGCAGATTCCGAAGGTAATAGATTTAAATAAGGCCGCAGCTACCACGTGGCCAACCAATTAAATGGATTTTCTGCGCCCAAAAGATTTAGCAAGCACCGTTATCGACCCCAGAGACCCGAGGAATTTTGATACAGGTAACACGGGTGCGCAAGTGATCACAAGGGCATATTCGCCTGGATTCAATTGGTTGGTGAAGAGGAGAAAGGAAATGGGGTGAATTACCTGAGAGCAGCTCTTGCAGTGGCGAGTGTGCGAGGAGTAGCGGTCGAGCAGCACAGCTCTGCTGGGCTCGATGCGGTCTGCATCAGCGTTCCCTGCTATGGGCCCCCCGCCGGCCCTCTCCTCAAACCACTGCCGGAACGCCGTCACAATCCTGCAAGCGCCAATAAACCGCTGGTAAAGGGTCCCTTCTCTTGGATACAAGTGGAGCACCGGTTGTGGTTCAAATGGCTCTAGAGATCTGGACATGTCCCCTCGAGATTGTCAGCAGCCACGCCAGGGCTTTCTGCTCTATGCCGGTGGCAGTCGCATTGAGAATGGCATGCAAGAGACAATACACGTGCAGGTCTCATGAGGTCATGAGACAAAATGCCAGGAGAGGAGGACCTGTCAGCCTGGGTGGGCATGAAGTAGGAACGCCTCCAGCTTCCACCCTTCCTCCTGTCCTCAGCCAGCACCCGTTCCTGCAAAAATGCATGGCGAAATATTACTGCCCCAAAGCACAGACAGGCAGGTGCGCGGGCTATGGTGCAGGGATCCCGGGCGAAGTATTCTTCAGACAAGGAAAACGACATCCTCAATAAATGAGTCTTTAAAGGTGGACTAGCAGTCTAAATTTTGAAGCGCCAGCAACACTGTATATTGATTTGATGCTTCAGACCATGCTGATCTCTTGGCAGCTCATAACCGGCAGTGCGCCTCCAGCAAATTCAACATCAGCGAACTATACTCGTGTATGGCGGCTAAAGTAATTCTCGAGATTTCAAAGTCAGCAGACAACAGCATTGTTTGGCGAATGCATCATGTGCAAACACCGCAGACAGCCTCACAATATGTTTGCTTCAAGTGAGTCACTGAGCTCACCTGAATGTGGAGGATGATGTTGTCCCCGTCGAACACTAAATTGCGGGTGAGGTGGTCGGCCCAGCGCGGCTTCAGGCCGGCCAGCGCACGAAATGGCGCCGGCAAGCCGTCCGCATGCACGATCAGCCACCAGAGCACGCGGCTGCGCCCGGGGCCTGTCGGGACCACAAACATTGGCATCTGGCTCCACTTCACCTTCCCGCCCTGCAGTAAAGGAGATGACAAGACGCGTCAGAATGCAGCTCACGTGCATGCACAGAGAATGCTCCCGCTGCAGCAGCAACCTCTGGCCATCAGTCATTGCACGCTGCATCCTACAAGTTAGGCATGCTGCCGTGGGCAGCAGCAGCCTCTCAGACGTCTGCTGGCAAAAAGGGCACCAATACTGGGACTTTGGGTCAATGCATGAGCCCCTTTCTTATATTGTGCCTTCTGACCAAGCACATGGGTAGCAGATTGTACGGCTCATGAGAGATGCATCAGCAAGTCAGCAACTTCGCAAAATGATTCGCAAAATGATTGGCTGACTCATAGCGGCAACATTAGCCAGAGATCTGACGGATCGCCTCGACAGTACACAGCAACACGGCTTGCCACCAACGGCGCTAGGGGCAGGAGGTCAGAGGCATGCCATGGGAGAGGGGATGTAGTAACGGATGAAGCAGGGCGGCACGAATTGGATCTTGAAATCAATCACGCGCGTTCCAAACGCGGCGCTCTTGACATCCATGCTGATGGCCTCCTGCGGGGGGTGCATCGGGTCCCCCCGGTCTGTGGGAGATATCTCGAAGACACCCACATTCTCAGATTCCCTGCACATGGCGCAGATTCAGCTCCTCCACACCTCGTATCCTTTTAAAAACTCTAAATGACTGGTTGCACTGCCCTGCTGACCGAGCCCGCCTGCAGCATGCATGCACATTCTGTTTCACTGTGAAGGACTGGGGCAGATAAGGAAGACTTGAAGCTGCTTATGGCCACTGTTCTTTTGTACAAGATCCCTCCCTTGCATGTCATGTCACAGGTTGGCCCGTCATCTGAGGCCTTAGGGTGCACAGGAAGACACACTAAAGACCAAGCTCAGGAAAAAAACAGCCATAATGCTTCATCCAAAAGACCAGGTGAGATCGTCATAGCAGTAATCATTGCGGCTTGAGACACAGGAGCCGTTGTAAGGATGGTGTAAAAAAGGGTGGGCCCACCTGTTGCCCTGCACGCCGTGATGGGCAAAGCTGACGTGGGAGGGATCCAGAAAATTCTCCACTAGAACGTCCCAACTGCACAGCCAATCCTTTTTCAGGATACAACTCAGCGATGCCTGCTTATGTCCTGAGCACAGCAAATCTATGCTCTCTACTCTCTCTGTAGGTCTGCAGGGTGGTATGGTCCGGTAGAGGCAACTGCATCCCTTTTGAAGAAACAACGTGCAACTCGTTTATGCTGCCCCAAGCTCCTGATACGGAGACTGCAGGCATGCCGCTTGAGAGGCTTAGAGATTTTCAAGTCGCTTCCAGTTTGAAGTTCTTGAATGACATCTAACATCACAAGCTCTTTCTGCCAGAGGCAAGGTGCGTCTGCAGACAAGGTGCAAGCAAAGGCTGCCAATATCCTACCTCTTGTTGGATTCCATATATCCAAGCAAGACCCGATCAACCGCGGGCACGTACTCAGTAATTGTCCCGCCCCATGCCAGCCGGGGCCATGTGGATGACATTTGGCAGAGTTTGGCAGAATTAGAATTTTCAAACCAGATTTAAAACAGATAGCAGAGGCACACCTGTAGGGTAGGTCTCGGGCGTATCGGCTGGCGGCAGAGATGACTGGACCGCCGTCAGTCGCCTGGCCGGTGTCGTCAGGTGACAGCTCTGGGATGAGTAACGGCGGCATCAGCGCCGACTCAGCCGCCGCGCTGGCGCTGCAGTCCCCCCAGACCCACACATACCCCTGCGACACCTGCGCGCAAAATCCTAGACATCAAATAACGCCCGTGACCTGCACACAGTACAAAGCTGTTTTAGCAAATTTCCACATGCCCTCCATTGTCCACAGTCAACAGCACCTCTTGTGCATCTCCACAAGTCCAATGATTGGACTTCTTCTTGTCTGCACCCTAGGGTCAGAGGCAAGCCTTCCCAAGATCAGAGCAGTCGCCTTTCTTTGGCCGAATTTGATTAGGGCCTTGGGATTTAGCCCTTTCAAGAGTAACAGAGGGATGCCAGAAAGCAGGTTAACAGTATGCAAAGTACGAAGCACAGAGCTTCACGTTGACACCCCTTGTCCACATACACTGCTCAATGCAAGGTGTATGCGTACAGGGGGCAGCACCATGAAATTTTGTGCGGCTCCTGCACATGCCCAACTGCTCGTGCACAGCATGAAGAGCGATCCTGTTCTTGGTACAACAGAGGTCTCCGCACCTGTGTGGGGTGCACGGCTGCGCAGGAGCGGCCGCTGGAGCAGGCGGTGTCCTCGGCCCGGGCATCAAGCGCCTGGGGGATGCGCGTGCATGCACCGTCACCCCTGAAACGCCACCCGTGGTACGAGCACATCAGCGTTCCGTCCGACGGCTCTATCCGCCCCTCTGCATGCATGGCATGATTACATAAGACAGAGTCCTTCGACAGTAGGCACCTGACTTGTCAGTATTTTTTAGAATGGCATCAGGTTGCGGCGTCATTCTCCAGTTGTTAGGAGAGCCAGAGGCCAACAGAAGCATACAAAGGGACCCATGCACATCATGATGCAGGCATGGCCAGTTCCGAAAAGCTTGCTTTTAGCGGTGAGTGCAACAAACGCAAGGTACCTCAGAATTTGCCATGGCTAAGCTCACTGCAGATGATCTGCATGTCATGTCTGTGAGACAGTTGGCCAATATGGCGCTGTGGGGCATTTGCACTCATGGGTGGAACGCGAGAAACGCTGGATGAGAAGAGAACAGCCGAGCACCTGACAGAGGAGCAAGCCTGTGGGGGCAGCGGTCTTCAAAGGCGGTCCACTTGTGCTGACGCGAGTCATACCAGATGACTAAGCGTTTCCCCAGCAGCTCCATCGCGTGTGGCCTGCCCGGATCCAGGTCCTCCACGAATGCCAGGGGGTACCACTGCCGCGCCCAGTCAAATGTGCCCCCATTGGCTGCTTCCTTGTCAGGTGACCCCCACACAGCTTGTCAAATTTGCTCCGATCGCCAGTAAATGCTAATAGGTTGGAACGTTGTTGCATGCCGTACTGTGCACAGTGACGTGGGTCAGGCTACTGGTGGCAAGCAACAGTGATCACCAGTAACTCACCTGTGTGGATGTCTGAATGGGTGAGCAATGAGCAGTGGCCTGCTCATGTCTGGTGTCGACAGCTGCACGGACAGCGTCCACCCTCCTTTTCAATGTCGATGATTCCTGCAGCATGGACGATAATTAGTCCAGCATCTGTATATGTATGGGATATGCACGTCGCACACTTCAGCCAAGCTGTGTGTGGCCCGCATCTGGACATCATTCCTGCACGATCGCATCCGACAGACATATGATATCAGAGGACAGAGTATGGACGAGGAAAGTTGCAGGGATCGGGCATCGCGCCCGAAAGTGGTGGTGGCATCTAGGCTTACCTTGGCACGCTTAGGCACCACCGCAGGCTTGAATATGGCAATCTTACATCTTGATGAATGGCGGTGCGTTCCATAGGGTGTTTGTAGAAGAGGATTTGCAGCGGAAGGCATTGGGCTACTGCCAAGCCCAAGCCGTGAACAACTTTCCGGCAGGATCCAGAATTAGTTAGCCCAGATGCGATTCTTCGATCGTTAGAATCAAGTCTCTGGCAGTTCTGAACGTTTCTGTAATGTATCTAATCCGTAAGTCTGGACTAACTCAATAAAGTTGCAACTTTTCGCGCTTGAGGTGGGCAGCTGCCTTGACGTGGCGAAGCTTGGACTCGGGCCCCAGTGCCTAGATAGGCCAAGCGAGGCACCGAACATGCATGTTGAATGCCATGGGGGTTTGCCATCCAAGCATTGGTGCGCATATACAAAACACTAGTTGAATTTGCTCACTCAACACCAGCATCCGCATTGGATATTGCCAACTTTGTAAGTCCAGAACCTTCTTGTTGCGCTGCGCATGCGTGCACGCCAGAAGGCCTGGTACTAGCTACTTAGTAAGCTCATCAGCCTCATGAGCCTCAAAACATGTGAAACATCAGCTACAATTTACATTTTACTTTCAGTGTACCCAGTGTACAGCATCACTGTGATGCTGTACATCGGAGTGACTATTATGGCGGTTCAAATATTCTGGGACAGCTAGCAATTGCAAGATCTATACTATATATTATAGTATTGCTAGCCAGCGCTGGCAGGCCGTCTCACGGGGTTAATGCCGACTGCATCTAGGTGTAAAGTTGTGGTTGCCTTTGCATTGCCGGGGCCGCCAGCCCAAGTGTCGCCTCCGCAAAACTGGACTCTACCGGGCAGAAGTGAGCTTGTTATCTCTTCTCCTGCTCTTGGTGCGGCTTGAAGCAGCACGAGATAACACATGCACCTGTTCACAGAACAACGGGATAGCTTGCAAAGGCACTGACAGACCAGCTCACCAGAAATCATCGAGATGCTTCGTCACCTCATAGGAACATGGAGCAAAGGGAGCAGGGAGCAGATCATCTAGATGCACTGACCTGGATAGTACTTGTATGCGGAAAAAGAAATATGACACTTGGGTGCGATTTGCAGAGTCAGTTCCTCCTGCCTCGCTGCTTTGCTTTGGGCTGCTTTGCTTTGGAGGGCTGCTTGGGCTGCTCATCGCGCCCGTCGTCCAAGCTGAGATTTTCCAACGCAACACCAGCATCTGTGCACACGCGAGTGTTTTAAAAGGTGACAGATCACAGAAACAACTCCAGAGTGATGCTAGCAACGGGGTAGGGCATGCAACAAGCAATGTCAAAGCAGTGAAGCGTTGAGCAGGACAGTACTTTCCAGGAAGCAATGTGTACAGCAGCAAGCTGATGTCAACACTAACAAGCAATCCTGTGTACGGCACTTTGGAGTTGTTAGCATCCCCGATGATGTGTCCTTGAAGGCAACTGAGGATAGTCAAGGAGTGTGATCGTAAGAACAGACCTTGACTGGCACAAGAAGCATCTGGGTCGCCATCTTCTGGTGGGGTGGCAGGAGCATATGCGCTTGGGCCCTGCTCTGCTACCGGCTGCAGCTGTGGAAACATCTGTGCCAGCTGCTTGTTGCGTAACACCCACGCCACTGATTCGCTCGCCAGCTGCTTCTTCTGCTCATCCTGCAAGCACATATGAGTGCAGATCTACTCAACATTTCTTCAGAGACAGCAGCAGCATAGCACATGCATCTTGCACAGCAAGCCGCTGCCCCTGCGACAAGAAGAAAATACTCATGTGTAACGCTGGTACCTCCTTGCAAGTGGGGATAATTCTGCCAGCCAGACATCTCAACGAGAGCAATCCTTGGGTTGCTCAATGAGAAAGTACTGGAGATCAGCGCACCGTTGTCTGCATGTAGCCGGCTGTGACCGTGTCTTCCAGCATAAAGGACAGGAGCCCTGTGAGTATGGATGCCACGCTCCATAAGGGGTTCCAAGTCTCTGCAAAAGAGCACAAGTTTCCAGTGAACAACACACCCAAGATCGCAGAACCAGGCCATTCCATGATCCTAATAGGTTTCAGGCTACGATCATGAATAGGTGATCATCAGTCAATGGCAAGCAACAATTGTGAAGACAGCTACCTGGGTGGTAGTCCGACATGGACATGCAGATGCGTGTGTTTGTCTCAAAGCGGCCATTGGGCGTCAGCATCATAATGGCCGGGGGTTTGAAGGGGTACTCCGGCTGCAAGGCAATCGTTGTGCACTGTCAAAGACTTTGCCAAGCTAATTTATAGCAGTCTGGAGCTCAGGTTCCTTATTAAGGCTGTGCAGGACTTGAACCCAGCAAGAACTTACCCTTCAGCAGGCTTACCGGGAATCTTAGTTTTCCTATGTACATGCCTCCAGCATAGGGCGTGTCCGGTGGTCCCTCGATGAGGTAGTGCCATTCTGCGTGACATGTCCTAATCACACCTCTGCTGCTCAAGTATTGATCAAGATGCTATGATGAGATAAAAACACAAGGACGGAATCCATGGCTGTCATCAAGTAGCTTATGTTCAAGGAGTCTTACCGAGCATATTTTTCTCATTCACGTGCACTGCTGGAACGTGAGGAGGAGGATCGGCCAGGAATGCTCTCATTTCCTTCTTCAGCTTGTTCACGCAGACCTTAGGAGCCATGTCACCGTGGCTGGCTGGCTTTTAGACGGCAATTAGACTAGGGAGTAGCATTCACGGATAATCAAGCATTGCACCCAATCAGGAAACCTCTGTCGACAGAAGGTGTCAGTGATGCAATGAAAGTGAGCTTTAGGGCAGACGCCACTGGGTGTTTGCAGATGGTCGTCTTGATGATTTGAGTGAACAAATAAGGTGTTCCCAAGCAAACTGAGGACGGTCCAAAGCTTGATCGCTTCGCACATGCAAACTTGATGCAAGGAGGATCACATCACAGGCGAGGCGCCGCCCAGAAATTTATCCCGTGACGATACGCTCGAAGCAGCAGACCTCGTCCACCACCTGGCTCTGCAAAGATACAGCCGCGGCAATACAAAAGATTTGCAATTCCCTATCTCTGCAGTCAACAGGCTCTGATGGCGGCGCAATCCGCTCACCTGAGCATAGGGCTTCAGAGGACAGGCACACAGCGATCAGTTCCCGCCATCAACGGTTCTCTAAGGCCCAGCAGCAGTGTACAGGCCGCAACAAGAGCGTTTCCCACACAATTTCGTGGCGCAGATGCAGCGCTATCCCATCACCTGGGAATCAGGCGCCAACGGAGCCTTTGCTCGCCAGTGATTGCCGCCTCAACCTATGAGAATGGCTATGGCTCAGTTGGTACGCCCGATGACCAGCTGGACCGTCCCGCAGCGGACTCTGCAAGCGTGCTAGCTAGTAACAGCCCTCCTGCCTCGCAACGAACTGTACAAGTACCCCCACCGGTCACTTCGCCAGGTGCTCAGCCTGTTTATGTGGGAGCCACCTCTGTGACACGATGTGGATGTTTCGAGCAAGGCGTTGCAATCATGGCTTGCCTTGATGCAGTATGGAAAGGAAATATAATGTAAGTTTTTCTGCTCACTCAGGTGGCGATGCCCGCATCAAGGTCATTGGTGTTGGAGGTGGAGGCAACAATGCTATCAATCGCATGATTGGCAGCGGGCTGCAGGTAATTTGTACTCACTGGGAGTCTTTTGTCATAATAGAGTCATTGTAATAACTTGTATATTAACTTGAAGATATAAGAAAGCGGCTGGAGGATGATTTACTTCATGTTGGGGGGCTGATGGAGGAAAGCTGGCTGCAAGACTGAGCCTCCTTTTCTGAGAGTGCTGCTGCGTCAATTGACATGCCTTGTTTTTCTTTTTATTGTGTCCACTGATCAGTTCTCCAAGAGACCAAATGGACATGTGCTGCGAGGCATTTTCTGAATAGTATACACTAATCTTGAACCACTCCATGGCTGTGCCGCTCCCCCCAGGGTGTGGAGTTCTGGGCTGCCAACACCGACGCGCAGGCCCTGGACAACTCAGACGCCCTGAACAAGATCCAGATGGGCGCACAGCTCACGCGTGGCCTTGGTAAACTCCTGTCTTTTCTCAGCACATTCTCTCAAACGGCATTGCCCGGGATTTCTGCCCTGCAGTGCAATGTAGTGACATGTGCAATTAGTAAAGGTCTCACACCTCAAAATATTAGCAGCATAGGCCTGTGCAGCCAAACGCAACTGGGGTTTAAGTACAAGTGCACTCGGCTCGTGTAGGAACTGGTGGCAACCCCAGCCTCGGCGAGCAGGCAGCAGAGGAGTCAGCCGTGGACCTCCAAACTGCAGTGGGCAACGCAGACATGGTACGCCCATCTCTCTAGTCGCAGTCGCACTCATGCAACATGCTTTGCAAGCCATTGCTGGCTCCACTTCTTTCATCTCAGCTGGTCAGCAGCCGGAGCTGATTTAGATGTGGAAGTGTAGGATGAATGTGAAGAATGGGCACATATCCATTGCTAGCTCCATGTCATTACCTGTCCACAGGTCAGCGGCTAGAGCTGATGTTAGGATGGAGTGAACATAAACAGGGGGCAAGAGAGCGTAATTTCTATGTGTGCAGGTGTTCATCACAGCGGGCATGGGCGGCGGCACCGGCACCGGAGCAGCGCCAGTTGTTGCGCGCGTCTCCAAGGAGATGGGAGTTCTGACAGTGGGCGTTGTCACCTACCCCTTCACCTTTGAGGGGCGCCGGCGTGGCACCCAGGTGCGCTTGAGTTCCCCCTGAAAAGTCTCTCCTGCGTCAGATTCTTGATATTATTGTTCTTGTTATTGTCCCACCTTTGCTTGCCAGGTGCGACTGCAGACAAGCTGCAGTTGAAGACTGCCAAAATTCCTACCCCAGGCTGGACTTGCAAGACCCATGCACGGTGTTAATATGCTGACCGTGATACTGAGGTGCCCTCAGTAGAGGGCACCTCAGCAGTATGAGGGAGCTGCCTCGGAGAAGGGCCAGCCACGTCTTCTGTGGTAGCATGAGTAAGTGCTGAACAGGCATGGTGTGGTGCAGGCGTCAGATGGCATTGAGGCGCTCAGGAGGAACGTGGACACCCTCATTGTCATCCCCAATGACAGGCGAGCACCCTTTTCTATTAGGGCCTGGCCATTGAGTAACAATCGGTGTGAAGACCCTGTTTAGAAGTGAAGGTAGAAAAGTAGGTACATGGTCTGTCCAGAGGAACACACGCTGTTCAAACAGGATCGGGCAGGGTGGACGAGTGTTGTGGGGTTGAGGGAGTGACGCTTGTTTAAAAAACTTGCAGGTTGCTGGACGTTGTTGGCGAGAGCACACCCCTGCAGGACGCCTTCCTCTTGGCAGATGATGTCCTCAGACAGGTGACTCATTGTCTTCCTTGTTCAATTCTTGCATCCACTGCGGTAGACTTCTGCATTTCTTGCAGTGGGCGAGCAATCCATGCACTTTGTTGGATGGCTTGGAAGGAGGCGCAGCATTGCTCGCAAAGCATGGTAAGCAAGACAATGCAACGCCTCTTCTCCATTCAGTAGCTGGCATTCAAGTGTGCATTGACTGAGCTAAGAAAGCCATTCTGGCCGCCCATGTCTGTCACCACGCACCTGAGGCATGCTGAGCTGACGCGTTGCCCGGTGTGCACACAACAGGGCGTGCAGGGCATCTCGGACATCATCACCATCCCGGGCCTGGTCAACGTGGACTTTGCCGACGTGAAGGCCATCATGTGCAACTCGGGCACCGCCATGCTTGGCGTGGGCGTCGCCACCGGCAAGAACCGCGCTGAGGAGGCCGCCCTGGTGCCCCCCCCCCCCCCCCCCCCCCCCCCCCCCCACCAATTTACTGCTGCCATCTCTCGGCCCCTCAATTTCTTCACACTGAGCCCCTGCGCGTGCCCCTGCTTATGCTGCGAGCAGTGAGGATGATTCGTATGCAGCTGCAAGCATAGGCTGGGGCATGCGCATGGCCTCCTGTGCATGGACTGGCAAGCTCAAAAGCAATAACTTTCCTTCTTGTAGCTGCATCAGGATATAGTTGAGGCACACCCATGATGAGTTGTGTCTCGATCCCTCGCTGCGGCTATACTGTTGAGTAGAGGCACATATCCAGCCACACGAATGTCCCTTTCATGAGTCACCTCCGCGTATTCCTATTCCAGTGGACGCACTCATTTACCGGGCCCTGATGCCGACACTGTCCTGCGCGCAGGCGGCCACGTCAGCGCCGCTGATCGAGCGCAGCATCGAGCGCGCGACGGGGATCGTGTACAACATCACGGGCGGCAAGGACCTCACGCTGCAGGAGGTCAACCGCGTCTCCGAGGTCGTCACATCGCTAGCCGACCCGAGCGCCAACGTCATCTTTGGCGCCGTCATCGAGGATCAGTACGAGGGCGAGGTGCACGTGACCATCATCGCAACCGGCTTCAGCCAGACCTACGAGGAGAACCTGCTCGCGGGCAAACTGCCGGTGAGTGCCGGCTGGCAGGCCTGGGCGTGAGGGGGCGTTCCCCCGCGCAGGTGCCCCCCTGTCTATCTGTTCCGCCGTCCCGTCCCCTTAGGTCCCCGTCCATTCCGATGCAGCCCTCCCTGCAACCTTGCTTTTTTATTTCGTACTCTGTGTGCCCATAACCCTGCAATCTGTACCCCAGTTATGGCATAGTAGGGCTACATAAGTAGGGGGGATTGCACCCGGTCTCAAGCTCCAACTTAAATCCTTGAATTCTGCTGGCAGACTTCCCTGCCTTTTCTTTAATATCATGTTGTGCTTGCGCTTTCTTTTCATTGTCTTTCATCCGCTGCTGCTTCGTGTCTCGTGTGGCTGCGGCAGGACGTCCCTGTCTTTCTGCGTAACGATCTTGCTTCGGCCTCTCTTTGTTCTTGCAGCCTTGCACAATCAGAGCCAGTCCAACAACACATGTTGCATGAGATGACGATTAGCTGATCCACTCCGGGTGCACCGCGCAGGAGCCCGTGGTCAAGGAGGGCGAGAAGAAGCAGCTGAGCGCTGCAACCAACGGCAACCTGCCCTGGAAGCGCCGTGGCGGCGCCACAGCCTCCGGCTACCTTTCCCGCTCCCTCCTCTGAGGGACCCCCCTCTGGGCCCACCCCCGATCACCACCGGAAGGAGGGACCCTGCAGCATGCGCTGCCAGAACCTGCATTGTTTGGCTGAGCTGTCGGCTCTAGGGCGCCACTCCATTCTGCACCAGTCTTGTGCTGCGATGCTGCCATGGCGTGCTTCCTCGCCTTGAAAGCTGCTGGTGAAGTTTTGTGGAATATAAGGGTGACAACGGCGGGCTTCAAAGGATGCTGTGGCCACAGTATTGCTGGCAATTTTCAGGAAGCCATGTTGCTGCCATGGCACTGTCTGGGAATTGGTTGCAATTGCGCAGTGCAGTGCAGAATGCAGGGCTGGTTGCTGACATGTTGATAAAGGACAAAGGCAGTATGAACCCTGTTCAAGAACTTGGATGCCTTGAAATTGTTGTTTGCCCGTTGTGTCTCTAACCATGGGACACCTGCGCTTGTGGGCGGGTGGTATTGACTTGGGATCATCTCATCTCTCAAAAGATTGGGTGGGTTCTTGCTATCGGCTGTAGAAGGACTGAAAATATAGGTGGACAGGTGTTGTATTCATCCATGGCTGTTGCAGCTGCTTTCAAGGACTCCGCATGTGTTATTGTGTTGCTTCACTTTTGTACATTACTCTCAAGAAAGCAACGTCAGTCCGAACACTTATGGTGTGATATTGTCTCGTGTGTTGAATGAGTCTCCAAGAGGTTCTGGGCATGCACCCCTTGCTGCCAACACTGTAAGCTATCTTCAGCATGAATTTGAGAGATTCCTAGGCCTCCAGGGGCTAGCACCGCGCTCCACTGCGCTCTATGCTGCTGTACACATGCATGTGCGTGCAGCGCTAATTAGTTAATTTATAAATGCTAGCTGCGCAGCGCAAAATTCTGCGTTGTAGCAACTTTCTTTTTGCCACCAGCATCTGAGCTGCTTCCATAACCCAGATCATCCATTACCATGTATCTGTCTTGTTAGATGTTTGATCAAAAAACATGAGGTGCTTCCCATAAAAGATGGTTTGGGCCAGCTGGACGTGTATCTTTCCTTATGATGACGAGGCGCTTGAGACGCCCCGCCAACTGCCTCAATAGTGGCAATCGGTCAATCGAGGAGGGAAACGGCTGCAAAGGTTGATCCTTGAATTATTTCTGACTCGCACTTGATTATTGGGACTGTCTAAATCTTAGCTCCGACTCGCAATTTCGCCATAATCAGTTTCATCACTTGCTTTTGAAAGTCAGCAGAGGTAAACGTACAATGGCGAAGGGCGCATCTGGATCGCAGGCAGCTACCTTAGTACCACGCGCTGGTGGTGGTGCCAGCACAGGTGGCAGCGCAGCAGCCCGAGCTCCTCCAACTGCAGCTGGTCTGAGGAAAAGGACAAGTGAGTATCTTTGTAATCTGCAATAGCATCCCTTGGCAGAATTCTTCCTAAAGTCTGTATGAATGATGCACATTCATATCCTGCTGGATTGGGCGCATGTTAAAAGTTTATGTAGTTTAACTGCTGATCGATATTTCATTGATCCTCGACCCACCCGCAGTCTTTTGCGTGCCGAAGCCAATTTATTGTTTCGTGGACGCCTTCTGCGAATCCATCTTAAATATTTTGTGTTGCTTTTGGAGCTTGTCCACGTATCTATGTTGGAGAAGTGGCGTCAGAGAGACTGCTGGCACCAAGATCTTTGTCCTGGTGTTCAGGATGCATTTTGCTGCTGCGTGTGTCTCAACACCTCGTTACAACCCAAACGTGGATGTGTGTATGCAGCTCGATCAACTGGCAGTGGAGCTGGGAGACAAAGCGGTGCTGGGGGAGGCCTCAACTTCTACACTGATGATACCCCAGGGCTCAAGATGTCCCCGGTACAGTCCTGTGAAGAAACCCTCGCAACCCATGCTGTCATGGCGCAATCCTTTGTCCCTCGTTGCAGGAATGAATCATGACAGTAGCAAGATGTGTCAGGGACGAGACGCATACCCATGTTGAGCGCTGACTTGCTTACCAGCAAGCTGACAGTCTTTGTCAACACCGCTCCTGTTGACTGGACACTGACGCCTCTGCAGGTGGTGGTGGTGTTCATCAGCGTGGGCTTCATTATCTTTGTGACAGTGCTCCACATTGTGGGCAAGGTGAGCACTCTTTGCATGCATTCACATTTTTCCTGATACTCTCCAGCACAGGATGTGCTCTCAATGCGTGTGATCAGCAACTGCAATACGTGAGGTGGCACTTGAAGGCATGCAAGTGCCTGCACTGGCACTGGACTTCACTGGTGCTAACTAGAGTGGTCCGTACGCAGGCGCTTGCTGAAAGAAATCCTAGTCTCTACTTTCAGTGATCTGTGAATTTGAGTTCCCCAGCCCCTCATTTGGCAGCTCAATTTGGGTTTGGGCAGGCTATGTCTGTTTGGCCCCAATTTCTCAGTTGCTCCTCTAGATTGGGCGGACTAAGTGCTTCACTGGGAAGGACTTGTGCCCCAGCTGCTCGGGATGAGGGCCATTTCTTTATGTGCTTGAAAGCATCACCAACCCGTGAAAGCAGGGTGCTGGCATATTCTGATGGTGTTGGTATGTACTGCCACTGCAGCTGCGCGGAGTGTGAGTGGCCAGATGGAAGGTCAAGGCCTTAGCGCCAGGACCGTCAATGGCTCAAAGCGGGGGAAGCAGGGAAGTTGTGACGGATTCCCTGCTTGGGACGGGCGTGTGCGTTGATCTGTACTAATTGGCACTCTTGAAGACCCAAATTCACTGCACTGAGTGAAATTGCCCTGAAGCAATGACAGGGCAGGAGGAGTGTTGGGCTTATGAGGCAGTGTGTGGCTGCAATGGACCCCCCTACGGTACCGTAGGGGACCGTAGAGGACCGGTCCTGATGCGAGCATGCTTGGAAAACATAGAAACACTGCAGCGATTGCACTTGTAAATGCAGTTGGTGGTGGTACAAGGGGTGCGCGCAGATGCATCAGCGAAGACCCCCGTTCTTGTTTGACTTCGCAGCTTTGGTGCTTGGACTGCTAGGATCCACGACCGTCTTGTCCATGATGGGGTTACATTCGGTCTGAATCCTGGCAGATTGTCTGATCTCTAACTCAAAAACTCTCGAGGCTGGTTGGTGTTTACTGAAGACAAATCTGCTCCACAGGGGATATCTGTCTGACATTGGCATGATGCTCTTTCCCGCACTCACCAGTATCCGCAAAAATCTCATATGTTCTCCAAGAAAGGTGGTGCCCTCTCAGCTGTTCAGCATAGAACCTATAATCAACAACCCAGAGAAGAAAAACCAGAAGGAAAATAAGGTTTTGCGTCACAACCATCACTTGCAGCTGCGACTGCCAAATAATCGCCAATTCTTTCTCCCCAGTACTGTACCAATTTCTCAGTGCCGAACAAACGATGTGCGCCTTCGTATCTGTATTGCCTTTCGCACATCGTGCAACGCATGTTCTCACACCAGTACAGTCAAGGCAACTTTCAACCATCTCCTTCAGACTTGCTGTTCTTCAACTAGATAATGTTCCGCACTGCATTCTCCCTGCAAGGTTTTCAGCAGGATTCCCCCCTTCCGACGGCGCCACAACACATAGCAAGCATTTAAAAAATAGCAGAAATCTTGAAATTCGGGCTCTTTGCGCCCCTCTTGATCAAAACTTTCCAGCTCTGAAGAGCTGCTTGCGTGTCGATGCATTGACAAGTGCAGGCACCCGCCAACTCCACACGTCCCTTCCCTCAGTAATGAGTTGTCAAATTCTCAGCTCCCATTGAATGCTGCCTCCCTGAATACAGCGAATGGTTGGGCACAGTGCAGACTGCTCAACAAACCCATCTCCCCAAGAACAATCACAGCAGGTGGCAACCGCCGACATCCTGCTTCCCACCGATGCATCAGAGCGTGCGGCCGACCATGCCTGCAATAGGAAAGCCTCAGGAGGTCTCAGTGCGCTTCTTGCGGCTGAAGAGCGAGCGGAATTTGCTGGAGGCGGTCTCGCTCTCGCTGGTGGTGCGCGCAGACTTGCGGCTGGCGCTGCTGGCCTGCGAGTCAAACAGCGGGTTGCTGCGGCGGTCCCCCGCGGGCCCCCCAGCGGCCGCAGCTGCGGAGCTCTGGGACCCCCCCGTGTCCAGCAGGCTCGATGCGAACAGCGGGTTGGACTTGCCGTCCCCCGGCATTGCCCCTCCCTGCGCCTGCACAGCCATTCCCCTCGTCTCAGCCGCAGATTCAATTTTCTGAGGAAAAGGCAAGGAGAAAGGCTGGTGAATGCTAATAGCAAGATCCTCTGTGGCAAAGGCATGCCTCTGTGATTGGTGAACGTCTCATTTCCTTAACAAACACAACCTGCCTCCTGCTGCCGTGTGCAAAAGGAGCTGTTCACAGCCATGAGAAATTGCAATTATGATTCAACTTCAAATTTGAAATCGAAATCGAAATCATACCTGGAAGATGGGGTTACGGGCGCCCTCGTCGGAGTAGGTCGAGTCGTACAGGTTGGAGGCGAAGGCCGGGTTGGTGGAGGTCATGGTGGAACCCCCTATCAGGGGGGACCGCGGCTGCGGCGAGGGGCTTCGCGCGGGGGACCGGTCCCCCGGAGTGGGGGCACCGCTGCCGGGCGCGCTGTTTATGGCGCTGCCCATCTCGCTGCCGCTGTCGAACGTCAGCGCGTGCGGCTGCAGGCCGCCTCCCTGCACCCAAATGTGCAATTATGTTATAAATCCGTCAAAACAAGCCTTTCAGAAACTAATCTGATGTGCAGACAACAAGTGCTGATGTTAATAGGAAACAGATAGCCCTTAAAGTTCTGATCTGACGGGGGTCGCAACTGCAGCACCAAAAAGAGCATGCTCTTGCCGCAAGAGGCAGCAAGATAATCAGATACATGAGCCTCAAGGCGCCCCAGCCAAGGAGCTGTGTGGCCTAGAGTGAACTCTGTGCTGCAGAAGTAAAGTTCAGAAGCAGTGGTGGGAGAATTGCGCATACCCGCTTGGGAGCGCCGGTGCCATAGTCGAGGGAGGCGGGGCGGGAGCCGATGTCCGAGCCCATGTCGGAGCCCAGGTCGGAGCCGAGCGCGTAGCCGTGAATGCTCTCCGTGCCCTCTGCCACGCCCGGCAGGCGGCGGCTGCCGTAGTCCACCGAGGCTGGCCGCGACGCGCCGGGCGTGGTCGGGGCCGAGCCGATGTTGGATCCGATCTCGGAGCCAAAGTCGGAGAAGGCGATCTGGTGGCCCTGGACGCTGCCCGGGCCGCTGGCCGGCGCCTCCTGCGCGGGTGTGCGCGGCCCGTAATCCATCGAGGCCGGCCGAGACGGCAGCGGCGTCGCGCCGGGCGTGATGGGTGCTGAGCCGATCTCGGAGCCGAGGTCGGAGCCGGGACGAGAGAAGGCAATCTGATGGCCCTGCAGCGAAGGCGCGCCGCTGCCCGGGGCGCTGCCCGGCTGCTGCCCACCGGGCAGGTGGCGCAGCCCGGTGATGTCGAACGATGGGCGGCCCGAGCCGATGTCAAAGGAGGGGCGGCTGCCGCCGCCGATCTCGAAGCTGGGCCGGCCAGAGGGCACCTCAAAGGAGGGGCGGCCCCCGATGGACGCCAGATCGGAGCGCGACCCGGTGTTGCCAGCCAGGCTCGGCGGCGGCGCGCGGCGGCCGTAGTCGAGGGAGGCCGGGCGGGAGCCGAGCTCGGAGCCCATGTCCGAGCCGATGTCGGAGCCCATCTGCACGCTCGGCGGCGGCGCACGCGGTCCGTAATCAGCGGAAGTCGGGCGCGACATGGAGTCGCGGCCGTAGTCCAGGGATGTCGGACGCGAGGACTCCGGCGTCTGCAGTTGCAGCAATATGATTATAAGTCATTGATCAGAACTCCTCACTCTCACATAACAAGGCAAACAATGGCCGAATGTTGTATCGAAAAGGCACTCAGACCTTGGAAGACTGGATTTCACATGCAAGAAAGCTGCATTCAAATAACAAGTGTTGGGACAAGTGCAAAAGGTGCTGATAAAATAAATGCATACACAAACGTGCCGCTTACCTGTGAGCCGGAGCCGTTGAGGTCGTCGGAGGAGCCACGAGGGCCGGCCATGCCGAGGAAGCCGGCGCGGCGTGCGCCGCTGAAGTCGAACGACGGGCGGCCGGACCCGATGTCAAACGACGGCCGCGTGGGGCGCTCGCCGATGTCGAAGCTCGGGCGGCCCTCCCCGATGTCAAACGAGGGACGGCCTGAGGCGGGAGCAGATCCGATCTCCGAGCCCATGTCGGAGCCGAGGTCCGAACCGAGCGCAAAGCCGCGTACACTCGGCGGCGGCGCGCGGCCGTCGCCGATCTCAAAGCTCGGGCGGCCGGAGGCCGGCGCGGATCCGATCTCAGACCCGAGTGCCGAACCGAGGTCGGAGCCGAGCGCGTGGCCTTGGATGCTGCCGGGCGCCATGTGTTCGCCGCCGATCTCAAAGCTCGGCCGGCCCGATGCGGGTGCGGATCCGATCTCGGACCCGAGGGTGGATCCCATGTCCGAGCCGAGGGCGTGGCCTTGCAGGCTCGGCACGGGCGTGCGGCCGGTGCCGATTTCGAAGCTGGGCCGGCCGGATGCAGGCGCCGATCCGATCTCCGAGCCGATGTCGGAGCCCAGGTCGGAGCCGAGCGCGTAGCCGCGAATGCTCGGCGGCGGCGCGCGCGGGCCGTAGTCCATGGAGGACGGGCGCGACGTCGGATCCCAGTTGCTCAGGTCGGACCCGGACATCTGCCGCACAGACACAACATAAGATGTCAATGCCTTATACACCGGAGCTTAAGCAGGAAAGACAGCAAGGCAAATGTGACGCCTGACACCGAGTGGCATATCACCTTTGATGCAATTGCTTTGCAGCAAGCAAATGCAACGAAGAAAGCAGCAGCAACCTTGCATTCTTCTGGCTGCAGAGAAAAAAATGAATGTACGATAGCGCATTGTGACGCAGGAGCAGAAGCCTAGACAAGATACAGCTCCTCAAAAAGGACGGCACATCCTGAGAAAAGATCGGATTGGAGAAAAGATCGGCACCTGGTGTCCGGCAAGGCTGGGCGGCGGCGCCCGGCGGCCGTAGTCGAGGGAGCCGGGGCGGGACCCAAGCTCGGAGCCGAGGTCGGAGCCCATCTCAAGGGAACCGCGGGGCCCGCGAGGGGGGCCCTGGCCGAAGTCGAAGGACACCGGGCGCGTGTCGGCAGACGGAGTTCCTGGATTCGGCGTGTGCAGCGGCGGAGTGTCAAGGGAAGTCCGGTTGGACTCCGCCGGGGTATGCGTCGCCGGTGTGACGTTCATCGGGGTCACGTTCGCCGAGACCACGTTTGAGCCAAAGTCGGAGCCCTGCGCCAAACAACATGACCTCTTAGTCACTAAGCACTATTGTGTTAAAGATGCCCGACATGTCACAAGGACTGGCACAAGACTTCTGAAGATTCTGCATGAATGAGGTTGTGGTGCGATGTCTCATGCGGCACAAACTAAGCCCGAGCTGTGCAACTCAAGAGATTGGATTGTTCAAAGCACTGCCAGGTCATGAGCTGCAGGCAAGAGCACACGATCTGAGAGTTATTCCAGACAAAGATTGCACTGAACCCCCAAAACCCCTAAACCCTGAATGATATTTAAAAATAAATAAACAATAAAAAACAAAAACGAAACACACCACAATGGCGTGGCCTTCTGGCTCGTGGGGGCGCGACGCGGCGAAGACGGCAGCGGCCCCGGCCCCGGCCGCGGCCGCGGCGCCGGTCGCGGCAGCGGCGGCGCCGGAGGGCGTGTGAGGGGGCGTCCCCGAGATGGGCGAGTTGATGCTCGAGCCCAGAGGCGAGTTGGCGCTGCTGCCCATGGGCGAGCCGATGTCCGAGCCGCTGTCAAAGCGCAGCGGGTGGCCCTTGACCGATCCCACCGGGGAACCCATGCCGGCGCTGCCGCTGCCAAACTCCACCGGGTGGCCCTGGATCGAGCCGATGTCGCCTGCGCGCAACGAGGCAGAGGCGATTAGGTCAGAACCAATCACACGCAACTGCTGCATGCCGCCGGGCTTCCGCGGCTTAAGCAACCCAGGTCTGGGCTTGGCACCCTAGGTAGGCAACGAAACCCAGCAACTTGGACACGACAGCAGCAGGAGCCATGGCCTGCTTGGTTCTGACTTGTATAAGAGCCTTGCAGAATTCCTTTCAAGATTTGCCAAAAAGAGCTGCATTACTTGGCACACAATGACGAGTCCAGACTGCCAGAATTAAACTTGAATTCGAAAAAATGTGTAGAGACGCACTGCCAGCACCGGAGAAGGTGCGCGGGGTGGTTGAGGGGGAGATAGCATGAGCGGCAATAGCGCCCTGAGTAAGGCGGTCCCCGCTCGTGTACAGCGGGTTGCGCGTTGGCGGCGCCTCTCCCGGCACGCCCGACGCGCTGCCGCCTGTCGACAGGATGTCTGCGCGCAGAGGAGCAGATTCTAAAAAACAGATTCCAAATACTGCTTTGGTTCAAGAAGGCAAGCATGCACTCCTTGAGCAAGGATATGCCTGCTTCCCTGCCAGGAGAAATTCAAAGAACACTTCAGAGAGGCATAATGTTTGAGCCTTACTTGCAGCATCTGTCGTTCGGTCAAGACAAAAGGGCGCACAGCCAAGCTGCAAGATGCCCCATCAAAATTACCAGAAGCTGCCTATTAGCAGAGAGGGAGGGCCAGAGCAAAGCACCTTCTCCAAAGAGGGGGTTGGGGGTGGTGCCGTCCCTGGGCTTGTTGTAGTCAAAGCTCTCACGATTTCCCTCACCCGCGTCAAAGAAGTCCTGTGTTCAAATCAAATTCCTCAGCCTAAGACATACCCTGCCTGCTTGAGGCAACAGTCCCTTGTGCCTCTTACAGCCGTGCGTCCTGCTGTGCTGAGACAAATACCAGTCAGCCAATTTGATATGGTCTGTAAGTAGAGTGTGAAATTGCACGGAAAAGGATCTGCGGGGATGCACCTCATTATCCGGTGGGTCCAGGGTCTCTCACTGGGGGTCTGCTCCAAGCCGGGGGTGCGATCACGTCACCCTTGGGAGCCCGGCGGGCGCCTCAAAGATGACTCATTGCTTACTTAAGAGTGTTTCACACTTCCTGCTGCTCGATACATCCTCCCCTGGGCAGCTTTTTCTAGAAGCCCTTTACAATCTTCCCTAACACTTGCATCCTGCTTACTGGAATTTACAGCATTCAATAGTGAACATACATTGGACCTAGATAAGCCTAACGAGCAAATTCCCTGTCCTAGGCCGCCTCTGATTCGACAGGTTTGCAAGACTCATGCATTTAAACAGAGACAGTCTAATGCCAAAGTCAAAATAAAGCTGTACCTCTACAAATCTTCAGATGCCCTTCACAAAGCAGTTTTGCCCATGTCCAGTTCTTCATCGTTCAGCGCAAAATCCAAATTCAATCTAACCTCTACACAACTCCCCACACCCAGCTACACATAGCGGGTGGGGGGAGTCCTAGGGGGACTATCATCATCATCTCTAGGGGTGACCCCCAGGGGGGTATTGTATGCTGTGGTATCCCCCTCTCCCAACAGGGGGTTTGTGCTATAACGCAGGGGAGATGGGGTTCTAGATCTGGCCGGCAGCTGATAATCCACGGACGGCGCGCGAGACCAATCCTGCAGCGGGGGAAATGACAAAACGGGACCCTTGCACCTCGGCTCGACCAGGAGAAATAACACAGGGTTCCTCGCAATCAATACAGCAGCCGGGCTGGGAAGGAGCCGCGACTGCTGTGTTCTTTGCAAAATGACCGATTCATGCAGCAATCAGCAAGAACATGAGCTACCAGAACATTACACATTCCTCCTTTTTGCAGAGTCACAGACATCCTGGACACAGCAAGTGTGTACAGGATTTCTCTGGCACTGTCTCAGCAAGGAGGAGATTTGAATTCGAGCTCACCCGGTTGCCAGATTTGGCGGACTGGAAGGATTTGGCGGAGACGGCGGAAGCCTGCCCGAAGCTGGCGGCTGACGCAAAGCTGTCATCGCGCGCGGCCGCGTCGCTGAACATCTCGTCCTTGTCACTCGGGCGGCCGTCTGCGCTGCTCGGACCGGCCTGGGCGCTCGTGAAGGAGCCTGCGCAGATACATGCATAAATATGTTCAACGACCTTACCCTTGCAACCTTCCTCTTGCAGGCCATGATTGCCACGGTGCCATGATTGGCCCATAATTTGCAGAGTCTTGACTGCTACCGTAGGTGCCAAAAGATTCACAATGGACTCGAGTGGAGTGACCACAGGTTTTTTTTAATTCGCTTTCTCATGTGTTCCCTCCAATGCATATATACTATCAAATTGGGCGCAAAGCTGCAGCAACATTGTAAGAGAGATCTGACGCAGCACTCACCGACGTTGGACTGAGCGCGGGAGCGGGCGGACGTGAAAGAGTCGGCGGAGTGCGCCGAGCGGAAGCTGCCCTCCCTCTGCGCCAGAAGAGGCTCCTCCTTCTCAGACTCCTGCACATATTGCACAAAGAACCAAGTCAGCACTCATGTAGAAGAGTAAGATTGCCTGACGTGGCACATCTCAATATGTTCCATCACAAACTGATTTAACAGCCTCCATTTATATGACAAGCAGGCTGCTGCGGGTGTAGTGCCGCAATGCTTTCATCTCCACATTGTCTCAACACTTGCATCAAAGGCATGGTTCAAGAGGTGAGGATTTCAGTAGCAGCCGCACCTTCTTGCGTCCGAGGAGGGCGCCCAGGGCGCCACCGCCGGCCGCGGCGGCGGCGGCAGCGCGGCCGCTCTTTGGCGTGAGCCCCTTGGAGCCCTTGGGGGTTCCGCCGTCAACTCCCTTGGCGCCGGCCGCCGGCTCGACGCGCAGCCGCTCGAAATCGTCTCCGCGCGCCAACGCGCCGCCGCTGCCGGGGCCGCCGGGACCGGCGGCGCGGCCGGCCTCGGCCCCGCCCAACTCGGCCTCGAAGGCCGGGTTGACGGTCTCGCTCTTCAGATACTTCTCTCCCATCTGCTTCCTCTTGCGCCGGCGCGCCTGCGCGCGGAGTTTTAACCTCAAGCCTTACATATTTTACCAGACTATGTTTCCACCTCCAAATATCACGCAGAGTTCAAGCACTTGCCACCCTCAAGCCGCCAAACAATCGAGCAAAGCGTGGCATAGACACATCCTGGTCTTGGAAATAAAGAAGCCAAACGCAAAAGCGCCTCTCGGAGCAGGCAGGAAGTTTCCGAGAGCAATGCAGCTGTCGGGGTTGAGGGACTCACGCAGAACCAGGTCCAGTAGACGGCGTTGACTGCGAGGAAGACACCGACGAGCACGGCGATCACAATGACAGCGATCTGCCACGCGGGCCGGCCGCTGCCGCCGCCGCCGCTCGGCGCCGGTGCCGGGACAACGTTGCCCGAGGGAGTCTGCGAGGCGGGGCCCGGCACTGCGATGCCGCTCGGAGTCACAGGCACCGGGCTCTGCATTGATGAACAGAGCACCTCTCAGCACTAACAAATGAGTCACCTCTCAGACGTGCTGGTGAAAAGGTCTGCTTGCTGGGACTCGGCTGGGACAGTCAACGACGTGCCAGGGAGCAGCAAGGTATTGCACACCAGAAGAACATCCTCAACATATCAAGTCTCAATGCGTGCAATGTGCACGTTGCTGTGCCAAAGGTAGTGTATTGAAAAAGAGCTATGTGTACTGCTCAACGAGACGGGCCGCAGTTCCAATGTATGCCAGGGAACCGCAGGCATGGCAGATGTTCACATCCCAAGTATGCCAGGAATCAGCAAGTCACTGCTCGAAAAGTTTAATTTTGCTACAGGGCAGAGGGTGTAAGGAGAGAGTTAGCACCATGGGGGAGGCGACAGGGCCGGAGGGGGGCACGAGGCTGAGCCCGATGCCGGACAGCGCCTGCCCAAGGCGGCCAGAGGACACTGCTTCGTTGATGCTGCGCTGAACGGCATCCGGGTTGTCTGATGCCACATTGGACGTCACTGTGATTCCCTGGCTCGCCTGCCGCAGCCGCCGACCTGCCGCGCTCGTTCCGCCGCCGTTGGCGCCATTAGCAGGGACGACTGTCGTGTTGACCCAGCTTGCTGGCACACCCGCAGTCTGCATTGCATTGCCCAATTTTTCGTGAGCACTGGACAGATTAGTGCTTTGGAGGTTTGAAATGTACACAAAGAGGCAGTGGCATGTAGGATGAACAGCTCCTCTTGGCAGCAGCTCATCATGCTATCCTGACTCACAACAACCAATTCTAAAGAGCAGCAGGGGCGTCCAGTGCTCACAGTGCTCCTATCGATGCAGCATGCCAAATTTCTCCTTATGCACGATACGCTTGCCAGTGCAAGGAGCTTGATCATGAGGGGGGTGAATGGGAGTTAATGTTGAAAAATATTGAGTTCTGGGCAGGGCGGCAGCGCACCTGCGCGATGATCTGGTCGTACTGGGCCTTCTGCTGCGCAAACTGCTGCTCGGTGACGCCCGACAGCTGCAGCGTCACGTTCGCGGCCGTCGCCGGCCGCGGCGGCTCAGCCGGGCCAGGTGCTGGTGCCAGAACTGGCGCCGGTGCCGGTGCCTCAGCCAGTGTCGGTGCCTCAATAGGCGCCAAGGCAGGTGCCAGAACAGGCGCCGGTGCCGGGGCGGCCACCGGCGCTAACAGAGGCTCCGGGGCCGGAGCAACCGCTGCACGTGAACAAATAGATTGCCTCAATGAAAGCTTCATCCACCAGTACACCCTCAAACCACGGAAGAGACACATGATCAGAGTGCAGGGCCGACTGGGGTAGTACTGACTGGGGCAGCTCTAAGTCTGGGGATTAGGGTCGATTGGGAAGACAGCAAAAACAATGTTGAGGCTGTGTTCCAGCCTCATTTCTGCCGCAGGGGAAAGGAACATGACATAGGGATAGTGCTTTATCAGGGCATCTCTGCATACCTGGCGCTGACAGCACGAGGGCCGGGGCGGGGGCCAATGGGAGCGCCACGATAGGGGCGGGGGCCGGGGCCAGAGGGAATCCTTGCAGGGTAGCGGGGGCCGGAGCGGGGGCGAGAGGAAACCCTAGCAGGGTCCCGGGGGCCGGGGCGGGGGCGACGGAGAATGCGCGCACTGCTGCGGGGGCCGGGGCGGGGGCGATAAGCTTGTAGCTGGGGCCGGGGGCCGGGGCCGGGAGGACCGCTGCGGCAGGGAGGGGACCGGGGGCTGGCGCACTTGGGAATGCGGATGGGCCTGGCAGGGGACAATACAATAGGGGAAAATTATTGTACTCCAAGGGATATACAGGCACAACCTCTGGGCAATGAAGCTCAACCGATTGGGAATTGTCGGGGCTTTCACCATGTGTCACAAATACAAATTCAACGGGCACACATTCACATTCAAGTGCAGCACAATCGGCTGGGATTTTTGCCGAAGCACTGCAAGGAATTCTGACTACAACGGCAGGTGACACTGCATCTGATTATTCCATCTGGAGGTGTCCTATATATATAATAACAGGGCAACTAACAGCAATAAGGAGCGGGCAGCACACCTGGCGCGAGGGCGGGGGCAAGGGCTGGCCCGGCGGCAGGGTTGCAGGGGTCGACGTAGGATGGAGGGTAGCTGAAGTTGGTGGTTACGGGCACGCCCACCTGGCTGCCGTAGCGCTGCACCTGGCACAGACCCGGGTTCTGCCCCAGCAACCTGCACGCACAGCCAGGTTGTCAAGGACTAGGGAAAGGCCACACAATAACACAACCTTGCAAGGAATTATGCCTATGCAAGTGATAAGTGCACCTTCGAAAGTAAAGCCAGCGAGAGTAGCTCCTTCTGCCCCAGGACATGCACAGGCGGCGCCTGCTGTGCGTTTCCGATCAGCTTGGAGGGAATCAAGCCGAATAGGAAAAACACATGCATGGAGCCAGGCTGTGTGACCAGTGACCGGGTGACATTGCCAGCAAACCATCCTGTTAAGAAAGGCCTTCTTGGCTTTTGCCTGTAAATCCCACAGGGCCAGGAAACCCACAGACTGATGCTCCATGGAATTCCATCCAGGGGGCGCTCAAACAGCTCAGGCATTTATCTGCGATTGTGAAGCAGGGTCCTGCCGACCCAGACCCTCCTGAATGTACATGCAGTATGAAGGGAGCGCTCACAGGGTGGTGAGGTTGACCAGGCCGGTGGATACTGTGCCGTTCATGCCGGTGCCGCGCCACGAGGACGGCAGCGCGCCAGTGAGCAAATTGGCGCTGGCATTCAGCGCCTGCAGCTGCGACAGGCGCGACCACTCGGCCGGCAGGGTGCCCGTGAGCGTGTTGTTGCTCAGATTGATGCTGCGCAGCTGCGCGTTGTCCGCCCACGACGACGGCACCGATCCTGCTCCCCCACCGATACTGAACTATCAATCTTCCGGTTCAGGCAGACCATGTCCAAGAGCATGTGCTCTGTCCCTAGCTACAAGATTAATTGCTCTGTTCTGACCATGCTCATAAAAAGGGCCCATCACTTGGGTAACAAAACACAGGATTGGTGGCACGGCTGTTTAGAGCAAGTACGCCCCAGCATCACGGTGGGCTGCTGCACGCACACTGCAAAGCAGACCCCAGGCTCAGAGGATGGCCAGCTGAGGCACTGCTCACTAATCAGCGCCATCCAGTTATGCCAGACAGGCAGCTATGACCTGAAACTATGCACATTGAAAACTCAGGAGGCACGGCGGCCGGGGAGGTGTGGCGCGAACCGGTGAGCTGGTTGTTGGAGAAGGAGACGGATTCGAGGGCGCTCATGTTGGCGAGCGGCGGCAGCGGCCCCTGCAGCTGGTTGTTGGACAGGTCGATCGCTTGCGCGCCGGCCATTCCGCTGAGCTGAGGTGGCACATACCCGTTCAGCGCATTCCCTGCCAGGTCCACAGACTGCACAGCTGGCAGCGCCCCCCACACGGTCGCGTCCAGCGGCAGCTGCCCCGTCAGCTTCTGCCCCGGCAGCGATCTGCGCGCACGACAAACACAACCTCATTTCATACCCTCATATAATGTTTTCACGAGTGGTTTCGTCAGCTAATGCCCGGGCAGCTATCTGCGCGCCCGGCAAATATAAACAGGGCGTCAGCACCCACAAAATTTATTGTAATACGAGTGATGCTTGGTCTTAGACATGCAATGTGGTATTTCAAAGAGCAAGCATGTCAGCTGCTGCGGTATAGGCAAACAAATATCACTCGGTGGAGCATCTCACATGCTGCTTGCATGAGCAATCTGCTCACCATCACGTGGATTGCAGCAAGCATTAAAAAGTTTGCTGTCAACCAGTGCTGACAAGGGTGTACCAAACCTGCTGAATGACAGGATGCTAGAAGCATGCGCGCCAAGTGCTGCATGCGCGAAGGTGTGGGATGGAAAGACAGGCAGCCCCTTTTCAACCAGGTAGATCTGCCAGACATTTCAGTGCTGCACTAGTAACGTTGAAGGATATCTAGCGGGGGGAGGCTGCGCACATGTTTGTGACCTGGCCGCTGGGGTTGCAGGTGAGGCCCTGCCATTGGCAGGGGGACGTGGATGGGTCCCAACTGGGGAGAGCAGTCTCAGTGGGGTCCAGGCTCGCCTTCAGCAGCAGCAGAGCCTCCTCCTGGGCATCAAAGCCTGCCCATGCACGCCAACAAACCATCAACACAGCGGATTTTCTTATCGGCTTCCTTGGACAGAACCTGGACAAGGCGGAGGCATGTGCCATATATTTCCTATGCTCTACACGCATGCCAGAGGACCAGCAATGATGCCCTCTTTGGCGAGCACAGAAGAAGCGGATGCAGCATGCCGATGTGCTATATGTAGCTGGCTCATGGGATAAACAAGGCAAAATCTAGCCGAGATGGTCTGTACAGATCTGTGAAGAAGCAAGTGAAGAAAAACGCGCACCCTGCGTCTGCAGGAGGCTCCGAATGTTCACTGAGCATCCTGATTGGACGAGCAGCAAAGCAACAAAGGCCACTGCAACAGATGTGCTGCCGCGCATCCTGATTGCTATCTGCACAACAAAGCAGACAGCTTGTCACTGGAATGCCTCATATGGTTATGTGGAATGCAGTTCGCGGAAACAACCCAATGATGACACACTGAAGTCTCTCAGTCCCTAAATTCTTTTCTTGAGCTGATAATCTGCCAGTCCCAGACAGACTGGATAAGGGCACTTTTCGATCTGGCATCTGATACTCCTTGTAGTAATAAAGAGAGATCTGCATCGATCATCCAGGGCTTGAACCGGTAACAGATTGTTGCTGAAAGAAGAAGCCCAAAAGAAACCATCAGCCCAGTACAAGTACACACCATCTTCGGTGCGTCTTGCCAGGCTTAACGGTCGCACCCCGTTTGCATTAAACTAAAGGTCCACAATGGTTGCTATTCATCCAAGGCGAAGGCTATTGGCACAATGTCATGCGGCCAATTCCTCCGGCGAACAAAGCGGGCACTCGATCCCTATCCTTACCACCCAAAAAGGTACCGGCGCCCCGTGGGCCCCAATCGATGTGCCGAGAGTACTCAGGAAACATTTCAGCAGGCATGATGAGTTCTAAAATTGCCATACGTTTGGCACTGCCGGCATTTCGTCGCCCTACTACAGAACAGGGGATGAGACACCCTCATGCCCAAACGATTGGACTGTGGTGAAGGCCTGGGGCCACTTTCAGGGAGGTGATACACCTTCACCCCTCATATATCGATTTCAAAATGCGTGGGTCCCCGAAATTCGGTCCCATCGCACGAATGTACTTCAACCGCGAAGCCCGCTGTGCTTAGCGAACATTGCGCAGCTCTGTAGTAGAGGTGTCTGGTAACACACCTTGCAGATGTTGCGCCTGCACCCAACCGATCTTCCGATTGATTCGTGTCTTTACGCTATTTCTGCGTCCGAAAACGCCTGTATAGCGTCGAAAGCTAGCTGTTTGGCAAGCCTTCAGGGCTGCGCTGCAGCCTCGCGATGCCTGGCCGTCTCAACTTCCCCGCCTCCAAAGCGAGGTGCGATGGGGTTTGACAGCCTTGATCTCAAAGGTACCGTTGGAAACCATCATCGGTTCGCATTCTTTGAGGACATTCGCCACAGGTTAGTTGCGGGAGCTCGTCGATTGCTCACCGGCCAAGGAACGCCGTTGCAGCGATGCCATCACGAGCTCCGAAAGCCATGTCGGAAAGTCTTGGTCTGCTGCAGGTTTGGGGCTCCGGGAGCACGTCTCAAAACGTCTGTTAACAATCAGTGAAACTGATACACTAAATTTCGCTCAAATATCCGCTCTGTACATCGCTGGCTGCGCGCACGTCCTCATCGCACCTGTGTCCGAAACAGATCAGCTCGTCTAAGAAGCCCTGCCACGGTTGTCGGACGCCGACAGCACACATTCCTGGTGAGATATCATTAACTTTGAGTTTGAATCCGCAAGGGCTGTCCTTACAATAGCTCTTCGTGCGTACAGCTTCGGGCGTCTTGCTGACAGGGGCAAGTGCACGGAAGCTTTTCCTGGGGCGCTGCGTCCGTAACCTGTCATAATCGGTGCCCTCAAGCCAGCATGAGTACATCATCTTGGCATCGGGGATGCCTGTGACAGCACCGATTGCTCTCGACGAGACTTACTTGGCCTGCACGATGCACGCTCTGGCACGGCGCCATAATCAATAAGAATATGTGGCACCTGCAGACGAGGAAGTGGTTTGGACGATGATACGGCCTGGTGCTGTCGAGCATACCGGGAGCTCGTGCAGGCCTGCCCGGTCGGAGCATCCCAGCTGCAGCTGCAGGGTTGCTGACTCTCATGCACTCCCTGCGCCGCACAGACACAGCCGCAGGCAGGCCCGCTGGCAGGGCGTCACCTTGGGATTTGCAATTCTTCTAGCAGCTTCCATGCCCCAGAGCTGGGCAGCCGGGCAGGATGGGCAGGGACACAGCAAGGTGCACCGACGACCGCGCAAGGATCAAAGCATGGGCCGCTCACTCGCCGACCACTCCAGCAGCCTGCCTCCAGGATTCTACAAGCGCTCAGTCGACGTAAGCCCCGTTGCAGCATATTATCTTCTATTCCTCTTCACGCCCTCTGCCATGCGTTTCACAAATGGCATTACGCATGTTTACTTTGCAAACTAGAACACCATCGATGGGCAGATCTCTGAATCCCAGCCATGCACAGGAGCATCTGCCACATGTACAACTTGAGACCCGCATTGCGCAAGCATGCTTCCAGGCTGCTACAATGTTGAAGCATTCATCACCAATATGACTGCCAGGCAACACCCCAGCTTGTGCATATGAGAGATGAGACGTGCGGCTTTTGAAGTCGAATCTGGATTTATGCAACGCAGGTCGGGGTGTTTCAGACATCCCTGGCGGGTGTGTTGGAGTTGGAAGATGGGAGGGAGGAGCCGGCAGTGCTGTACTTGTACCTGAAGGGCATGAAGCACGCGGATGTGACCACCTTCCGGGGCTTCATGTTCCAGGAGAGTGCTGACCGTGAGTGGTACAATTGGGGCGGCACCGGCCTCTGCATGCCCCAGATCGCCTGGGAGTGGCTGCCACGAGTCTTCTTCAGGTAATTCTTCAAAGTGCATTATTTATTTGTCCTCCTCTGCTGTGGTTGTTTTCATTCTTGTAACTGACTGTAACCTATGCCTGATTTCCATCCTAAGACTGTGCTTATAGGAGGACTATCTGAATGTTTGAGCTGTGTTTTGACTCTTTTCTATACACATCCAATTTCTGCAGCATTTGAGACATTCTTTCTGGCATGACACAGCAAGCTGGTGTGAATTGATGGCCTGCCAGCGTTGAAATGCCTAGCAAGTTGTTCCAGAAAGTGGTTTACAAGCCAATTTCCATAGAAATTCCACCACCACCCTGAAAACTTGCAAAGATTATGCATTCGTAACACCTGCAGATGCAGGCGGTATTTAAATCAACAGCACATCTCAGTCTGGTGTTGCTGGGTCTTGAGAAAAGAAGTCTCCCTGCCTGCAGGTCAGTGGCAGAGCAGGAAAAGGAATGGGACTTCACAGTGTTCAAGGACATCATGTTCAACGAGACATCAGAGCCGGAGATGGGGACTCAAGAGGAGCGAATGCGCATCTGTGTGCCATTCCCCTTCGAGATGAACGTCTCCAATAACGAGGCTGCCGGTGACTTTGAGGTCCACGTGGAGGGCTGGAAGAACTTTGTCTACTACTCCCCAGGTGCTCTCCCGGCTTGCTGAACCTCACACAGTTTTGTTGTTACATGCTTGTTCCAGCCCTCAGGGCTAGGTCCTCACACATAGCATGCCTTGAGTCCTGCGCTGCACATGTGCATGTTCAAATCAACGCCCAGTTGATGCGATCCCTATTTGTGGGCTCCAAACTTGCAGATATTATGCTGCCATGACATCATTGACTAGGTGACTCAATCTTTTATCAAGGTCCTGAATACAACCTCCTGCAGAAGCTTGCATACTTTGCTGCAGGAGTGCCGTTCCGCATGTGAGAGGGTAGTATTGATTGTTAAGTTCTCAGTTCTCATGCCGTGATTTGCAACAGTGGGCACTTCAACATTCTCCACTTTGTCAACTTCTGCAGAAGCTGGCACACCGCATATCATATCTGTCGCATGCAAATTCAAAATGACATGTGACATGCGCAGGCAGCGTGAACCAGCCGGTCCCCCCCACGCCTGTGGCCACCGGACCGGGGGGCACGCGGGAGGTGGTGGCGCTCTTAGTGCCCTTCCTGCGGCCGACCCCCACACACATCGCCAACAACCTGCTCTACTTCTACATCAAGTACCACCTTGAGCTGGGCTTCTCCAAGTTCGTACAGTACACCCAGGTGCTGCTTTGCCCCCCGACTGTGCATGTCAATTTTTGTTTTCACCAGGGCAGTCCGGCGAGGAACCCACCAACAAGGGTGGAGACAAGGGGGAGGAGTTTCTGGCTCTGTGGTATGTATTCAGACTCCAACAGCACAAGCTTTTGTGGCAGGACACTGTTGTCAACATCAATGTGGTGTGGCACCAGCACGCGCAAGCCTGCCCTTCATTGCTTTCTGGTGGGCATCTTTGGCAGCGCATGTTTGCATTCACTTGTGTTTTCTTTGCATCAATGATTGGCAGGCAGTCCAAGTGACTGCACTCCCAATGTGTCTACGTGCAAAAGAATGTAATGGGTCTGTGCATGTCCCTTCTCTGAGCTGGTGTGACGTTCAGGTTAGAGATTGTAAATGTAAGCCCACTCAGCCCCCTGCACAAATTTCTTGCTGATTCCATATTGACTCTCGCTGAGTGTAAATTCTGCGCATCGTGCAGGGCATGTATCTGGCAGATTTTTAAGAGCCCTTGTCTCATCAAATCGCTGGTATTGACACCAAGATTTCTGCGCATGCATGCAGAGCGTGTACCTGGCCGGTTTCTGGGAGGACGCGCGGCTGCGGCGCTACTGGGAGGCCGGAGTTTTGGAGTACGTGCTCTGGGACAGCACAGCCGAGTGCGTGGGGCATCTCAAGTGCATGCAGCCCTTAATGTATAGCCATGCCATTCTGTCCTACTGGGGGCAGCCGGTCTACCTGAGCCTTGCAGACCACGATGAATACCTGAGTCTCAACCACCCCGACAGGTATGCCAGCGTGCAAGACCTGCAGACGTCCAAGTGCTTCGACGGCCTCACGCAGGCGCGTCCCCTTTTGTACCGCCCATCTCTGGAGAGACCACCAACTCATTTTGAGCAATAATTCAACAGGATAAGAACACCGTGAAGGGGAAGCGATTGAATCTTGTGTTGCTGCTGCTGCTGCTTCTGGTGAGCTGTTCACTTTTCAGAGCTGCCTGGACGTTCCAGGGTCTTGCAACGATGCAAGCGTACGTGTGTGTCTCAATTTCGTCACCCTGTGCTGCTGAGTAACCGGCAGTGTCATGGGATGCAGAAGATGCAGGACAACCTGTCATCTGCAGAGCAGGCGCGCTTCTGAACAAAGTCATCCTTCCATGCCCAGAGGGTCTAAGGTTTTGGCTCTATACAACACGGTTTGACGAGGAAGTTTGCTGCTGCAGGTGAACATTCCCCGCTACAATGTGGTGTGCGGGCCGGGCCAGTGTGAGTATCAGGAGGCGGCAGCAGGCACCGCGCAGAACTGGGAGCTGCAGAGGCAGCCCAACCAGCAGCTTGTCGAGGTGTGCTGACTGCAGTCTTTAGTTTATCTGGAATGTTGTCTTGAAGAAACAAGGGTGTAGCAATTCTTCTCGAAGCAACTGCCAACTCCTCGTGAGCCTGTGGCATGTGCTTGTTGCAAGTCTTGGATCCTCGTGTGAGCTACAAGGAACAAGCTGGATGCATAGCGAAGTGCTGTAAGTTGTTGTTTCTGAGCCTCGAAGGATCCTGCCGCTGTGCCACACCGCCATAGCTGAAGGAGGTATGACCAAGTGTACCAATGACTGAATGTGCTGACTGAATGTGCTGATGACTAAGAGCTGTCTGGCTGCAGCTGGAGCTGTGGAGGGACGCCACTGACTGGAAGCACCCGATGGAGCATTACACGTACCGCGCGCGCGAAGGCTTCACCGGCGACCGCGGCAAGTGCATGGTCGACCCCAACCACATGGGCGGATTCAATGTGCGCCCCTTGTGTCCTTTGTCCACATGCTTTGCGTGAGCCTGCGATCATCTGACAGTGGAGAGGCCTTCAAGAAGCATGGTGTGAAGGAGAAAGTGTGCTCATGCCTCCTTGCCTGCCTGCATGTGTGCCACCATGAAAGAGCAAGCGATGCAGAAGTGACTGCCAATGGATATGCATCCGCCTTGGAAGATAATTTCTGCCTTGGCACCACGTTGAAGCTATTCACTGGTTGCCAGCAAGTCTCTTGCCTGACTGACAAGCTGTGGGCTTGCTAAATGCTGCATCTATTCGGTGAAAGGAACTGCAGATATCACGGCAGAGGGAGTGCCACAGAAGAAACGAAGGGCTCCCGTGCAAGCAAACATCATGCAGCAATAATACCTGATTGCACTGATCTGTATTGTGCATTGACGGCTGCTTGCTGCTTGCGCGCAGGTGCATTATGGAATGGTGCTGCCCAGCGGCAAGAGGCAGGATCCCCCTCGGGGGTATCTCCCGTGGGGGGGACCCATAGACGAGGAGTGCGCTGTCTGGCTGCACTTAGTCAACCTGTTTACGGGCCGAGACAATCGCACGACTCATGAGGTGCAGGACAGATGGCACTGGGTTTTTGACCGGGTCAGCGGCCACCGCATGCAGACTGGCGGGAACTGACGATGGATGTCAAACTTATCATTGTAATAAATTCTTATTTCACGCTTTTCCATCCAACAGGCAAGATACGTCCTGCAGACAAGCTGCAGTAAAGGCGGCCACAATCCTACACCTTGTTGGACTCGCCAGATCCAAGCTTGAGCAAGACCGAATCAACCGTGGGCAAGGTGCTCACTATGTATACCGGCCCCCGCCAGGAGGGGCCCAAGCTTAAAACCTATGAAACGGAATTCTTAAGGGGATGGCTTGTTCATCTGGGCTGGAGTGCGCAGGAAGGACAGGCGAGCATTGTGAAATGCAGTTGTTGTGTGCAATTGTAGAGCCTCGAGCACCTAGATGTTTTGACCGGTCAGCGGCCTCGGCATGCAGACCGCCTGACACTGACCGTGAGATTTAAATTAACTGAAGTGTGAAATCAAACGCTCGATGAGATAATGTCCGCTGTCTGGAGCTCGCCTGTGCTAGCAAGGGCAGGCGCGCATGTTGGCGGCTGCTTTGAGAGTTCCAGATCTAGATCTTATTGTAGACAGATCAATGAAAAACTGCATTACTTGTGGAGGTCAAGTTGCGCAGCACTGCTAATTGAGCAATGCATGCATGTATTGACTGGCTTGCAGTATGATCTGGTCATGCATATGTGATCACATGAGCTGTGCGCTGGGTAGTGAGATCGCCTGACTTGCAAGCTAACTGACTGACCAATTGGGCTGCTCATTGGACTCTTGGAACGTGTATGCAAGACTTGCTAGATAATACTATTTGCTGTGTGGTGTTTTGCGCATGTCACTATTAGCTGCCCTGTCTGTTCAGTCTTGGGGAATAATGTCAGTCAATCGCAGATTTTGCAAAGGATAGGCAGGGCAGAGCATACTGCGAAACTGTTCTGCCTGTAGATTTTGCCCTTGCTTTAGTTCGCTTTAACAAGATGGATTCTACAAAACCTCTTTATGCACGATTCTGGCCCATAGCTGATGAAGGGAAGGGTGTGCTGCATCAGCTGCTCTAGGTCAAATCTGCAGATTTAGCAGCGAGACAATATCTGCCTAGTCTTACTCATGTAGATCTGGCAGATCTGGCGGCTTCTGTCCATGCAGCATCACTTTCTCTCTCCATATCACGACCTGGCAGTCAGCTGGCATTGAGCTTCAGTGCTTCCAGCCAAGCAGTCTGCAGTAGATGTCATCCCATGACAACGCTAGCACAAGCTCACTCCTCGTCTTCGCCTCCGCCGCCTGCTCCAATGACTGTCCCCTCTAGATCCTTGTACAGCTTCTGCACAGCCCATCAGAAGAGCATGTCAAGACAAGATAACATTTCCTGGCAAAGCAATAACGATAGACACAGAGTTACTCCAACCTGCTCGGAAGACCCAACAATGAGCGATACAATCAGAAAAGTAATCATTTGCTCCAAGAGAGAGAAAAAGTGCCGCACCCCTTTGTTGTTCTGCGTCCACAATGTGTCGAATCCTGCATTCAGCACCTGGTGCAGAAACAGAAGGGCTCAGCCTGAGCCTGACTGGAGGTCACTCGAAACCGATGCCCCTTCTCTTATTATGACACCTCCGCTTAAAAGTTAGAATTATTCAAAACTGAAAATAGTACGGAAAGCAGAAGGGCTAGATTGCTCACCCGCTCCCCCAATATCGCCCCACCAAGAATGAAGGCGATGTACACGCTGTTTCTCCTCATGAACAGCTGCAACACAAATGGCTTCGTCATTGACACCCCAAAGTTTGCAACATACAGATTAATACTACCAGTCGTGCGTCCAATATGCATGTGACAGGGAGATCAAAGCTGCTCGCCCACAGGACAAACGGCAGTTTCTTTCTAGATACTATTAAATTGGCAACATGCGATACTCAGGGCAGGTAGATCTCCTATATCTTGTTTTATTGACTTGTATTGCACATGCAATCGAAGAGGTGCTCTCGTTACCTTGTATCCTGCTTCCATCAAGGGGTGAGACCTGGTGGACTGGGCCGGCATTTTGGGCCACCTTTTGTCCACACACCAGCCGGAGCAGAGATGAGGACAACACTATAGGGCAGGTATCAGCGTAGCTTGTGACCCCAATCAATTCTCAGGTACAAATGCGAGTTCTGGATTTGCCTGACCTAGAGCCTGCGCTACAGCGACAAACCCCTCGCCAGGGTTGCATGCAGGGGTTGATATGCGATTTTCTGCTCTGCTAGAATCAAAGCCTTGCAAAGTCTGTCAGGAGTTGTAAGTCACCATGATAAAGGTCCCCTTGCAGCAACTGATGCAAAGCCCATTTTACACCGGTGATGATCGTCATGAGGCAACCGCGGTTGCATGCATAGTTGCAGCTGCAGATACTTCCTGTCTGCCAGAAAGATGTCTCAGACAGGATGCCATCAGTGAGAGATGACTGATTAAGCTAAATTCAAAGAATCAAGTCTGCAGAGTTTGGGATCTTGCGGATTCAGGCAGTGTTAATGGCAAAAGAGGAGCATCTTTTGGTACCAAAAGTCATGTGCACCCATCCTCAATTATACAAATGATATATCAGTCTGCTGATCTGCCAGTGTCTGTTGAATCAATCTTGGAGGCTGGAAATTTGGAAGGCATATCTCAATTCTCCTAGCCCATCCCAGTAGAAAATAAATGGCTGATCACCGGCGGCACCACTTTCATCTGCCTTTGAATGACTCAAGCTGGTGGTCCCAAAATATTTGTGACTGCAGCAAGCACAGTAACCCTTGCCTGCAAGCTGACACCAAAAATACCTTATCAAAGTCCCTTGAAATACTATATGCCCCTCCCCAAATTGCAGTGCTACTTTTGCTGGACGCTCCTGCGTTTGTTTGGAGGCTTGGCAAACCACCATACTTGAGTTCCCTGATAAACTCATCCGGTACTCTGTCCTTGCACTTGATAAGCGACACACAAACTGCTATGCCAGGTATGTCAGTTCAATCAGAAAAATTTCAGATTACTTTCAGTAGCGGCTTGCCCAGCGTACTTTTCCTCCTGGCGGGAGAACTTTCGACCCTGAGGGGAAAGGTCTCCTGCCATTGTAGATTCTTCCGGGGAGAGCCTATTCAGACCACGATCAGGCAAACCTGTGTACAGATCAGGTCACTTGCAAATACAAAGCGAATCACTGGCAAGAGCGCACAGGTATGCCTGGCTCGGTCTGTGAGGTTGTGATAGTGCGCACTGGTGGCTCTCACTCCTCAAAGGGCAAATGCCGGCTCGAGCAAGCCCCGCTTTCACAAGTCCTGATAGCAGCTGCTGCTGCTGATCTGCCCATGGGTTTTTGGTACAAGTCCAGCTGCCCCGCCGCTCGCTGAATACTGCTCTGACAGCCACGAAAACTTGCAGGGCCTCACCCCTCGGAGTGCACAAGTGGCTTGATCCAATTTGACCAGCCCTGATAACAGCTGCAACAGCTGGTCTGTCCATATTCGTCTTGGACCATATCGCTTTGACTACAGCGCACGTTCCCACTCATCACTCCTCATCACTCCGGGTGAGCAGCGGCTCGCGCACGCCCCGATTGGACAGGTCAGCGTAGGAGCTGCTGCGGCTGTTGAGCCCCAGCATCGACCCAGTTCTGCCCAGACTCCGCCCGCCAAAGCTGCCCGCGCCGCTGCCCGGCCGCAGCCCAAAGGACGAACTCCGCCGCAGAGCGATCGGCCGGGCCGGGGCGGCCGCGGCGGCGGCTGCCGATGAAGAAATGCGATCGAGCGTCGGTGCGCCGCTGCCGCCGAGGCCGGGGGCTGGCGGCGGCACTGGCATGGCGGCCTCCATGTCCGCGGGCGGAGTTCCCTCCTCTGCACGCCGAAGAGATTATGTCATGCCGCATGCATGCTGCAGTTCTACTATCATGTACTACAGGAAGGCGGGTGGCAAGCAGACAAAGCTTCATATAATGTCACTCTTTGTGCGAGCATGACTGGGTGTCAGGGACGACTGGCAGCAGCTCTGTTACCGTTTTAGGTACTGCACTTAGGCCAGGGCCTCTTCTGGCACAAGCTTTGACGTTCTCCAGAGTACAACATCGCTTGGGAGCCATGGATGCATTCGTCTTCCATTGTAACCCGAGCAAATGTGTGATATCTCAACACAGCAGCAGCTGCACGGCCAAAATGGCACCCTGCCAATATTCCTCGGTGGCTGAGGGCGCTTACCTGAGATGGGAGGTAGCTTGTCGGGTGCATCCACATATTTGGGCTCGGGCGGCATGAGGCTGGCAAGAACTGCAATCACAACTCCCTGGATGGCCAGAATCACTGCAAAAGCCGCTCCAGACCAGGGGAAGCCGAGCAGATGTTTCGCTGCCCCCCCTATCAAGGGCCCCCCGCCGCCACCGCTGTGGTAGGAGCCCATCAGGATCCCCGACACCAGATCATCCACCCCCTCCTGGTCGAAACCCTGCATGGGGGAATAAAAGAATGGTGATAAGTTACTCGGTGTACAGATCACTGGAGCATTTCAAACAGAAAAGTCATGATTGAATCATCAATTTCACCCTCCTAGTCAAAGCCATGCAGGGGTGACTATGACACATGGTGAGGTGCACCAAAGGAATGGCATTGCTGCAACAACTTATCTGTGCTAGCTGATAGAAAATCCGGCGCGCCCAACAGAGCATGAATGGCTGGCGGCATGCTGGGTTCATCGCTTGAATTAACTGAGTAATCAGCTAGACCCCGGGGGCATAAATGGTGTCTAATGAAGTCTGATTGGGCAGACCAGCCAGGAAGAAAGAGTCCAGGGGATTTTTAAATCATTAAAAGTCCCATGAAGAATCACTCACCAGGGTGTGCGAAGCATGCAACAGCGCTGGCAGCGAGGGCACAAAAGTCATTCCTGCACCAATGCCGACGCCGCCGAGCGCTATCCAGACCAGCCAGTACATCTGAAACAATCAAAAATTCAACTTCAAACTTAGAGTTGTTGATCTCAATAGCACTTATTTTGCCTTTCAGTACGCCTGCCAACTTTGGCAATGTCCAGCCGCGCATCTTTCCTGGATCTGGCAACTCCAACAAGGAGGGCATGGCTCTGTGGCAGCATTTGACTGCAACCTGTCAGACCCCGTCAATTTCTAATGCAATGCACAGCATCTAAGCATACCTCCAGCCAGGGCCAATCTTCTGGCCGCTGCAGATAAAAATTCATTTCTCAATAGGTATAACAAAAGGCACAAGGCAAACCATGTTTGACAGGGTGTGTTGGTGTACCTGTGGGCCCAGCAGCGGCTGCAGTAGTGGAATGGGGCCGATGAGCAGGTAGGAGAGAGCTGAGATCAGCAGCCCAATCGACATCACCTGAAGCCGCCCAATGTAGTCACCCAGCAGCCTGCGCCAACATAGTCAACTCGAAGCATCAGTTTCATACCCATTTTGGAGCCTTCGTCCCTCTGGACTAGATACAACACCCATACTCGGCAAGGGGCAACGAGACAGGAGGAGAATTCAGCCTCCAGTCTCAAGGAAGGTGCATGCATTGGCATGACCATGCGTCAGTGCAGATGGAAGGAAGATACCCTCCTTCAGACATCTCAGATACACTGTCCACAACGCATGCAATTCTCAGCTACATTCCCCGCACAAGAGGATCTCCTCTAATGCTTGAAAACGTTAGGAGACAAATAGGGCTACTAGGGATTTGGCACCCCGCAAAGGGGATAAGTGCGGCGCCTAATCCTGCAATAATAGCCAACGTATAGGCAGCCAATCGCGCACAGCCGTATTTTATCTGATACTTGTATTTATGAAACTCGAATCCAAACACCGGTGGGGCTTCGATTACGCACCCTGCAAAAGGGGTGAATGCGGCGTAGACCCCGGCGATTACGGCGAATGCGATGCCGATGGTGCCGGGTCCGTAGCCGAGGATGTCCTCCAGGTGGGGGCCCAGCGTGGGGTCCAACAATGTGATTATGGCAGCCCCCAGCATGGCGGAGATTAGTAGGAGGGAGAATGATGGCGCCTTGAGCAGCCGCCCGACGGCGATGTCCTCCTGCGGCTCGTCGCCCACGTCCGTCTCCTTGCCTGAATTCACATTCAATGGTTGAATCCGAATTTTAAATTGCCCTCGTGTACAGATTTAACGGGGATGTTAAGCAGCGGTTGAAAACGGCTGGATGCAATGGGACAGGTGAGACAGTGAGCTGTCTAAAGAGCTGCCAGCAAGACATGGCTTCTGGGCGAAAGTCTCCCAGGCAGTCTGCGCTGTCCGCAGCATTGCAGCCGTGTGAGATTGCCAGAAACCAGACCACCCTCCAAATCTCTACATGCGCAGGGGAAAGGACCTCTGCGATAGGATTGGACTGCCGAGACCTTCAGGTGCTTATGCTGCCAAGGTTAGATTGCACGTACGAACAAAACTTCAGGATAACGCTTCTGGCATGCATGAGATGAAGGGCTGGTCAGGCCGGGGGCTCCAATTGGAACAACACATTCAAGTACAGTCCTCAATTTTTACAGGTTCATTATGAATTCCCCTGGTCAGGGGCGGGACAGGGGGCTTTACCACGGGGCATGAGGAAGAAGAGGGCGGGGTAGCAGGCAAATGCAAGAGCTGCCGTGATGAAGAATGGCGCTCCAAAGCCGGCCAGCTGAGCGCTGTAACCTCCCACCACCGGACCGACCACCCACCCTATCGATAGCACCGACTCCTGCACATGCACACAACAAAAAAATCACAAAGCTTCCTTCCTGCACTTTGCTTCTTCAAATCAATCCGGCCTTCGAGTTATGTGTTTACGGCTGCCTCTATGCTAGATGAGCCTCTATGCCGGCTGCAGTGCACATGCCGCCTGACTGCAAGCATGCGCATCAGGGATCGCTCCCAAAGCTTTTCCCCTGCAACTTGCGTTCCCATCCGACGATTTTCATATGCACTGCATATCTAGGTCTGTGAGCCTGCGCTTCACATACAGCCTGACAGCCACCATGCGCAGCATAGCATGCGCATGGTCCCTTTTCATGGCTGCAAAAGGTGTACGAGCTGTCAGCAGCAGGTATCGTAAGTCATAAATGATTGAATGTCCTGGAAGGCGCCAGACCTGGATGCCCATTGCGGTTCCCAGGAAGGGTGTCCCGCCGTACAGCGATGCAGACAGGGCCATTGAAGCCGTGTCGACTGCCGCACACCCCAGACCTGCAAGCATGCCAGCGCACCTGTTATTATTATTGCACGCTTTCCTGCCAAGAGGCAAGAAGCGTCCTGCAGACAAGCTGCATTTGGCTGCCATAACCCGACCCCTCCTTGGACTCGCCAGATCCCAGCAAGACCGCGGTCACACACTCTCTAGGGATACAACCTGCATGTCTTGCTGTCAAATAGATTGCAGTCTGTGCCTTCAAGGCAACAACCACCAACATTTTTCCTTGGATTCCATGTAAGCATGTAGTACTAATAATTTGCATGCATGCACTTAACATGTGCCAGGGAGCAAGTCCGCACCCATGACAGCTCGCAGGATGAGACATGCGGCAGTGAAGAACTGCTCATGGTCGATCTCGGACACGAAGCCAAAGAGCGCTGTGCTGATGCACACCTGGCACAATCACATGCTGACACATCAGCCCAACCTCCAACAGATTCCCTCCAATATTAAGCTTTTCTTCAAAATTCTCCCCTTCACAACTTGGCTGAATGAGCGACGTTCAGCACTTTCCCAGACACCGCTGTCACCAACTTTTAGTGGGAGGACACAGATAAGAACAGAGATATGAAGGGCAGGAGTAAGGAAGGAAAAAGAAAGGAATCGGCCAGCGCACCACAAGGAGTCCCACAAGCAGCAGGGAACGCCGCTTGATGTAGCCGAGCTGCACCAATCGCCCCAGTAAGGGAGAAGCCGCCACGCTGGCAAAGGAGTAGATGCTGAACACCAGGCCCACCTGTGCGCACAACCCACCCTCCAGCTGCCCATTTGGATTTGAATTTGAATTTTGAGATTCTGGCATATTCTATCTCAAGAAATAACCAACTCTGCAATAAGAGCAGTCAGATGCATGCATGACCAGGAGTTGCCTACAAGAAAGAGCGATTGAGGAGGTGACTATTGCCACCACTGGAAGGCTGCATGCATGAGGACAGAATTGATGACTCACCATGCTTGGGCTCACATGCCGCCTTTCTGCTTCCTGTGGCAGTCAAGACAGCACTGTCACAGAATTTTTGGCAATCGGACAGGCGACAGTGTTGACATCTACCCTAATTTTTGCAAGTCAACCATTATATGCTTGCTGACAGGGCAAGTATTGCTGTTTGAGGTCAAAATGAGCTGCGTGCCTGAGGAAAAATTGGAGACAGGAGCGTGAAAGTTGCATTGACGAGGAGCAGAGCTCCACACAGACATCCAAACGACCACCTGGAGTTTGGAATTAATCAGTCAATTGTGTGACCTACAGCATCCCTACTCTGGCAGATGCTCGGGTGGGAGAACGTATGTCGCATCTTTAATGGGTCTTAATTCCTACTGCCTTGGTAACACATCTAATAGATCTAAAAGCAACTCTTTAAGAGACTGCTAGCACCGGAGCACTGGAACTCACTTGCTGGCCAAAACCTAGGAGCTTGATGCTGAGAGCAACATGACATTGAACGACTAGCAAATTCAAGACATTATGCAGAGCTTCCCATTCATCTGTGAAATTATGAAAGCCTCAATGCTAAGTAGGACTTTGGGTGTACCTTCTCGTTTTATCGTCGATGTCCATCGCCGGTATCCCAGAGTGTCCGTGAGCGTGGGCCATGGAGCAGAATTCTGATATTTTTGCAGCTGTGAATGTTTTCCAGCGTACAAAAGATTTGAGTCTTCAAGACACAGTTGAAACGCTGCCTGACGGCTGTTCAGCGTTGCCTCTGTACAGGTTCAGTTAAAGCGCCTCGATCTCATTGTGATATCTCAAAGAACAAAGCATAGGATAAAAACAACATGAAGTTGGGAACGATTTCATTGTCGTTTGCCAACAGCTGACGTCTGCGCCGAAATGTTTAGATCTAGCCGTTCTCCAAAACTTTCGGCCGAATTGAAAGCCCCGTGACCGCACATGGGCTCCATGTCAGCAACAATTGTTGGACTGAATTGTTGCTGGCTTTTGCACCTCTTAATTGCTCACAATTCGATGGACACGTAATCAAGGATCGTCGTATCGGTGACCCACTAATCGAGGGGAAATCTCACCACGATGTTGCCCATCAGTGCGATGCATCGATGCCATTGTCCAACTCCTATTCTCAGGACTGATCAAAGCAAATTTAGACTACGTGCAATCTCCAGCAGGAGAGGAGTCTGCCAGCAACGGACCTTCACTGGACAGGTAGTGACTGCGCACGTACATGCGAATCCCCGTGGCCCTGGCCTTTCAGATATCAATCCTCAAATGGCTCATGCGCTTTGCCTTTGTTAATTACCTGTTATATTTATCGCTTGGGAATAATGCCATGTCGACTTGCGAAGAACAATAGAATCTGTGCAGAATGGCCCAATAGCAAGTATGGGTATGCAGATATGCAGGTATGCAGAAGCTCAAAGGTGTCAGGGACCCATAATCTTTATTGACGCTGAGATTTCCTGTTGTGGTCAGGAATCAGTATGGTGCCATCCAGGCTTCACAGCTTCACGGACGCTGTCCAGGCATGCTGCAATTTTGGATGCCCCGCCGAAGACAGAGCCAAGCCAGGTGACCCATACATTCCCTGCGCATCTCCATTTAAGTCTAAACATATAAAGGCGTTGTTGATTTGGATTCGTTTGCACAACACACCTTTCTTATAGCAATGTCATGCTGCAGCACTCATGTGTCGCCTTTCTTACAGGAAGCAGAGAAGGAGGGCACATTTGTCTGGGCGCGGCAGTGGTACCCCCTGGCATTTGTGGAGGACCTGGATCCGGGCAGGCCACACGCGATGGAGCTGCTGGGGAAACGCTTAGTCATCTGGTATGACTCGCGTCAGCAGAAGTGGACCGCCTTTGAAGACCGCTGCCCCCACAGGCTTGCTCCCCTGTCAGGTGCGCAGCTGCACTTCTTACTCATCACTTCTCATGGCGTGCACATGCATGCAGTCACCCCGAAGTGCTTGCTTGCCAGAACTTGCACAGAGATGACATCTCAATCTCATTTGCAATGTGCGCAGTCATTGCTAGTTACAAGTACCCTTGCAGTTTTGCATTCGTCGCAGAATCTTGCAAGGTATGCTCAGATCTGGTCATGTCTGTGGTCATGATTGCATACTCGCCTTCAATTGCTTGTGTGGGCCAGCTGCCCACACAAGTGTAAATGTTGCCACCTCATCTGCACCTGCCCCATTCCAATGTTTATAGTTGGAGGACGCTTTCACAGTTGTGCTGTGCGTGCAGAGGGGCGGATAGAGCCGTCGGACGGGACGCTGATGTGCTCGTACCACGGGTGGCGCTTCAGGGGCGACGGCGCCTGCACGCGTATCCCCCAGGCGCTCGATGCCCGGGCCGAGGACGCTGCCTGCTCCAGCGGCCGCTCCTGCGCAGCCGTGCACCCCACACAGGTGCGGAGAGGTTTGCTGCACAAACAGGAGCATCATGCATTCTATCTTATATCTCAGCACTTGTGATGGTGTACAATGCGCACAAAGCATCAACGGGATGTCCTCTGGGCACATACACTTCCACTTTCGGCAGTATATTTTGGACAAGGGTCCTCCTCTTGGTGTTCTGGGTACATTGCTCTTCTGTATTCTTCTGTCATCATCCACCCACATGTTTTTTCCTTATTGTCACATCAGGCACTCGAGCCAAGATGCCTTGCCCTTGAGCAGAAGCCTACCGCCGTTTTCCATGGAACACTGTGATGTTCTTCACATTACTCTTGTCGCGCTGACAGGTGCGGCAGGGCTTCCTGCACGTGTGGGGGGAAGCCGGCGCGGAAGCTGCGGAGGAAGCTGCGCGGCGGCCGCCGGTGCTCATCCCGGAGCTGGATCCGGACGCAGCCGACGCGGTGATGCGCGACGGCTCACCAACCCTTGACTCGGGGAAGCGATACATAAGGGATTTGCCCTACAGCTATGACTTCCTGGTCGAGAATCTGATCGACCCGGCCCATGTGAACTATGCGCACAACGGCGTCATTGGCAGCCGGTGCGCGAATGTGCTTCTCTGATGTTCTCATGGCTGAGTGATTCTGCCAATGGCGTTGCTGCGATCCGTTGTTTACTGCTTGTGGTACTGCATGAAGGGCACGTTCTGGAACATGAGTAGCATCAATCGGTGCTACTCAGGTTGCCATGGATGGAGTGTTGAGCTGACCCTTCTTGCTCCCATTTGCGCCTTTACTGCCTCTGCTTCCCTCGCACACAGGCCATGCCTCTTAAGATTGACAACTGTCAATTCGAGCCCAAGAAGCAGGATTTTTAAAATATATCTGAGTGGCCATTGTGTCACAGCGTGGGTTGTTATGAGCAGGAACACACCGACAGCGGGCTACTATGAGATCTCTCCGACGCCGCTGCCCGACAGGACATTTGAATTTGCCACGGAGCACCCATCAGACGGCATGTCGATGGACATCGTTAGTAAGTTCATGGGCCGGCGCACCGCCTACAAGATCCAATTTGTGGCGCCCGCGATTGTTCGCTACTACTTCCCCGGATGTGCGCGCCGCCCTCCCCCAAGGCCCTTCAAACCCTTCTGTCTAGTGTCGTATGAATAGATATTCAGTGTCATGCCAAGGAATCACTCAGCTGGTGACTCGGCAGCAACATACACTCAAAAAATTGCGCATTGTAGTGAACGTTGTGATGGGAAAAGGGACATGCACACGTTGCAGCCTTGTGCATGCAGCACAATATTCTTATCTTTGATGGGCCGCGCCCCCTGCATTGCATGCTGGATATTGTTCAACAGGGGCAAGACAACGGCGCGCTTGATTTATGCCATGTTCATGGATTCAATCAAAGAAAATGGAATAAGGGCGGCAATTGATGCGCACAGATTTTGGGGAGGTGAACGATGCGCAGATGTGGATGGCAGCGGTGCCGACGGCGCCCGGCCGCTGCCGGTGCCTCTGGTGGTTCTTCCAGCCGTCCGTTGGCGCATCAAAACGGCTGCAAAAGGTACCGTCGCCTCTTATGCCACTGCTGCTCCTGCTGAACAAGACCAGCATTTGTGACCAACAGCTGTCCCCTCGAGATCACTGCTGCTGCTGCTGCTGCTGCTGCTGCTGCTGCTGCTGCTGCTGCTGCTGCTGCTGCTGCTGATTAGAGGCGGCACCCTGTCATTTGTGACCAACATGATTCTTGTGGAGCCTTACTAGCTCTGCGTACACTTGCAATGTCTACTTGCTGCAAGGTCCTCTTGATCTGCTATTGCTGAACAAAGGAGGGCACTCCATTGTGTGCGGCCAAACAAAAAGTTGTAGAAACGAGCAGAATGATGCATGGTGAAGATGTGCTGATTGGGTGTGTGTTATTGGTGCCAGGTGGCGGCGCAGCCGGTTTGGAAGGACCACATGACGCGCAACCTTGTGTTTGATGGAGACAATGTCTTCCTGCACGGGGCGGTGAGCGCCTCTGCTTTTTCTGCTCTCAATTCAGACGAGGGCCTTTGTGGCTTTAATGATGGCGCCTTGGCCATAAGATGCACCAGGATTGTGTAATGAAGTGGCTCACTCTCGTGGCTCAAATTCCGTAGATTGCACACGGCATTTGATTCCGACCAAGTTGCGTACTTTAGAGGTGGCAACAGCGAGCATTTTGTGAGATTTGCTCCTGTCACAGGATCGGGTGGCAGCGGCGGCAGAGAGGGAGAGCGGTAGCAGGTGGAAGGGCTCCTACTTCATGCCAGCACAGGCGGACAGGTGTGCCCGCTGCCCACAATGTTTTTGCCTTGTGTAACGGTAAAAGGGAAGAGTTGCCATAGAGGCCTATCTCTCCTATATGACCCCTATGCACACGCACGCGTTACACCTTGGCTCAGCAGATGCTCACGCAACGCATCTTGTGCTTCACAAATGCTGGTTACCGGCAATTCCACGCGTAGTGCAGGTATGCAATTGCTACCATTCCCTTGTGTCGAGACTTCTTAAGAAGGCCTCTTGCCTTTCAAGGACACGGTGAAGATAGATCTGCCACAGATGTGAGGGATTTGACGTACGATCTTAGATTTTGAAAGTTGATTTTGGAATGTTGCGCCAGGATGGTGCTGGAGTTTCGGCGGTGGCTGGACAGCCGCGGCGGCGGGGGGCCCACGCCGGGGGACCCCGGTCCTATTCTGGACGACAGGCAGAAATTGCTCGACCGTTGGGAACAGCACACCAAGCACTGCCCCTCCTGCCTCCAGGTACTGCGCGTGTGCCAGGCTTTCTTGGCTGTGCAGTGCGAGGCCAGCCAGTGCAGAATTAGCCAGGCAGCCAAAAGCTCGCCTTATGAACCTTGTACTGAGACCAGCTCAGAAAATTATCCAGGAGTCGGTGCACTGTGTAATTGGCGCAAGCAATTTCCCTGCGAGGAGTTGAGGGACACGCCAGATGAACCACAATCCGGTGCAAGGGGATTGTGGCACATCTGGTAGCTCCATTGTACTCCTCTGAGGGGCTAGACAGCCTTGCAGAGCAGACACATCATACTTGAGAGTTACAATGCTCTCAAGTCAAAGTGAGCAAAGACCTACAAGGCAGTGCGAGCGCCGGCTGTAATCTGAAAGGGCAGCCTTGCAGTGGATATGCAACAAGCAAGACAGCTCCGGGCCAGGATCAGAATCGATTACATTGCGTACAATACAACTGTAACGCACATGTTTTGCCGTGCAGGCGCTGGGAAAATTCCAGGCGCTGAGGTGGGCGGCTGTGGCGGCCGGGGCGGCGTCACTGTTAGTCACCGTCGGTGTTCTGGCCTCGGGGGCGCGGTTGCTGTCGCCTGCACCGGCGCTGCTTCTGGCGGCTGCAGCGGCTGCTGTGTATTACTCCAAGAGATTCAGTGATCGCATCCAGGAATTCTATTTCCTGGACTACCAGCACGCGCACAGATAGCTGCCTCGTTGTTTTTCACAGCGCAACTTGAGAGGAACTAGGGGAGTGACCCTAGAAGAACTTGTGATTGAAGGGAGAGCTAGAATGGGGTTCCTACTGGGAGAGATCAGTTGCAAGAAGGACAGAGACACGTGGACAAAATGTGGCACAAGAAGATCCAGTTTGTATTGTGGGCCTCATCTGAGAAAGTGCTCCATGGAAGTCAAATGTGTCTACATGCAGATAGATGGCAGCGATTACGCCCCTGGTTTTGGCGTGTCAATGAGGAAGCCAAGCCATCGGAGTGTTATTCTTATAAATATTATTACACGCTTTTCCTGCCAAGAGGCCAGGTGCGTCCTGCAGACAAGCTGCAGTCAAAAGCTGCCACAATCCTACCCCTTGTTGGACTCGCCAGATCCAAGCAAGACCCAATCAACCGTGGGCACGGTGCTCAGCATTTGAACCGCCCCCCGCCAGCCGGGGCCATCGGAGTATAGACAGCTATATGTAAAGTGCCGGTGTCCCGGTGCGGTACTTACAACATTCCAGCTGCCGCAGCTTATCAGCTGATTCCAAAGTCAAGGCTGCACCTGCCAAGCTGCGCAGCTGCTGCAGAGCCAGGCATCCTTGCAACCCGATGTGCTCTTCCACATCAAGCAGGAGGTGCTTCAGAATGGCCCAAACACCAGCTGGTCTGTAGAGCTTGCAAAGCCCAAGCAAATATTTAAGTCTCAAAATCCTCCGCTAGAGGTACTCTTGGGAGAGAAAAAATTACAAGTCAGGTGAGCCCCTTGGGCATTAAAAACATCCGCAGATCCACCAACCGACTGCCGACCCCCAATGCATCAGGCCTCTGCTGTTGCGGCTGCGGCTGCCAGGGGTGACTACCGTGATGACTAAACGGTGGCTCCGGACCCGGCCCCGGCACCGACGGCGTCACATGATGCAGGACCATGATACTACCAAATCAAGTGCGCCCCTTCGGCATCAAAAAGTTTCGCATGTCCCCCTGCCGACACCCGTTTCCGCCGCCAACTGCATGATCAAACCTCTGCTGCTGCGTCTGCTGCGGCTGCTGTGGCCAGGGGTGACTACCCTGATGACTCGGCGGCGCCGCAGCCGCCGGCACCGGGGGTGTTTGGAAGTCGTCGTCACGTTCTGGCGCGGCGATGCCTCCCGGGCGGTTGGCCGGCAGCGGCTGCAGGAATCCTCGCAGGCTGCGCTGATCGCCCGTTGTCTGGGTGTGCGTGGATGCCAGCTGCAACGCGTCCTCCTTGCCATCCAGCACCTGTGCAGCGTACAAGGTAGCTACCCGTCAATTTTGGGCGGCAGTGAAGCAACTACAGGCCTCATACGGGCACCAGGCCAACACCTGCACAGCGTTTGCAGACCCTGTCAGGCCCACACAGCAACAGGCGCTCACAACTTCTGGCTGTCTGCATGCAGAAGCACCCTGGGCACTTCACAATACCCCGCCGTGCTTAATCATTTGGCAAACACAGATTCCTTCAATGTAGTCTGACCAGCAGATCCTGATCAGCATCAGCATCATGATCAGATACCTCCGGTTCTCAGAGGGACATTCTAATATAACTCTGAAACCCACAGCCAATTCCCCAAATCCCGTCGTTGTGCCCACCAGCTGTTGCACATCGAAAACATACTTCAAAGAAGCTCTTTTCTTTATCTCTGAGGTGTGCCTAAAGGGGCCGCGCCTGGCCGACGTGCTCGAGCTTGGACTGCAGCTTGGCCCAGATGACGTCATCGACGGACCCGCGCGCATGCAGCATGTAGATGTTGACGCTCGTGGCCTGCCCGATGCGGTGCGCGCGATCCTCCGCCTGAACGAGGTCCCCCGGCGTCCAAGTGTACTCCGCAAATACAACAACCGATGCCCCCTGGGGAGTGAAACACTTTAATATTTTTAGGGGCTTGCAAGGGGCTTCAGTCTTGCCTGGGACCTTGTGGGAGAGCCCACATGTAGCATCAGATACATTTCAATGACACCCCATACAGTTGCGCAATGTGCGGATGACTGCGCAATTTTGAAGGCATGCTACCGACCGCCACAACTAGAGAGTCAGCACCCTTCTATGCACAGATTCTTCACTCGGGAAAGAATTGCACATCTGAGCATGAGCTCTCATAGATTAATTACTGTCCAGAGACTCTAGAGGAAGGGTCGATACCAAATGCAGGGAACTGAGGTGCAACATTCTGGCCATGTGGAGGAAAGAGTGCTGCATTTGAGGAATGAAGAGCAGACAGAGAAATGGCAAGACGCAATCAAGACAGTTTGCACACCGAGAGCGTGAGTCCGGTGCCGACAAGAACCAATGCCCAGCTTTTGGCGCCATGAAAAGAGTCGCTCACTCAAAAAGGGCGAGGGTAGTTATGAGAAAGTGGCGCGCACCGTGAGCGTGAGGCCGGTGCCGGCGGCCTGGATGGAGAGCACTGCTGCGCGGATGTCGCGATTGTTCTGGAAATCGTTGACCAGATCCGCGCGTGCACTCGTCTTCACACTGCCGTCAATCCGCATGTACCGCTGCTTTGTCCTGGGCAGCACATGAATTTGTATTTAGATAATTTGAATGATATCTTCCACTGGGCGCATTGCGCAGAGGGAGTCAAGGCATAAAGAAGACTTTGCATGCGGGGATGGTAGCACCAGCATGCAAACTACAAAACTGTGAGCAAACTCATGGTCATGAAGTCAGGACCAAGCATCTGCAAGCTGTGGCTGTCCACTCTACCAACTCAAGCCTTCAGAGCAGCAGAGAAGCAATGGAGACTTGCACATAGCAGGAAATGAGACAGAATTGAAAAATGTAAGTATTTGAGAAATGGAGAAGAACGTATGGATTGGGGCTGACTTGTTCATGATGAACTCGATGCCATCCAGCATGTCTTTGTGGTGCGCAAAGACCAGCAGCTTCTGGTCAGTCGTCTCCAGCAGCTCCTTGAGGTACTCCTGAACCGCCTTCACCTGCACGCACAGAACATCCATCAAACCCACGATCTTCATACACGGTGAAACACGGTTTGAAAGTTCAGCTCCGTTTAAAAGACGTGTTTATATATGCACTCAAGATTACATCAAACTCTTAACCCATGATTTATTAGGAAAGACTTGATGGCTGATGCCTTTGACTCTCAAGTAAGCAGCAGAAGGACCGGCCTGTCATGTACTAACCATAAATGTTAAGATAGGGCACAACAAGGGCTTGCAGTATAATACTGGACGGACAGTCTTGCTTAAATTTGAGAAGAAGCTTGCACATTCCCTGAACTGGGCTTGGGGTTGCTGGTTCATTTGTAGAAAAGCACTGCTAAAAGAGGAGCTAATATTGGTGAAAACTGCCAAGAAAACATCTTCATCAGCAGTACTTTGAGCACCTTGAGCTTGGCGTTGCGGTAGTAGAGGTCCAGGATGGTGCGTTTGACGGTGCCGCCGCCAAATGAGTCCAGGCTGGCGTCCGTCTTCGCGGCAGCTACCGCCGCCTTTACTGCGCCGATCTCCTTCTGCATGGCTTCCAGCTGCTTCTTGGCTTCCGCGTCCAGCTGCAGGAACACCTGCGCAGACAGACCCACATCTTGTCCTTCCCCACAATCAGCCACTTCAAGCACATATTGTGTCTTTTTCTTCTTGGGATTCCCCAAAGATCATAGTCAAAACCAGAAGCATTGCATTTCACTGCAGCACGTGCAAGCACCTGCCTGCAGAATATCAGTATATCAGCGACAAAGGGCGTGGGACTTCTTGTTCAGGCAGAGCTGACAGGCACCTTCAATGAATTACAATTACACGCTTTTCCTGCCAGAGGCAAGGTGCGTTCGCAGACAAGCTGCAGGCAAAGGCTGCCACACACATCCTACCCCCTGATGGAATCGCCAGAGGCAGGCAAGGCCAAAATCTACCGTGGGCACGGTGCTCAGAATTTACACCGCCCCCTGCCAGCCGGCATGACAAATGTTATGTAAGTCGTCTTACATTAAAGTTCACCCAATTTGTGTCTTTTAGATTTATTGACCCTTCATCGACCCTAAACCCTAAATCCACCATTGCATTCCCCGTGGAAAATTATTACTGTAAAGGCCCCTCCCCTAAATCCTAAATCCATATTCCCTAAACCCTAAGCTAAAGTGGGTGAAGAAAAGAATAACGTCAGGGATGTAAGTCTGTGGAGAGAGTAGCATACCTGGGTGCGGCGTTTGGGAGGCAGCTGCGAGAGGACGTCTTTTTTCAGCCGCCGGATCATGATGCAGGATGTCAGCACATGATACAGCTCTTCTGTCTCTGTCGCACCTGCAAGAACATGCCACCAATTTCTCGGACATGCATTTTGCAGCAATAACAAATACCCCAGGGGCTCGTGTGCATGATGAGCAAAAATGACCCCATAGAATGTTCTGTCTAGTCCCCAGCAGGTGTCAATAGAATATTTAATTATATCAGGGTATCAATGTGGCCAAACCTGCATGCATGTCGCAACATCAGATGTAAGACCAACCATGTTTGCCTCTGCATCCTTGGGAGTTAAAGAGAAGGTCCATTTTTTCCCACGGTCGAGTGATATTGAGAGTGGAGGAAAGAGGCACACACCGTCGTATTTGTTGCTGTAGAAGGACTGGCCTCGGGGGAAGTGGTTCTGGGTGAGGCAGTAGCGCTCCCCAAACTTGGTGAAGCTCACCTTGGACGCCGGCAGCAGGCAGTCTATCTGCAGTCTCGGGCAAACTCTTTCAGCATTTTGAATTGCTCTGACTGCATAGCAAGTTCATTTGCACAATGCAAGCATCACTGCTCTAGACACACGACACAAAATACTTTTAGACCCGTTTCCCTTAATCCGCCTGCCCTATATTTGTGCATTGCAGTGTTGGGTCACAGCTGTAAGAATCCCTTCAACCTCCAATCTGCCCTTTGTCTGCAATGTGTTTGCTCCACGGGTCACACCCAAAAGTCAAGGGCGCTGTGAACCAGACATTTTTGCAATTTGTCCCCCTGCACAGAGATGGTATGGCTGTGATGGATTTTAGTGATCATCGTTTTACAATGAGCAGTACGGCATTGGAAGTGTTTTGTACCAGCGGGAAGAGCTCTCTGGGGCGTGCGCTGGCCGGTGTGCCGGACAGCAAAATGGCTCGCTTAGCCTTCTGCACGAATGGCTTCGCGTCCTGAGAGCGCCCCGACTGCGCACAGCCACACGCAGCACCCTTGGTCACCCTCTTCAGATACAAAATGCATGCGTGAATTACAGGCTTCTTCGCTACCTTCTGTATGTGATGCTGCGCACAGCCACACTGCACCCTCTGTCACCGCCTTTCAAGCCTACAACGCATGCACGAGCTACCAAACCTCCTTGCTACCTACTGGCATGTGATATTTTAACTGATCACAAGCCCTTGCATGATAGTTGGTCAAAGATGTATGGCCAAGTAAGCATCTGCACATCCTCACCATCACATGCATTGCAGGCGTGCCCCATGCAAAGATACTTCGAGCAACTGAATGTCTGCATTCTGACATAATTACCATGCCCACAGTGGCAAGCATTTGTCAGGAGACAAGCTGCAGCGGAGTATAATCAAACAGTCTGACAGCATGACATGCAGGGCCCCACCTTTTTGTTCTTGATGTAATGCGCCTCGTCCATGATGACTACGCGGAAGTCCAGGTCGCGGTCGTTTGCCTCGAGGTTGCCCAGGAAGTTGTAGGAGGCAATGAGGCACTGATACTTGCGCCCGGTGAGATCGGTGTCCTTGCGCGTATTTGTCACGTGCACCTGCTCCTCTGTTATTCCCAACCACTCCACCAACGCATCTACCCATTGTTCTGTGCAGCAAACATTTTTTTCAAATCCTTGCAGATGAACTTTGAGATTCGAGTTGATGTGGTTTGCAAATTTAGAGCAGTTGCAAAATCTGGCGCAAGTCAAAGAGGATCTTGTGTCTCCACAGCATGTTCTCTGATGAGCGCCACTGAGGTTGATTTCATGATGCCATCTAAACCCCGTACCAAGCCTCCACCCTTGAATGCGGTCCCTTGTTGTTGTACTGGCTCGCAACTGTCACCAATAAGTGCTATAGTGTGTCCTGGCAGGGCTGTGGCTGCACTTGAGATGGGCAACAGGGGAGCAGGGTTCAAGAAGAGGAGAATTGTTGCATGCATGCAGGGGGCATCAACTTTAGAGGGGAGTCACCTCTGAGGGAGGATGGCACGATGATGAGGCAGGGCCACTCGTCCCTGAATGCCGCCATCAGCGCCAGAGCCTGCAGGAAGCATCGCAGTCACTGCACAAATTTTGAACAGTGACTGCCTGCCTGCCATAACAGATTGTGATATGCATGCCCCCAACGGCCAACAATTGATGCAGCACAGATTGGGGGCATGTCATGACGTGCGCATGAGAGGAGCAAGATGCAGTGACTCAGCAAAATCTGCAGCCGGCCGGGCAGAAGGCAAGACCAAAATTGCTTGGGACACGCCGCATTGCACTGTTCTGCCAAAAGATCCATTTTCCAGAACCTTGGCAACAAGACGGTACTCCAAGGGGAAAACAATACCTACAACCTGCTCGGTTTTGCTGAGGCCCATTTGCCCAAACGCCATGGCAGGCTCTTTTGTAAGCAACAATGCTGGTAGCGACAGGCACCCTGTGAGTATGTAGCATGCATGATGACAAGATGTAACCAAAGAAAACCCCCAAACCTGCACGGTTTTGCCGAGGCCCATCTCATCCCCGATGAGGGCGCGGCCGCCGTGGCGCAGCGCGAATCGGACGCCGTCTCTCTGGAACGCCATCAGACGGCCCTCCAGCTTGGCAGGGATGCGCCCGTAACAGGCGCTCTCGTCCGGCAGCGCGCTCGCGGCCTGCGTGAGGAACCCTAGATATTCAAATATGAACGCAGGGTTGAAGAGATGCCACAGCTTCACATGCACGGCCCTTCTGAGACTCCTAAGACGCTGAAATCAGGTAGAGGTGCATGTAAATAGCGCCAGGACATCAAAGGCTCCATAGGCTAAACAGTGCCGGAAAGTGCACTGGTTTCCATATTGATGTGGCTGCTCAAAGAAGGAGACTGCTTCTGAACATGACTTCACAGCTGATTTTGGAGAGCAATTCAGCTGCTGTCAAGATTGCCATGTTGCATCAGCAATTCAAGGCTTCTTGGGAAAAAGCAGCTGTCTTCAAGATTGCCAGTTCCCCTCCAAATTTCACTTTGCAACAACCAGGCAATGTGAGGGGCGTGTGCAACAGACCTCCAGAAATGCTCTGGGGACGGGGTGGAGGTCTTCAACGCTGCAGCGCACTCCGCGCGCGGCCTCCAGCGCCTTGGCCACGGCCGGCCGCTTGGGCAGGGGGAAACGCCACACGCTCTGGCCGCCCGCATTGTGACTAAACGCACCCTCGCCCACCCTGACCAAAACAAGGAACAAATCTAATTTATTCTCCAGTTTCGCATGCTGGACGTCACCGCAAAATCTTTTCGTGTCCCCAACAATGAAGCTACCAAGAGTTTTTGGTGTTGTTTGCGAAGCAGGAGCGTGAAATAGGCGAACTAAGTACAAGCACACAGGTGGGTCTGCTAGCGACACTGTGGCACAAAACTCGCATTCGAGGAAGCCTGGAATTGGGCTTGAGGGATACATTTCCCAGAGATTCAGATGCAGCATGTGTCTTGCAGAGCGCAGGCTGCAAGTGTGCATTCTCAAGATTGAAAGGCTTGTTTCAAGGAAAAACTTGCAGGCATGTATTGAAAAGTAGTGAAGACTTGACAATGACAACGCTTTAAGGAACAGCGCCGAGGAAATGAAGAGGAGAGGAAACGACGCACTGCTTCAGTGCGGCCACGAGCCCCGCATGGTTGGATATGCTGACTTCCAGGCAGCTGCCGGGGCCGATCTTCAGCACTGCCCTCGTCACAGGGCCCTCCCCGGCCTTCGGCTGGCCCCCCACTGATGCACTTGGTCCCGCCATGGACGCAGGCAGCGCTCTTGCGCTCGCAGATGCATTGGGCTCCACCCTGTGCAGCATGCATGCAAGCTCAATAGGCAATCAGTGGGCGTTCAATTTGTGCTCCCAGAAATTAATGACTTCAACTTTAAGGATTATGACAGATGCCTTTGCTCTGTTGAGCATCCTGTCCGTTGAGGACCTGTTGCTTCCGATTTATCAATAAAGATGAGAAGAATACCGCTAGATTGAATGGGGTCAAGTAAGGGATAGAGCAGCACACCGTGGAGGCATCTGCGCAGCATTGCCGGCGGGTGCACTGTTCCCGGCGTTGCGAGCTGGGTCTGGCGCGGCCTTGGCCGGCCGGCCGGCCGCCGGCGCGCTCTCGCTTTTGGCGGCAGCCGCTGCGGCCTGTTTTGGCAGCGCCACTACAAAGTCATCCTCCATTTCCGCCCGGGCTGCCCAGCTACCCATGCATGCCTGCTGCCTCCTGTGCGCGTCTGCCTGCTGTTCCCTCTCAGCTGTCCCAGCTGCTGGCTGTCTCTCTCCCGGCCACTGCGGCTGCTGCTGATCCCTCTGCAGCGGTGTGCTGCCAGGCCCGTGTGAGCGCTCCTGCTGCCGATGTCTCTGCCCCTGCGTGCTGCCTGGCCTGTACGGCTGCTGCTGCTGCTGCTGCTGCTGCTGCTGCTGCTGCTGCGACGGCGGCTGCTGCTCGTGCGGCGAGTGTCTGGAAGGATGCGGCCAGACACCTGCAGGCTGAAGGCCAGACGGTTGCTCACATGCAGCGGCCATGCCAGGCTGCGCAGAGGTGCTGTGGGGGACAGGACCCTGTTGATAGGCGGCACTGCCGCCCAGATGGCTGCCTGCGGGCGCGTCAAGTGGCGGAGGGAAGCTTTGGGGCAGCCGCACGCTGGCTGAGCCGGCAGGCGGCCCGAGCTGCCCAAAGCTGCCCGGCTGCCCAGGAGGGTTTTCAGCATGCGCAGCAGGATAGGGGGCATTTAGAAGGGCAGTGGGACTCTGCAGGGGGCCCTGCGGCTGTTGGGGCTTTGGTAATGGTCTGCTTGCCGCACTGGGATCCCCTTGCTGATTCTCTGCTAGCGGTGGGCGGCGGTGGGCGCCAAAAGGGGGCCCACGCCGGCCCTGGGACTCTCCAAAAACTCCAGTCTGCGCCTGTCGCTGCGCCTGTTCAGCTGGCTGTGGTTGCCTGGAGGCCGGCAGTGGGTTGCCCAGGGAGCTGCCGGGCTGAGGTGCTCCATGGCTGTGCTGTGGATTGCTCTGGGGCTGCTGCCATTTGTTGCCCCAGTGGGTCCTGCCTGTGCTGTCCTGGCCTGATGGAAGAGGCTGCTTCTGAGGAGTCACACAAGCTCCGGTGCGCTGGCTAGATGGCAAGTGGCGCTTGATAAAGAGCTGGCGGACAGACATGGTGCTGATTTGTCTGGGCTGCTTGCTTTGGACGTGTAGCTGCTGCTGGGGAGGCTGCACCATGCAGGCCGATCTTGCTGCCTGATGCTGGTCTGCTGAGGCAGAGGGGCCAGCTGCTTGGTGTTGGCCATTTGCACCCTGCAGTTTGGAGGCATACATCAGCAATTCATATGTTCACATGGTCTCTTTGAAAGATCATGTCACATCGTTCATAGTCACATAAATCGAAACTGATACTGACTTGTTTGTGAGAACCCTCCGCCTGCAGTCTGTATCCTGGTGTTACTTTCAGCCGTTTCGATGCCTCCTGTTCAACAGCATCCCAGTCAAAGCCAGCGTCCCAGTCATCCTCTGGCCCCCAGTCAAGCTCCGCCGACTGCATGCTGGTGGAGAAGGGATCCTATGATTCCAGAAAGATATTTCCCATCAGCCTCTGGAGGAATTGTCAGCAAGCCAGTCCCCCAATCCAGAAGAAACACTCAAGAATATCGACGACTGTTCGCTGCCTTAAAGTGAGGCACTACTTGATCTCAACTCACAATATTTTGATTCATTCTTGACTGCCCTCACCTGCTTTTCAATGCCTCTCCAAATTTTTTAAAGCATCTTGCATCCCCGTCCTTCAAAGACAACGTTGACGCCCACTTTCTATCTGGTGTACAACTTACAGTGTTTCCTCTGTACAGATGAGACGATCATGTATTTTCGAAGATCATGCTAGGCGATTCCGAGATTTCATGCAGCTGTCGTCTTAGCAAATCGCGCTCAGCACTTGCACAGCACAGCATAACAGGAGCCAATAATGGCTGAGAACTGGATACAGCACCTTGCTGTTTGGGGCCCCAATCATCCATAAGCCCCTTTCTTACAATTGTTGCATTGATTGTGGAACATGCATACGAATGACCAACTGTGAATGCACTGGCATAGCTGCATGCTTGCAAGTAGCACCAAATCATCATTCATGTTTACAGATATCTTCTTTTGGAACAGTCCTACCTACAGCCTCCAGTTTCCCGACCTGAACCTCTATTCAAAGAGCACAACAAACGGCCACACCGGGTGTCTTGATGACGGCATGTGCAGGCGCCGCACACAGTCAACACACTGCCCGCATGCACACTCTTAGCCCTGCTCCTCATCTTGGACTTCGCAGCCGTTGACACAGTGATTCGGTTGTGCTTGATTCGTGTGACGTCATGATTTTCAACGCTCACATTTCTCATTATGCTGAGCAGCGCCTGAATGTGACAGTCAGCCAGTTGAAGATGCTTCTGCGATGCAACTCTCAATGAGTGCAACATGACCTCTCATAAGCCATCAATCAAACAGACCGACAAAGGGCCACATCGGGTGTCCAGAAGACGGCATGTGCAGCCGCCGCACGCAGTCAACACACAACCCACACTCACACTCCCTGCCACACACCTCCTCTCCAATAATTCTATTCTTTTCATCAAGAGCCAGAAACTCAGCTGGCGTGCTGCGGTCCTTCCAGTCAAGCCGCCACACCATCGGATGGGTCTCATCCTGCAGCAGCTGCCATATCCACATAAGACTCATCTGGCAACATTCCTTGTACCTGTAGCTGAACCTCTGCAGCCTCCTTGAGAAGCCCCACATGTCATTGAAGTCCAAAAACAGCCCGGCCCCTGACAGAGTCGTGAGAATGCGCAGCTGTACATTCAGACCAAAACTCAGGCTGATATCGGTGTCAGCAGTCACCTCGAGATGCTGTAAGCTCGGCAAATTAACACCCACGAATAAAGGATCCTCCTCTGAACCCAGCTGCTTGCAATTCAGCTTCAGGACTGCCAGTTGGGGGCAAATTGCAAGGGTCATGTTCTGCAAGCAAGACAACATTGGTGACCCATCTATTTGAGACTGCACTCCAGGCATCTGCTCAAATAGCTCGCATGAAGTACACACATCTGCCAAGCCTTTGTCCCATGCCTCAGAGACAAATGTTGCATCGTGGTAAACCAGATGCACTTTGCAGCCTGCAGGCACGCTGAGCTGCCCGGGCACCAGCAACTGAAGGGTAAGCCTGCGCAGCTTCGGCGTAGCTGCCAGGTCCATCTTGAAGAACCGTACTGATAAAGCCATTGCTTCTGGATCCTCGTCGCTGCAGATTGAGAGGCTCTCCAGATTAGGACACTGCTCCCAGCGGTCATGGAACACATCTCTTGGGTTTTGAACCTCCAACCGCAGGTGCTTCAGACTCTTCATTGGTGGTATAGTCAGCCTTTGATCCCACGCCAAGCACAGCACTTCGGGCCGCAGCTCTGAAAGCAGAGCGTACACAAAATATTGCGTGGGATCTCGACACTTACTGCCAAGCTGCACGTGCAGAGCCACAGATCGCAGTACACGCGGCAGCTGCATGCCGTAACCTTGATTGACACCCCAGCGATAATGAGTTGCATAAACCATTTTCTGTAACATCTCCATGCCGCTGTTGAGATTCTCCAGTTCTTGCTCATCCAAGCCACGGACGGTGATAGCTACGGTCTCGGCCTCTGTCCAGTGTGTCATGGCCCACTTGATTGCATCCGCGTTTCTGGCAGCCACATTAATAACGCCTGGCTGCACCTGTGAGCATTGCATAAGATTGCCTAAAATGCACCGCTAGAATGGGCCCGTGCACAATTTGTACGCACTCGCTCGCTCACACACGCCCTTATACAACTGCAAACATGCACTCGACAGCCACGGGGGATATAAGAAAGAATTCTTTGTCTGTCAGAGAAGGTAGTAAAGCAACTTACCGCTGCCATGGCTTTGCATGCGCAGGCAGCCCGCGCCCAGTCATTGCTGCTCATGTGCAAAGCCACCAGCTTCCAACGCATTCATGAAACTGGCTTCCTTCAAGGTTGTTGGATAAGTTGTACCAAAACTTGTACTGCTCCGGCTTTTGGTGCTATCTTCAAGAGTCTTTATTGCGGTGCGAAGCTTGATCAACAAAAGAACGTGGGATATTCTTTCATCTTATCTGTGTGGAGGCTGCACGATCGTGAGCGGCTCGTTCGTTGACCAGATTCCATTTGTGGCGATATTGATGCTGATGTCAACATCAGATTAGTAACCGTCGTCACGTGAATGTCATCTTCCGGGGTCACTTGATTGAAAAATAGGTAAATCTGAAGTTTATTGGCCCCTTGCATTTTTGGCTCACATTGCAATTGATATCATCAGGAGGACATCCTCAAGTCTTCAAGAGTGCACACTACAAACAACACATCTGTTGACATCAGCATCACGTCACGTTTTTGTCACCCTTAGATTCAACCACATCTCTCCCTTCACAGCGCATCAGTGGTGTAGGCATTTGAGCACGTCGCGAACAATAGTGTTTCTTGGCGCATGCAAATTGCCTTCATTTGCCTCGGCAGCCGCCGCCAAAAGCTCCTTGCTGGGGACTGCTCCGGGGATTGCACAGAGAATCCTGTGCAAGCTGACCAGCTGCCGCCTAGCTGCCACCATTTTGCGCGTCGCATCCCTTGCTGACACATCAGACCCCTTTGCGCCTGCACATGCAACGTCACAACCCTTGAATTAATCTTCTGTGCCGTGCCTTTCCAAGCATTTGTATGCAACGCTCTGTAGAGTGCAGCAGCGCTTTAAGCCCTCAAGTCACTGCCCTGTCTGGGGGCCCCTTTGCTGTGTCAAGATGGGGTGCAGGACATCTGCAAGAGAAGTATCAAGTAGACACAGCGAAATGGGATGCTACTATGATTGACATTGGTCTTCTCAAGGACCCATCAGCAATGCGAATTTGCCAAATTTTTTCTTTATTTGCCAGGCAAAGGGCTTGTGATTAAAGGTGTAGCTTTTTTTGCCTCATCCCTTTTATACCATTCGGTATATTTCACCGGGAGTAAGTGACTTTAAGGCAGAATCTGTACATTTTCACAGTTTCCAAATCGCACCTTCGAGGCGGTTGAGGTATTTGGACTCCATGTCGAGCTTCCTGGTGAGCAGCTGCCCCAGTGACTCCAGCTGCTTCAGTGTCTGCCCGTTGCTGCCCAACCGGGCGGCCCGCTCCGGGCAGCCGACCGCGCCCAACAAGATCGCCGTCGCAGACATGTATACCTCCTGCCAGTCACACAAACCAGTCATACTTCCCCTGAATATTCTTCAATTTTTTAAAAAGAGGGCCGCACGAAGCTAGCATCTATCATTATGCGCAATCCCTTTCCTGCACAGTGGAGCTGCAAAGCCTATGCTGCGGCCCCGGCTGGCGGGGGGCAGTACAAATGTTGAGCAGCGTGCCCACGGTTGATTGGATCTTGCTTGGATCTGGCGAATCCAACAAGGGGTAGGAATTTGGCAGCCGTTACATGCAGCTTGTCTGCAGACGCACCTTGCCTTCGGCAAGAAAAGCATGCAATAATAATAATACCGTAATAACAATAACAATAATAATATTTTGCTGTGGCAAGTCGTCCTGAGGCCTCAAGGAAGGGTGGTTCATCTCCTCACAGAGCCCCATGCAGAGTTGTCTTGTGTCAGTGCGACTGAGCAATAATCGTCTCACCAGCAAAAAGGGCGCCTCAGGGCTGTACCAGAAAAAGGATGTCACACCAGCACATAAAGTTCATCTCTGACAACTGGCGGGCTATAAAGTAAACCAAACCTCGTGGTCGCGGTGCTGCAGCATGATGGCGGCCATGAGGGAGGGGCAGTCTACGCCGGCGTCCTCTGCCGAGTACACGTCAGCGGACAGGGAACGCCGTCGCGCCGCGTGGCCCAGCGCCGACAGGCCATCTCTCAATAAGCCCATATGGGGCGCAGACCTGCAATTTAGTAACTGTGAGCTAGCTCCAGAATACAGCGGTGCAGGCGCCTGATTCTGACGCAGCTGCAAAACCAGTGATGTCCAGCTGAGTAACTGCCAAGAGGGCAAAGTGTCAGGTCAGGAGACGCTCTATGTTCTTGACACTGGTAACAGCTGCAGAGTCAGTGATTTCGGTTAGTTTTGCTGCCAGAATGGCTAGCGGTATTGCAAGCTTGCACCGCTTGTGTGCTAATACTTATATTAGCTGCCTAAGAAAAACACAATTCTGGGTGGAAATCATGCAAGGCTCCCACGGAAGGATTGCCCAACGGCAATTGTCTAGTGTGGGACTTTCGTTTCAAATATGCAATTGGCAGGTGGGACATTTGGGACACAAGGCACCTGTTGCAGCTGCGCATGTAGTGGACGAGAGAGGAGGCTCCCCCGCCGCTGACAAAGGCCTCTGCGCATGCAGAGCTCAGATACACGCAGAGCTGCAGGTCCTTGGCAGCTGCCATCACCTGCGCACAACATACTCACATGTCAGGTCACTGATCCTGCAGGTACTGAATTGATTTATCGGATGGTTGAAGTCATCTCTGACCTGGAACACATATGCTCCTCTACTGCAAGATTGATCAGCATAGAGCCTTCTAAGGACGCTGTGCATAAATAACGCTGCAAGTTATGTTCTCGTTAGTTTGCAAATTTTGCAGACATTATCTGCTCTTCTGATTCACCAGCGCCGTCTTGTGTTGTGGGAAAGTTGGGCTTCTATAGAGAGCTTGAACACAAAAAGTTGGGCAGAACCCAAGAGAGGCAAGCTTTGTATGCAGTAATATACACGCTGCTGCGATGTACTTGATTTATATTGATTAGAAAGGCAGATGATAATGAGAAAGCAAATTTTTGAAGTCCACAAAGGATAGTCTTTGGTAATCTTTTATAGCAGCTTGTCTGCAGACGCGTCACGCTTCTTGGCAGGTGATAATCATGAAAAAGAAGCGGAAAAGACAAAGGTTGCCTGGCTGAGGTGGAAGCTCTGCTGCAGAGTGTGCAGGGCTGCGGCCGTGCGCGCGGCCAGCGTCGACTGCGGGGCAGCTTCCATTTGCAGCGCCACCTGCAGGCGCCTTCTGGCAGCTGCCGCCGGCTTCCCCGCCTTCCTCCGCTGCCGCGCCCCCCGCCACCTCGCCTGCGCATGTTATGATGTGTCATGTCCTAAATGCACCTTTCCCAAAACACGAAAGAACAAAGGCTTTCCGGTCCCAAATGTTGGTTGATGGTCTTCACAATTTAGCTGCAAGTGCCAACTGCACTTGTTGGTCGGCCTGAATGTTATTGTCTGCAGTCAAGAGTGAAGCACGACATATGCAGAAGAAGGACAGTTTTCAGGATCAGGGCACGCTTTCGCATGGCTACAAGAAGTCAATGTACCTGGATGCAGATTGCACTGCGGCGCAGGCGCGTGTAATGAAGCTGCGCAAGGATTCTCCGAGTCGCTGTTTGAATCGCCACTGCCGCTTGAGTCCTGCGTACATGGCGGCGGCAGTACGCTCTCTGGATGACCAGTGTGGCCCGCCTGACACAGCACAATCCACAAATTGCTCAGCAACAATCTTCTAGTTACAGACCTTAAGCGCAGATGGTCAGATAGATACAACACCCCACATCAGAATTAGACGCAAGGTAAATAAGAGCTTTTCCATCAGCTCAGGGTGTGGTCTTGTGAATTTTTGCATCCCTGTTGTGATGGCATGCTGCAGGATGCAGGACTCATCCAGAGTCATTGATCACAGGGCATTCTACACTAACTAGTGTAAATGTCACTCCAGAGTCCCCTGTTGTTACAAGTGGTACTTGACTGGACACTGAGGGTGGTATTTTGTACCCCCTGATAATCAAGGCGGCCGGGGTGTGCGAAAGAAAGAACCTGAGGGTGAGAAAGCGACAGCGCTCCAGGGCGGTGCGTGCCCAGGGGGCGATGATGTGCATGGCAGCCGCCTCGCGCGCGCGTTTGACCGCCAACCGCCGCCGGAACTCGCACCGAGCCAAGAAGCCCCTTGCAAGCGCCTGGAAAGCCATCCATGGCCCATGATATTAAGTACTGTACTAGTCATAAGGGGTGGTTAATAAGACCCTATCTCCCAAAACATAAAACCTGTGGTATGTTTAAGACCAGATTCGGAAACCTCTCGACAAGCCCAGCTCAATGGAGCATGGCCCTGGTGTATTTGAAGTCAGGAAGACCGTTAAAAGTTGCTTTGAAAATTTGCCCGCGCCGCCGAGGGGACGGCTTTAAGAGTGATTTCTACAGTTACACAGAATGCTTGCACATGGACCGGCCTAAAGTATTCTAGCCGGCTTGCTGCGAAAAGGAAGTGGCCCATGGCTGAATATCTTAGTGAGACACTGAATTGCAGTCTACTGGAGTAGGTGTCCCTGCTAAATTAATGAGTTGAGATTGTATCCGGCCTTTCTTGCAGAGAGATTGGTGGACAGCAAGCGCCACACCTGGATTTTGACGGTGGCTGCTGTGCGCCTTGCGAATCTGCGGGCCGCCCTGTACATGTCCTTCATGGCCCGCTGCAGTGCTAGCATTGCCAGGAACCTGCAAAGAAAGCACCTTACATTCGGCACTATTGCAATCCATGTTTTTAATAACGTTATTGCATGCTGTTCCTCCCAGGAGGCAAGATGTGTCTTGTAGGCAAAGCTGCAACTAGACCTGCCGCATGCCGCCAAAGCCCTCGGTAGACCCGCTAGATCCGAGCAAGCCCCAATCAATCGTGAGCACAGTACCAAGAATCGGCACAGCCCCCCGCCAGCTGGGGCCAACGGTGCATCCTTGATTGGAATAAGCCGCTCGCTTCTCTACAGGGCTATCACTTGGCTTCATGGATCAAGGCATGGCAGAAGGCAGGTTGGGATCGCGCGGCGCTCACTTGTTGCGCTGGATGCGCATTCGCACGGCCGCCTGGATCACCACAGCGGCTGCGCGCATCCTGGCCACGCTCTTGCGCAGCTGGCAGCCCCTCACATGCCTGCACCCAGGCAACAATGCTGTCAGCAGAGTACCCTACATTGTATCAAAATGGACCCTGGAGTGATGGCCTTGATTGCTGCACCGCACTTTCAACTCAGGCCGGCAGTGAAGCTCCTTCACTATAACTGCACGCTCTTCCTGCCAAGAGGCATGGGCCTTATGCAGAATACTTGCAAGTAAAGGCTCACAAGGTGCCCTTATTACCCCTTACTAGACTTCCAGATCCCAGAAACTTACGGTGTGTCCATCGGTCCCACTGCCGGGGCTTCACGCACTCAGCACCCCAAAGTATACGGCAGGCCCAAAATCGATTCAAATTCTGATTCTAGCGGACCTCTGAATGCAGATGGCGGCGAGCATGTGCTTGCGCAGGCGGCGAGCCCGGTTGGCGCGCCACGCTGACTGCACCGCCACGGCCGCAGCGCGCATGCGGACAAATTGCGTGCGCTGCTGCCCGCCCCGCCAGGCGGCTTGGACGTGGACGATTCTGTGGAGGTCTGCCAGGAACGCCCTCCGCTGGGTGCACCCCCGCCACGCCGCCTGAATCTTGACGGCCGCAGCCGTCTGCGCCGCACAAAAACAAGCGTGAGCGCGGGAACAGCCATACAGGTCTGTAATCTTGTAGCAGTGCTTCCTTGTGAAACAGTTTTTCTGGCACCATTTACCGGGAAAGGCAAGGAAATTCTGCGGTACTTGCTTTTTGTGAGTCAATCTCGACTTTTCTTGAATTTTTTTAATCATGAAAAATATACCCGTGGGAACCTTATCAGCGTACCTGCGCGGCGATGCGCAAGCGCACGGCCCGGCCGCGCACATGCCGCTGCAGTGTAACGGCCGCACGGATGCGTGCGACCAGCCGCCGGCCGGCCCGGCCGCGCCAGGCGGCCTGGACGGCGACCGCCGCGTGCCGGATCCCCCGGTACCGCCGGACCGCCAGCCACCGCAGCGCCACCGCCTGGCAGGCGATAACGCGACTGCGGTTCCTCGTGTAACGGCGGCGCGCGAGGCCCCCCCGCCAGGCTGACTGGACGATGACAGCGGCGCGGCGCTGCACAAATGCTCTTGTGTCAGACAGAGTATTCTGACATAGGATTGAGACATCTTCCATCTCGTCCCCTCTACCAAAGAGAAAGATGCAAACATGAAGACAGACCGAGCAAACGGGTAGCCTCGTACTGCAGCCGCAATGCGTGGTGCACTGATATGGGGAAAAAGCAAGCGCCCATCAAGATTTGGATACATATCATTACGCGTGTGCCCTTTACCTGTTTGGTAAGAGTGCTCCTGACGGCCCAGCCGCGCGCGAGCGCCTGAAGGACGATGGCTGCGCGGATCTGCCTCGCCTGCAGCCGCGCGCACCGCCCGCGCCATGCCGCCTGCAGGGTTGTGGAAGCAGCCTGCAGCCGGAGGAACCTCCGCCGCGCCGCCCACCTGTCACCACGAATAAATACTGTATTGCAATTTACTGTTTTTAATTTGAATTATGAGAAATTGATATTGTTGGTTATCATTCTTATTTCCCACTGCTCTTGTTAGAGTACAGGTGCGTCTGCAGACAAGCTCCAGGAGTGGTTGCCAGAGTCATCACATACGTCACCGAGATGCAACTGGTAATCTGATTGCAGACTCACTAAAAGATGCAATTGCCTGCTCTGACACAGCAGACATCCTGCGGGTCAAGATGAAAGGTCTTGGAAGGCTTGTTAAAGTTGGCTGCTCTTTGCTGCTCCCGTGAATCATGGTGACAAGGACTGAGGGAATAGCAAGCAGACCTTCGCACGGCGGCTTGGGCGATGACAATGCGAGCAACGTCTGCATGGAAGATCCGCCGCAGCCGCGCGGCCCGCCAATGCTTCTGCAGCGTGAGGGCCGCCCTGTGCTGACGCGCGACACTCAACCTCACCTGCCGACCCCGCCAATGCGCCTGCGCAAACAGGGCTTTGCATGAGTGGCCGGCATCAAAAATTTTGGGGGGTACCACCGGCATTTCGGCGGTACCGGCCAGATTTGGCCCAGCCAGTGCCTGACACCCCCTAGTGTGAAAGGCTCCCGAAGCCCTGTGCGCAAACACTGAGCAATTCGCACTTCCTTCCTTGCAGAAACATGTCTCGCCTTTGGACGTACTCTGCAGATAGTTTGGCACTGGCCGACAACCGCCGGTGCTGTGTCCGGGCTTATGCTCGGGCAGCCTCAGAGGCGGGAAGACACGTGCAGAAGATGAAAGGAGCAAGTCTATCTCAGCATCCTAAATGGAAAAGAAATGTTATATTGAACAGGCTGAAGGCGGGGCCTGGCTAAAATTTGAAGAGACAGGTCTTGTCTTGGAGACTCTGTTCTATTTTCAGGAGTCCACGACATGCATCTTGCAGGAGACAACATGCCTGGAGCGTGACAGCGGCGGATCGTAGTGCGAGGAAGCGGCGCCGCGCCAAGCGCCGTCGGACAATTGCCTGCACGGCGACAATTCGTGCGCGGTCTCGGCGGAAGCTGTGCCGCTGCCTGGCCGCCCGCCAGCGCGCCTGCATTGCAACATTGATCTTCAGATGGCTTGCCCAACTGGTCTGTCTGCAGCGGCGTCCCATCAACAGACACACCTGGCAACGATGGCCCGCCACACTCCTGTTTTAGTGACAGGAATGTGAATGCAGTACTCGCGCAGTTGGAGCAGTGGCATCCTTGTGAGTTTGGGATTTGAGGCGGTTGGAAGTTAGATTTTGGTCATGGTGTTCCTGTGATCTCTTCAATCCCAATGCGATGGCAGATTCATTTCAAAGGGTCGATAAGAGGCACAAAAAATCGAAAGTGGATGGACTTCACAGGAAGGGAAAACGCGCCTGTATGGCCACTGCAGCCGTCCGCTGGGCAACATAGCTGCCGCGCGCCTGTGCGCCCCTGACAAAGCGCTGGATACAAATCGCCGCCGCCTTTGCCTGCGCAAACAAGGATTTTGCTCAAGGTAGCCATCGGCTGTCGGATTAAAGGGTCTCTCCCCAGAATGGGCTTCAAATGGCCCTAGACAAGCTGCGCATGAAGCAAAGCAGAACCCAAAGCCTGGTATGCCGACGAAAACGGCCAGAGTAGCTGTGCGCATCTCACTGAGAGTGCCGCGGGCTCACACGAACACCGAAATTCACCTTGCGGTTCATTTAGCAGCTATGCAAAAAGAATGGGCATGTATGTCAGACCTGGAGGAAGCTCTGTCGGCAGGATCTCATCCGCGCAAGCGACTGAAGCACAACAATGCTGCGACGGCTCTGCGCGTAGCGGCTCCTGCAGGCGTGCATCCGCCAGTGCGCCTGCATGCAATCGCCTCAGCCACAAAATTCGTGCATGACTGATGCTTGATGGTGTCAACAGCCTACCGATTCGCCATTGTCATGCATGTCCACATGCAAAGGGCACTTTTGGTGTGTGGCAAGTCCAAGGTAGCAAGTTGTTGCACCTGAATACGCAAGGTCGCAGCCTGTTGCCTGGCAATCTCTTGGCGCACTGAAGCGCCCCTGTGGCATTTTTGGATGACAGCAGCCGCCCACTGCACCTGTTTGCACCACCAGGCAAACCTTTCTTAGGATCATGTCTGTCTTGACCAAATGGAGCTTGCAAGGATGGCTGCCAACTTGCAAGGCAGCCCCTCTGGTCTGCCTCCACCAAACAGGCTGGCAGACAACTCCGACAGCCTGTTCTATTTCCATGTGTTTTTTGTTATCTGCTTTACAATTGAGCCCCAGCAAGGAACGCATGGCATGCTTGGCAACAAGTTGACAAGCCGGAGTTCCTTTGCAGGAAATCCTGCGGCTCACCCTTTTGAAGTGTTTCCGGGCCATGTGCCTCCGCTGATGTGCCTGTATGCATATGGCCGACACGTGAAGCTGCAGGTAGCTTCGGCGCTGCACATACCGCCTCCAGCATGCCTATACAGGCACACCTCCGTTTTAAAAGAAATTTTATTGGCTTCATTCAATGTTCCACAGAAAGAGGCATTGCACCTTCCAAGGTTTCATCTGATGTAACCTGCAGCAATCCGGATAAGCCACACACAGAACCAAACAGAGCATGTGTTTCAGCACACAAGTTCTGCCAAGTCATGATGCTGTGCAGAAGAATGTGGTAATTGAGCACCACGCCTTCTGTAGGTTATGACAGTACTTAGCTGCCTGAATACATGTTATCAAAGAGTTGAAGGGCACCTGTATCAGAGTTGCAGCGGCCTTCTGCGTGCACAGCATGCGCCGGACGCAGCGGCCGCGCCAGAGGCTCTGCGCGGTGATTGTGGTCTGCCGCAATGCCACAAAACGCCGCCTGGCTGCGTGGCGCCTCGCGACTGACTGCGCCACGACCACGCTGCTGCGGAACGCGACGAACCTGCAACATGACTACAGTGCTCAGCACCTGGGGACACAATCATCTGTTGGCATTGCCCAGATGATGTTCCTGCATGTTTGAGCCGGCTTCCACTCACACCTTAATGCTCTGAGTAGCCTACGCAGGAAGTGTGTGCAAGAGAGATTATGGGAACTATTGATGAGACATCCTCGAGCTTTGTGCTTCGAAAAACAGCATTCCAGGCATGTGCAAGGACACTCCGCAGATAGCAGTAATGATTCAGTGTTTATTTACAAAAGCCCTGGAATTTTGGTGCAGTGTAAGCCAGGGACCGAAAGCATTTTCAGGTACCTGCTGCGCTGCGCATGGCATCGCCAGGCTGCCTGGATGACGGTGCATATCCGGCGCATCCGCTGCAAGTGGCGGCGAGCGACGTAGCGCCGCCAGGCGCTCTGCACGGCGACGGCCGCGGCCCGCGCGCTCGAGAGGGCGCGGCGCGCGACGGACGCGCGCCAGGCGGCCTGCAGCTGCACGGCAGCTGCGCGCTGGCGGAGGAAGGCTCGCCGCTGCACCGCGCCCCGCCTAATCGCCTGCGCCCTCGCTGCGTGGCGGCCCATGTACGCATGCAGCCTGCACCAGAATTCGAATTCGAATTTGAGCTGGAAAAACGGAGCATTAGTCCATCTCCGATCTGAACTCGCTTGCTACAGCCAACTGCATCCAGAATCCAGATGCCCAGCATATGCTGCTGCGCATAGGAGCTGCTGTTGAGATGTCGCAGGCGACACAGGATTGTTGTCGGGTTGTTGAGGGAGTTTGAAATCCTTGAAAGGAAGCCAGGGACGGACCGCAGAGTGATGAGAGCCTGTCTGGCCTCCAGGCAGCGCTGCACGATGGCTGGAATGGTGATGTGGTTCAGCACCCACCGCCTGTCCCTCCAGCCCCTCACCACAGCCTGCATCAACCAAAACACTTTCTGTTAAACCAATCTTTCCACCTGCCGCAACCCTCAAACAAGCAATGCCATTCTTCCCCTTTGTGGCTTGAAGCACTGACGTACTTTACAGCTTGTAAGCGAAGGATCTACAAAGTTTCCATTTTGTTGCAGCCTGCTCCAGAGCGGGCAGACGCTTCCCATGTGTCTCCACAACCACGCACAGAACAGGGCCAATGGCCACAATCAAAAGCCATGTCAATAGTGCTGTGCGCGCCTGCAAGCGGACGACCGCTGCGCGCTGGCACAGGAAGAGCTGCCGGGGCGCGCGGCCGCGCCACAGCGCCTGCAGCCGCGTTATCCCGTGCCGCAGCGCCGCGCGCCGCGCCGGGCCGGCCGCCAGTTGGGCGCGGAACCGTCGCGCGCGCCACGCCGCCTGAATGTCCCTGGCCGCCTCGATCCACCCGTGCAGATGCGCGCGGGCGCCGCCTAGTTTTGCAGGGCTCTTAGATCAGGGTCTCAAATGCAGAGATGAGCTTTAGTATGTGTCATGGAGGGCCTACATTGTACGCGTGGCAACAGCATCGTTACAGGATGAAGCGGAGCATCCAGCAGGGCTGTGGCAATCTTGATGTGTGGTCGTATTGCATGCACAGACAGCGCAAGGATGCAAAATGCATGCAGGCAGGCTTGCTTCAAGGAAAATACAACACAGTCAACAATGTGGCGCGCACCTGCGCGTCGGGTGCGGGAGAGGCGCCAGTGGCGTTGGATGGTGTGGGCCGCGCGCTCCTCGGTTGAAACCTCCAGCAGCCGCGCACACAGGAACCCCACGTACCTGCCGAACAGTGCGTGAAGGAGAGATTTAAGACTGGAAATGGGCAGAAACAGTGTGAAATTTCTTGGAAATGGACAAGGATATTTCTTAAAACTCCTGGTGCATGTAGTATTCATGCAGTCCAGGCATTGTATTTGCAGAACCGGCTGCCCACAGAAGTTGCAGCGTTCTGGTCCCAAACCTCTCTGTAACTTCTCGGTAAGGTACATGGCCAGGTAAACTTGCACATTGCTTGCAGCACATGTTGGTGAGCGCCCTGTGAAGTTCACATGCCCAGTCATTGCAGCGTCCGGCAGATCCTGGGCAGCTGTGAGGCGGCGAGTAAGGGAGTGAGAGAGAAAAGTGACCAACCCGATGATGGCGTGTTCGTGGGGCCCTCCTGGGGCGCAGCAGTCGTCGGCAGTGAGCATGGGGGGGACGCCCCCCAGCCTTGCGGTGGCCACCGCCAGCAGCTCAAAGTTCCTGTGTGTAGCTGCACGTCTCGGCCCCGCCTGCTCCCCCTCATCCAACACCGCTATCCACGCTGCAGCGCCGCACAAAACGCCTTGCAAATAATTTTTATATGCTCCCCTCATTTGCAATCCTGGCTGTCTGCCAATTCATATTCACCAAAAATTATTTTTGGTTGGTATATTCATGGTTGGTCATCAATTGCTTGCTAGTTGTTCTAAAAAGAGTGAGAACACAAGCACCCACCTTTGATTTCTGGCCAGTGCCGGAGCTTGCTGCTGTAACAGGGCAGGCTGGACACGTCCACAAAGGAGCAGTTCAAGACAAGTGCAGGTGCAAGGCATCAAATACAGTGAAAGATAAAGAGTGTCAATTTTTTGTGGGTTTTAACAACGCACGCGGGCGCTGGAAGTGGCTTTCTGAGTCATCCTCATCCGCAGGCGCCTGCTCAGGCACGTGGCAGATGTGCGCTGCCGGCAGCAGCCACGGCAGGTAGAAATTCACCTGCGCCACGAATGAAACTAGGTAGGTCTACGGATTTGCACATCAGCTGAGCAGATTAAGGTCATCACTGACACCAGAGGGAGGCCAAGAGGGCATCTATCGGGCACCACATGAGCAAGGCAAGAGAATTTTTGAAGTTTGCTTGCAGAGAGGCGGCGCACCAGATAGCAAAGGGCTCTGCCGTCTGCGAAGGAGCCGGCAGCCAAGTCACGGACAATGACACCCGAGCGGCCACAGACTGTCCTGGCCCACCTGTGCGCATTCACACCCTCATTAAGGCATTAAAATGATTTATCCCATTAGAACACGCCATGCTGAAGCCTTCTCACCGCTCCCCAAAAACACCAAAAAATTGTCAGGAGTCTTTCCTCGCCATTTCAAAGCAACGTGCTGAATGTGGATCTTGACTTCCACTGAGATAATACGCAGCCTGGCAGTCCCTTCGTACATTGCTAGTTTGACAAGATGCGCAGCAGGCATTCTCGGCCATGCATGCGCTTTGATCCAATTCTCAGGGTCACAAATTACATTTGCCTTAAGAATGCCATCTCTGTTTCACTTGGAGCACTGCAGCCTCCGAGCAGATACGAGCAGAAAAGATGACACTTAATATCAATTTTTTTAGCAGTATACACAAGTCATATAAATCCAAGCAGGTTGCACCTGAGCAGCAGGTCGAGCAGTTGCGTGGCCGCCTCGGCAGCGCATTTGGGTTTGGCCGTAGACAGCGGCCAGACTGGGTGGGAGGCCGGGCCGCGGCCGCCGTCTCGCGGTGGCGCCATCGCCTGAATGCGCGTTATCTCGGCCACGAGCGCCCTGTGCTCCAGCACTGCCGGCAGCTGCACAGAACAACATGCATGATATCATCAGTATTTTGCCGCTGTCAGCATTGCGGAGGTCTTTCAACAGTTTTCATTGACGAAGAACATGTGATCTTGAAAGATGTGTTTTAGCAGGCACTTATGTGTCACAAGAAGAAGACACAGGAGCACGATAGCATCCTCAGAGACACAGCCCAAGAAAGATAGGGAGTCCACGTGGCAGATGGCACATCTTATACACGGTCAGGGGAAGATACGTCCAAGGATATCGGACATGTGACTGCGCAATCTCAGCACCTGCGCCAATATAAGTGGCCTTGTCGGCTTCCAGAAGTGCGTACAGAAGCCACATAGGTGGTTTTGGTAAGGCACCTGGAATTGCAAGAGGAGAGTCGCCAAGAAGCCGAGCGTGGCTTCACGGTCCCCGTCGACGAGCGCCTCCGGCCGGTGCCGACGGATCCCGGCCGCGTCGGACGCCGACAGCGCCGCGAACGCGCGCTGCGCATTGTGTAGCTGCAGGGAACGCCGCTCCGCCGGAAAGTGACAGGCCTGCACCAGGCCCGCCTCACCTGCAAAATCCAGTATACAGATGTTTTACATTGCCATTAATTGCATTCAAAATCATTGCCCCTACCACATCCAGCTCCTGCAGCAGGGTTTCTGGGAGATTGAGCAGGTGTCTGTGTTTCTAGGGCAAGCCCTGTCTCGCCTGCAGCATAAAATGCCCATAAACTTCAGTGTATGCAAAGCCCCACCTCTGTACAGCAAGTCATGCAAAATGGCTCTTCTGTCACAAGTCTTGCTCCTGATCGCGCAGGAAGTATGTCCCTGGTTGAGGCACCCCTTCTGGCAAGCTGACTAAGCGCCTAACATTGCACAAGGGCCGGCACGCTAAATGCTGCGCCCTTGACTTTACCCAGGCCTCCGAAATGTACTGAGTATCACTAAAAATGCACTAAGTGTCACTAAAGGGCCGAGTATGAGTCACCTGTGAGCAGCTCGGTGAGGCGCAGCAGGCGAACGCCGGAGCGCAGGTCAGCGGCGAGGCTGCTGATTCCGAATTCGAATTCGGTGCGCGGATCCTGCTCGTAGCCCAGCCGCAGGCCCAGGCTCGCCAGGTGGCGCATGACGTCGCCCTCGCCATGCATGCGCCCGCGCAGGAACTTCTCCACCGCCTGAACAGGCCACGCGCTTACTCAAGCGTCCAGTTCACCCAAAACTCCCATGCATGCGGCTTGGGAATGACTCTGAAATAGGTCTACCAAAGCAAAATTACAGGGCTTTGATCAGGCGCATTGCATGTATCACTTACTTCACCAAATAAAATTACATGCCACAATTTATCATTTGCTCACTTGAAACAAGGCAGATTCTGCAATACAATCAATGTTGGTTTCCTTTGCCATCCGTCCTAAACTTGCTTGCCATAAGTGATATTTGCCAGAGTTTGCATGAATTTTTGTGGAGAAATAAAGCAGTCACCTGCGCGGATGACTTGGTTGGCTGGCCGCGGCGGAAGAGCAGGGGGGTGCCCTTAGGGCAGGGCTTGGGCCAGGACACTGCCCGGTCCAGCAGAGCAGCCAGCAGCAGGAAGCGCTTCAGCACCAGCTGCCCCAACTCAACCTGCAACGCACCCACGAAAGATATATCTCTGCAAAATGCATGTAGTGATGTTTGCAAACAAACTGGCTGCAAAGGCCAGCACTATGCTGTTGTTGTTCTCCACAGCAGTATAAAATCCTGGAGTGTGTCTTGAAGAGTTTGTGTGCCTGATCAGTCATTTTGAAACTGCATGTGCAAAGTGCATGCGGTGCAGCAGGTTGGCTTCGGAGATTTGGAAGGACTTGCAAATTGTTATACAGATTGCATAGCACTGCTGGCTGTGCGTGACCCATCTGTGCTTCCGTGCGTTATTTGTTTATTTAGCGAGCTAGAGAGTCAGTCACCAGCAGGTACCCTGCTGTGCACAATGACGAGCTCAAGGAAAGCTCGTCTCAAGGTTTAGGGTCAAGGGGTGATAAGGTGACTCACCCAGTAGTCATCGGAGTGCAGCCCCACGATCGCTCGGTTGCCGGCGCGCTGCAGCGCCAGGTCAGCGTCGCCCAGAAAGTGCGCGCGCGCAAATGCGTCCAGCTCAGCGCGATTACCAACCCCGGCCTGCTTAGGCACTGCCCTGCCCACCACGATTTCCAGCCCCAGGCGCAGCCAGAAGGGGTGGTATGCCGACAGCACCTCCGCCACCTGTGCCTTCGTGCGCATGTCTCCCATGCGAACCTCCTGCAGAGCACATGGTAGAGTTAGTGCACCCAGGGTCACCGCTATCCTTGATGTTTCCAGAAACGGGACAGCGTCAGCAGACCTTCTGGATGAGGGCACCAGCCGGTTGCATTGGCTTGTGCAGAGGCAGACTTGACTTTACAATGAGATGTGTGTTGCGTCAAGGGCTAGAATGCATGCGCAGGGGTCCAGTTTCTGTCAATGTATTTCGCTTGTCATACAAAGGATCCTCTGAAGGAAGACTCCACAAAACGTGTGCACGGGGCGCCCTAATTCAGTGGTTCCAAGACTGGTTGCTCCAAAGCTTTTGCTATTAATTTGGGATTCGTCACCAGGGCCCCGGCTGGCAGGGGGTTGGTATATAAAAAGTACCGCGCCGGGTGGATTGGGTCTTGCATGGATTAGGCGAGGCCATCAAGGGATAGGCTTTGTGGTAGCCTTTACCTGCAGCTTGCCTGCAGAAGCACCTTGCCTGTGGCAGGAACAGCGTGGATAATCATATACCAGGGGCGAGCGAGCGGGTGGCGCACCTCGGATTTCAGGCGCAGGAAGCCCTCATCGATCCGCTCCTCAATGCGCGTCATCACATGTATGAGGTCGGGATCGCCGCAGTACAGGTGCCACAGGACGCCCCGCACGCGCGCCTCCAGCCGCTTGGCCGCCAGGTCAGTCCCCGCGGTCTCCCCATCGGCTCCCCCAGGTCCCCCAGGTGGTGCCGGCGCGAGGGCCGCGTTCAGCCAGACCCCAAACGCCCTCTCCTGCTTCTCCAGCCACAGCCTGAACAGGGCACCACCTTGGCACTTCAATTAGAATTTCCACAAAGGCAAACTGAAATTCCCAGGGAATGTACTGCAGGTCTTCTGTTTTGTGTTCATGTCTGCTGTTGTACAAGGAATGGCAGCAGGGCTGATATTACAGAGCAGAAGACCGACAGAGCACATTGGCGCTGCGCTTAATGGATACGCAAGCAGATATCATGCCTTTCTTCTGCTAGATTCCATGTTCCAGCCGTGCAAGGGGCCCACTGAGTAGCGCACCCCTTGTGGGCAAAGCTGAAGGTCTTGCGCGCGCTGACGTCGGTCTCGGGCCACGCGCTGGCGCCCGCCCTCGGCCGCTGCGGCCGCGCGGTCATCGGCGCCTTAGTCACTGGTGACCTGGCGTTCTCGGAGGATATCGCCTGCCCGGCAGGCTCCGTGCGCACTCCGATCACCACCCGGGACGACGCCTCCCTTTGCTCTGCACATGCACGACATATCCATGAGGGGTATTTAATCTATTTTTATGAGTAGAAGTCTTTAGCCCTAGTTCCATTTCTTCGCAATAAAAGGGAGCACCTGGACCTGCAGGAACAGTACATTGTCTTGTTCAAATGCAAAGCATGCACTTCAGAATCATGTTGAAACCCGGGTCGCCGCATGCGATAATGCGAAATTTGCAATATTATTGAGAATGCCAACAATTTATTGCATTTAGGGTTACTGTTGGTTGGACACAGGATGCTTGAAGCAAGAAGGTGTGTGGGAAGTACAGGAAAGCCCACCGGCAGGGCGCTGCGCGGCCCGAGGCAGCAGCCGCAGCTTGCCGGCCGGCCGGGGAGCATTCATGATTCCTTCCACACTCCTCTCCGATGGGCGCAGGCCCGGCCGCTTGCGCGAGGCAACATCCGCTCCCTCAGATTTGCTCGTGTCCACGGCCGGCCCTTTCTGCGGCGAGCGTGCCTTTGAAGCCTCCGCATGCGTGGCTGCTGGCTTTCCTTTGCTGCCGGCTGAGGCGATTGCAGTTGCAGGCCCTCGCATCTGCCCTGACCCTGTGCTGAGGTGGGCATGACTTCCTGCAATCCCTTTTGAGGGTGATGGAGCCGAGCTAGACACAGCGCGCTTGCTCCCAGAAATTTCTGGGTTTCCTCTCAGTGGCAGGCCTGTGCTTTTGCTCTCAGCGTCCGGCACTTTCTGCGGCCTCACATTTGGCCCTGCAAGCTCGAGCGTCAGCCCATGCCTCAGGCCGCCCTTCTTGCTCAGTGCTGGAAGCTTCCTTCCAGCTGCACCGGCATCTTCTGCGCCTGGTCTGCCTGCCTGTATGGTCCAGTTGCTACTGCTGTAGTCTGCCTGTCCAAACAGTGCTGCATTGCTGTCCTGCAGCAGGCTGCTCACGATGCTTTGAGCCTCGCCAGATGTCTTGGATGTGACTGTGGCTGTGCTGCCGGCCATAGCTGTCCCAGCTAGAACCACCTACAGCACAAGCAAATGAGAGCGGGACACCCTGGCACATAGTCCTGTTTCAAGTCCCCAGAATGAGCACACGACCGTACAGATTATGTGAAAGCATCCTACTTAAAGAAAAAGCATGTCACCTGGAGGGTCTCAGAGTCGTTCCAGAGCAGCCGGAAAACACTTCGTACAGAGCCAGTGGTAGTAGGGGACCACTGAATTCTGAGTGTGTGTGTAGCATTGGGCTGCAATGTGAAGCTGTTCCCATCCCCAGCACCAAACACTTGGAAGCCCAGCTCATGAGGAACTGCCTGGAGGGCAAAGACCTGCAGGAACAACGAAGGGGCAGTGATACCAGGCAAAAAATCTAGAGCAAGCGATGGGACCTTCAATAGCCTGAACAAATTGGCAGTCATTTGACTATGTAGGGCATCCCACCTGAGGCTCAGAGCGAGCATTGACTACGTCCAGCACAGCAACTTTTCTGCCACCACATTTCACCCTCCCCAGCTCAACCCATGGCACCTACACACGGGGAAAGAGGTCGTCACTAAGTTTGATGCCTATGGCAAGTTCCTTACCTTATGAGGGCAGTCAGAGCACCGTTGCCCCTTGTTCCCGAGTTAAAGAGTGCGAACCTCCGGCTTGTCGTCTCCTATACTTAGGCAGAACGACACTTCATCATGATGCGGTGCCGGAAATCCTGTCCCACCAATTTGCGAGTGCCTGTGAACCGTTGTCATTGGTGCCTTGTAATGAGATTTGCTCCTGTGAAAGCTGGCCACAGCTTGCCCTCTGTCATTTTAAAATTAATCTTCTCACAATCGCATGTAATTGAGTCAAATATGTGTTTGCCTGTCAGGAACCCTCTATGGATGTGCCTGGATGTGACTTGTCTGTCAAAAACGAGTTCGTCGAGGTTATCATCCTCTTTGACCCGTTAGAAAAGAATATGGTAATGACGTTGTGCATTTCAACTTTCTTTCCCGAATATTGCACTCCAAAACCTTTGGTCCAAAGGTTTTTCCATGCATGTTCTGTCATTCATGATTTTGAAGCCAGCCTCCAAAACAGGCAACCCACGTTAAACTGCAGTCCAAGGCTGCATTGCAGACTTTTCCCCAGATTCTGGATTCGTTCAATTGTGTTTTCGGTCATGATGTACACTGTAGAGTGGAACACACGCACTAGTGGCGAAGTCGAGACTTGCTTCAGCTGATTCTTCGAAAACAGGACCTAGCCTCTGGTCTTGCAGTTTGAGAACTGTTGATTAGATACTGACATTGACTAATCACTTGCATGGCTGTTCAAAATGGACCCGCTGCAAAGGCAAAGGTTGGGCGATGGGTTGCTCGAACAGTGCATGCAGCAATTGAGGGCATCGCATTTCTCTGGACTGTTCCAGGTATTCCAAGGGCGATCTGCAGGATGCATGCCATCTAATAGTTGTTGCATTATGGTGCTGTCATTCGCCGGCTATATGCGGGCAAGAGGGAAACGAGACCCACCTAAAAGTCACCGACACGCCCCTCAACCATCTGGTGCTCCACAGGATTCCGGGTGTTCCTCGCCGCCAACAGCGTGGCTCTGTGCTACTTCCTCGGTCCCAAGAAGTCAACAGCGGTGGCCTTGAACAGTGCCCTGCTCTGTGCTGGCGGCAAGTTCGTCCATGTGCTCTTCACCACTGCGAAAGAGAAGGTACCTTGTGTTGTTGCATTACAGTCCAATTGCCTTCCATGCGTTTCTCTTGAATCTTCTTCCCTCTCCAACCCAGAGGTGGTATCACTCCTTTTGTGCTGTAGTACCCAGATGACAAGCAGGAGTTGGGATCCATCTGGGACTACAATCCTCCCAGCGACATGGCCGGTTCTGGCGCTTGGGTGGTGTTGCGCGAGCTGGCCACCACCATGAACAGGTACAGTCAGTAACCTTCTTGCACGTGACAGACTTGGCCTGCTCATGTGTACAGCAAGGGGTGCCTAGCAACAAGCATGCTACTGCCTCTCCTCCTTCATGCTGTCTGCACGCTACAGAAATTTACAAGCAGGGGAACAGAATTATCATCCGAGGTCAATGGGAGGGCATTGAGTGAGAGCATGAGTGTGGGCGAGCAGTGCGAATGAGGTCTTCCCAGAGCTGAAGGATCTGGAGACGCTGCCCATGCATGACATGGCCCTGCGGCTGTGCTTTCTCTTTGACCACTATGACAAGAACCCAGTGTGCGAACACATCAGGTGTGTGCTCTCTGCTATATGCATATCTGCCAAGTATATGCTGTACTACTGCTACTTGTCAAAGACACAAAGGGTTCTGCATGTAACGCCTAATATTATAGTTCTGATGACATGCTCATGCATGCCTTCTTTCTCGACTGCAACGACATGCATTCCAGGACCTTCTTCACTTCACAGTCCTGGTGTCCCGGCATGCTCACCTCAGATGTGTTCCAGGCATGAGATGCCATGGCGCCGACTACCGATTTTATGCTAGTGTGTTTTGCAGCAGCAAGGAGTCTGTGGATGAGACGAAGCTGGAGCAATTGGGGGAGATGTTGTGGTATGCAGACATGGCGTACGAGGGCGAGTCAGAGCGCACGCTGCATGAGCGGCTCACAAAGAAAGGTGGCCTGCACTGCACATACCCTTAATGCCATTAATTTAAGCCAGGCTTGCCTTTTGCACATGCCTGCTGTGCATGCTGTAATAGGTAGCCCTACCTAGAGGTCATCTGGTTCATGTGGCCAGATGATTATGCGCAATATATTGGGATGGTTAATTCCCTGGAAATGCTGGTTTGATACCCTTAACAGGCCTGATAAACTCCCCAAGGATCCCTTCTTGACAGTGCTGGTAATGTGCACATATCTGCACAGAGTGTGGCCCCAGCATGCTTGCTGCAGCTTGCAAGGAACCAATTTTATCATATCTATTGCTTCTGCTCAATATGTGAGTGAAATTTTGCTGTCACCTCCTGCAGCGCTGCAGCGATGCCAGCCATGTGTTCATGAAACCCGTGCTCAAATTGTTGAAATAAGGCATTTGTCTGTTATTTGTGCAGGGTTTGGGCTGGCGCATGTGAAGCTGACATCCACGTGGGCGGAGCACTGCCCGGCCTACTATGTGGCGCTGAATCTGCAGGACAAGATCATGCTCATCTCTGTGCGTGGCACTGCGCAAGTGGAGGACGTTGTTACTGACCTGACTGCCTTGCCCAAGGTGTTTTCCCCAACCTAAGCACAATTTTCATGCTTGCCACAATGTGTCCTGCAAGGGAGCTGTTTGAGTGAAAGGCCGCTAAGATTCTGCTGGGGCCTCTCTGGATTCGTGAGTTGTAAGATAATTTGAAGTGTGGAGCTCTTGAAGGTATCTTTCTCAAGGGGTGCACCTTTCCAATGCTTGTCAGGAGTCTGGCTCAGCTAACTTGTCCTGGGAGGGTGTCTCTCGTTGTGCTGGACTTAGTCAGAGGTCATGAGTAGTGGAATACATATTGAAGCTCGGAATTCTTTCAAGGTCCAGGGGTTCTGATGCGATGGGAAAATGCCATGCGACCCTTGAAGCAACTGGGTGTGCTGCAGGAGTTTGGTGACTCAGGGCATCTGGTGCACAGCGGAGTGCTGGCTTCAGCTGAATGGCTCAGTGACAGGCTCTCCTGCATTGCCCAGGTGGGCCTCTGATATCTTGATCCACCACAGCCAGATTGGCTCATCGTTACTGTAGTCACCAGTAGTCATGGCAGGTCACTCTTACATCAGCAAAAGTGCCTGCAGCTGTTCTTGTTCTGTGATATGATGTGATGGAAGCTCCCAATGTTGCAGGGGTTGCATGAGGCTGGCTACAAGATTTTGACCGTTGGGCATTCTCTAGGAGCCGGCGCGGCTGCGCTGCTCAGCATCATGCTCAAGTCCAGGTGTGCCCTTCTTGACACGAGCAGTTTTTCAATGCCCCAGTAGCTGGTGCGCCTAGAGCCAAACTGCAAGATGGAGATATCCTGTTCAGATCCGAGCGTGCTGCTTGCTGCGATGCAGCTATGTAGCTATGTCTGACAAGATAGGTCTTACTACTTTGTGGCAGTGCAAGTCCTTATTTTTTGCTTGCTCGGTGCTTGTGACACGTACCAAACACTGCGAAGTGACGCTTTCCAAACTGATCAAGAACTACTGCAGACTGATAGCTTTGCAGCTAGTCAAAAGGCCCGTGCACCGTGCTCATATCTTGTGTGCTGGCACCAGGGGCGTGGAGCGATTGCAGTGCTACGCATTCGCTTGCCCGCCCTGCGTGGACCAAAAACTGGCAGCCGACTGCAAGGACTATGTGTTCTCTGTGGCTCTGCGCCATGATGTGGTGTCTAGATTCTCACCACAGGCACTCGCGAAGCTGCACGAAGAATTGCGCACCTTTGACCTGGAGCCCGCCATGGAGGTATAGCCTCTTGCTGCCAGATGACAGCACCTCCCAAAACCATTAGGCTCTCATCAGCTTGGACTGTGCACATGCAAAGAATTTGTTAAAAATAAATTGTAGTTTCAATTTCTGACGGGATTGCCAAGAATTAGGATTTTCTTAGGAGCCTGGCTTGTGGTAGGACAGTGTCTGTTGAGTGACAAAATAGCACTGAGAGCTGTTTATTATGCACATGCTGCACTATAGGCCTAAAGTCACGCCGAGACGATGTCGTGTTGGAGGTCTAAATTCTTTCGCTTGTGCAGGCCGAGGATCTGCGGCCGGCGCTGCAGACGATGGTGCACATATACCACGTGGTAGAGGCCGTGCAGAACACCAAATTCCCAGGCTTCAGCAAGGATGTGGACGAGGAGGGCCGCACTGCAGAGCAGAAGGCCAAGGAGGGTGAGCACTTCAGTCCTTCTAGCCTTCCCTGCCAAGGAGTGTTGTAGTGACGGGGTAAGGGCCTTCTGAGTATCCAATGTGGACCAGACAGCACTTTCTTGTGTCCCTTCGCAAGCCCCTTCAGATCTTAAACATCGGATCTTTGCCTAGCATGTTTACGTGGCAAACCGGCACGAACCTTCTGGGGCCAAAACAAGGAGGCTTCTTTTCTAAGATGTCACAAAGCTCCCCTGCTGGGGTCGCTCATGCCATGCATTGCCTTCTGTACAGTTGCTTCATGTCCCACTTAGTCTTGAAAATTCAGCACTGGTCATTGAGATCGATAAAACCGGGCAATTTGGGATCAACGTCCGTTTAAGCATGTAGCCCTGGCATGTGCAGGGGAGCAGAAGCGAGAGGAGGTTGACGAGGATGAGGAGACGCTGCAGCAGTACACGCCCCACATCCCCGGCAGGGTCCTCTACCTGCACAGGTGACACCGTTTGGACACTCTACACACATTTGCAGCGCTTCAGGCAATAAGAGATCACTGCTCACTGTAAGGATTGATCCAGCAGCAGAGAGAGGATCGAGCACATGTTGGAAAAGATATCAGCTATCATCCATGTGCAAGCTTAGCAGCGACTGGGGTTACAGGCCCAGGCCCGCAGCTGAGCAGAATGCTTGTCAACAGCTTGTGATTCCAAACATGGGTTTGCGCGTCATCGTTGCCAAGCATTGATTGCAAAAGTTCTGTTTTCAACCGCTGGCGAGACATGGTGTTCTACGCCTGCCAACTAAGATTTAATTTGGCGCTTGCAGGACGGAGGATGGCGGCATTGGGAGGGTGTTAGTGGATGGAGCCTTTGAGGAGCTGCAGAGCATCCGGCTGTCAGCCAGCATGATCACAGACCACCTGGCAAACTCCTACTATGAAGGTTTGGGGCAGGAAAATCTGACCCACAAGACCTTTATTGAAGAGGGGAAAATGCCTGCGCTAGAGGACAGCGGGGGTGAGGAAGGCAAGCGGGGTAAGGGTGAACAGCACGAGAAAAAGGGTGAGGATAGAGAGGATAAAGGAGGGGATGGGGAGTAGGTCAGAGGAATTACACGGGGATGCGAGGTGTGCAAGTGTGTTCGACATGGGAATGGGTAGTTGGCTCAGTGGGACAGGATGAGGGAGTCTAGTATAAGGACTGTTTCTTGTGGCGGTCCAGCAACTTTTAGTTTTGAGGATGCTGCTTTTGAAGTGGCTTTGAATTTGCATTGTATTGTTTCGTAAAAAAACCACTGACTTGTTGCTGTATTTATACTGTGGTGCACAAGTGTGTCCTGCATCGTGTTGACATCAGTTTGGCTAGCTGCTAGTGAGCAGTCAATGAAATTCTGTTATACCGATTGATTAACGGCCACTTTACAACAGTATTAAACGGCACACCTTGAACAGAAGCTTTGCTCGAGGTAATTTTGTTTACTAGCTTCTGTAGAGGTAGATAAATCCAGGGTGTGTCACAGTCTGCTCTATGTATTGCTAGATGACTGATGTGCAATGTTGCAGTGTTTGTGTATGCTAAGTCTGCTTTGGCAGCTGAGGCAGTCTTGTGTCCAAGCAGGCATGCAAACAGTTACTAATCGTCTTGACAGATCACATGAATTCAATCCATCCAACGTTGAGCTGTACTTTTGTTTCGAATATGCTTTTGTATTGCATTTGGGTTCTGGTAGAAGTAGGGCAGAAAATTGTGAGAACGAATTTGCCTTGTTCTGCTTGACAATGCACCAGCATCTTGAAATATATCACATAATTTTGCCCTAAACGTAAAAAGCACTGAAGACACAGATTTCTGAGCTTTTGAAACATTACAAGAACGCTACCGGTTGTTCTTGCAATAGAAACAAACCATTTCAACAGTGAGCATCTTAGTATGGACCAGAATTTTATAGACCAATAAATGCGACGTATGCAGCCCTGCTATCAATATGGAGATAGTTCACTGGTGCTAGGGGGCCTCAACCAAAGGGGAGACAGCTTTGAGCAGCCCTGCAAAGTGCGCGTCAATTCCAGTGCAGTGGCCTCAAAGTTGTGATTTGATAAGTGCTCCTTGCGGTTTGTGGAAACTCAAGCAATATCCCTTATATAGATGCCAGGCATGCCACTGACTAATGTTATGGGACCTTGTTGCAGATCCCAATTGACCTGGAGTATACAAATGATGGGTACCATATCAACAGCTGATATCCCACAACTATATCCACCCTTTGAATGGCCTAACCAGAGGGTAGTAAAGACTAGTCATTAGTACCCGCTGGCCTAACTAGACCGTCAACGGCCACCAGCTGCGCCTGCAGCCGCCGCCGCCGCTCCATCTATTGTAGCAGCATTGCCAAAGAACTTCTCCAAAACCTGCATGACATCACCCACAATCAAACGCTTTGATAGCCAGCTTGCTGCACTTCTGACATTGCTTTGATGAGCATGCACCTCACACTGTCTGGCATGACGCTTGCTGCACATGCCAGACCACCGTGCCCAAGGAGCCCACTCGGCCATCATTGTTTAGGACAACCAACTCGCAGATGAAACCCCAGGGAGTCCATACAAACTCAACTTTGCATGGTTTTCCTCACATTATGTAATCGGTTATGTAAAGGTTACAAAACGCCGCCCACCTTGCTGAAGCCGCCGGGCGGCGGCGCAAATCCGGTCAGCTTCTGGACAGCTGCCTCAAAGTCATTGGTGGCAGTCACGATGCTGGTAATGATGGTTGACGTTGGGTCGGGGGTCGGGGTTGGGGTGTCTTTTGTCACTTTAGCCACCAGATCTGCCGGCGCTGATGTCAGCCCCTGTCACAGCGCAGAGCACATGGTATGAGGTGGAAATCAGTAAGCACCCGGTGGGGAATGGTCTTGCGCATTCAACATGAGTTGAAATCGGTGAAGTAAACTGCAGCGGAGTGACTCCTAAATGCGGACATGCAACCTGTGTGAAGGACACGATCTCATAAGACAGACACCATTGAATCCTGCTGAGTCCCTATACATCTCAGCGCTAGAGAGATCTCATCCTGAACCCATTTCTGACCAAGTGCGCGCATGCATGCGCACACTCCCAGAGCAGATGGTATCGTTTGTGGCCCTCTCAAAATGCACACAGAAATCTGCCAAGCAACTCTGCTCCTCTACACGGTGGTGCAATTGTTTTAATGCAATAGGTGGTAAGGCAGGACATGCACCTTTGGTTGAAAGACATAGAAGAAATCGTTGAGCTTGCTGATGGTAGAGTCTGACATGCTGGAACTCGCGCCAAACTGACCCGCTGAGCTCAGGTCATCAAGAAGCATCTGCCCGAATGCATCGCTCACATCCTGGCAGTAAACCTTGTTGAACTTGCACTTCCCGGCCTCTGCGCGCACAAAAGATGCCTTTCTTCGGATGCCAGCACGCCAAGTGGTCTCTCTGGCCATTTCGGTCATCACAGCACTGCCGCACTGCAGGCAGCTTTAGGCAATATTAAATCTTGGCCCCGGCTGGCGGGGGCCGGTACAAATACTGAGCACCGTGCCCACGGTTGATTGGGTCTTGCTTGGATCTGGCGAGTCCAACAAGGGGTAGGAAATTGGCAGCCTTTACATGCAGCTTGTCTGCAGACGCACCTTGCCTTCGGCAGGAAAAGCGCGTAATAATAATAATAATTTCCGCAAAGGAAGATTGCCTGCAAGGCTGCGCTGTACTTGACTAAGAAGCAGTGCAGAGGGAACTTTCGATTCAATTTCAGGGCATTGCCGCATACCAGACCCTTTGCACACCACAATTCCTTGCCAACACTGCTACTGAGCGATACATCATTTCCTGACCCACGTCTGCTCTCCTCTGAGGGTGGGCGAGGATTCGACCTATGACGTCACGCCCTCTGAAACATCAGAACCTTTGACTTTGAGTTACACTTAGCTATTGGGCTCCACATCAAAAGTGTAAGGGCAAGCTCTCACCAAACTGCTGCTCCAGGAAGAGGGTGATGTTTTTGCCCACAGTCGTCCAGAGGTCATTCTTGGACGATCCAGGGAAGGCCACAGCACCCAACCCCAGGTTTGTCGCGCTCTCTGGCAGCTGTGTATTGAACACGAACTTTCCAGACTGGGCCTGCAAGGCACACGGTGTCAACATCAAAGTTCACAACCCCTCGGAAACTCCCGACCCATTAGGTTGCAGTCAGCCTGCGACAATCAGACCAATGCCTCGTGAATGAGACCCTTCTGCAAGCCAAGCACTAAATAATATTCATTTCAGTCGGTATCCTGAGGCTCCAGCAACAGCAAGTGGTGAGAGTGTCCTCGGATGTGCTGCAAAGCGACTTGCTGTTAGAAACTGCGTGCCTGGACTAGAGGCTCTGGCGCCGGTGCAGGTGCCCCAGGCTTCAGCAGTCCAGGAATATCAAATTTAGGGAACACGGACGCCGGAATACTGTTTTCTGCAGAGTCCTGCATAACAGAGCGCAGCGTGTTCAGCGTGCATGTTAGCGGGCAGCAATATCGTCCGCATCTTTGCCCCAACTTTCCATTCTGGCAGCATCCAACCTTAAGCTGTCTTCGCGAGCTTGCTGCCAATGATGCTTGAAGAATGCAAGCTCCCACAGCCAAGCACAGCAGCTGCGGTGCTCCCCTCATGGCTGCGACGATCCCAACCTGCTGCGCGGTGTGAGTGCGTCTTCGAAGTACTATGGGCAAAGACACTTGTGCATATTGCGTATCCAAAAAGCATTGCACTTTCGCTACGCGCTCAGAACAGTCTCCTCGACTATCCGAAAGGTTTGGCTGTTCCGAGACCACTTCAAACGCACTATCTTATTGACCCTTTTCATTGAAGAGCTGAAGCGAAGACGAGCTTGCCAGAGAATGGCTGCACACTGGCGAGTTGTGCTCCTTGAAGCAGATTTTAATGCTCGATGTCTCATGTCATTTCAAGCCAGGTCCAAGTCAATCGGCAAAGACCTTGACGCCTGCGAGGAATTTTAAGGCTGGCCCAGCGACCCACTCACAACGACGTTTTAAAGGTCTGCAACATCAAATTTTACGAGAAAACGTTCGTTGAAATATATTAAGCAGATACATTTAGACGGCTTTCCAGACAGCATTTTGCGTGGGAAAGTCTTCGAGACGCAGCGAACGATCGTCTTGTAGATATTTGAATCCCTGCTTAGGTTTTTCAACGGGGGTCGAGCCCTAAGACACGGGAGCACACAGGCTTGCCTTCCTCCAGGCTTGAGCTGCTCAGTCCTCCAAGAGATAGGTTGTACTTCAGCTTGTTCCAATGAAGACTGTTTCAGCAGTCATCGTGGCATTATATTGCATTGCGCAATGGACGTCACGACGCACGGGGGCTGCTGTTGTTGCGCCATCACCTTCATTGACACACCTACGTCTGCCTACCGCTGAGGCGCCCTTGGCTGCCGAAAGTTCAAAAGGCTACACCGCACAGGCTCTAGCTGATTCTGTTGACGAGCTACCGGGCTGGGGCAAGCTGGACTTCAAGTTGTACTCAGGGTATGCTTCAAGATGGGCAAACGCTTGCAACACACAGGTGCCAACTGAGATCAAGTGTTATAACAGTGTTCTACTGCATTTACATTTTAAACATCAGTCCAGAAATATTAGCCGCTTGGGCCCTTGGTTTTACTCACTCGTTGCACTCTCCAGGCTAGCAATCAGCAGCGTCACATAGTGACTCTTCTTGTCTCTGTGAATTGATCCTAGTCATGATACCTGTCTGATTATTTACGGATTCTTCACTGGATTTTTGTGACAAAACGATGGGCGCAGCGGATAGTTGCTTCTTGATCTGGCTCATTCACATGCCTTGTACCTGCAGGTACATAATCGTGAACGAGACCGCGGGGCGCGCACTCTTCTACGCCTTTGCAGAGTCGTACAAAAACGCGAAGAGCAAGCCTCTGGTGCTGTGGCTCAATGGAGGCCCTGGCTGCAGCAGCCTTGCCAGGTGCGGCCAATTTATGCAAGGACGATCACCTGTCTGATTTGTGAAAAGTCAGTCGCTGACGATGCGGTGTCCTGCAGTGGCTTCATGTCCGAGTTGGGCCCCTTCTACCCTGCAGCCAACGGAAAGCTTGAAAAGAACCCCTACTCCTGGACACAGGTATGCATCATCACCTGCTTCGGGCCTAGTCTCGCCCTGTCTCTCTTAGTAAGCTTCCTTTGATGTGCTAATGTTGAAGGGCTCATAAATCGAAGGCTGAAAATCAATGTTCAAGGTTTTCTTGCTTCACAGGCAGCTAACATCATCTTTCTGGAGTCCCCAGCATTTGTGGGCTGGTCTTACAGCAACACAACCACAGATGCGACTGTAGGTCAGGCTCTGGCTGTTTCACGTACCAGCTGATGTCATTTAAAGTTGCTGCACATAGTTAGTGTGATTCTGATTTGCGCGCTCTTCATGCAGGGGATAAGCGCACAGCCAATGATGCCCTGAATTTCCTGCTGGGCTTCTTTGACCGCTTCCCTGCATACGATGGCAGACCGTTCTGGATTGCTGGGGAATCTTATGGAGGTGCTTTCACACTTGTTCACGCTTTATTCTTGAAAGCACCATTCACCAGGCTCTGAATCAAGCATCCGGAAGGAGCACCTAACGGCCCTCGACACTTCTAATTTGTGGGCAGTGCCTTGTATTGTCTGCAAGGCAGATTATTCAGCATTCCTTGTAATGTTGCTGCAGGGCACTATGTGCCAAACTTGGCACTGGCAGTGGCAGAACACAATGCTGGCAATGACAACAGCCCCATCATCAACTTCAAGGGCTTCCTTGTCGGTCAGTCATGGCTTTATCCTCCGATCTCCCGCCTATATTCTTCTGCTTCATGCGCCAGACATGCATCTGCACGTTGTATCCATTAAAGAGGGCAATCTTCACCGTCATCAGCACTGGAGGGCTGGAGCCTTTATGATGCCTTCCATGAATTTTGATGCAATGCACCCAAACTTTGGCAGGCATGCAAAATCTATCTCTTCTGGTAGCATGGCTTCTTGGGGCAAGTATGCTGTGTGACGCTTTCAAAGCAATGCAAGCCATTCTCTGAATTCCCCTTTACCGCGCAGGGAACGCGTGGACGGATGCAGAGGAGGACAACAAGGGAGCAGTGGAATTCTGGCATTCGCACGCGCTCATCTCGGACACCACGCGCGACGGCCTCATGAACAAGTGCAACTTCTCACGCATCGGGCCTCTGCAGGTGGAGGCGGTTACTAAGGGCAGCGCCAAGGTGCGCACTGAAATGGATCATAAGTGGATATATCCCCTCATGCCAGGCTCGCTGCACCACTAACACTTTCCGCCATGCTCAAGAGGACCAAGTATATCATTTAGGGCATGTTCTGGTGTCTTCGGGTGCAGTGTTTGGTGCTGTGCCTAGCCCAAACACCGTCAATGACAAAGTGCAGACATTCTTCCCTGTGTCTGCCAGATGTTAGCAATCTGATTTATCTGATTTCCCAAGGCTAGCTGTCATTTAGCCACTTAGTGTGCTTTGCACAGCGGCCCTCACTCCCCTCGCCAAAATGTCTTCTTCCCCTCTTTCTTAATCAGGACGGCAGTTTCTGTATAGCAATCGTTTCTTTGTGGGCATGCGCACAGAGCTGCGATGACTGGGTGAACGACAGCCAGGCGGAGAGCGGGTTTGCTGACGGGGGCATCAACATATACGACATCTACGCTGACGTGTGCAGCCCCGAGCGCGCGTCTGCAGAGGCGAGGCAGTTCGCGCACGTGCTGGGCGCCACACGGGCGCTGACTGAGGGTGACTCATCCCAGAAGAGCACCGCCGCCCCCTTCCAGACCATGGCGCTCGCTGCCAAGGTCTCGCTGCCCGAACCAGGTGATTTTGGCAGACACAGATCTTGCAAGAAAAGAATTCTGGACTTATTGGGTGCCACAGATGCCACAGAGCATTCTCGCAGCTGCAGGTTGCAAGCATGGGATATCCCTACGGCGCATTTGAAACGTAGTTCAAGTATCTTTTCTGATATCTGCATGCACCTGCTGGCAGCACTGCTTTCAAGCACGTTGACCGTCAGACCCAAGATCCAGCTTGGCAAAGCAGCATTGAACCATGTGGGCTTTCTGACTGATGTGCGCTGCTCACAGGGCTGGTCGAAACTTCCAGACGTGTGCAAGTCGGAGCGTCTGCTGAGTCGTTGCATGCAATGGTTGCAGGCAAGTACGACCCGTGCATAGACGGCAAGGTGGAGGAGTACTTCAACCGGCCGGACGTACAGCGCGCTTTCCACGCCAACGCCAGCGAGCACACGCTTCCTTGGGCCTGGAAGGGCTGCTCTGACTATGTCGACTACTCCAGGTAGTGCCCTGGACCTAAGTCCTGCTCTGTATCAAGCAGTGGACTGTCTCCGCCAACTTGGAGGCGGACGTGCACCAGACCTGCTTGGCTGGCATTGCCATCGCTGATCTGCCGGGCATTGCTGCACCCTGCGAAATGGATCATCTGCATGCCATGTTCTCTAGCAGCCCTGAAGAAGATTGGCTCAGACGCGCCATGGCTGATGCACAGCAGCACTTTTCTGGTTCAAGTGCACCGTACGCAACAGGATGCAGCTACACCGGCATGACTGGTGTGAGCAGTGCTGTCGCCAAAAGTATCTGTGCACTGTTTCCGTTGCAGTCGTGAGCATGCTCTGCAAGGTAAGAGCGTCAGAGAGCTCATTGTTTGCCAATTTTTCGAGGAAGCTTGATGGAGAGAGTTTCACACTGTATTGCGCTAGCAAAGGCTGGGAGTGTTGCGCACGCTGACTGGATGCTGACTGGGCACAGGGAGGACCTGCTGTCGTCCATGCTGCCGGTGTACAGGGAGCTGCTGAAGCACAAGCTCAACATCCTGGTCTATAGCGGCGATGTCGACGCCATCGTGCCGGTAAAGCCCAAGCGATCCTGCACGCTGCTCAACCTATACCCCTTGGTGCACTGTGGCCGGGCTACTTTTTGAGGGCATCCGTGCATCCAGGGGATGTAGCTGTGCGTTTTTGCATGCTTTCAATTGCCTTTTCTTTTCTGACCCTGCTGCATGATCATGCCTGAGGGTCTTGCATCTGACACATTGAGGCATGCATATAGCAGCCCGCCTGCAGTCGCTGGCTGCAGGGCAAGCAGCCTTCCCCGCGCCACTAGTACGATGACATTATCCATTTCGCAATCAAACATGCAAAGCCCTGCGCTTGTCTTGATGGGCTGCCGCGCATGTTAACTTACCCCACGCGGATAGGATCTCTGGCTGAGAAACACATCATGACGCACTCCCTTGGACGTTGAGAAACAGAAATTTGAATATCTGGGCTTGTGGCAGGTGACGGGGACGCGGCGGTGGTTGGCGCGGCTGGGACTGCCGGTGGTGCGCAGCTGGCGGCCGTGGCGGTCCGGCACCGGGCAGATCGGCGGCTACTACGAGCGCTACAGCGGACTCACCTTCCTCACCATCCGCGAAGCCGGCCACATGGCAAGCGCCGCCGCTCTCTCTATTTCAATCTTCACCCCACCAGTGTTGCACTCCGTTCCGTGGTGGAAACGTCAGTAGCATATCAGGAGGTCCTGCATTGTGCCCACACCAATATTGCGCCTTCTGGCCTTGAGTATGCATGTGTTTTAACAAGTGCAACTGCATAATTACCCTGTACCATTCAGCATCTATCCAAGCTGCTGATTGCGCGTGCAAAGCACAGGTGCAGCTGCTGCTGGATCGACGTACGAAGCCAGGGGGCGGCAATGATTATAATGGGCCTGGTGATATTTTGAGTGTGATGTGTTCGGTGCAGGTGCCGTACACGCAGCCAGAGCGGGCGTCCTTCATCTTCAAGAAGTGGGTGGTAGAGAATTCCAATGAGCCCGCCTCTGCCGAGGCCTTCCTCTCCTGAGCAACCAAGTAATTCCATGTAGGCAGCTTGCCAGCAGATTTGTATAGCGTCATGGCGGCACAGATCTCATCTGAGCGTGGACAGTGATTCAGCCCAACTGCAGGAGCCCACATTGGTACATCTCGCAGCGAGGAAATTGTACATAGATATCTATGTAGCGATAGCACATTGTACGTTTTGTTTTGCACAAGTACCCTGCAGCACGGCAGTCGACCTGCCAGGGTCTGCTTCGGTGCTGCAGCCTGCGTAAGTTTTGATTCTTGTACAGCGAGTGCACTTCAGTCTTTGTCAGCCTTTGAAGCCACGATGAGGGAATGTGAGTGCTCTGCCCGCCATCTGTTCAAAGTGTGAATAACAAATGCCAGAGGGATTTTGACTGGCTTCGCATCATGCTCTGACCGCCTCGAAAGGATGAAGTTTTGGAGCAGCCAGCGCTGTATTTTGTGAAGGGCTGTCCAGATCTGATCTCTAGAGCGAGTGAGCTTCATTCATTGGCGCCTTCACTATCTGGTTGACACAGTACTAAAAGCGCCCTCGACAATAGCAATGGCAATGGTGCTCAATGTCTAAGCATGCTCCGTGTAATATATATATAATGTCTGAGCCGGTAGTAATGCCACAGCTTGGTGCACTGCACGTGTCAACCGCAAGACGCCCAATGTTGGAAGTGGTCATTAAGCTTCTGCTGCAGCAAAATTATTGGCACGACCAGCCACTTGCAATGACGGTTGTTCAGGACGGTGTGCAAATTCGCACTCATATCCCCTTGCGCAACCGAGATATGTCTTTACAGGCCAGTCAACAATAGCTGCATGGCATGCCTTGGTAGTCGCCCCTAAAGACCACTGTCCAGAGGATTTATTGATGTTTTGTTTTAAGTGTCACACAGGCAGAGCAAGCCCATTCACACATTCAGGAGCACGGCTTGGGGGCAGAGTGATGCAAGGGAGGGCCGTCCTCTGTGTCTGTACAGTGTTTCTTCGACACCTCCCAATCTAGCTTCTATGACAGTGTCGATTGTATTCGGCCCATCAGTCCCATCCTTGAGGGGCTCGTCCTTGGCTGAGGAAATGGTGCCCTGGCAAAGGCAGCACACTGCAGTCAGAATACATCTTCAACATACTATGATGCTGGCAATTTTCCACGGTGAAGAGCAGATACATCAAACATTGTTTGGCTTGTGATCATTATTTGGCTTGTGATCCTCCTTTTAACAAGTTGATTACCGAAAAAATTTACTGATCCTGTCAACAGATGCCACGAGCTGCGTGGGTTTACCTCCGAGTACACTGGCTTTCCCACCAGCTTCTCACTCAACTTGGCCTTTATCGGCGTGAAATCTTTGTAGGGCTCGTAGCCTGGATCTTTTGAAGCCGCAGTTTTGTTTCTTTCCGTCTTGTTGTGAGGCTCATGGCGGTACCCTGGCCGTCACACGCGATCAAAAAGAACTCTGTACAGCCAAAAATCGTTGGATAAATCTGTGCTTATGCGCAACAAAATTTCAGTATTCTTCATTCCCATCTGTGTGCTGAGGTTCTACAAGGTATTGTTCATCTGTGTCAGTCTGGAGCCCTACCGCACCTGGAGGTGTGTTTCGTCTTCCCTCGTCCAAAACCATTGCGTACAATTTACCTCGGATGCCTGTGTGTCTGTAACTCTCTGCGCTGCGCAATTGTAGACGGTTTCAAGCGATTGATGCCACCATCTTTTGGGCAGCAACCTCGGACGAACAAGCTTATTTTGGTTCCACATGTTTGCCACCTCATTTTGACCGCAATATTTACAAAATTACTGCAAAGTCCATCACAATCTAAATGTGCAGTAATTGCGATTCATCTTGCCTTTCAGATGGCTCCCTGGTGCCTCGCAGATGCGCAGAGTCCTTGCCTAATAATCAATATGCATGCATGCCATGGCCATGCATTGCACTGCGCAAGTGCACGGGCAACTTGCATTGAACGCAAGGCAGCCCATGGCGAATGGCTTAAAGATGCATCCATAGAGCTGGTCGCTTGCCTTGCGCAGTGCGCCATAAGACAATGGAAGAATGCCCCATGTTGTCATGAGTGACCATGGACAAGGCAGTGCGTTGCATGCATGGCAAACGCAGTCACTGACTGGCAGACAATCAAATGGCGCTGCTGCCGATGGGAAAATCAAAAAGGAATTTACTGACTTGAAGGCTAGAGCAAGCATTCAATGATGAGGCCATGTGCTCTTAAAAGTAGGCCACAGTGCAATGGAAAGTAAGAAAGAGAAAAAACTAAAGCTTCTGTTTCCACCCGGGTTCGAACCGGGGACCTTTCGCGTGTTAGGCGAATGTCATGACCAACTAGACCATAGAAACTCGGATGACATCGAGCGCAATTTGACACAATATATACAGGTCGCAATGACTTCTGTCTTCTGCCATGTGAGGTGTGGTTCTCACCTGCACAACACTTCAACTGCACAACATCTTGACAATATTGTTAAAAAATATTCGTAGCAAATACTTGAACAGAGGAGCGTGTGCTGAATTGGCAGGTCGAATGTGACGTCGCGATCGTACTGTTCGTGTTTTGCAGAAAACCCGTTGGCAACTTTGTTCACATCACATAGCTATAGAACAACAGCAGTGATGTCCGATTACAAAGCCCTCTTCAAGGCTGCAAAAGCGCAGCGAGAAACAGCTGTTCCTGGCAAGCTGGTATGCTTCTGGTGATCTTGCCTTGTACAGCCTTTGTTTCAGTAGTAAGTGGATCGGTGTCGCTGTTATTGGTTAAAATCGTGGAACTGGTGCCATAAGCAGCAGAAGCTGACATTCCTTTCGACATGTCTTGACAGTCAAAGGAGCAAATCAGAGCCCTGAAAGCTCAGAGGGCAGCAGCTGCCGCTCGCGAAGCTCATGAGGAAGCAAACAAGCGAGAGAAACAGGTGTTGGATCTATCCTCACCACCTCGGCGTCAATTAGCGCATGCATGCTTGTGTCCATCAGGTCTTAGATGCCACCAAAAGTCAGAATTCTCTTGATGATTCTTTACAGTTTCATGTTGGCACGATGATTTCCTTTCCGCTCTTCTTCTGGCCATGCAGCCCTGCCAATGGTAGCATCGAGCAGATGGGCAATGACGCATGTGCTATGCTGAAGGGGGCAGCTCGAGCAGCTGCATCTGCAGCGCCTCCTCAGAGCAAGATGCCTCCCCCAGCGCCCAGGCCAGCAAAATCTAGCAAGCCAGTGCCGCCTCCACCTAAGTTCAACGACCTGGTCCCATTTCGCGCAGAATCCCAGGCAACTATCATCTCATCCCTTGGCGGCGACACTCCGTCATCCGATGCCTCTGTAAAAGGTGCCTAGTCGCCCATCCATTCCCTCCTGCACAAGCTGCCTGAGCAATCATGACCTAGACGTGCATGCCAACATCATGCAAGGCATCGTGCATCGTGCATGAACATGTCTCGATGCAGCAATGCCATTCCGGAAGTCATTCATCTTGTGCAGGTGCTGATGCCTTGGAACCCTTGCTCTGCCACATGAATGGCAAGCAGAGTGAGCCGTGTGATTGCTGTTCTGGCAGGAGGCGCAACAGTGGGCAGTGCTGCAGCAGCCAGCCTGGATGCACAGTCCACAGCGAGCACAAATGGTGGCGGATTGCCTTCGGGCTTCTTCGAGGAGCCTGCGCCCTCCGAGGCCTCCTCCATCGAGGCTGCTGCATCACAGAGCGGCATGCCCAGCGGATTCTTTGACTACTCTGCTCCCGGTGAGTAATGACGCATCCATCATTGCTCCTTTTGACCTGCCCTGCTTCTCCACTGTTGCCCACAATGAACTTGAGCAGCCTCTCAAAAGGCCGCACATTCACACCCTCTCTCCCGTTGATGTCTCGTCTTTGAGCGACCACTGATTGCAGAATGTTCATCTACATCAGTGGTCTGATGTCCATTGGATATCCACTGCTATAAATTGAGCACTGTAAAGATATAATTCAGCCGAGTCAATTGGGCGTAATCAGATTCGTAAGGGCATGCATAATCTGAGTGTCTGACCTTGCAGGTCCCAGCGCAGGGGATGATAGCGACTTAGCAGCGTCTATGCCAAGCAGCGAGGGACCTCCAGAGCCAAACCCCTCCACAGCTGGCAGGGTGGAAGGCAGCCTCCCAACCGGCTTCTTTGAGGTGCGCAGACCAGACAGTGATGTCTGCAATAATCTGTTTTCCGAAAGACTGTCTGGCTCAAGCTCAATCTTCCTTGCATGCAACTTGGAAATGTCGCTTCTGGCAATGCCATCCTGCCTCCTCTGAATGTTGCATATCTGAAGGCTCTACAAGACAGTGTGGTTGTCACACATCAGCAATTGTCAGCTTGCTTTACACGTATGCTGATGTTGCAGGAGACCGGCCCGGGAACTTATGAGGCTGAGGAGACTGCACCAGAGGCAAGGGGGGGACCCAATGAAAGCTCACAGGCGCAGGCTGACGGAGCGAGTGCTATCCCAAAAGGTGCGCTGTTGCAAAGATTGCAAAGTCATCCTTATTCAAATTGCAGCCTAGGTCCGCTGAAACAAAATTAGCGCGCTGCATCCTGCACGTGGATTTTAAAAAGTGCAAGTCAATCTACATCTGGTGCACATGGGCATACTTTTCTGCACGAATTGGCATCTGCATGTGGGTGTGTGGCTGATGATTTCCTCCTGTGTGAGGCTCTCACCCGAGATGGGAAATTGTCAGTCAGACACACACATACAGGTGGGGTGATGGAGCCCGCCAGCGAGCCTGCATAAGGGCACAGCATTTTATTGAATGCCGTACACAGGTCAGGGGTTTGGTACATTGCGTGCCGGTGTGTGCCATATAGCTCTCATCTTTGAGCAAGCCTCCTATTTAAGATGGAGTTATTTGGGCGGACACCCACATGCACTAGGGGCGACAAGAGCCCCGCCAACGAGCGCGCATTCAGCACATTTTCCTTTAAAGTTGTCAAGCTTCTTGTGACACGACACTCAAATGCTCCCACTGGGGTTCAAATCGATGCTGGGCATAGCTACGGCTGCCACCAGGCAGCAAGAGGGATCTTAATGTCAGTGTCTGCTTGACCACATTTTCTATCACTTTTTTTGCCTTTTATCACTTCAATAATTTACCACTATCGCCGCAGGGTTCTTTGCTGACGTGGACGCGGACGCGAAGGCGCGCGGCGAGAAGCCGGCCAAGCCGCGGACGCAGGCGGAGACGTTCAGCGATTTCATGGCGTCCATCGCGGCCGACGTGAAGGAGGTGCAGGCGCGCGAAGAGGAGGAAGCTGCCGACGAAGCTGCCGAGCGCGCCGAGCGGGAAGTGTTCGAGCAGAGGTGAGCGCTGCAGAAAAGCAAACAATCGCACAATCCCGTCAGTGAGATTGAGAGCAAAGTTGTTTTACGCGCGATGGGAATTAATATGCAGCTATGCCAGCTCGTCCGGTCTTGGCATGCACTTCTGTTAGCGGTGATCAAAATACAGAGCAGGTGTTCTGCATGGCTGAGTGCCGGTCTGACACTGCGCTCCCACACTGCAAAGCGCTTGACAAAATTGTGCCATCCAGAGCCGAATCCCACATTGGCAGTGCATGAAGTATATCGGCAACAGGACTTTTTTGGCATGCCTTGAATTGCTTTGAACATTACTTGAAGGCCAAAGTGAAGAGTTGCAAAGCATCTGTGGCCGCAATTGGATTTGACTCTCTGCCTGTTTGCAGGATGCGGCTGAAGAGGGTTGAGGAGCTGAAAGGCGGCGCACCTTCCTCGAGCACAGGTGCTGTTCTCGTGTCATTGCGTACTTCAATAGCTGTATCTGCTTTCTCACACCATGCCTGGGTACTTATATGCAGCTGAGCTGCACCTTGTGCTACTGTCCCTGCCAATTTTGAGGCTTTTACAGGCCGCCGTCTCCTTCCTACGCAGCTTGCTTCTGACACGAAGAGCGTGTAATGCCCATAACTGTAGGAATATCCTTCCAACATTCACTTGCTTCGACAGGTGCCGCGGCGGCCGAGACACTTGGGTTTAATGAGGTGGCCCTGGACATCAGCAGCATTGCAGAGGCACCAGTGCAGCCGCGAAAGAAGCGCAGGCTGGACGTTTTGGAGGATGACCCAGACGAGGGTGCAGATGGAGAGGAGAGCAGTGAAGAGGATGACATAATGCTGGACTGGCGAGCGAAGACTGTGTAGGAGAGTGTGTAAATTGGGGGCATGGTGTGAAATTGTTATATATACATATAGGATTGAGTCAGCGTGGGACTCTGAATCCTTCTGAGAGAAGAGAATGGAAGGATCACTTGCCTGCATTATGTGCCACATTATGTGCCACAGCTGGCAGAATAGAGGCTTACCTTTCAGGGTCGTTTTTTGTGTGAAGTGTCCATTCGGTGCTATAGGCCCAGAAAGAAGTGGGCCCAATGGAATTGGGACTCTTTGCACAAGTTAAGATTGTTGTGAATGGTCCTTCAGGGACGCCGTGTTCAAATGGAGTGTTGTTCAGAGCTACCAAGGTTTTTTACATCACTTCTAGTACGCACCCTTCTTGCATCCCATCATGTCTTCCTAAGCTATCCATACATGCACAGAGACTTCAACCTAGTCAAATTAGCAGGCTGTATCCTCGTCGCCTCACTTCACATCCCTTGCCTATTCCAGGTGTAAAATATCCAGGGATACTGTGCAGCTCATCGCACTTGCTGGTCTGCTGCATCTGCCACCAGTGGCAGCCTGGCAGCTTGTCCAATGAGACATGACCCCTGCACAATCCCACTCGCAGCGTCATTACACCAGAATGGCAGTCCAGGGATGACTCCAATTAAGAGGCTGATGTCAAGTGCAACAACTAAATCTCACGCCAGTTTGCAGTGTACAATATTGGGGAGGGCCTAATCCGAGCACAATCTGGCAAACCTGTGACAGATCAGGTCACTTGCAAATACAAAGTGTAGAAACTGACAGAAGCGGACAGGTATGCCTGGCTCGGTCACAGTGCCATGCAAAGAGGCAGGAAGAAAGAATTTGGCTCGTGGCAAGCATGGGTGAAGCGAGAACCCACCACTGCGTAGAGGACTGCCAGGAAGACATAGAGGAAGATGGTGTTGTACACGTTGATGTACAGCGACAAGCCCAGGCCGCCCGAAGGAGGCCTGAAGATCTGCTCGAAGAGTCCCGGGACGCTGCAAGCCGCACAATGAGTTGTCAGTGGCCATGCTTGCCACACCTCTGTCTTAAGGTATTGGCTGATCTTTGAGGCACATAGTGAATGTGCACAGAGGTCGCCTCACCGGCTTCCTGACAAGCTCAGCACAACTACTCAGGCGGCCTTACTGAAGTGAGGAGAATAGCACCACATGCCATACATCTGTGCATGCAAGGCTAGCGCGCAGGCAGACCAAATGAGATACATTTACATTTTTACAGTCGGCATAGAGGTGTGCGCACATGAGGATGATGTCCAGCAGGATGGACTGCAGCGCGTTGTAGCGGACGAAGCGCGAGAAGTTCTGATTGTTGACGATGCCAGCGTAGATGGCGAAAAACACTATGAGGCTGCACCCCATCGCATGCAAAACATCAATACACATCATTCTCGCAGGCACTTTTCATATATACCAAAGGCCACCTGGAGGGTTAAGAAATTTCCTTTCAGTAGGCACTTGCATTGGGCAGACTTGTTGAGAAACACGGCAGAAGCCAAAGTATGGACAGCCGAGATCATATTTGTTGGTTGTGCAAAAGGAAATTTGTGAGACAAGTTGAGTGCGCACCTGGCAAAGGGGAAAGAGAAGTAGAAGCTGATGAGCGGGTTCAGGGGCGCCAGCAGCCTGGGTAGGAAGGGGAATTGGGCGAACAAAAACTTCCCTGCAAGTGCGGTAAGTTCACTGAGGTGAAGCACACAAAGGCCATCAACAACAAAGGATCGCAACTAAGCTGATGATGCATGCATGCAGGTGTGCAGCTGAAGATGTGCAGCTGAGGCAGCAGACTCACCATATTTGAGGCCATCAAAGAGTGGCACAAAGTAGGGTAGAGCTGCAACGGCACGGTCTGCAAAGTCCACATCCTTCCCCGCCTGTACTTGCAGGCTCCTCTTGCTCCTGTGACTGTCTCCGCCGCTGTGCTGCACTCTGCTGGTCTGCAGAGGAGGACTGCTGATTCCCAACCGCTGTGTAGAGGACCTGAGTGCAGGATGCCCCATTGATTTATTGAAGTCTCAATGCAAATGTGGGCTCTCATTTGCTCAGTCTCTTGAAGGCAGAACTTACAAGCGCTCAGGAAGCATATGCTGTGAAGCATTACCTTTGGGATATGCAGGTCCTGTGAGCTGCTAACGAGCAATCGACTGACAAAGTACATGCTCGCAAAGAAGCAATGTTCCTCAGAGGGCGCCTTCGCTGCAGGATAGGAAGGCAGGACTGATGAAAGGTACTTGTTGGTAAAGTCATCATAGCGTCAAGTGACTATCTCGATCTCAGCTTTCTGGAGCTATCACGACGTTGCAGAAGAAGTTCTTTGATTGAGTTGTATTCAGTGGTTCTAGTTTCGATCGGAGCAGATGACAAGGACGACGCATGTCCATCAACCGCGCCGACCCCTGCCCTCGATAGTTTCGCTCCCCTGTCAGAACAGAACAGCCGCAGCGCTTGCATCTCGCAATGTACAGGCTCGTGGGCATACGTAGATTATTTTGAAAGAGTGTTGATCTTCTGGCGTGCACGGATCTTCACGCTCTGTGTGTGTCAGGACCGGTGGGAAAGTTCCTGCTGATGGATTGTTTGTTGTGAGGACTCCTTCAAAGGCATCATTTGCCACGCGCCTAAGCCCTGAGATTTTCTAATATAGCACAAGATGGTGAAGTTAGTGAGGTGGGCTCCCATTCTCGATGCTAGTGGACGATGGACCTGAAGATGTTTCAGCTATCTTTCCCAGTTGAAGCGCTTATATGAGAAGTTATTCACGTGTTTTTCCGTTGTTGTCTGTGTATCTCTGTAGTCCAGTTTCTTTTCTTGTGTTGAGGCATGCTGAGTATGTATCTTTTGTTGTGGATCACCAGGTTTCTTATGAAGCTCACCAACGAGAGCGTGCAGATTGAGTTAAAGAATGGGACAGTCGTGCAGGGCACCATCACAGGTGGGAATCAGCCCAGCTACTACATTGATGTTCAGGCTGTGTAGGAAGTGACTGGGAAGAGCCCTGTTGACAGTGATCCTGATGTCTTTGGTCGTGATGTCTTTGGTCGTGGCTCTCTTGCTGAGGCGTGCCAAGCAGGAAGGCAGGACTCCAATGGTGCTCTATTTTCCGCATGCATGCAGTGATGCTATGCATTGTGCCTCGGCAGGTGTGGACATTGCAATGAACACACACTTGAAGAACGTGAAGCTGATCCTGAAGGGCCAGCCTGCACAGCAGCTGGACAGCATGAGCGTGCGCGGCAACCAGATCCGGTGAGCACCACTGTCATTACCGATAAACGTGAAGTAATTATTTTCAAACCCTTCGCACCTGATTGCTTGTCCACATGGCAGCCTGGATGTGCCTATCATCAGGGCCATCCACAATTGCCCTGTGAATAAGCAAGCATATGAATCAGCCAAGTTGATTAGCAAGGAGCAGTTGGCCTCTGAAACTGCTGCAGTGTTCAAGGACAGCAGGAAGCTCGTTCTCATAGCGTGGAGTTTGATTGAGAGGGTTTTGATGTGGTGCAGGATGTACATTTTGCCGGAGACCCTGAACCTGGACACGCTGCTGGTGGATCTGGACCAGCCCAAGATCCGCCCTAAGCGCCCAGAGAGGCCCCCAGGTATACCTGCAGACGAACCTTCCTGCTGTATAACATTGAGTGTAAAGGGCATGCACTGTACAGTGTCTGCACCTGTGTCTCCTCCAGAGTACGAAAAAGTCTTGGTATGAGACTGCCCTTAAGAATCAGGACACCCATGTCCATCACTGGCAACGAAAGCAGCAATTCTGAGCAGCCTGCAAGCCTTGCCCCTGTGTTTGCATGCGCTGACATGCACATGTGACACCCCTTCTAAAGACATACTGCAAACCTTGGATGTGTGCCATCACAGGTGCAGCACCAGGCAGAGGAAGGGGCAGAGGGCGCGGTCGCGGCCGTGGACGCCGGTAGATGCTATCGTGACTTCTGTCTGTCATTTGACAGAAGCATGTCAGCTGCCGTCTGCCTGCATTGCCTTGGCACCGCAGTGAAGCATAAATGGTGCTCCCCTGCATGGGAACTAGGGGTCATGCATAGGCCGGCACGCGCGTCGCATGTATGCTATGTGTGGGCGCTGGTCGGCATCTTACTAGAGTTGCAGAACTACAAAGTGCATGTCAACATGTTGCACTTTCTAACAGCTTACATTCATTCAATAAAAGTTGAGAGGGACTGCAAGTAAGTTACAGTACCTGCTGCTTGGAAAGTGAAGGCCCCAGTGCTGCAGCAGGGATCCTTGCACTAGTGCGAGGGATGCATACATGCCATTGTGACAAATGCTGGTTTCTTTAAACGAGAAGACTATAGTAGTGCCATCAATGACGCGTCGCTGATGCATCATGCTGATGATCACAAGCTGCAGCAATGCGCAAAACATTGTTGAACTTCAAGCTGCAGCTTATCAGCTGATTTTAAAGTGCCTGGCAAAGCTGGCTAGCTATAGTCTTGACCTGCACAAGCACTGCATAGGTGGTGCACTAAAAGCCATTCAGTGGTCTTTTGCTGACCTCAAGAGAAGGGATGTATTTGACCAAGTTCCAGGGAGCCCTTCATCCATTAGTATTGCAGCTTCGCTCTTGCCGGTAGCTGCGGCTCAGCTCCCCATGGCTTCCTCCCGTTGAGGCGATCGGTTTCGGATGTGACGTGAATCCCTCGTCAAGAAATGGGTATCGTTCCTGTCACAACAGATATTCGGTCTATTGCTTAATGAAGTGATTTCTATGTAGGACTGTTGTCTCTGCGGGTATCTGCAAGCTGAGCACTGCTTCGATGGCGGCATTTCAACTCGACACAGGCTCTCTCCTGCTCGTTGTCCTCAGCATTTCCGTGGCCACTCTTCTGCCAAGTTTGCTCAGATGGTTGCGTAGCTACATTATCTTGAGCCGTTTGCCATCGCCCAAGGGGAGCTCTTTGATAAGTGGGCACGCCGGGGCATTCGATTTCTTGGCAAAGCACAAGTGGGAAGCCGAAGTCACATCGTCACTTGGTGCCGTCTGGTGGCGTAGAGAGTATTGGAAACAGGTGACTGCAGTGATTTCGGTAAAGATTGCAGTCATCGCGTTCATTACACGAGAAGGATGCACTGGCTAAGGATTGCGTACATCCCGCAGATTGTGGTGATTGCAGACCCCGTCCTCCTTCAGGATGTTTTTGCACTGGAGCGGGAAGGTGCAATCGAGAAGCCCGACTCTCTCATGCAATGGGACGAGACTAAGGTGACTTCGCTTGCTCGAGCAAAGTTTAGATCCTTCACGTTCCTTTCACCCGAATTGCAGAGACGATGTAGTCAATTTGAATGATCCTGCTCATGTTGAGCCAACATCTCATGATGGGGAAGAGTGCACACACAAATGAGTGATCCGTGGTCGTGCAACGGTGCACAGGAAAAGAACGTGTTGACATCAAAGACAGCGGACCCCATGTGGAAGCTCGTGAGGAAAGGGACTGCCCCTGCCTTTCAGCCCAACAATATGAGGTGAGACCATTGGTCTCCCCACGGAAATTTGTCTGGACCTTCCTGGGTCTGCTCCTTCTAATAATTTGTCCTAGGAGTGCACGTGCCTCATGCATGGGACATCCTGACATCTCTCTTTCTTGCTGTCCTCCCTGAGCTTAAAAAGTTCATCGGCCACCATCTGCAAACCTATCCCACTCCGGCTGCTCTTTCAACTGCCATTCACTGTTACTAGAAGCGCCTGAGGCAGATTATGTCTAATTGAGATCATGAGCATTTCCGTTATTAACGCATGTGTGGCTCTTTTGCAGGCAGTACCACAGTCACATTGTGGAAATCATTGACCGGCTGGTGCAGGGCGTCAAGCAGAAAGGGCCCGCTCCAATCATCGATGTGGCGGACATCGCACAGGTGCAAACTCTTCACCACATATCTTTCTTAGGGCTGACCGGGGACTGGCTGTTCAGCCTCACTGGCCCTGTTGCTGTGCGCACTTTCAAAGGCGACTTTACTATTTGTTTTAAGAGTGAGCAGCAGTGATCTTAGCAGCAGTACATGCTGCATGTGAAAGCTTGGCTTGCTTAGCTTGTCACATTGCTCAGATCTCAACTTGGCCTTGAAGGTGGGCCCCACATCAAATGCTGGCCAAGTGCAGTTAGTAGTCTTGAGACCTTCCTGACCGCCAAACTCTACCAAAAATTATTGAATTTTCTGGACGTTGCCTGACTTCAAGGCCATGTGTGGGAGTGTCTTGCCAGGGGTTCAATCTTGGCAGCAGTTTCTGGCATCAGAAGAGCCTGAATTGGCTGCGGGCATGTGACGTGACTAACTTGCTGACCTTGGGGGTTGCATGCAAGCGCAGAGGGAGTCCTTCGACGTGATCGGCAAGGTGGGCTTCGGCCGCGACTTTGGCGCGAGCCGCGACATCGACAACACGGTGAACAACACCTTCCGCATGGTCACCAATGACTTTGAGGAGAACATGCGCCGCTCCGTCTTTCCCCTGCGCAGATACTCCCGCAGCCAGGTACTGATCATCAAGCCATCATCGCACTATTACATGTTTCTCCTCCAAAAGGCAAGGCCTGCAGACAAGCTGCGGCTAATGGCCGCCAGATCTTTTACCGCCCCTCGCCAGCCGGGGCCGTCAACCTTTTTGGCCATGCTGAGAGTCTTGCTTGCCGGCATGCTGAGGCCCTTTCCACAAAATGAACCGCACGTCAAGTTTGGAAAGAAGCGTCACAACAATCAAGGAATACAAAAGTTGCGTTGTGCAGAATACAATGAATGAGAGGCGAAGACTGAACAAGATGCTGGCAGCCACATGTAGGCAAGCTGTGACAGAGCCTGGTCACCTGGAACAGTGATCAATGGCACTTTTGGGTTCTGGTCAGTCTCTGGAAGCTTATTTGGTGCGTTGCCATGGGTATGTAACCGTGTCATGCCATCACCAGGAAAGCAAGAGATCTGATGTAATAAGCGTGTGCAGGATAAGCTGCGGGCGGACGAGAACCATCGGCGGGTGCGCGCGATAATCAGCGAACTTGTGCACGACTGCCAGAGCCGACCGCCGTCCGACGGCGATGCCGGGTCGATCGCGGGGCACCTGCTGCGGCTGCGCGACGCCCGCGGCCGGCCACTCGGCACCGACCGACTCGTGGAGGAATTCGAGATCTTCTTCATCGCCGGGTCTGAGACCACCGGGCACACCGTCGCGTGGACCCTGTGCGCATCATCCTCCCCCTGTATCTCTTTTAGCAATGATTCAGTAATCGTCACGTAATAATTGATTGTTGTTACTGACCCTCTGTCTGGCGGAAATGATCAACCGCTGCCTCTGTGTCCACAGCTGCTGTGAGCCACCTGCAGAATGTTTCCCGCAATTGAAGCCTGCGTCATCCCTGCTGCAATAGTGCGCCATTGTTGACTTTTTAGGATAATGGAGCAGCATTCCCCAGGAATGATCTGAGGACTGGGGTAATTTAGGGGTATTCAGAAGTGATGCAGTCTGCATGCCTGCCAGGAAACCTGCCTTCTTCCTTTTGGCGCCATTCTCCGCCTTTTGGAGCCAGGAAAGGCTGCTCAGGCAGCGTCACAAATTTTGCGCAGGTACTTTCTGGCGACACACCCCAAGGCAATGGCCAGGCTGGAGGGTGAGCTGGACGCGGTGGGGCTGCTCAAGACGGCGGCCAACCCGCAGCCGCGCACGATCACTTTTGCTGACATCGGCAAGCTCCACTACCTTGACCTTGTGATCAAGGTGGGTCGCCCTCCCTCTGGAGCTGTTTGTTGATTCCTCGAAGGAATTATCTTCCGGTCAGAATTGCAAGTTGGGCTAATGCTATGCTGAGGTCTTCCTGCCACGCTGGCAGATTTGACACACCTCGGCAACCATTTGCATTTACTAGATTGACGCTACCTCAGTTCTGCGCTTTCTGTCAAAGATGGCTGCAGCGTCTTCAGCATGCTGGTTCCACATATGCTGTGGGTTCAGCGCTCAGCCTATGTGCACCGCTGAAAGCCCCCTTGCAAGCACAACAAGCACTCTGCTGAGCCACACGTACTGTCTGGCATGATTGTCCGATTCTGGATGTGTGCCCCCTTCTGCGGAGGCCAGAGAAACACTCGGTCATAACCCAACTCTTGTTTGGCAGTAAGTCTGACAGTAAGCATGACTTGTCCATATGGGTGTGGCCCCACAGGAGGCGATGCGGCTGCAGCCGGTGGCGGCGCAGCCGTTGCGTCGGGTGACGACGCGCGATGTGAGGCTCAGCGGCGGCCAGCTCATCCCGGCCGGCGTCACCGTCGAACTTGCGCAGTACAGCGTCATGCGCTCCGCAGCTTGGGGCTGGGCCGACGGCGAAGCCTTCAAACCGGTGAATTTCCCTTCTGTACCCACCTCTTGCAGGGAAAATTGGACTGTAGAAATTTTAATATATAGTATATGGAGCTACCACAGGGGAACCCCTAAACCCTGAGTGTCACATTAATAGCCCCCGGAAGGCGTCAATCAACCTGTGCAGCGTAAGGATATAAGAATGCGGGTTCATCTGCAATGAAGTCAGGCTCCTGATTGGGCACACATGTATGTCCTGAGAGGCAAGGGGCTTGAGCCTGATCTGAGCCACGCGCTGCTCTCATTATCTGCGCCTTAGGCAACGCTTCAAAGGAAATTTTACAGCATCAGAATAGCTCAGCCTGTGCTATTTTCAAACAGGAGCGCTGGGAGGAGCCGGATGCAGAGTACTACGCGCACAAGAGCGGCAGCGGCGGACCGACACATGCTGCCAAGGACGATGACCTGGAGATCAACGCGGACAAAGCTCATGCCAGCAAGGTATGTGCACACGCAGCTGCAGACCAGCCTTCACCCCATCTTGCAGTTTCACCGCAGCTTGTGTGCTGCTGGTGTGCTTGTGTGCGTTACAGCACCCAGCTAATCATAGTCCATGTGCTTTCAAGTGAATGTAATCTTGAGCGGAAGCAGCGCGTTCAAGTGTGTTTGATTGTGCCGTGTCCACGGAAGCTTTGCTCTGCCGTGATCATCTGCTGCCATTCCGTAGCTCTAAATCTGTGGCGCCATGCCAACCTTAGCATCGTGCGGAAGCTGCATTCCAAATTCAAAACTTTGCAGGAGAGTTCTGAAATTCTGTTCCTGGCATGCCGGCTTCAGGTGAAGCGCTACACCCCATTTGGGCAGGGCGTGAGGAACTGCCTGGGACAGCAGCTGGCGCGCATGAATGTGCCCACAGCCGTCGCCATGTTCATGTCGGAATTTGAATTCACAGTTGCCCCCCAGGTGCGCTTGAATTTGTTTTTCAAGTTCATCCCATTTTCTGAGTCAGTGCCTGTACCCTTTGTGGGTGCATGCCATGACAGCCAGCTGCTGTGCTGGATTGAACAGATACCCTTCGTTATGTCAAATTTGCTATGTCAAGAGTTTCAAATTATGGACTGAGACCCTTGGAGAAGTCGTCGCCTGCATCCTTCATGGGTGGATGCCATAACACCCAGCTGTGCTGGAGTAATGAGATAAATTAAACTTTTATGGATTGTGTGCCATCTATTGCTTGTGTTTCAGTTTCAAGGCACCTCAGGGGAAGAGTTGCTCCCTTGTACACATGTGTGAGTAGGCGGAAGCACATGCACACAAAGATTTGTTGCTTGTTGGAAAAGTTGCAGATGGGCAGTCTTTTCGACACGTCTGTCTGTGCCGCATGCAGGACGCAAAGAAAAGCATCGCTGAGCTGGAGATTCTGAAGGGGACTCTGCAGCCAAGGAGCGGCATTCACATGATCTGCAAGCAGCGCTGAGACTTGTAGCACTTCATACACCTTGGATTTGAATCTATAAGGTTTTACTTTTGAATGAGGTCATTGTATGAGCCCTGCAGTTGTACATGTACAGGCGCCTGTGAAGGCCGGCCCTGGTTTTTAGAGTCAGAAACAAATGATTAGATGCACAACATTGTGTATGTGTTTTGAGTCGCCGTCATAATGAGTTCAAATCGGTCCAAATTATCCCTTTATTTCCATAAAAATGAAAGGAAGAAGAAAGGGAACGCGAGCAGAAGCCACCCCTCCTCTAGCTTCCACTGACCAGGAAGCTGGCATTTTAAGTTACTTCCGATCGCGTTCTCATTCCAGTCCTTTCTCCCCTCATACCGCGAACGCTGATTTCGTGAGCAAAAGAATTTACTTACCAGCTTTTCTTCACAATTCAACGATGTTGCGCGTCCTTCTCAGATCATACGGCGAAGTTGCTGCCCGATCATCAGCAACGGAAGCCAGTTTACCTCAGCTTGCCACGTCTTTTGAAAGTCTCAGGCGCTTTTCTGGTTACGATGAGGGATCAAAAACTGGGAAAGGAGAGTATGGCGATGGTGAGATACGCAGTCATACACTAACGCTGTTCGTTGTCTGCTACATCTGAAATTGGCTTTGCCAGACGCACTGCACACATTCATCAGCAATTTTTATTTCTCTGAGACTTCTTTGGCTATGCAGTTCCCGGCCTTGAGGCTCCAGGTGTGTTCAGAAGCTTACCGAAAGCACCCTTTGTCCTACATGCCCCACCTGCAAAGCCATGTTTTCATTGTGCACAGGCTTGTGCAGATTGCACTGTGGTCTGAGACATAATGTTCCAGGTGATACTGAGAATGTGGCGCCTTCCCACTTCAGAGGCGGAGATACACAAGTGGCCGGTGTGCCATCTGGTGTTTCAGCAAGGCCCTCACAGCCGCACGAGTGCGCAGCCACCCCTCATTCCTAATTGCAATTATTTTCACGCAATATCATGTCCGAAGTTCCACCACGAAAGAGATTGCCAGTCATATGTAGCAACAGGGGTCTATCTTGCTGGACGCACAAGGGAGGCCATAGCAACGTGTCTTTAATCACAGCTTTCCAGGCAGGCTTATCCTGTGTGGTGGGTATGATGAAAACAAAGTTTCCTGAGATCCGAGGGGTGCATTGTTCTCGTTAATAGGGATGAGGACACCCCTCCTAACATGGACCCCCCTGACAATGAGCCACATACTCAGAAGCTGAGCAAGGACCCGCATGAAGCTGACATCCCAGACTACCCAGGCATCAATCCCAAGAACCAGGTGGATGGAGAGCTAGCAGTGCATTGATTACCCTGTGATTTTTTTTTCTTGTTGTGAAGGATCGTCAGTATAGACATGGGCTCCGATGCCTTCTTGTCATTAGTCAATCTACAGGTGATAGCGTCTATTGTAAGACTTCCTGATATGATGGGGGCATCTGCCTGTGCAGCAGAGCAGCTGTTTGTGACAGGTCGCTCTGTTTGATGCACTAACAGCAGGCAGTCATGGCTGCGTGCTAATAAAGCGGACTCAAATAGCATTCAAATCTGATTATATTATGCTGTGCAGGCAGAGGCTGATGCGAAGGACCCTCGTCGGGAGCCGCGGGGCTCGGACAAGGCCGAGAAGCCACCCGGAAACTGGCCCGGCATGAAAACTGACCGCCTGAGCGGCGACTTCCCTGAAGACGTCCCAGCTTCCACACAGCGCTCTGGCGGCGACAGTGAGTGCCCATTTGTTCTGCACCATTGCGACCTGTATAGCTTTTGAGCATGCGGGAAAGCCCTGCGGAAACTTTGTTAATGAATGACTTTCATATCACGAAACAGTGGGGGTTTAGGTTGTCTACTACAGTATCAGCATGCGATCATCATGTCCCAAGCACCGGCTGGATTCACGATAGCTGGCTTGCGCATGTGACATAAACATGGGTGAAGTTGCCACAGCAGCTGGGCATGAACATAATCAAATCTGTTGTGCAAGCTTCTGCACTGTGGGTGTTATAAGCCTGCGGCTGGCGAAATGCGTCTTGCATGGCAAGGATCGGTAATCTCAAATTTGGCCCACAGTATAAACAACTGACTTTTATGCTGTGTCAATGGCAGACACGCCTCCAGCGGAGGTGAAGGGAGGCCCGACTGGAGGCCAGTTTACAGAGGAGACCGACATCAAGGATGTGGCCGACCCGGCAGGCATCAAGTGGGGCGAGAAGCCAGATGCGCCGGTGGACCCAAAGACAGCCTACCAGAACAGATGAACGGCTGTGGATGTTGCTCGCATCAGCTAGTTAGCACTCTGAAGGAGGCAATATTGTGCAGCACCCAATATGCAGAGGCTGCAGCCAGGCTGGTAATATCTTGATGCACCTAGTCCAATGAGCTTTGGAAAGCAAGCAAGAACTTTCTTGCATCAGCATGTGGCCATAGAGGTCCTCTGCATAAAATTGGGGAGAGTGGCACCTCAGCAGCACGATTGGAAGCTTGCTACAGAAGCATTTTGGCAAAGAGATCTTTGAATGCAGGTCTTTGGTCGGTCCAGCAAATGTGTGCGCTTCAGGTGTTTCCCACCGGGGTCAACATGTTATAAGATGAACTTTGATGAATTCTGTAATGTTCAATCTTCAGTGAGGATCTCATTTGATTAGTTGCGTTCCAGGGATGGCCAAGGCAGTGGAAATTGACTGGGGGGCCTGAGATTCTGACTTTTGGGTCAGGTGCATTTTTTTGGGGGGCTGCACTTAGTGTCCTGGTAATTGAATCGGGGGTGCAAAAATCTTCTGTGACAGCCAACCCCAGAGCTAGAATGTATTCCTGAGTAAAATTCCTGGTCTAGTCCAGCAGCGCTCTCAGGAATTCGAAAGCCTCATTGTGCTATGTGGCTCACATTATGACAGGAGGTACTCTTCCCTGATTCAATGTCATGGCGCCAGAGATATGGTCTTGAGTGAACACAGAGCCCTTCTGAAGCTGTGATAATAGATCAAAATTCAGGAAGGCTGTTGAGATCCTGTGGATATGGAGTCATTCCTCAGACAAATCAGGGATACAGTGAACGACATCAGGCCTTTGTCTATTCCCACTGGAATTGATGCAATTCCTACCACAAGCTGCGTTTACTCCATAGTTGTTAGGACGCCTAATCCCGAATTCCATCCCTCATTGCCCAAAAAATATTTTTGAGATTAATCTTGGGTAATTAATCTTGGGTGTACCCGGACTTTAGGTCAGGAATGCTTCGGGGCACGTCCCGAAATATTTTTCGCTTCGTTCCAAATCTTCCGGGAGATCCCAAGAAAATCCCTGATCATCAAAATCTGCAGCCCATCCCCTTCGGATTCCGGATGGTCATCCCTGGTGCGTTCTCCCTCTTGCTCAATACAGCAAACCAAACAAGGAAGGTACCACAATCAGCTGGCAACTACTCACTTGACTTTCTGCTCTTTCTCTTGCTCTATTTCCTGCAGCAGGCGCTCCCTCTCTGTCTCTGGCATCTCCTCTAGCCTCTTCTTCATGACTGCCTCCTCATAATCCTCCAGCTGCTTCACATATGTCATCTCCTGCCAAGCATGTACGCGTCCCCCGTTTCTATCATTTCCAAGTTGCAAGCCTCCCACACTCAGCTGAAATGATCGCTGTAAACCAATGCATGCACAGACCTGACAAAGGGGACACTTGAGTTCAGCTTGCTCAGAAAGAAAATACGAAGAAGCAGGGATAGACCTTGTTTGCCACTCTGAAGAGGTAGGTGGAAATGTAGCCGACTCCAATGCCCAGGAACACAAAGAGCTGCACAACGTTTCCAGCCACCAGAGAGTCCACCCCAGCTGCTTGTAGGCCATAATACAGCGCATAGCCAAACCCAATAATCCCTCCACCCAGCAGAATGACGTCCTTGCGCGTGTATCCAAACTGCGGTGCAATCTCAAGCGTTCTCAGCTCATGCTGCATGATTGCAGGTGAAGTCACCGACCCTTTGCTTTCACAGCACCAACTTCAGCTGAATGCAGGTGAGGCTTAGTACAAGTACCGGCTTGTCGCCTTCCTTCTGTCCGTTGTCCTGCTCGCTTGAGCTGTGCACTCTCAGCCGCTCGCAGCGGGCTACTGGCCTGGATGAGGGTGTCTGTCGGGCTGTAAGCTGTCTTCTGCCACTGGTTGACGCCAAGCAAGGTCCTGTGAGTGCCAGGAAGCAAATGAAACCAGCATGGACCATCAAGAATCTGATCAACGCATTGTACACATTGATCTAATATAATAATTAAACTTCTGCAATTGCTCTTTGCGCGTGGCTGTATATACCCTGCTTGTCACTACAGATGTGCCTAGTCACGAAGATGAGTGTATCCGTCATTTGGAGAGGTCTGATCGCACCTGTGGGTGTGTGGAACGAGCGCGATACGACAGAACAATTAATCACGGGATTTCTGTAACATGCAGAGCTCAAAGCAGCTGTGTGCTTGTTTGCCAACCACGTTGCCATGTTTGTATCGGAACTCGTACACACCAAATTCGAGACCGTTATCCTGAGTAGAATTAGTATAAAAGCTCTCAGTAAGTTGGATTGTCACAGTTTGTGGGAATCTGTCGAGACCTTCAGCCAAATTTCCTACTAAAGCACTGCTCAAATAGGCAACACCTAGCGGGAACACACCAGGAATATGACCAGTCTTTGAGCATTTCTGGCATGCAGAAGAAAAAGAACTATTGCAGACAAGTCCACACTTTCTTGAAACATGATGGAGCTCCACATGCAGGGGCCCAGTGACCAAGATCTGACTGCCCCAGTTCACGATCTTGTCTGGGAAACGTGCTGCAATACTGCTCATGCTGTTAGATTTGACAAGTACTCCGTGAAATCTATTTTCAATTCATAAGTTATGCGGTACAAAACAATTAGGAGCGACTCTTTGGGGGTGCCTCGGATGTGGTCATGGACATGAAAGCTAGCCAGCTTTGGTGGAATGATCGGGAGCCAGTGACACAGAGAAGCGGACAATCTGAGATGCAGCCTCAATACAGCGCCCAATGGGGGAAGTCTGATGCCCTGGACGAGTATGTTGAGGGCAAAGACAATCTACTAGACCACCTTGTCCCAGCCCAGCAAAGAGCCGAAGAGCCTACGAATGTTGTGCCCGTCTCGGTGTATCCTGATGGCGACAAACATCTGAACAGCATGTTAGCAGCGTGCAAGGAGGCAGAGGACTCGTACTGCAGCAGGAGAGCCTGGTCACCTGAAGTCTTAGAAGGCTTCAACAGAGCCTTTGCCCTCGTGATCAAGGTGCCCCCTGCTTAAATGGAAATGATGGAAATGATTGTACCTAGTTCTGGTTGTATGCGCTGTTTTCAGGACCTCAGAGATGCCTTGTATATTTAGCACTGCCCTTGGATTCCTGTTGAATTCTTGGATCGAAAGCAAGGTCCCCTCGAGGCATGGCATGGAGCCCAGAGCGACGCCCCAAGCCCTGTGGGCTGGAACAAGCGTGAAATAGCAGCAACAGTAACTGGTAAACTGGGGGCAATGCAGGAGCAGACTCCCGGCCCACAGGACGCGGCAAGGAGGAGGCAGATTCTGGAGAAGATGGGAGGCATCGTTGGGCTTGGCCTGGACGGCCACACAGAGCTGCGGGTGGAGCCCTATGGCTCCTTTGTGAGCGGCCTGTACGCACCCACTGGCGACCTGGACATCTCCATTGAGGGCTTCTGTGGCAAGGAGTGCGTACCCCAGTTTCCCTGCATGTTGCAGCGGAGCCATCCCGTTTGGCGTGAAGAAGGCCACATCAGCCCTGCATCCAAGCCCTAAGTCCCCATACACCTGTCTACATAAAGCCAAGCCATTTGACTTGGGGGATTCCGTGTGATGCTTTCAGGTGCTTCTGCACAGATAATCGATTATGAGTTTGCGTGCTGTCCTGACTGCTGCACATGCTGCAGTGGCAAGGTGTCATCGGCTTGATTTCTGAGGCAGCAGTACTCTTAAAGCCAAAGTGATATTATTACAATTTCCTGCAGGGGTCGGGGGAGGGACGTGCGGGACATGGGCAAGAGCGCCAAGGCAGCGCTGCTGCGGGCGCTGTCCAAGAAGCTGGAGCGCTCGCGGCTGCACCGCGGCTACATCCAGCGCATCCTGCACGCGCGCGTCCCCATCCTCAAGCTCGTCTGGGCCGAGTCGGGTGCGCCTGCATGCTTGCAGATGCCTGGGCACGACTGACTGATCAAAGTATTCAAGCATGCACAGTTTGGATTGCAATGGTCCAGTGGGCGGCAGATTTGGTCATGGCAATTTCCAGGATAGGGCCCATGCGGCATGAGATTGGCGCTCTGTGCGCAAGTGTCGCAGCCATGTCATGCATCCCTCAATAATTTTTTTGGTCAGAATACTTGCATGCAAGTCGCATTTTTGTGCCACGCGGGCCTTTTTGGCGCCTTCTGTCATCGGATTCGCAATAGACGCAGTCCCTTGCCCAGCATGCATTTATGGGCTTCGGAGAGGGCACATCCTTCTATTGAGCAGGCCCTTTTGGAACAACATATAATTGACTCAGACAGTCCCACACATCGACAACGTTAGCAGCGGTGCAGGTATACCCTGCGACGTGAGCGTGGGAAGCTCGAATTCGCGATTCAAGGCTGAGGTGGTCAAGGCTCTGGTGCGGTTGGATGGCAGATTCGAGCAGATGCTGCGAGTCATCAAGGTGTGGTCCGGCGCGCACGGCCTCAACGACGCCAGCAATGGCACCTTCAACACATTCGCCCTCTCCCTCATGGTGTGCCCCCTGATCTGTCAATGCAGGCACAGCGCCCCTGGTCTTGTCATTACAGTCACAACACCCATGCAATCAGAACGCCCCTGCTTTGGTCATGAAGTCATAAACTGGTGCATGGCTATCATGCGGCCGTCCTCCTGCCGTGTTGTCGTGCAAGATATCCTACCAGAAGCAGCGTTAGCGCACGTCCTGAGTAGGGCTTGCCACGTGGGGTTCATCCTTTCATACGCTGTTGTCAGGCGCTCTGGTTTTCCACGAGCCTGCTAAAATAGCGCTGCATTTGTTTCCAAATCCTGCTCCCATAAGTTTGCTGCATGCTCTGGCCTCTAGCGGATGCCAGAGAGTGTCATTGTGGCTGTTGTCTCAGCTGGGGAAGCCGCCTGGAAGCTTCTGCCGCACATATCCTGACGCGGCGTTCCCTTTGCCATGCGGCAGGTGCTGTTCCACCTGCAGCTGCGCCGGCCAGCGGTGCTACCACCGCTGCACGAGCTGTTCCGGGACGCGCACGACGCCACCTTCACCCGGCCCCTCCACCTCGGCCAAGAAATCAGCCCCGGCATGCTCGAGGTGCGTAGCTTATATATTTCTTTCGATTTTTAAAAAGGAAGCTCTATAGCTTGCGTGTCACTAGGTCGCTGACAAGGTCCATTTCCATTGCTATTTTCCACAAGAAGGACATTGTCATGCTGGTGATGGTACAAAGCAAGTCCCGATCCAATGCTTACATCTGGGACTTTGCGGTGTTGTTGTGGCCTGAAGGAAACATTTCTGGGGACGAATACGGTATGCGGCAGAAAGCCTTGCACAGCACAGTGTAACCTGCTCAGCTCAATATGAGAATTGTCTGGAAAGACTGCGTGCGTGCTTCATTTCTTCCAGCACTGCAGCGCCGTGAAAAGTAGAGATTCATGATGCAGGCATTCCAGGCGGCGGCGGAGGCAACGCCGCGTTCGGGCAACGATGAGAGCGTGGCGGAATTGCTGGCGTCGTTCTTCGCGCGTTTTGCTGCGGCCACGACGCGGTGGCAGCGGGCGCCGGAGTGCTGCGACGTGCGCGCCAGCACCTGGTGCGGGGCCTGGAGCTACCGCCCCTGGGCCAAGGCCTACATGGCAGGTGGGCATTCTGTCCTTTAAGGTTGATCTATTTTTCTCTGACGCAGCTCGTCTGCAAACGCACGCAGTGTCTTCTGCGTTGCTGGGCATCGGCTGCCGTAGCAATGTGTGTAGGAGGTCAGCCTGTACAACTCGCCCCAGCTGTCGGGACTTGTTTTGAATTATATCCTGTGCGCAGCTGTGGAAGATCCTTTTGACAGCAGCGACAACTGCGCGCGAACCATCGGGCGGGACCGCCTGCCCTACATCACCCGCTGCTTCGCGGACGCCGCCGACGCTATGATGTCAGCGCGTGACGACAAGGGTGCGCCCACACCTTCCCCTCTGTTGGGATTATGACTTCAAGTTAGAGGCAGGCCTGCACAGCATGACTCACCGTGTAAGACAGCTCAGACCAGTTCAGAGTACAGCTCGCAACACTGAGAGCACAGATGCAAGTAACACTGAAGCTGGCTTAATCTACATTTCATGAATGTTCCAGTCTCGTAGTGAACGCCAGTGTTTTTCCCACCTTTACCCTATACGGTAATCAGGGCGTGGGGTCCTTATGCCTTGACCAATATGCACAGTCCTTTAGGGCAGGAACTGTGCTCTACCTGATCTGCCTATTGCTGATGGGTTGAGGTCATGGCACTGCATTGGTGACATCAGCGCTGATGCGTGCCAATGGCGCAGGCGTTGAGAGTGCGCTGGCCTGGCTGCTGAAAGGGACCTCGGTTGTGCCCAATGTTCTGGGGGCAAAGGGTGACAGCGCCGCTGCAAACAGGAACGCTGAGCAGGACAGGAAAAACCAGGCGAGGCCCTCAACTTTGCATGACTCTGCTTTTTGGCATCTCTATGTTGCTAGCCCTGTCTATTTGTCAACCCCGATGCATTGGCATATACTTTTCTCGTACACGCATGTTCCTGCCCCCAGGGCTAGGTGCGTTGCAGCAACTAATAATTCCTCTCCAGCCTCCCCTGTCTTGGCACCTTCTCCTTCAACGGCATGTCAATCCAATGGAGTCCAGGTCATCCCTAACGCAATCAATCCAGGATTTGGCGAGCAATTTGTCCGATCCCAAATCCTGAACTGCGTGCGCGTTTGGGGGCTGACAGATTGATAATGGGAGGACGTGGCGACCAAAGGCAGGAGAGTTCAGAAATTGGCGGCAGAATATCAGTGGAAGTCAGGCTACCACGTCAACCTCTGCTCTTCCCACTCACACCAACGGGCGAGAGCTGAGCAGGCCAGCTGCAGAACTTGTCGACCGCCTGAGGAAGGTCCGCTGCTATGCACACTCCCTGCTTGCATGTCCGCCCTCTATTTGCGTTTGCATTTGCATTTATATAAAGGGGCTGTGATGAACTCATTGAGCATTTACACTATACAACAGAGTAGTCCTTGCGACTGTGCTGCAGTGGGATGGCAGACTGCACCTGCGCCTGAGATCTGGATCAACACGTAGCTTGCGCTGAAGTCAGTGAAATACATGTTTTGTTTCAAATCGCTCTTTTATCATTCCTTTCTGATCGGCGCCGCAGGGCACGCTTGCATCCTCCAGCAGCGGCAGTGCACAAGCGCCCGGGCCAGATTCGATGACCCAGCCCCACATACTCAATGGACCAGCGCAGCAAGGCAGCTCACAGGCGGTCCCTCAGCCAAGACTTGTGATGACGATGCCATCCATCCAGGCCTCTGCCGCACCGCTGAGGCCGCCTGAGGCCGCCACCGTGCAATCACACCTGCTCTCAGACCTGGGCGGTCCGACCTTCCACGCGCGCTCAGGTGCTGATTCATACTATCCTCCTCCGCATTTACCAGTAAGTACCTTGTAAACACCTCAGTTTAGCTGGGACTCCTTCGGAGGATATGCTGAGCACCAGTGCCATGCTGACCCTCGTTGCAGCATGCTTAGAAACAGATTTGCTCAAGGTCCCGAGCCAGGGCACTGTCTTGGCAAAGGACTACGCAAAAACTGCTGCTGAATTGGCTCACGCTCATGAACAGATCTGGCAGCCACGGCGCATGCTCCCCCACCGCCGCCACCGTCCAGGCTGGCCCCCCCGCCGGGGGTGCCTGGGGTGCACCAGGCGCACCACTCATCTGGCGGTGGCTTTGCCAGTCAGCCGCAGTATTCACCCATTCCTTACTTCGATTTTCCATCGCATGGAAGGTCCGGGGGAGGCATCGGCGGCCTGCCCCAGTACTCACCCATTCCGGAAGAGGTGTGAATGACACTGCAGCTGCAACGGCAAGTAATATTGGTAGAATTGCAAGCCATCTCTGCATGTGCCCCCACAGTGCTGTTCTAGTGCAGGCGGAAGTTGTACGTACAGCTCATAAGTGTGCCCCGCCTGGCGGGATCCGGTATTGATATTTGTGCACCGCGCCCATGGTAGATTGGGACTTGCCTGGATCTGGCAAGGCCATCAAGGGTAGGATATGTGGCAGCATGCAATTGCAGCTTATCTGCAGACGTATCTTTACTCTGGCAAGAACCCAGCCTGATATATATACACGAACAATTGTGCGTGGCTGATGTCACAGGACGGCAAGACTCCGAGCGGTGCCCTGCGCAAGATACTCAAGGTGAAGCGCGGCGGCCCGGCCGGCGAGGCGCCACCGGCCTTCAGCCCACTTCCTCAATACTCCAGCAGCCCAGCCTACGACCAGACCGGCAGCAACACCCTCCGGCAGATGCTCAACATCGGCCGCACCGCCCCGGAGGCCGGCAGCAGCGGCGGCGGCAACGGTGCCTATTCTGGCATCGATCGAGGGAACGGCGGTATCGGGAGCCACAGGAGCGCCTATTCTGGCACCGGCCTCAGCGGTGCTTACTCAGGCAATGGCCTTGGAGGTGCCAGTTCTGGCACCGGCAAGAGCAGAGCCGCCAGATCAGGTGGGGTCGGAGGGAATGCCGCTGCCAGCGGGAGTGGCGGGGGTTCTTATGGCCTGCCGGACAGCCTGGACCTGGCCATGGGATCACTGGACATAGGGTCTCATGCATCGCCTGCTCCTGCTCCTGCTCCTGCTCCCGTAGTTTCAAATGTGAGTCCTGGCTCTGTTGCTTATTGCCGCGTTGCAGAAAGAGGAAGACATGTATATTTTACAATAAGCTGGGGAGAAGTTATGTTGTAGAGCATGGTGCTACTGCCAGGTCCAGAGCCCTGTTCAATAGAGACATAAAATGGGGAAGAGGGGAGTGGGTGATGTGACATTAGCAGCAGCACAAATGTGCACTCACTTGGGCACCAAGTATTTAGATTGGAATTACTGGTACACACGCAGGCCAACCCTAGGAGAGGCCCCGGCCCCGGCCCCAGGCAGGATCAGACCTCAAGCCTGCCGCAGCCTCCGGTCAATGGCGATCCCTCTCAACGGCGCAAGGCAAAGCCAGTGCAGTCGGCTCCCCTGGAGCAAGCGGGCACGCCACAATCTCTGGCGGCAAACGTAAGCCCCAACAGACCAAGTCCCACTTACTTGCAAAATCCCCACCGTCGCCTGGGAATCTGGATTTGGGCTGGGCTGGATTTGTGTGAGGTAGTGACTCTTGTGCATACAGATGACCTTCACTGTAGTTTACGGCTGTCTACATCTTGCACTGTTGTGTGTGACATGATGTTATGTGATGTCCCAGGTCTGATACCTGTCCCTGATTACGTGTTACCTGCTGATCGATGATCTGGGTCTATATGCAGCCGGCGCGAAAGGGGCGCGGCAAGAATATGCCAACAGCGCCGAACCAGGGCGTACACCCAGCGGGCCCTCAGAGCAGCGGAGCCAGTGCAAACGGGGCCGCAGACAGCAACGAGGGAGCCACGAAGAAGCCGCGCCCCAGAAACAAGTGGAAGGTTCGCCGCAACGAACAGGCAAACGAGAGCAGGTATGTCTGTTTTGTCCCCAGAAATTGTAATTGGAATTGAATTTGAAACCGAATTCGAAGTTGAAGATGAAATTGAAATCGGTACTGAAAGCTTGCTGATGCAGGTGTGCCCGTCCTACCCAGGCTTTACTGCAGCTTGTCTGCAGATGCACCAGGCCTTTGGCAGGAAAGCATGTCATGAAAAGAATGGGTGACCGCATGCCGCTTAGCTGTGCTCTCTTAGTGAATGCTTTCGTCAAATTCAGATAATTCTGGCTGAGATGTGCTGACATTATTGCAGGGTGGCAGAGGGGAGTAGTGCGCAAGGCAATGGAGGCGCACCAGCTAGCAGCAGAGCAGATGGACCTGCGCGCGTTGTAGTGGTGCCTCGCAGGAGCGATGCTGCGAAAACCAATGCTGGAAACTGAAAGCGAACGATGGCAAGGGAATCAGCCTAGCAGCTTGGTTGATATATTCCAGGGTTGAATATCAGAGGGACATGGTGTGCAAGGGCCTGTGAGCCCCAGCAGCCCTAATGTCAGTCAGTTCAGTAGAATCCTGTTGATACATTCCAACGTGATAAGGGAAGAACTGTTGCAAAATCGGGCTTTAAAATATGAAATACAGTATGTGCATCAAGGCATGATGCCCAGGGTCAACTTGTCTTCGACAACCTGATCACATCGATGATATCATGATAGCGTCCGGTGTATGAACAATTTCCTTGAATGTCAGCATTTACTATAATAGGGTGGAAAGTTTCCACTGAAAACTGCGTCAGTATGCAACATAATGAAGAATGATGGCTTCGCCCAGACAGAGCCAGGAAGCCCCTAAGACGGGTCTGGCCAACCACTGCACAGATGATCAAACCAAGTCGCCTTCAGAGCGAGTCAAAATTGTGGGTCGCTTGTGCATGCAGATTCTTCCAGCTCTTTGCTTTACAGACAGCAATGCGCATCATTCTTCCTCCCTATATGTACCAAAGTTCCTCGTTAACAGGCGCACTTAATTTGCACGGAGACTTGCATGGTGAGAATGGCAGCAAAAAGTTTAAAAATTCCAAAAAGGTCAATTGGCCATTGTCGGATTCGAACCGACGACTTCACCTACTCATTTGATAGACGTCGGCAACCTTGCGGTCAGCCGTCGAGTCTACCCCTTACCAAGGGCTATCTTTGGTTGAGTGCGAAATGGCCTTCAGATGAAAATAATGGAATTCTTTAACACATATACCATTTACGACAAGACAAAGGAGACAAGCATGCGTAAAGCTGCAAATGTCTACAATCGCTCTAGTTGCGTTGCGAGGGCAATCAATTCTCTTCCGATGTATGCTGGTGCACGTGCCAGCTTTCAACACAACGGCAAGCCTCCTGGTTCGGAACCTACGGAGCTCACCCAACTTCGGATCATCACGCTCCTCCTACAAATATGTTCTTTGAATTCTTGTAACATAATGTAGAACTCTTAAGATGTTGCGCAGGTGCAGTGCTGCCTACCCTGAGGAGGCTTGTTTTAAACCTTTCTCTTCAAGGAAGCTGGGGGAAGCTCTCAGCCAGGAACGCCCTCGAAGACTGCAGCTCGGGTTCGAAATCTTTCTGATGAATGAAATCTGTCATAGATGAAGACCTCGTCCTAGTACATCAAATGAAGATGTTGTGACGATCCTGCAATATCAGGCTACTGAACCCTGTGCTTCATCGGTCCTGATTGGTCAAAGCGGTATCTGCCGACGGGAAGATCACTTGTCGTTCAAGGTTCGCGCAGGCAGAGAGGTCGACACCAAACAACAAAGTGAAATCTTATACGACATTACCGGCAAGGCTGATAGTAACATCCATACCCCGGAGGCTATGGGATCTTGATTAGAATTATTGGTGCTATCACAGCCGATCGCAGCAAAGTCGCCGATACCCGAACCCTTTTTGGCGCCACAGTAACATTTTTACAGCAAGCATAGGTGTGTCTTCTCTTCTGGAGAAAATCTGATCTCACAGGGTCGGCGTACTCCCAGAGTCATAAAGAAATCACCCTATCCTACCCTGATCTGGGTTCATCTTGCAGGCAAGATTGTCACCTGAAGCGGTTTTATTCTTGCTTGTAACTCATTAATACTGATCGATACAGGAACGAAGAAGAAAGGCGAGTTTCAAACCACGGCCATGAAATATGCAGGTCAGCTCACAGTCACAGCATTGCTCAATGCCCACCTTATTGGACTCGCCCACCTGGGAGCCTTTCTGACTTTGCCTTCAAACATTCAAGAATGGTGGAACAATGCCATCTTGCTGGTGAGTAGGGGTGTTTCTCTGCCTTCTGGCCGGCATGATCCATAGCACAAATGGCTCAAGCGATTGCACTGCAGGTATGCAACATCTGCTCCACCTTCAGCAAATTTTCAAAAGGCTTCACAGTGTGCAGATGTCAGGCACACACCAGTTAACCCTTGGAGGGACATAGCACATTTTGACAGCAGTGGGGTGTTTGCAGGCACGCCTATCAGCGATGCTGACCTAACAGCGTTCCGCGCAAGTCTCAGTACTCCCACTGCTTTCAGGACAGAGGTCTCCTATGCACAGGCCACACAGCTGGTTCCCGACGGCCTGTCACACGGCAAAGACCCTTTCTTCACTATGCCAGTCCCCAGGCGAGGGCTCATCAACTCTGAGAAACAACCTGATATCCATTGTGAAGGACACTGGTATCAAGACAAGCAAACAGGCTTTGCTGGGATATGTCCCTGATTGCTTGCTTTAGAATGTCTGACCCATCCCTGAAAACCACAGATGGGGGCGCGGAGCAGCGCGGTATTTAATGAGACATTACCCAAGGGAGTGATGCCGGTGGCGGGGCACAGTCAGCACGTGGGCGTGGCCGGCTTCACGCTCGGAGGCGGCTACGGATGGGGCAGCCGCTACTTCGGAGCCGCCACCGACAACGTGCTCTCCATGGATGTCGTCACCGTCGGGTGCGCAAATGCAAATGCAATTCAAAAGCAAAATTAAGTTCATGTTCAAAATTGCATTCGAAAGGTGGTCATGTGACGGTGCAAGAGCAGTGCTGTTTATGTGCCCAGCGCTGGCGGTTTGGGACCCTCCCAGTACGGTTTGCGATGCGGCAGGGGATGCCAAGATTCCTAGAATCTTTAAGAGAGCTGAGCTCGATAGCTGGGCAAAAGTGAGTTCCGGCTCAAAGAAGGCCAGTGCTGGTCGCTTCTGGATTTCTGGTGCTCACTGGGCATTGCAAGAGTACCAGGCATGAGGTGCCCAATGGCGGCTGACTCAATTAGTCCACAGCAGGGAGAAGTTACAATTGCAGTCAAGGACTGACTGAAGGTTTCTGCTTGCGACAGGCCAAGTCGCACGGCATCGCTTTTCCCTGTAAATTGGCTGACTCTTGGCTGTTTCAGGCATGTTCTGTGACAATCTTCCTGTAGCTATGGCTTCCAACGCACGCCCTGCTCGATCTGCCGCAGCCTCTCGCGCTCGGCCAGCAGGGCATCGAACCTGCGCAGCTCCTCGGCAGCTGCCGCGGAAGCTTCCTTCTCCTCTCTTGCCGCTGCATCCCTCTTTTCCGCCTCCACATCGATCTCCACCTGACCAGGCAATGCCATAACCCCGTCAAGCAGCAATTTTCAGTTAAACATGCGACTCCTGTCAAGACAGCACACCAATGATCCAGGAGCACTCTCTTGGTACAACCCGGGCTCGCAGCCTCCTCAACTTTAGCAGATCTTTCCTCAAACGCGCAGCATAACCTTTGCGGTGAAGATATATTCCTCTCATGATCGCCAGGAATGCTGGTGGGGGCAGGTAGACACTGATTCTCAATACACACCCTGCCATCCAGATTATGCCACGAACACACAGAGTATCAAATAGCACCTGTTGCACGTAGTCTCGAAATTAGCAAATCAAGCAAGCTTTCCAGCGCTGGCGGAGGGGAAAGCTAGGCCCACCTCACGACTCCTGCCGGCAGCAGGTCTCCCAGCCGCCCCCCTCGTGTTGGGGCCTGCCGAACCTGGGAGCGCGGATCTGATGAGTGTATTAGTCAGCGCCCAGCCTGCCGCCAAGCCTGCTCCCACCAGGGCCTGCATGCAGATAGAGTAAACAGTCAATAACAATCAGAACAGAAAATCAATCACATGCAGACATTGTCCCACATTTGTGGGCAGGCTTGCTTACATGCAGCAACACTGCACACACATGTTGAGCAAATCTGCATGCAGAAGGACGATAGGAAACCAGAGCACACAAATGTTGCAGCAGTCATGGACATAACGGAAACAATGGCCATTAACCTGATATCAGGCGGAACAAGCTGTGCATCAAGCAATTAGTCAAGACAAAATTGCGTCCTGACATTGTTGCAAGAGAGATGTGCATCAGGGACTTATTCTCACCAGGTTGAAGACAGAGGCGACAATGCCAGAGAGAACAAATGCTCCGGCAGAGAGGCCAAAGCCCAGGCCGCCCAGCATAAACGCGCCGGCTATGAGGGGGAATATGAAGAAGAGGGAAGCCGCGCTGAAGGTGATGGCAGCTCCTATCGCCAGCCCAGCCGTCAGCAGGCCAAACAATATGGGACCTGCAAACCCATGCAGCCTAATGAGCTCTCCACGCTCATATACTAACTCTGCCATGACCATGGGTGGTCATGATCAGCATCCTCAGCCTGGCATCACGCTCAGATAAATTGTGATCCGCCAAGCATGCAGCTGCATACTAATTCTTGCCTCTTGCTTGCAGACCTGTGGCCATCAGAGCTTGACAGGAACGCTTGTAACAAAGCAACACATAGTGCTTTGATGCAGGAGTGAAAAATGCGCTCACCAAAGAGCAGCGTAAGCAGGCCTAAACTGGCAGCGGGCACGAGCAGCGTCTGCCAGGCTGGCCGCTGCTGCAGCTGCTGCTGAACCGCCTGCCTGATCCTCTCCTGCTGCCGCTGTGCATCCCTGCTGCTGAAGGGGCTGCTGCTGAAGGGACTGCTGCTGCCGCCCGCTCCCCACCTGAATTCTTGCTTCGGGTCCCTCGGATCATAGCTGCAAGACGCGCCTGAGCTGCTCTGCCTCCTGCAAGTGCACTACATGTCTCAGTGAAGATGGAGCTCAGTGTCGGATCAAGCCATCGTGGGCGTATAATTGGATAATCTAAGTATAAGTACCAAAATGGGATCCATACTTTCAGCAATTCCAGGTGTCCAGTTGGAGATAGAAGCAAAATAACCTGACGTGTTGCCGAACACTCCTGCTGGAGACGGATGAACGCTTCACAGTTTGCAGTGAAAGCTTCTTTGGTACATGTGACCTTGCCAAGGCGCGATTAAGGGGCTCATGTCGGTAGCTGCTGCAGGAGAGCTTTCCAGAGAAGCTCTGACACTGCATTGAATATGACGACCTCCTTCTACAAAGCACAGGAATGGCACTGCTCCTCTTGAGAAATGAACAAATCTGGAGAACGTTCTTTACTTGTGTGTGAAACAGTCGAATTCTAAGGAGCCTTTGTGCAATTTTGAGCGTGCTGTCCTTCCAGACCCTCTTGGAACCCTAAGACACCTCAGCTTCCGAGGCTAGCATGCAGCTTGGAAGAGTGCTCAAAATCGCATCAGAAAATTAACTGCACTCCGATTTTAATATTACTGATTCCATTATCTGATCAGCGAGCACTTGCGTAGCTGGTTGAATATCAGTCGGTATCACGATGTGATCTGGTCTTGATCACTTCAGATGTAGTGGGATGGACATGATGCTGCTTTGTGCCTTCTTCAGTAGCACACGTCGCCCATAGCAAAATCATTCTCTTGGGCGTGCGCCGTCAGGAGGCCAGTGTCTGCAGCCTTGAATTTGCTCATCAATCCAGGTGAAGGATGGCGGCACAATCCTCCTCGATGACCTTTGACATCGTAGCAGTCTCTCTGGCGTGCGCTTGCGTCGCTTCGCTGTTTTCAAGACACGCTCCAGAGAGCTACATGGTATGGTATTGTCTTCTCTGCCGCTCCAACTTCCCAATGCTTTGCTCCATCAACAACTTGACGAGGACAACTTACCACCTCCAAGTACACTTACCTGCAGGATGAAATTTTCCACGTGCCTCAAACAGCCCGGTACTGCAAAGGCGAGTTCACAGAGTGGGACCCGAAGATCACAACCTTCCCAGGCCTCTATCTCCTGGGAGCACCCTATGGCCTGGCAGTGCAATTCTTGCAGGGCCTACTGCGACTAGCACCCAGGGATACTGTCTGCAGCACGGCAATCCTGCGCAGCCTGAATGCCCTGCTGGCAGCGGCCTTCTTTGGGGTCTTTGCAGCGCTGTATCGCAAGCTTCATCCTGAGAAGCTGCCGGAATTTGCCACTCTAATGGTGCGATCCTTGCCTTTTTTTATTGGTCCTGTTTACATTGCAGTGCAGTCATCACAAGGATGGATTCTTGCAGCAACTTCTAGTTCCCATGCATCCCCGCTTGATCCCGGACAGAGTCTGAGTTAGTGTATAAGCATCTCATGCATGCGTTTACAAAGTGATGCTGTCAGAGATGGTTGATTTTTGCATGCAGGCATTGGTGGCGCTGCTGCTGCCCACGCACTTTTTTTACGCGTTCATTTACTACACAGACGTTGGATCCGTCACATTCGTACTGGCGTCCTACCTGGTGTGCCCCCAGCTCTGTGAATCTATGAGGCTTGCTGCATATTCAAGTCTGCTTGACGCACTTTCTATGTGAGACAATCAAAGCCCCGTTGTGCACTTGGAGAGGATCAAGCATCATGCAAATTTTGTGCGCGCAACTGAGCTGGCTGGATTGATGTCAATGGTGGCAAGGCAGCAGCCACCATGTCGCCTGCACAAGTGCTTTTCGGTCGATCCAGTCAGCTCAAGTCCCGTGCACGTACATGTTACGTGCCGTGTGTGTATCAGATTTCTTTCATCCCTGGCAAAATCCTTGAACTAATGTCTGCAGGCGAGCCTGCACGGGAGGCATCACCTGAGCGCTGTGTTGGGAGCGCTTGCAGTGCTGTTCAGGCAGACCAACGCGGTATGGGTGGCCTTTATTCTGGGAGCCGCAGTGGTCAGGTGGGCCGCGGCAGGGGGCGGCGATAAGAGCCAAGGGGCGGCGGAGACATTGAGGTTCGAGCGGGCGGCTCCGGGGCAGCAGATGATGCATGTCATGCGCATGAGCTGGCTGGTGGGCAGAATATAACTTTTGCCAGTATGTCAGATATGTGCAGCATCCCAATAAGTATCAGAAGTATAGCCAAATTTCAGGTTTTGTTCTGCCATCATGAGGGCCAATATCAATCAGATCCTGCTGGGGAATATATGCATGTAGGGAAGATGCTTATTATCTTTGCCTAAAGTGGCATTGATCGGACATGAGTGCCTCGGAATGTGTCGTTGATAACCGAGCCAAGCCCTGTAATTAAATTCACATTGGAAATAAAATTTTGATAGGATAAGATGTGCAACAATTTGCAGCGGAAGTGGCGGCTGGTGTGGGAGCTGTGGAGCCTGGCGCTGGTGCCGGCAGCATTCGCAACGTTTGTGTGGGTGAATGGAGGGATCGTGGTTGGAGACCGTGGCAACCACACCCCTGTGCAGCACCCCATGCAAATACCTTACCTGCTTCTCTTCACTGCCGGCGCCCTGGCCCCAGTGCACTTCTGTCTTTCTAGGTGCAAAAGCTTCCTATTATTGCAGTTGAGCAGCGAATTTTCCTGGTGTTGCAATTGAGCGGTCAAGAGTGTACTTTAGTATATAGGTCTCCGAATGCGCTTTTGACCTTTCTAGAAAATGCTGTGCTTGCAACTGGCTTGCATAGATCAGGCAACTTATTTGCTGGCTTTGTGTGAAGCAAAGGAGGGCGCGCAAAAGAGACAGTAATGAGGCGTGCCATGTCATGCAGGCTGGGGGAAGCTTCGCGGCAGCTGCGCGCGTACATGCGAAGGGATGCCGGGAAGGCGCTGCGGCTGTGGGTGTCTCTGGCGCTGCTGACAGGATATGCGGCGCACCATTATACGCTCGCGCACCCCTTCCTGCTGGCCGATAACCGGTGCGGCGGGGAGTGATTAATTGGGGCTTCTTAGAAGAAAGTCTACATCTGCATGAAAAATCTGGTTTCGAGCGAGCCGATGGTAATCGTGTTGTTTATTTGGTCTCTTGAGACACCAAATGATAGTATTGATACTTCTGCTGTTGAGCAACAGATTGTGGCCCGTATTCTTGGATGCCCTCACTCAACTGCTCAGCATACGAGTTCAGCAGCAGAACCGAGGACCCAGAGGGGTGGCTGACAATCTGCTTCTTGCAGCCGAACCTCTTGGATCTGAGTTATCACCGCTGGTCTGTGCAGGCACTACACGTTCTATATTTGGAAGGATTTCATGGCGGTGCATCCGGCAGCAAAGTTCACGCTGGTCCCGGCGTACCTGTACAGCGCATGGAGCGTCTGGTGGAGCCTTCTTCAGGGGCGCCAGCCGCTGCTGTGGGTTCTTGGCCTGGCCGCAGCCTCCGCGCTCACGCTCATCCCCGCCTGGCTTGTCGACTTCAGGTGCTGCCTCCCTCTATTTATTTTGGGGTGATTATTGAGGGGTCTAGCTTCAAGGGATGGGATTTGGGGTGACTGACTCCCTGGCATTAGGTGCTCACTCTCATCCCTGCCTGGCTCGTTAACTTCGGGTGCTTCTCTCCCTCTGCTAGCTTCTTGGATATTTGAATTGTGTAGGATCAAGATCAAGAATGGGGAGTTTATAGGCATCCTTGGATATTATCAACTGTATTGCTTGCCTGGTGGGCTGTGCCTTCTGCAAGTGTGCAGCTGACATGCTTAGCTGTGGTGTCACAAGGAGTCTGATATTGGCTTTGAGGATCGATGTTGTGAATGGTGGAAGCACCATTGAGCACCATGCCCACAGTTTGAGTGGGTCTCACTCGGATCTGGCTTGCTCATCAAGGGGTAAGAATTGCGACAGCTTTACCTGCATCACGTCTGCAGAGTCCCCTTGCCTTTGGCAGGAACAGCTCGTAACTATGGTGAAGTAAGGGTTGCCAAATTATGTGATTGCGCAGGTACTTCACGGTGCCTTTCATGATGGTGCTGCTCCACATGAAGCCGCCCACAGCAGGGCAGGCAACGCTGACTCTGGTCATGTATGCGCTGGTCAATGTGGCAGTCTTATATGTCTTTCTTTTCAGGCCTTTTACGTGGCATGATGGGTCCACAGCCCGGTTCATGTTCTGAACAGATTGCTGTAGCAGACTTTCATGTTCAAGTTGATCTGATCGGCTTAAGTCTGAAAACATTTATTTAGATTTGCGACTTGCAATCTAAGTTCTGCCCATAGGTTACCATACCAAGGACCTAGGCATGCGAAGCTTCCTATGCAGGGAAGTTCGTCATTGCAATACTGTCACTGCTGCGGTAGCGCGGCCGGTACCAGTGAGCTCACCATGGATTAAGAAAGGGACTGCAGCTGGCAGTATCATCTGGGTGATCAATTGCAACAGCATAGCTCGGTGCACACCCCAAGCTTGCTCGAACACTGGGAAAAATCACCATCTTTCTACCTTTCCCAATTGCTTCTGCAAAGGAAGCTGCCCGCTACTTTGGGTGACCTATTATATGTTTCAATTAGTAATTTTATGGAAGATGGACCCTCGCTTGCAGAGTTTCTGGTCTCAAGAGATCTTAGCTCAATCGACTGTAAGTCCATGTGCTTCAACCAGTACTAGTAGACGTTGCCTCTCTGTTGGCCAATGATTGGTGGCATTTCGTTCTCATCATTTGAATGCTTGCAACCGCTCATCAATTACTGCAATCTCATTCTCATCCAGAGAGAACTGTAGCGCGCCAATGTGATCCTTGACTTGCTCCACAGACTTTGCCCCTGGTATGGGAATTGCGCCTGCGCGGCACACTCAGTAACACTGTCAACTCTCCCTCAAGATTATAATCTTGAAGGATTATAGCTTCATCCCATCGTTCCGGTGCGATGTGGGCCAATATAAACGGCCCTGCTGGCTGTGACAAGTGATTATGATATCATAATATGTAATAGTAATTATGATATCAATGTCTTGACTAATCGGGATTGCACTGCCAGGCCCACCTTTTCCCATGAGGTAAGCCAGGGCAACCTGCGTCACTGTCCTCCCCCCGGACATAGCGCCAATAAACTGGAGCAACTTGAGGACGGTCATTTGGTCCTTCGTGGCCTTCTCATTCCCCTGCTCAAGGGACCTTCCTGTGCGTGGAAAAGGTCATATCAGTAACACAAGATTGGGATTCGCACTATAAACTCTTGTCGATATCCAGAAGGATACATGGCAAGTGCATCTGCTAAGATGCGCACCTGTCAGAAGGCCCTGTCGCAGTGGTGAGTGAGCCACCAGCGTGACACCCAGATCCCTGCACAGCTGTAGCAGCCCAGTCTCCTCTACTTTCCTCTCAAAGATGTTGTATTTCACCTAGGAGGCAGAAGGTTCAGCCAGGTTACTTCCAAGATGACCACACCCCTTCACATCTATCACCCGATCACCTCCCAACACCCCATGCATGCAGAGGGATGGCATTACTAGTGTTTCCTGATGCTGCAAGAGGCAGAAGATCGCTCACCTGGTTGCTCACAACAGAAATGTTGCGCGCCGCCATGAGTGAGTGGAATTTCTTCAACTGATCAACGTCGTAGTTGCACACGCCCACAGCGCCAACAAGACCCTCGTCCACAGCTACAGCATCACAGACCAGATCAACGAATCTGACAGTTTGAGGCAATGGCAGTGGTGTAACATGAGCAAGGTAATGAAGATTAGCACACACCCTCTGCAAAGCCCTCTGCCAGGACTTCCTGGGAGTAGGCTGGGAAGGGGAAGTGAACTTGGTACAAGTCCACCCTTTCTATCCCAAGGCGTTCCAGGCTCGCTCTCAAGGCTTTTATGATGGCCTTCCTGCCCAGCCTGAAGCCTCCTCCAATCAGCACATTGGTCCACGGCACTGTGAAAAATTTGGTGCCCAGCACCAGTCGCTGATCTGATGACTTTGCCAGCCGGCCCAGGATCTGCTCACTAGCTGACCCCTCTTTCATGCTTTGGTATCCGTAGATCTGCAGACAAAACATATCGAATCTTCATAAGCGCATCGCTTAGACAGGTTTGCGTAGCTTTTTCTTTGAAGTTTGAGAGGAGTGCTGGTCAAGCAGCCATGAACCGGCAAAATTATAATCTGCTGGGGTATAGCTCACCTCAGCCGTGTCAAAGAAGTTGACACCGCCAGCCACAGCAGTGTCAAAGACTTCTTTGAGTTGATCCTGCCACAGGCATGACGAGGTTTTATTGGCATCATCAGCTGCTACAAACCCCCCCTGCCGCACTGGGAATGTGATAGCCAAAAGAAAATTATGTCCGCAGCTGTCCCCTACCTCACTGAACCTGCTGCCATATCCCTGCTGTGTATCACCCCACTGTAACGTGCCCAATCCCAGCTTGGACACCTGGAGATCGCTGCGACCGAGCTGAACTTTATCCTGAACGCTTCCTGCACGCACGTGGGTGTATGAGCTAGTTGGCATGTTGCAATTGCAAGGGAGCAATTTCTCGTGAGACAGCCTTTGTTAAGTGAATAGGCTGGGAAACAACAACTTTTTGGTGAGCTCCAAAAGCGCTTCAAAGTCTAGCTGCACTGATGCTCCCTGAGGCTAGAGCTACCTTGTGCAGCGTTGGACAGAAGCAATGATGGTCGTCTCCTGCCACATTTTAGCGTCTTAGACGCTTTTCTAAGAGTATTTGAGCCTTTGAATGCATGCTGAGGCTGTCCAACTTTCACACAACGGCCTGGCATTGGGTATGTGTGTGCGTCGGTAGATTTATTGTCGGGCCTGATTGACAGATATTCCTCAATCTAAAATCACGTTTTATGAAGATTGACTGCTAGGATCACCTTGACTCTCTCGAAACAATTCCACGTCCAAAAGACTTCTCCGTGACTTGTGAGATTCTGCAGAACCTGGTTCCGGAAGTTAGGTCGACAGCAACAAGGTACATTGGATTCAACGAGCGAAAGCAGGTGCACCAGAACTGTAGCTTTCTGATCTAGATCCTGATGTGCTCAGCAACATCCTGCTGCTTATGTGTCCAAAGTCACTGGCATCCTTTCATGCACATTGAATTTTTCATTTAGAAAGCTGTTCGAGAAATTATCTGTGGGAGCGATTATGTACACAACGATGGAAGAAATGCAACAAAATTTTCTTAAGAAAAAACCAAGGTACAAGATTCTTGAATTGCTTGCAAGTGGATATCATGGTATGGCCATCGTGGATCAGGGCCATTGCTGTTCACCAGGTCGAGCACTAGGAGAAGGAAGCGAGCGTTCAGCTGGAAGCTTGCTGGAATGGACCTTTCTGTACGGGAGGCAGAACAATTGGAGGGAACCACAATTTCAGGAGTGGGACATCCCACCAGACAAAGAAGGAGATTTTATTTCAGCCCTGCACCCATTCATACCCAGCGTCGTGCACTGGTCTTTGCCAGGGGGAGAGATTCAGCGTAAAGCTGTCGGTTGTGCCGATAGCGCTCAGGTGAGATCAGACTAAATGAGCACCTACATGTGCATGTATGAAATGATGTGCTGCTTGATCAACTGAGTGGTGTTCTGCTATTGCTGCCAGATTTGGCAGCTGAAGGAGAACACTCACCCCAAGCTAGTGCTGCGGAGCATGCGGCAGGAAGAAGAGCACACTTTGCAGTGATTGCACCTTTACCAGGGAACAGGATTGCTACCGGTTCGCATGCTGGTGCAATCCACTTCCTCCATCCAAAGGATGGCGCCGAGCTGGATTATGGCGAGCTACAATGCTCAACCATCCTGCAGGCCAGCACGTGAGCACTTTCAGCTCCCCGATGTACCTTTTGATCATTTTTTAGAGACATTCTGACAAATCGACAAACGTTGGCCTATACATACCTCCGGCAAATTGCTAAACTAATTCAGTCCTTCTGAGAATGTGGAACATGCATGAGCATACGTGCAATAACGGGCCTTGCGAATGACAGGGCTCCTGTGTAGACGTGTACTACTGCCCGGCGAACAAGAGGCTGTACACAATGCACGATTGTGCGTTCCATATGCTGTCACCCATTGGTCAGCGCAATGTGCTGCAAGCCGTGGATGTGGAGTCGCAGACTGTGGTGGCCAGTGCGTATGAGTTCAGTGAGCAGTATGTGGTCATCTGCATGGCCCCCTTGGGCCCAGTCAGCGGACTGGCGCAACGACGGCTTGTGGCGGTAGCAGTGCACGGAAGTGAGAATTTTCCCAAGCTCACATCTGGGGGCTCATCCCTATCATTAGTAAGTTACTAATATTAATCCTTGTGCCCATTAACGCAATCCACGCCCTGTAGAATTGCATTCATGCACTGTTCACATTGCCCAATACCTATCCTAATGCTGAGCACACACCGCGACGCCTTCGCCCTGGCATAACTCTCTCTTATTCTAAATTACCTAGGCTACAGAAGATCTGAAACACCCATCTAAGCACGTGCTCGCGCTCTCTAGAACCCGCATTTGTGTCTAAGACTTCTTCCCGGCTCACAAACTTGACTATGCTTCACATCATGAGTCTGCCAGATTGGCTTCGACATACTCCTTGGCCGCTTGCTTGACATGCTCAACACCGGCCGCATCGCCATGGGTCTTCTCAAAGTCAAGGAAGCGCTTGAACAGAAATTTCATCTTCTTGGGCGGCAGCGACAGGTGTGTTGCGCGCTCAAATAGACTCCTCGCCCGTTGCCTGTCTCCCGCGCGTATCTCCTGCGCATGTCAAGGGCCGGTCATGCACTGAAACATTGACAAATCGATCCAACCATCCTCTTCTTTTCAGGATTTTTACGTTCATCAAAGATCAGTTCTATCGAGCAGGACCTTGCCATCTCCAAACACACTGTGAATCAACTTTGGAACTTTGGCACAACCGTGGTAAGTTTCTCCAATGTTGCCTAAGTGTCAGAGCTTGCGAAAAGAAATCTCCCAATGTATCTGTATCTGGCAAAGTCCTGAGATTGCAATTGACTCAGCCTGAGGCAAGCACTGATTGTTGAATTGGCACTGTTCCCATTACTAAGTGCATGCAGACTAAGAAACAGCAGCAACATAGAGATTATAAAATTGTGAGCAAGGCACGTGCCTGGTCGAGGTAGATGCTCCAGAGGTCGAGGCGTTTGGGGTAGTTGCGCAGGATACCCTCAAACACTCCTCGGCCGCGCTCCGGGTCACCCTCCTTGAACTCCATCAGCGCCGCCTGACTCAGCACCTGACCAGCGCAGCAGCAATCTTTATCAACCCTAATTCCCTTTCCCTCTTAGATTTGTCAGGCTATTCCATCACATGGTGTCCTCCGTCCGGACCCTTCCCAGCAAGTAATTCAATTCCTACTGGAGAGAGAGAGTGCTGAATAGCCAGTTCGCATTATTGCAAAAGCAGGCAAACAAGCTCAGCTGGCAAAAGCATTCGCCATGATCTCCTGTCCGGCACTAAATCAACCTACTCAAACTTTTATTGAAAGTAAGGGCTGCACATGGCCTTGCAGTCTCCAAAGCCATGTGCAGGCGTGCAGTGACGCCACCTTGATCCCAAGCTTGCATTGCAGAACAATTCATGGGCAGATCAAAATCTAAAGAGCCCAGTGAACGCGCCCCACCTTGATGTGCTTGCGTGCCGGCAGGGCTCCGATGGCGCGGTCGAGCGCCCGTCTCGCGGCATTCCCGTCATTACGGCCCAGGTCGTACCCGTAAGCGCGCAGCCACACCTTGGCGCTGGCCCAGTATTTGCGCGTCATCGTGCGCAGCGTCTGCTGAGTCAGCTCATCCTGGTGTGGGCACAATCTTTATCAACATGACATACAGCGGACTCGCGCTCTGCTTGCTTCACAAGAGTGGGGATGCCAGCGTCAGAGCCAGCAGAGTTGCAAGAAAGGATAAGAAACAGTGAGCCAGATTTGCATGCATGTGCCTGTGGTGATTCCAGCTGCAGCAATGGAGCTCATCACGTCACAGATATTTACCGGAACAGCTAGCACTAGCCGGACTTGCGCGTGAGCTCACAGTCGACCGGCGGTGTCGAGAACCTGGGGCTGGTTGCGATTACTCTACGGGTGGCAATAAGGGCCCTCGCGACTACTGTCAGGGTGACCAAGAGCACGATATAAAAGGCTCCATACCCGCGCAGAGCGTTCAAGGATGGTGAGCAGCGCGAGGTAGAGCTTCTTCTGATCGGTGTGCGGCAGCGCCTTCTGGAACAGCTTCATCAGCGCCTCGTCCGGCGGCGAACCGTGCAGGTTCTCCAGATTCAACCATGCCACCCACACGTTCAGCTTCTCCCTCTCCTCCCTGTGCAAATTCAAATTCAACTTCAAGTTCGAATTCAAAATTCAAGTCCTGGTCGATGCCGCTCACCGAACATTTTCATTCCTGGACCAGTATGTCCTTCACACTTCTAGACCTTTCTGCTAGAGCAATTTGAGAGCTTTGTTGTTGCTGCCACAGCAGCACCACAAAAGAAGGGCCAGGGCAGAGAGCAGCAATGCATTCGCAGGAGCGTGGAAGCGTGAGAAGCAGTCTCACGGCCTGAGAGGATATGACCCGACAAGGTCCCTGCTTTCTGTGGCGCCTAGCATGCACGTGTCACTTTGCAGATAAGTTCATGCCATCCGGTAAACTTTGCTCACTTGGCTCACTTTGACCACAAGGGAAGCAATTAGAGGAGGTAATAGGCACCTGAAGTGCAGTGACATGCTCACTTGACCACAAGGGAAGGGCTAGAAAAGAAGTGATAGGCACCTGAAGTTGATGGTTTTGAGGGCGCGGTCGGCCACGCCGCGGGCCTTGTCGATTTCGCCGACGCCCATGTGGAATGCCATATAGCGGATCCACACGTAGCTGCTGCTGGGTGACTCCAGCACCTTCACATGGAAAGATCACATGAGCATCTTCCCTTGGACTGACGCAATAACATGTAAAACCACGAAGTGACACATCGATGCCACCGCAGGACCACAAAAGCTAGAAAAGGCAACATGGCGGCCTTCTGAATGCCACAGGCAGTGGTTGAAACAGGTGCTGGCATCACCTGTCCCAGCTAATGGGTACTGAGACATTCATATAAATAATACGCAGTGTTGGGTCCATCAAGGGACCAGGCAAACAAATGCATTTCCGCCAAGCAGCATAAGTGAGACTTCCAAGCTTGATTGTGTCCAGACAAGAGGAAGACATCTGACCAGGCGCTCGAAGTCGACTTCAGATTCGGGCGGCGGCTGCTGCAGCTGTCGCAGCTCGGCCGCGCGCACCCGCTCCTCTTCTTCCGCCTTCTGCCGCCGCCGCTGCCGCTTAGTCAGCGCCCGGTCAGCCGCCACGTCATCGCCTGCACATGCAGCTGGCCATGACTTGCAGTCCCTTGACATGTTTTTGCAATCTCATCACTCACGGTGCACAGTATAAGAAAGGCCCGTCCCAGGCAGAGACGGCCTAGTGTTTGCCGAGACAAAATTTGACAGACCTACAAGACCAAACAAATAGCGATCACAAAGTTTTTGTGACCACTAACTCGACGACCTCAAGATCTTTCAATTTCTGCATTCATCCTTGCTAAGATTATTGAAACATACCATCCGCGCCTGACTTGGCAGCATCTGCGCCGGCGTCCTCCTCCATCCACCCCACACCCTCGCCCAAGCCCAGCTCCAAATCAGGCTCATCTGCCCACATGACACCCAGTCAGCAAATGCTAGCACCAACATCTCTGCTGTGCACATTTATGAACCCAAACTGAGTTACATAACATGATGCACCTCGGACACTGCACATAGAGAGCAAAAATAAAAGGGTCGGATTAGATACTATGGCGTCTTCCAGAGCGCCTGACATGTGTCTACTTCTTTAGGAGACACACTGAATGCTTTGCAGAACTAACATATAGAGAAATAGCTCATAGAGAAAACTTGGGTACATGTCACTTACCAGCAGAGATGCCTGCGTCTGCTGCCGAGCGTTTGCGCCCCTTGGTTTCATCCCCGGCAGCGGCGACTGCGGGCGGCTCCTCGTCGACGTCATCGCTGATGTCAGCCTCATCCATGTCAGCATCCTCGCTTTCAGCCTCTGCTGCCTCGCTGCTCTCCTCCTCCTCTACTTCGTCACCTCCTGAAACATCGCTCCCATCCCCTGGAACAGGCAGTTGCCTGAGACACTTCATGAATAATTCACGCTAGCGCCTCCTCCCAACAGGGATTTATGCAAATGATAACAGTGGGCTATCAACAGGCTGCGCCACTTATTTGAGACAGTAAAAACATGCAGTCATGTGTACACTGGGCAAGATCAGGTCCTGCATGCTTCAGCTCCTCGAACCATAATGTCCATCTACCATGTACTGTACACTGTATACATAAATGCACGATTAGCAATCATGGCTGCACCGCATTTGTGCTGCTCCTCTATATTCAAAGTGCATCTGAAGCCAGCAGGTGCAAATAAGGTTTGATTTGAAAAGGTAAACAAAACTCACCGTTCAGGATCTGGGCCCCGGCGCGCCAGTCATCCTCCTCTTCGGATGAGTCATCCATCGCCTCTAAGACCTCAGCATCGATGTCGTCATTGTCGTCCTCTGCCGGCGTTCCCTCCTCCTCCTGCGCCTGATCTGGCTCCTCCCCGTCCTCGTCATCGTCGCCAAAGTAGGACGGCTTCAGCCCCAGCGACAGCCGCTGCGTCTCGGCGTCCACGCTCAGCACCTTTGCGCGCACACCTGCACAAAAAATCAAAGCCTCAATCAAGCAGCACGTCACTTGTAGAACCGCCCCAAAAACGGTGCAGAAAGGCAAACAGTGCGCAGTAGGCGGTGAGATATGAGCCGTTGACCGGCTCGCGCAGATGCAAGGGTTTTGCAGACACCCCAGTTGATAAAAAGTGCGTACATGTCCTAAAAACATTCATTCTTAATCCCTTGTCATCGCTCAGCGCAGTGCACAGGAGAGAATGCAACACCAATGAAAGGCGCTTCAATGTATCAGTATGCAGGGTGGGTGTGCGACTCGCACGCTTCAAGTCCACCTGCCAGCGCCGAGTAGGCGCTCGCTAATTACACCCTGCCCCGGCAGCGGGGACACACAAACACCCTTTCCCGATGCCAGCATCATCAGTAATCACCCTTGACCAAAGCAAAGAGCAGCACGCGCCCTACCCCGGCGTAAAATTACCGTCCATACCTCCACTCACCAGGCAATGGAGACAGTCCGCTTTTGTCAGCCAACAACAAAGGGATTACAATTCAAGGAGGTTCCCTCAACCTGCCTTTGATTGAACATAGTTACTGGGTGCCCACCCGCCATGCAATCATGGAGTGGTTAGTAATGATGACAAGCGAGAAGCTGGGCGTACCCTGTCCGGGCTTGAACATGGAGGGCAGGTCGTCCACGCGTTCGTCCGCCACCTCGCTGATGTGGGCCATGCCCGTAACGGCGCTGTCGTCGATCCGTATGAAAACGCCGAATTTCTCGGCCCGGCGGACCCGGCCGCGCACGACCTGGCCCTCGGTGAAGTCCTCCAGCGTCGCCCACCCCTTGCTCTTCAGCGACAGCTCGATCCTGCGCCAGCGTGAATAACAAGATATATCAAGAATGACCTTATAAATAAAGAATCAAAGTAAAAATTGCCAGCCCCTGCTCTTCATCCCCTGCGCAGACAAGTCAGTGTCTGCCACAAGAGTGCGTCTTTGGGATGCCAGCCCTTGCTCTTCAGCTACAGTTTGAACCTGCGCCACGGGTCATGACAGGAATATTTCCAAGGATGCTTGCATTCAAATGAGCATTTGAAAAAGGGATGCCAGCCCCCGCTCTTCAGGTGGCATTATTGCGCTGCTAAGACAGCATGCATACAGCCATGACCAGTCGAGTCCATTTATATACAGAATACCAGGCCCGACACAGAGCCAAGAAGATAGAAAGCCCTCACCTGTTGTGCTCGGTGGCGAGGATGCGGCCTCGCACAAGCTTGCCCTGTGGGAAGGCTGTCTTGGGGTCCTCCACATAGCCGTCTGCCAGGTTGTTCAGCTTCACTCGAGCTTCCATGTCCCGAGCCAGAGCCACAAACGCTCCAGCACTGCTCACGCCCTTCACATAGCCGCGCACCTGTTGCCCAAATGACAAGAGCTCATCAAAACCTTGCGTTCCAGAATTTGACATGCTTGCGGGGAAATTTTCCTGTTCACAACGATTGCTGGCAAAAGGCTCTCGCAGGCCTGCTCGCTTGATCTCTTTCTTCAAGGTTCAACGTTGCGCATTCATGCGGTGTCTGGCCAGCTCTGCTCATGTCCGACAACGAAGCCCCAGAGTGAGTGGTGTTACCAAAAACACAGTGATCACTGTTTGGCTGCCTTTGCTGCTTCAGCAGATATCCTAAAAGGAAAGTTTGCTTCTTTGCAGTTTGACAGCAGGCTGCAGCGAACATACTGTCCATCTACAATCTGTGCAAGATAACAATGCGAGCAATAAAAGTTAGGATATGTTTCCTCCTACCTGCTGCCCGATCTTGAGGTCTCCAAGGCTGATTGTTTCTGGGGCCGCTTCGTCCGCCGCAGCCGCAGAGGCAACGCCCCCTCGCAACGCCCCCTGCGAAGGCCGCAGCGACAGCTGCCACACCGCCTCCTGAGCACCCTCTGCACACAACAAAACCCCATTTTCACGCCCTTGACTCAAGGGAAGGGAAGGCTGGAAAGCAAGAATGCAGGCGTTGCATCCCATTGTGAGTCCTTAAGTCTTAATATCTTGTGAAGTTTTGTAATATCCCGTAATGATTTTGCAGTCCGCCACCATAGGCCCAAGCCAACACATCTCAAAAAATTTTATACTAAGAGCTACTTGGGTACCTCTCAACAGGCACCGAGAAAGCTTAGTCAGACACATTTGACGCCAGCCGGTAATCGAGCCCAACTTCACTCACGTGTTGAATATCTCGTTGAATAGCCAAGCAAGGGGTGGGCCAAAGTGCACCTGTTCCTTCCTTGGTGCGTTTCTCAGCGCCCTTGTCTTCAGCCCGCCCAAGCACGCGGCATCGCACGAAATCCCCGGCCTTGAGGGATTCAATGGCGTTCTCCACGAAGCCGTCGTGGACGTCTGTCATCGCCACGTGGCCCGAGGCGTGCCCTGCAAGATGCACCCTGACTCCCGCGCCTGAACAGGCAACAATTGCTTTGTCAGATGAAATTTGCCACTCAACCATGGTGCATCGTGCGTTCGCAAATGCACATATAGGAGTAGGAGTGCGCTGTGTCACGTGCCATTGCTAGCAAGTCATCTGTGCTGCAATACTTTCAGAAAGGAAGGCACACACTGCGACTGGGAAGCACACAGAGGAGTGCTGTGCAGCACATAAAAATGCAATAGCACACAGGGAAAGGAAGGGGGTAGAATATTGCTAACACTAAGCATAGCAGGAGGGGGGTGCACCTGAGACGTGGGTGATCTGGCCGTTCACCAGAGCGCCGGCTTCCACTTTGGCGGAAGCTGCGCCGGGTTCCCTCAGTGACAGGTCCACCTGGCCCCGCTTCTTGTCCACCTGCACATATTCAGCCGCTATGGTGAGAAGAGAGAATTCGCGAGCCACAAGTCACGTAACAGAGATCAATCAAAAATGGAAGACAAACAGTAGACTGAGGGCTCTCACTGAGTAGAGAATGCTTGCAAGCAGCAGGCTCTCTTCGATCAAAGCCAAACAGCTGACGCCATCATTTGAAAGGACAGTAGCTTGGAACAGTAGCGATCCCTATAAAGGGAACGAGGAAAAAGAACACTTAAATCTTCAGTGACACAGTCATTCCAATTGTCCTTCCCGGCAACACCTGCACAACTCTGCAGCGCAGGGATTGGCCGACAGTGAAGCGGCCGCCGAACGCTGCGAGTTGGGTGACATCATCGGCAGAATCCAACGCATGCAGCCGTCCACGCAGGGCAGGAGAGAGAACGAGCCAGGCACAGTCCGGCGCCGTCTCCTGAACGTACCTGCCGCGGGCACCAAAACGAAGTCAGAGTGAGCAAGCAGGTTTATGGACCTATGGCACCGGTCTTAATTGTCCCAGTGCCTGAAAACCGGGTCCCTTCAAGTTGAACTCCACCCGTGAAATGGGAGGATGTGAGCAACATGTCTTAGGCATGCCACGATTTGTTTCATTTGAGTCACAGAGAGCTCAAATTACACTTGTGTATTCTAGACATAACCCTGCAGGCAGGAATTTTTCTGCGTTTACAGTGGTCATGTGGAAAAGCACAGGCTGTCTAAATAAACACTAATGCAGACGTACAAAAGGTGCACCACTTTTCTGTGGGACAGGCAGTCATCATTTACTGGGAGAGGAAGGCTCACCCCCGGACTGTCTGCCCCTCTTGCAGGTCGTCCACTGAGAGCATGCCAGGCTTAGGCGCTCCCTTCTCAGCCGCCACCAGCGACGGCCGCAGGCTCAGCTCCAGCAGACCATGGTTGCGCCCCTGCACCCAAACAAACACCAGCAATCTCAAATAACAAAGCACGGCACTGTTTTCTCACATGACAATTCGTGGTTGCTGTCCATGCTGACGGTCTTGCGCTGGTTGTATGTCATGGAGAGGACTAGGTTGCAGTCATGAGGAACTCCTTTCGTCTTCCAGAACCCAGTCATGAGATAAAAGGCACCAGCCTCATGCCGAGTTTCTGCCTTGCACCTCTTTTAGCGAGAAGCATACAAGCACGAGTCTATGCCTGTTGTGCTACGCCTATTTGCAGGTCAAGTGGCGCGACAGGCTCTCACATATTTGGTGGGGACCAAGCCCAGCACAGCGGCTTTGACGGAGTCCCCGGCCTTCAGGCGCTCAAGGGGGCTAGTCATGGTGGCAGGGGCGGAACCATCCTCCATCTCTGTTATGTGTATTCGTCCCCTCGCGCCTGTTGTAACGAAAGACAACCTCAGGCTACATGCTCAATATTCTGATTATGCAATGTAGCCCTGCCGCTGCATTGCCACGCAAGGCACAACCCTTCAGTGGCCAAAAAATACCGAAACGCCGATAATAATAGACAGAAAGGCTGCGGGAAAACCAAAAAAGCCACCGGGGCTGCGGGAACTGCTTGCGGGCATGTAAAAATATTGCAAGTTTCATTGGGTGCGGATTTATGGTGCTGACTCCGATAGATGGGTCTCTTGGTGTGGAACCTGAGCCCCATCCCTGCCCTTGCAGGGCTTGCATCGATAGATCAGAGCAGGAATGGCTTACCAAGGCAAGCATAGCACTGCTTGCACATGACTAGAGATGAGAAAATTATGCTTAGGTATTCAATATCTGCTTTAGCCTCAGTCCTAGATAATCATTCCAGAGAGGACAAAGTCCAGAACAGATGAAATAATCTGCCAGCAGTTTCACAAGGCTAAATTGGCAAATTGGCAAGGCTTTATGCTGACTTTTTTGTAGTTCAAACTTTGAACTTCAAAGCGATGCAAGTTTGCATAGGCGAGTAAAATAGACAAGATGTGCGCACCGCTCTCAAGTTCGACGCCAGCATGCGTGGCATGCATGTTGGTCACTTTTGCGGCGACGATGGTGCCGGGAGGAATCTTGGCCGGCTTGCGCTCGCGCTTTTCCCGGGGAGCCGCCGGTGAGTCACTGACAAGCGGCACATGCACAATTGTGCGTCCGCCTGGTTCAGGCAACAAGAGCATGTAAAAGAGGGTGGGAGACATCATAGATATCACTGCAGTTACTGCCTCGAAAGCTGGGGCAACTGTGACTACGTCATAGCACAAGATTGGCGGTTTCAGCAGTGATGTCGGGTGGAAGTCTTGGCAGCTTGTTCAGCAGCGGGCGCAAGCCACTTGCATTACAACATGCGCATAGATCCCCAGAAGCTGACACTAATCTTCTATGCACTGCCCAACTTGCTGGAAAATGGCAGTATTATGATATTCCAGGACCTCTGAATGCTCAGTAGCTCAGCGTAGTATTCTGAGCAGGACAGAAGCGGGCGCACCGTTCTCTGGAGAGGCCTGTTCCACAACGACAGCTGATATTTTCTGTCCGGGTATGAATTGGCGGCTGTTGTGGGCTCGGCTGCCGAGGTTGAAGTCGCTGGTGGCTGCAAAGGCGATGGTCTGCTGCTGAGCTGGCAGGCTGAGGACCAGGTAGTCATCCTTCACTAACTCCACCACCGCCTCCACCTTGGCTCCCACCTGACAGACAGCCTACAGTCTTCATCCCTTGATCTATTCAGTTTGCACTCTTGTCGTCTTCCTTCATGTTTACCCATTTTTTTATACCCCAAGAGGACACTCTCCTGAAGTGGTGCAAGCGTTACACCGAGATGCAAAAAATTCCACGAACGAATTGATGCATGCATTGCGAAGCTTGCGCCACTCTAGGAGCAGCAACCACTTGAACATGCTCAGACGGCTTTGAATCAATGGTCACGTACATGATTCCAACATCCCAGGGAGCAACAGCTTGGAAAGAAGCGGATCTGCACATCTCAAAGATTTTGTTAAGTTTATAAACGAGGTGAGTCACCTCCGGCAGGGCTGCTTTGGCGGCTTTGCCGGTGGCCTTCTTGGGTGCGCCAGCGACTAATGACGCCTTCAGGGTGAGATCCACGATGCCGTCCTTCTTGTTGACGTCCAGAATCCGGCCCTTGATGCGCGTGCCCGTTGTCGCCTCACCTTCCACCTGCGGCAACTTTAAATATAAAAATAAAACTAAGAGCCTGGAGGTCGTCAGTATCCAGATCAGGCCTGCCAAGATGGGGACCAGAGAGATGGCGCCAGAAACGCAGCGTGGCTTGGGCACTTCTACCCCCAAGACAATAGATAAAGACACCCTATTTTGCAGAAGGTATACTTTCAGGAACATGACGCCAACCACGGGTGGTGGTGATGGCTCTGCATCCTGAAGCGTTGGGTGACAAAGTGCATACCAAACAAATCCAAAATTCCTTGGCGCAAGATAATCGTATGGCGATGAGAAACGGTAAATCAAGCATCATGATGCAGGTTTCACCCTAACCCCACGTGGATTGTGTTAGTCACCGTCCTGCAGTCCATCAAAAACCCTGAAATGTCATCCACCCTTGCAGTATCAAAACCCCCAGCTGGCCGGGGGTGGCGAGAGCAACGACACCTGCATGCGCCCCCAAGAATGTTGGAGATTATACACCCCTGAACCCTAAACACCAAACCCTTATGCATGCGACGTCTATACAGATTTGCAGTCCTCCAAGACGCTGAGAGGTCACACACCCTTGATTTATCGATACCTACACTTGCTCGGGGATAGCGAGAGCAACGACGCCTGCATGCGCCCCCAAAAATGTTGAGAGAGTATGCACCCCTGCACCCTAAACACTAAACCCTTCAAATCCCCACCTGTTCGGGGGCAGCGAGAGCGACGACATCAGCATGCGCGTCCAGGTCACACACGACGCCGTACTCCTTCACGTCGTGCACGGCGCCAGCCGCGCGGCCGCCGATCGCCAGCTCAGCCCAATTCACCTGCTCCGTGCTGGGCTCCGCAGCGCTCCTGCTCGAGCCCAAAAGACACTTCAGTGCTATGACTGTTTGATTCTAAAGCTTGCAAAGTTACACTACAATATGCAATTCTAGCATGGAGGAGTGGAGATGTGCTTCACAGCCCGCAAGCCTTCCATGCACAGTGAGACTGAACGCTGGGCTCCGCTGCGTTCCTGCTCGCGTTACAGCGCGCCGTCACAGCCATCACTATTGTCCTGTTCAACCTTCTTAAGCTCCATTTGAGAGTGTGCCTTTCTGATGAGGTGCAAGCATCGAGTTGAGCCCCATTGCCATTGCTCTCCTGCTGAGAGATATGCGTTCTGACTCAGGCTCAGGGGGTGGTCAGCGATTAGGGTGCAAACTGGGCATCCCTGTCAAAGGTAGCCGACTGAAAGGTACGTGGCAAGCCACCAGTTCAGGGTCCTTCAGGTAGATCCAAGGGTGCCATGTAAGGTCTTCTTGGATGCCAGGGCAAGGGCCACAAGTTGGAGCACGTTCCGCATTGCGCATGCATTTCGTGCTGGTTTGCTGATATTGCATCTTCTTGATATGCTGCTCAAGATCCCAGCAGACCCGGCATACACAGTCGACTACAGGCCCCAACCTATGGCGCTAACCCACACATGTCAGGTAAACTCCATCCTATGTGGTGGCTTGCCATGCAAACAGAAGACAACGCCAGCTAATTAGTGCTCCTCTGGCTCGTCGAACCCGCCAAGTTGGCACGAGATAATCTTGAATACATCTAGAGACAGCTGCGAACAGGCTGGCCAAAAGCGAGTGAAAAATAGTGCGCGGGAGGTGGCCGCTGCTTTGCGGCCTTGAAGTCGGCAAAGAGGGAACGCGCGTGCACGGATTTGACCAATATTTGCACAACCTAACTAAGATTCAAATCTTCGGATTCAAATCTCAAATTAAACCACTTTCAATGTGGCCGCACCGGATGCGCTCGGCGGCCTTAGCGAAGAGGGAACACCCATGCGCGGATTCAGACAATGGGCTTGCGCAGCCTGACTAAACTCCAAAATTCAAGTTCAAGTTTCAAATTTGACTTTTGAATGCGGCCGCACCGGATCCGCTCAGCAGTCTCGAGGTCGGCGAAGAGGAAACGCGCGTACGCCGCGTCGGGCGCCCCCGTCAGAGAGTGCTTCAGCGCCACCGTGAACCGCTGCTTCGCCAAATCAACGGTTACAACCGCCGCGCGCACGCTCTGGCCCTCGGTAAAGTGGCGTGACGGATCGCTGACGAACTGATCCGCCAGCTGTGCCAGGCCTGTGACAAATACAAATCAGAGGTCAGCGCTCGGCGCTGCACGCATGCTGAAGTTGAGACACTTGTTGATGTCTGAGAAATTCAAGGCCATTTGAAATCAGACTACTTTGCTGCTGTCAGAGGCTACGCAAAGTCAGTCTTGGTACCATACATTCTTGCGGCATGGAATATACAGTTCTAAGTGCCAGGCCTGTGCAGGTATTGAAATACATCTTAGTATCTCGTCTGCATGCTCGAGCTCACACTTCAACAGTATCTGACAAGTGGGGCGCTTTGACATGGACTCCGGCACCACTGCTGCATGCACGAAGAAGTCAGCTTCACCATTTCCAGGAAGGGAAGCTGGCTGCAGTATAGTGCAGGCTACTGTAGCGGATCTTCAGTGAGGAGGAAGCATAGGCTTCAGCATTCACTGGCCTCTGGCCGTGTCAAGGAACAAGAAATTGCAGGCTGGTTCAATCGAGCTATATGTAGAGGGGAACACACCAGCACGGCCGGTGAGGCTGCCTAGGAAGCGAACGAAGACGGCATCTGCAGTGACGTTTGCCACGTAGCCGGACGCCAGCGTTCCCTCCTTCACATCCTCTATGGCCGCCGGCAGCTGCGCGGCAGCTGCCAGCAGGGACGCCTTGCGCGTCACCCTCAGCATCCCCGCTTTCTGCAACAGCACAAAAATTATCATGAATTGGTGACATTTCCAGCAGTAGCAGAATGAGCGCCATGCCACATGCATGAATGCATAAATGCATTTTGCTCTTACCTGCCTAATCGGCCGCACGCATGCAATTGCAACCCATGAGGGCTGCTCATTAATGATCACTAAGCCATACATGATCAGCAAGACAAGGCAATCTCCTCTTCTGACCACATCAAGCATCTGATTATTGATAAGCACTCTGAAATAATAGAAAAAGGTTTGTGGTTCCATTAGGCATCCATGTGGGGCAGTGTCACTCCGTTGATCCTAAGCACAGGTGCAGATCACACAAGACTCATAACAGCGTTACTCTGAAACAAAACTCAGGGTGAGCAGGAACCTCCAGCTGCTCCAGAATAAGCAGCGGCCCGAGCTCGGATCCGTCTACGAGGTGAACCCACAGAATGTTCATGTGTTTCGCTTCACGACTGACAGGTCAGAGTCTTTTTGACTACAACAGTGATGCGTCAGGCTGGCGCTTACCTCCAGCCGCTCTAGAATAAGCAGCGGCCCGAGCTCTGACCCGTCTACGAGGGCTTCCGAGAGCGCGGCCTCCGCCGCCGGGTGGTCCGCCAGGTGGGCAGCGTCTAATCTCCCCAGCGCCAAAACAGGCGACGCCCCGGGAACGCCCTCGCCCGCGCGCAGCTCTACCGTGTACTGCGCGGCCACGCTCTCCCCATCCACCTAGAGACAACCACAAAATATTCTGAGGAATTGGCATACGCTCCCTTCATCAAGACTGTGTTGAACATGTGCTTCCAATAAATGTATCCTCGGAAATGGGCATAGGTCAACATGGGCAACATGCACGCGTGAAAGGAAGCACGAGAAATAACACACAGGATAGGCATACCTCCTTGGTGGTGAAGCTGCGAATACGGCCTTCCACAATGGTCCCCGGCTGCAGGCCGCCCATCGGGTCTGCGCCGGCGGCCGCCGCCGCGTCGGCCGCGGTTTTTGGCGCGAAGCTGAGCCGCAGCCGCCGCCGCTCCTCGTCCACGCTCACCACTCGCGCCTTCACCGTCTGCGCGGCGCTCTCACTTTGAATTCGAACTCGAAACAGGTGCAACGAAAGGCCAATGCCATGAAGCCCGCTCGTAGGTGAAGAGGAGTAATCTTATCACTGTAGACGCGTTTTATCTACCCGGTTCCTCACACCTTTAGATCTCTATGCACGGTCTGCACAAGGGCCTGCTGCAGCTGGGTGTTGCTCGCACGAGACAATTCATCCTGCCCTGCACTAATGAGGTGGAGGCTGAAAACGCATACGAGCCACTGCAGACCGCCAGTGAAAGATACCCACTCCAGCGTCAACAGTGCAATCAGACGCTTGAAGGCCGTGCAACCAACGCTCTGCTGCAGCATGCACTCCAGGAAATTGCGCAGGGTGCAGATACGGTTGGAGATAGCCACAACGCAGCTCCACAGCGACGATTTGACATGTCACTGAAAGGGAAAACCATACCGAGCCGATGGGGAAGTGCTTGACGGGATCCTGATGCAGCTACGTGGACTAGCACCTGGTGGAGCTTAGTCGGAGACAGCCACTAGGCAGGACCAAAGGGGATCTGACCCCTAGGTGAACGAAAGAGGATCTGACTCCTAGGTGAAAGGGGAAAGTCATACCTTGCCGATGGGGAACTGCTTGGCGGGGTCCTGGTTGGGCTCCAGGCCCAGCTGCTGCGTGGGTGCTAGGCCCCGGACGCCGTTGCAGAAAGACACAAAAACGCCGTACTCCTGCACCCCCGTAACAAATCCATGCGCGCGCGCTCCCGGCTGTGCTGCCTCCTGCAAGACACCCATCACGCCCGCTTCAAGTGCTGACTGCTGTATTCTGTGAACTCGCAGACATGGAGTGAGGAATATCTGCCCTTCGCTGAAGTCATGCCCCAAAGGCAACAACAGAAAGGGTGGACCCATGGAAGTCACAGCATTTGGAGTGTAACACATGGCATCCATGCTGAGCGCACGATGACTCAGCAAATAGACTGACTTTCCCAGGTCCTCCCTTGCTGCTCCTGCATCAGATGCTTCAATGTGTGGCTCTCAGCATCACATGCACTTTCTGGATAGAGACATTGGTGACAGGAATCGGTTGTAGTTCACCCGGCAGGGAGTCTGGCAAAATTCTGTGAGCATAGGGCAAACAATTGCGACAGAGTGCAAAGAGCGGTCAGACAAGCAGTGCCAGCTCACCTGCCAGCTGGCAAAAGGGGGCAGCTTCTCGCCGACCAGCAGCTTTTTCAGCGATAGGGTGATCTTCCGCGCAGCCACATCCACCTCCAATACTCTTCCTGACACTTTCTGCCCCTCCTTGAACTTCGCGCGAGCCTTCTCTGACCCGCTGTCCGACATGTGCACTGTTGGCACCAGCGCCCTGCAAATGAAATCCCATCAGATTACATGCATTCTCAGTATAATGAATTGGTCATATTATTTTTGTGACCTTCCAGTAATATGCATGTTTACGCCTCCAGGCTGATGTGATACAATGCAGAAAGCTCACTCTACCTCGAACGCCTAACAGGACTCCCAACTATTAGAGTGCTGCAGCGGCCTCCCGCCTAGAATTAAGCATGACGCAGCAGATGATTGAATCCTGAAAGTCATGCAAAAACAGCTTGTCTGGGCGCTCACTTGATGCCGGGGGCGAGCTTGACAAAGAGCCCAAAGTCCTCGACATTCTCAACGGTGCCGCTCACGATGCTGCCGGGCGCCACATCGGCGTATGAGATCGTGCCGGCCCTCACAGCCGCCTCTCGCAGAGTGCACACTGCCAATCCGTCCATCGGCCGCGCGCCAATCACCCGGGCCGCCACCTTCTTGCCCACCTTGTACACCTGTGCATGGCAGATCAATTATTAATTGCCGACGTAAAACTGTAGGTGAGCACTTTGACTTTCTGGTTTGCAAAGTCGTGCACGTCTATGGCAAGGCCCAAGTTCATATGCCAGCTCCAGTGCTGTGCAGAGTATGTGGCAGTTGCATGCACAGGGCAAGCATTGCTTCGCCTGCTTGCATGCATCAATCAAGTTGTCTTGCGCGAAAGTGGGAGCAAACTGGCCGTGCAAACTAAAGAGTCTCAGGAATTGTGCCAAAGCCAACTGGTACAATGCGCTGTATGGTGTGGAAGAGACGCACCTTGTCGAGCTTCTCAATGCGGCTCTCGGACACTGCGGAGATGTGAGCGTATCCTGCGGGCGCGTTCGGCTGCGCCTGCGCCTGGCCGCGCTTCTTATCATCGCCCACCTTCTTCTTCTTCTTGTTCTTTCCCTTGCCGCCAGCTGTCCCCTCTGCTTCAGCCTCCTCTGTTACCTGTTCTGCAGGGGCGTCGTCTTCGGAGCGCAATTCCAGCAGCAACCCCAGCGCATTATCCACCCTCCTGACGATGGAATGCTGCGAACATAGCAAAATCGACACGTCAGCAACGCTGTAGATTTATGAGAGGAAACGGGCATCTGCGTTGCATGCAGTTCTAAGAACATCACTGCTATGCATGCAGCAGAGTTGTGTAGCAGCTTTAACTCTTGATACAAGGCCGTTCCAGGAACTCGAAGGACAGTGCAAATTTGTGCATTTTGCTACCGCCCTGCTTTGGAGTCTTCAAAAGGCCTTGTATCAGACGTCAACTCACCATCAGTTACCTTTCTGCCTTTAAAGACCAATTTGCTCATGCAGATTTGCATATGGCAACATATGATCAACCAAAGCCCCGTGGGATTCAAGGGCCTCGCGCAACAACTCTTTGCTGCATCCCAGCAGGAATGCCCAGGAAGAAGGGTGTTTGCACCTCGAAAAGGGTGTTTATGGGGGGCAGCGCAGGCGATGCGCTGCCGGCGACCAGGTGAGGCAGCAGCGAGAGGGAAACGCGCTTGGAGACGGGGTCGACGTAGATTATTCGCGCGCGGACCCTCGCCCCCGCCTCATACCCCTTCTGCCAGTCCGCTGGCGGCGGTTGCTGCAAAGGCGATGCGCACAGTCGGGCCAATATATTCAAAGCATGCAAACAATTAGAACCAGAACAGAATTGGACATCATGACAGCAGCAGACATTGAGTGTACTCGACTGACACTCTCCAAATTAGAACTGCCCACTCCGTGGGATGTCACATATATGCCAAGCACAGTTGTAAGAGCAGAAAGATAATACATCAGCGCACAACCTTCTTGCACTAGGCACTAGGCCTTGAAAGCCACGTGCAGTGTGCGATACACCTAGAAGTTCAGTAGCAAGAATGAGAGTAGTCACCTGGCTGAGATGGAAGCAGTCCACAGTGCCGTTGAAGTAGGTGAGGAAGGACACAAGAAGCCCATCAGACAGCACATTGCGCACACGCGCATTGACCAGCATGCCGGGTAGCAAAGAGCCGATGGTGAGACCCTCCCATTCTTTCACCGCCCCCTTGGCGAGGGATTTGGGGTCCGCGCTGACGTGGACGAGCGGCCTGCCCGGCCGGGCAGCCGCCGTGACCGTAACGGGCAGTACGGCCCCCGGCAGCAGCGGCCGGGCCTCGCCGCTGCACGCCTTGAGCCAATTTGTGCGCTCCAGGAAAGCCGTCACTCCCTGCACAACGCATTGCTTAATAATCTGAATTACACTTTCTACTAGAGCTGCTGGGCATGAGAAACGGGCAAGGGGAATGACAGTGCCTGAGAATTTGCAAATTTGCAAAGCTTTGCAAAATTGTAGATTAGTGTGCCAGCTGGCTGCCTGAGAACGGGAAAAAATGTAAATGGTATCATTTTTGTCAGATGTTCAAGTCATGCAGACATTGGACAAGTCCCTGCTGCCACCCAGATCATATAAGGCAGTCCCTGCATCTGAGTGACAAGCCCATAGATGATGGCTGACATTCTGATTCTCTGCTACATACTGGTCAAGCCGCAGATCGCAGGAGGCTGGGAGATTAGTCATCATCCAAAGGTGTTCCGGCTACCTGATGGCCACCTGGTGGATGAGCTGTATTGTAAAAGAGCTTGAACTGAGATTTAAGCTTGATCTGGACACTTGAGGCTGCTGACCTTGACGCCGGTGGTCAGCAGGAAGCCGTGGTCCTCCACGCTGCGCACACATGCCGGCAGCTGCATGCCTGCTATCAGTGCGGCCGGCCCGATGCCGGCATTCACCTTGGCCACATGCAGCGACAGCACTATGCGCTTCCTGCCTGCCTTGCCACCTGCTGGGCAAAACCCCCCCATATCAGCAAAAGTGGCAAAAGCAGCCAAGGAAGCACAAAATGCAAGACAATGCACCGACAGTTTGCCCAACAGGCGGGCAAGGAAGCAGCCCTGGCACAGAGCAATGCTTGCTTCTCTGCCAAACTTTGTCTCATGCCCCTTAATGGGGGGCGGAAAGTGAGGTCAAACGGGCAGGAATTATCATCAGAACAAGGATCAACTCAACGGTTGGACCCTGCCAGATGCAGCGCCTAATCGTTCAGATTGCCCTGCTTCTGGCAATGGCGGAATTTTGGACCAAATGAGTCACACCACTTCACATTAATCAGGATCAGGGCCCCCCAGTGCTTCTGTCTTACAGACTGGCCGCATCAGAAGTATGTGCCAGGCAGATGCTGCTGCCATCAGCTTCACTCTATGGGTGAGCTCTTTAGTGTTGCCCTGACGCCACTAATCTATGCACTTGGAACTCCCTGCAGTCTGCCTGGTGCGATACAACTGACAGGAAGAGGAATAATCTCAAGAGAGGCGCACACCTACGCCCGAGTCTCCGTCCTGAAGGTCGACGATGCTGCACTGCACCAGCTGCCCCGCGCGGAAGAGGCTGCTCAGGGAGGGAACATCGGCAGCCTTGCGCGGCTTGCCCCCTTCAGCCGCCGCCAGCTTCTCCTGATTGCTCATCAGCTCCGTCAAAACATCCGAGGCCTGCGCATGCAAGCATGATCAAAGTTTCAATCTAGAGTTCGCGGCACAGTTTATATCCTCCAAAACCCCAAAAACCAAGTCCCCCGAAACAATGTATGTCTTCCAAAACTCGCATCCCTGCATCTGGGCTGCGATGGGCATGTGCCAGATAAAAGTATGACATTTGTTGCACACTCAGTCAGAAATGTGGCGGTTGAAATACACTGAATAGCAGCTGGGGTGGACCAATGGGTGCATCACCTCAGCGGCCGGAACGTGCCCCTTCAGACCATGTGGCAGGCTAATGATGAGCTCGCGATGAGTAATTTCTGCCACTGTGCCCCATATCTTTGCCCCTTTGCTCAGGCTCTGCACCAACATGACTTATGTCAGCATCTTGACACACACAGCAGCAGGCTACTGCAAAGGCTTGAGCCAGTCAGGAACCTGAGATCGACGGTCAGAACCCAATGCTCTACTGTTTACTAGGGCTTTCCAGAACATTGCTGGGCTGCATACAGCAGTGGCCTAGAGAAGCCTTGAGTGAGGTGCATCCGGGACATGAGAATGTACATAAACGAGGATCATGTGCAACTACCACGAAATGCAGCCTGTAAGCATTGGGCGCTTTGGCATGGACTCACGTGTTGAAGTCCATGCCAAAGTCCCGATGGCTGATCACTTTGCAAAAACGGATTGGAATGTAGACTTTGCCAGGAATGATGCCTTGTTGTGAAGAGCGTGTGAGGGTTCACCTTGAATTTCAGGAGCTCGACGTATTTGGGCAGCTTGCCCTGCAGTGCCTCGCGAGCGAAGAACAGGTCCTCCCCATCCTGAACAGACCAAAAATTCATCACTAGGAGTAAAACCTTCTCATTTGAAACGGACAGACTTGTTGCGTATGCCCCTCAACTCCCAGAAATGCACCTCTACGTGCCTCCCTATCCAAGACAGCTCTGCCAGTCTTGCATGAAAGACATGGAGGAGGCGCTTCACTCCATGTTGACTCCCCTCTGGTCTTAAAAAGTCCTACTGCTGCACTGGAGAGGCTGCAGGGGCCAGTACTGAAAGAAATCAGGCACGTTGACGGCAGGTTGATAGCAGGTTGACTCCCCTCTGGTCTGAAGAATTTTCACAGCTGCACTGGAGAGGCTGGAGGGGCCACCACTGAAGGGAAAAGAGGCACATGCACATGTAATGCAAAGGGATGCACAGCGCCTCGCGCTTGCATGGACAAGCATCTGAGGGCGCATCACTGCAGGTTGACCCCCTCTGCTCTGAGATGCTACCAAAGGCATGCGTAGCAGACCTCTAAGCATGCTGGAACAAATTATGCTGCCACCAGTGATTAGCGTCTGCCCTGCATAGACTCCAAAGCAGGGAATTCGAAGATGGTCACATCGGTCCGCTTCAGAGGGATGAAAACCACCTCTCGCTTGCGCCGCTTAATCGCTCCACCCCCGGCCTTGAATTCTCGCTCTGCCTCGGCTGCGCCCTCTTGTCGCAGCTCGCGCCGCTGCAGAGCAGATAGACCTGCGCCGCCCCCTCGAGGAAAATCCTCCTCTTCCATGGGCTGCGGCTGCTGCTGCTTCTGCGCTGCAAATCTCTTCTCCGGCGCGGCATCGCTTGGAGCAGGCCGCTTCACTGCCACCATCAGATCTGCGTTGCAAGGACGTGGGGCATCAGCTGCCCATCTAGCACTGCAACAACAGAGCCAGTCCTCCAGTTTCAATTAGGTCGGAGTGTTAAAGCTACAAACACAATAAGTTTTATGTTGCTCGCCGGGAGTCGCAATCAACCATAGAAAGATCGCAACCTTCTTTCAGGAGGCCAGTCTAGTCATTTTTAGAAGTCATCGATGAACACACTATCAGAACGACTAATTCAGTGTTCCTGAGTGACCACTTAAGAACTGAAATAATTTACCTTACGGCGGGCTTGAACTATCTTCTGCTAAAGTACCATTTTGTACTAGAACAGCAGCCAAATTTACCACACGCAGCGATGCGTGATTGGGGTACAACGTTTGTAGATGAATGAATTAAGATGCAATACTCACATTTGAGTAAACTGCAGTGGTTTCTACGCTTCGCGATACTCACTCGGCAGCAGTGCCGGCCCAGTGCAGCCCTGTTCCGAAACGTAGTCACCGATGACTGAGCGACTGAGTGATGATGTCACGGGAAGCACGATCAAAGCCCTCAGCCAGACGTTGCTGTGGGCACTCTATTCTTGCCTCCGTACCGATACACTCGAAAATGATGCTCATGAGATGTTGTGGGTCTCGCTACACTTCATCGTCGTGTTCACTACCAGCGCGGATCCCTGAAAGAACTCTCTCAGTCCGGAAAGCTCAAAGCCTTTGTAGGCGTAGACAATGCAAAGTGCCTGCAGCTAGCCCAGAGTCCATATCAGCAAATTCAGAGAAAGACACCGAAGCAGCAGGGCCTCGATGCTATCTAGTCCCAAGCAACGATGGAGAAGGCCTAGAACAGATCTGCATTTCTGAGGGGAAGATAGAAATCGGAGCCGGAGATTCTGATTACTATTTTACTGCAAATACAGGTGCGTGTCCTGAAAGGATATATTGTTCATTTTGAGGATGAATAAATAAATTCAATTTGGACCTCAAGCATCGAACTGCTAACATTGGCGTACATGCTTGCAGTATCAACCTCCAAGGTGAAGCTGGGGATGTTCGCCAAAACATCAGTATCAGCAGATGTGGAGAGCGACAATGGTGCGAGTTGCACTCCCATCCATATCTTTTTCTGTGGTCCCTTGCTGCTCCGTCACCAGGCAAGAATTCGTGGATTTTTGCAGGGACTAAAGTGGACGGTAAGCTGCTTGAGCCAGGGCGTTTCATAGACCTCAAAGATGGCGAGGAGATTGAATTTGGGGATGGGAAGCGGTATACTATCAAGTATGGAGGTGAGCATGCTCCCTGTTCGCTTTGGCCGAGGCATAAGGACCTTTGAAGTCTTCTCTGAGATGGAAAAAAAAATGATGAAAGTTGTACGTGCAGATGGAGGTGGAAAGTCGGCTGCAGCCAAACGATGGCTGGTTGACAGGTGACACTCTTTGCTCAACATCTCCTTCCTGCACCTAGCGCTCATCTAGCCTGTTCAATGCCACTGATGCCTCCATACCTGTAGAGAAACAATACTGTGTGAGCCGCCCCCAGGGACTCAGCCGAGGAATTGAAAAAGGCCAGCAAGAGCAGAACAGCAGGCTTGGCTTTCGAGTATGCCCACAAGGCGGCTTCACTGGGACTCTTGTACCTTGCTAACAAGGGCCTTTACCGTGCATGCGCCTCTGCTTCCATCAAATTCCCCAGCCCGCTCATAGGTGTGCCAGTACCCCAAGCAATTACCTCCTGTTTGCACTACCATTCATGCATGTGTATTAGAAGCTCTCACATCGAGAGAAGAGCGAATTGAGAACATGGTCTTTGTGGCCATTGGCCATTGGCCTTCAGCAATCCTCTGACAACGCTAGCAACCCAATGCATGTGAAAAGTTGCATGCATGATGACACACGAAGGGGTCATGCAGAATGCTCTACCAAGTGTGCTATTCATGCTGTTGTTGGGGGGCGCAGGCATGTTCATCATCATTGCAACACTGCTGGCGCTCCAGGAGGCATCCCAGAAGACAGCAGACAGGGTGCAGGCATTTTTCAACCCTGCCCTGAACTGGATCCAGCGCTGGCTGCCCCTCTTCTATGTGCCCACCCTGGTCGTGCTGCCTGTCGCTGTCCAGGGCATCCAAGGTGAGCTGCCCGTTCTCTGTCATGTTGTGGTTCCCCGCTGTCGCTGTGCTCTCCCATATTTTCCATGCTTTCCTCCCTTACTCCCTGCTTTCCTCACTGCAATTTTGGCGCTTTTGCATGCCTCCATACGAGTCCAACCTGAAACACAGATCCTGCACCAGTGAGCTGGCTTTGTCAGACAATAATGTCTAAATGCCGTCACCTGGGTCCATTTTAGTCCACCTGGAGGGCTTGAAGAGAAAAGCAAGTGTTACTTGTGAGTACATACGCGCAGGGGCTGACTTGGCAAAGATAATGGCCATCATTGGCGTGGGCATGCCGGCGTCACTCTTAGTCACCGCATGGGTGGCCGTGGCGATCCGTAACGCCGTACGGACCGAGATGGAGGAGCAGCCCACACCCAAGCGCCTCCCCTCCTTCAACAAGTACCACTATGCCGGCTGGGGTGTGCTGCTGCACCTTACAATCATGTCATTTGGTGTGGATTGGTTTACATAGCAGCAAGTTGGCGTGACCGTGCACCTGGCACCAGATGTCAGATAGCTGAACCTGGATATGGTATCTTTGACCCTCAGCGTTTTGAGACTTGGAAAGAGCGGCTTGTCCTCACACGTCATGCGTAGCATTGCATCTGAAGGTCTTTCTCTGGCGCTGTGCCCCATATAGTCTTCACAGCTTTGTGAGGGCATGTTTTACACAAGTGATCACAATGCAGAAAATACCTGCTTTGATACATGAAAGTGCATGGTCTCAGGCGGCGTGCTGGCGCTGGGGCTGGCGGTGGCCGTGGCGTCCCCCGGCGGCTGGGCCCCCCAGCTGGCGGTCCCCTACATGACGGCGGCCACCGTCATGGGTTACCTCATCGGCGTCGCGCTGCCGGAAGGGCTGCAGCGCGTCGCGCACCCGCTCATCACCTGCGCGGTGCGCCTTACTAATGATAACTCATCTTGATTGTTCAGAACCATAGATTAAATAACCCCACTTTCTTGCACCACTGAGATTGGATGCCATAGGACAGGTGTACACAATTGAGCGTGAGAGATCAATCTCGTAACCCTCATTCGATTGCATGCTGCCTGAAGCTGTTTTTTAGAGCTGCAAAGACCCACAGTTTTCCATTAATCGCCTATAAGACTAGTTGCAACGCTGCAGGTGTTAGCCAATGTGGGAGCGGCCGTATGGGGTGCGCTCACTGGCGTCGGCTACTTCCCAACCTTGCGTGCCTACATTGCCAAAGTGCGCCCTCCTGCGCAAATGAAGTCATGGTGTTGGGAATCTGTTTTGAGGTTGGTGCTGTCTGATCCTCGTATGTTTGGCATACGACTGGAGTACCTGGACGTGTGTTTGGGCCCTGTCCCTATGCAGTCCTGTGTTATTGCAATTTGCAAGGATTGATGTTGCCGTGGAAGCTTCATGGGCGCAGTCAACTCTGGAAGGTGTGCACCAGATGAAATGCCGCTCACAAATATTGACAGAGCTTAGAAGGTCATTTGTGCATCATGCCAGCAGTATCCCATGTCATGCAGGGGAGCGGTGCAATGGGTGCGGGCGACCTGCTGATGAGCTTCCTGGGAGTCGTGATTCTGTCCTTCGGCTTCAAGATCTTCGGCCAGCGCCGCCTCATGCGCCGCCACGCGCCGGAGATCTTTGGCGCCACAGTCCTCTCCGCAGCCTTCTCGCTTTTCGCCACCGCCATCGCCGCCAAAGCCATCGGCCTCGCGCCAGGTGCGCCCGTGACCATATATCTCCTTGCCTGTTCACAATGTTGCCTTCCGCCAGACTCGAGACTCAAGGAGCCCCAGCTTAGTGGTTCACTTGGAATTCGTATTTTCTAATGCTTCTTAGAACTCCAATGCAGCACTTTCCTCTGGTGTTCCTGGCGCAATTGCGTCACCTCCTAACGGACGTTTAAAACATCCTCTACTGTTGGCAGCAAGGTTCTTCCCTGTGATGCAAGCTGCAGTACTCATCCACCGCTTCCCCCTGCAGAATTCATCCTGTTTGCATGACCGTAAACCTAAGAAACCTCTCTTGCTGGTGCTCAGATGTGGCAAAGGCGTTGATCGCAATCCCCACCCGGGCATAACTTTAAGTCGTGCTTTGTGCAACAGCATTTGTAACAAATGTCTGGCTTGCAGATCTGGCGAGGGCGCTGGTTCCCCGCAGCATAACAGTGGCGCTTGCACTACCGATAGCCACGCAGCTGGGTGCGCCGGCACCGATAGTGGCGGCCGGCGTCTGCCTGACGGGCCTGCTGGGCGCCAATTTCGCGCAATCGCTTCTGAACCGCTTCGGCTTCTCGGACCCCATCGCGCGCGGATTGGCGACCGCCGGCTCCGCGCACGGCCTCGGCACCGCCGCCCTCGCCCGCAAGTGCGCCCCCAAAATCATAATGATGTTTGTCCGCTTGGCCTATCATGAATGCTTGCCACAGAAGCACAGCGGAAGAACTCGACCTGTCCTTCAGTATGCGCGGCAGCATGCTTGTTATAGTTGTTCCAGTAACTTACTCATGCACGTTGCGCGCTTGCGGCATTTGTGGCTTTCGTTCGAGGCTTGATCGAGGTGCGCAGATTGGGCTGCGCAGCATTGGTTGGACCTTTGTAGGCTGAGCTGATGCAACTGGTGTTGCTCCTGTGCAGTGAGCCGGAGGCGCTACCCTTCTGCGCGCTGGCGTATGCACTCATCGGCATCATCTCCACTGTGCTGGTCGCACTGCCGCCCGTTGCCAGAGCACTTCTGGCCATTACTGCCTAGACTGGTTTGAGATCTCCTGGAGTTGCTACTGTGACACTGTCTCGTGTGACCGTGGAGAAAGGCCTGTTGGTTGGGGGAAAGGCCTGGACAGGCTGTGTTGTGCTGTGTCTATAGCAGCACTGTTGAAGCGTTTGTTTTGAGTGGGGAATTTTTGGTGGGCATGTGGATGTTTCCTCACTGCTGCAAGGTGCTGAAGAACGAGAAGAGCGAGCTGCGCTGAGGAGACAGATCTCTAGAGGAGATATGTGACGTTGAGGGCTTATGTCTCTTGGAAGGAGTGAGGTACATAGCATATTCTTTGTGTCTTTGCACACGTCACGCCATTCAAGTCGGGCAAAGCATATACTGAAGGCCTGAAGCCGCCTTTACAAATATCGCAGCCAAGCGAGACTGTCTTTAGATGATTCTTTAAGGAGAGAGGGAGGGAGGGTAAGACTGCTGCTCTTTTAAATACTGCCAGCATAGTCCCAGCAATCACAACTCGAGAGCATGTGAGCAGTCCCCAGCAATTGTATCTTATGTGTTTCATGCATGATCCATGATGCATGCATATGATGAATACCTGCCACCTGTGGTTCCACCCTGTGCATGCATGGTGAATCGAGAAAGTGGAACCCTAGCACCCCAGATGTTACTCACCAAATTCCAGTTCACAGGACGAGCATTTATCAAATGGTGCAGCTATAATGTCTTGTCCACTCCAATATTGGTCTTCGTCAAGATCATGTGCTACAGACACCAAGGGATCTTACTGTATCTTGCCAAGCTATATTCTTGGACTTGATCGCAGAAGAGGCTTAAAAGAACAAATTCCTTTTGGGAGTCCATCGTCGAGACTGAACTCAGTCTCTCTGACTGGGAGACACGCATCACGTCCAACAATGGCGACAGCAGCAAGTGTCGTACAGGAAAGCGAAAATGGCACTGGCCTAAATACAACAGATCAGAGCAAAGTAGCAGTCTTTTCTGCGGCAAGATACGTGAGATACTTCTCGCATGGCTCTCTTACAACTCAAGTATAATAAGTGGGTGGAATGTATGCGTACAACTGCAAGTGTTCAACTTCGAACTGCCATACAAGTTCTTGCAAATGTATAGCTCTCCTTTTGCGTTTGAATTGCCTGATTGAAACCACGATGAAATCTTGCTCCAGGTGCATGAATTTCTACATGAGCCCATCATGAGTAATTTCCCCGGCAGCACCTTCATCGAGGTAGCAGCTTCAACATCGGCGATTCAGACTCTGCTTGAATTCAGCTCTCTTGCAGTACCCCCTTTCGTCCTATGCAGTTGCCTGGATCATCCGAAGCTCTGCGATGCCATGAATGTTGGGCGGCTTTCTATGCAGACCGACTTTGCAGCCATGGTCAGTCTTTAAGATGGGGAGTGTTTCCAGGCACAACTGGATGTCAACACAGCCCCGTTGGCAGCAGGGCACCAGGTCATCTGCTGCTTTGTGAACGACGACCTTTCCAAGGATGTTGTCAACAAGCTGGCTGAGGTCGGTGTCAGGTGGGTCAGCCTTTTGAAGTCCACTTTGTGGGATTTTAGACCAATCAGCCCTGAAAACTTGGAATTGGCCTTTGCTAGTGCTTCCAAACCAGTTCTTCCCCTGAGATAGGGAGAGATCCTGCTGCACAAGAGTAGCCTGCTGCATGACACCCCACAGCCTGCGGATTGTTCTTGTTGATCACTCACGCCAAAGTCACTCCCATTGCATGCACCTTCACCAAATGTATCCGCACTTTTCGTGCCAGACATACCGTGCTTTCTGCAGAAATTGCAGGCTACAACATAATCGACCCCTTGCTGGGGGCTCGCCAGATCCAAGACCCCATCAACCGTGGGCACGGTGCTCAGGACTTGTACCGCCCCCGCCAGCCGGGGCCAATAGCATCCACATCATAGGGCCCGGCTGACATGCATGTGTGGGGGTTCTGCAGATTTGTGGCCATGCGGTGTGCGGGCTTTGACAGAGTGGATGTGAAGGCATGCGAGCAGGCAGGCATCGCCGTCGCACGGGTGCCCACTTACTCACCGGCATCTGTTGCCGAGCATGCCGTGGCCATGCTCCTCTGCCTGAACAGGTAATCTATCTGATAACACCCTAAAGTAAAGGGGAGTAACCATGAATCCTGACAACGTTTCATGCCCCCGTGCGTGTTGTACTCAGGGGGCACTGAAGACTGCTGGTCTTTGCTAATCCCTATTGCAGTTCTGAACACTGCAGCTGCCAGCCTATGTTGTCAAGACGCTCTGCATTGACAGTTTCATCCGTAATCTCTACACACTTTTCTTGGGCATACCCTTTTGGAAAGATGAAATGCAAGATTGACCAGAGAGACGTCATCATGGCAGGAAATGCCTTGTGCCATCATTTGCGAGAACAGGATTGTGCACAGGTACTTGCACTCGGAAGGCAATGCCTTGTGCCATCTTTTGTGAGGACAGGCTGTCACGCGCAGGAATCTGCACCTGGCGCACATCCGCATGTGGGCAGGGGACTACACGCTGTCAGGCCTGGTGGGATTTGAGCTCAAGAGCAAAACTGTCGGCGTGCTGGGCACCGGTGCCATTGGAGCGGCCGCCTGCCGCATATTCAGGGTGATGCCCTGCCTTTCATCTCAGACCGCCCAGAAAATGGATACGAGAGTGGTTAGACGCCTGCCGCATGTTCAGGGTGATGCCCTGCCTTCAAATTCTCACTGCCCAGAAACTGAATACGAGATTAATTACGAGGGGCACACAGAGATTCGCTGGTAATAAGGGAGATGATTCATTTGCCTGTACCCAGCAAAATTCATGCAAAGGTCGCGACTGACGTGCAATTCTCCTACATGCTGGCCGAAGTGCATTGACTGCCCAGGTGTGCAAAGCATTTTTACCTCACGTGTCATGTTTGAACTCGCATTGCAGGGGTTTGGGTCGAGGGTGCTCGCGCATGACATCTATGAGAGTGAGGAGGTGAGGGCGCTGGGAGTGGAGTATGTGTCCAAGGAGGATCTGCTGAGGCTGGCTGACGTCATCTCCTTGCACTGCCCCCTGCTGCCCTCCACCTACCACATCATCGGCGCAGAAAGGTGAGGGTGTTGATCTTCTATTTTGTCAATTTTAATTTATTTTAATTAGGCTTGTGCCTGACCCTGTATCAGTTGGAGCAAAACAACGGAGGTGCTTTCATGATTATTTTCTCCTGCATGCCTGGGAAGTGAAAATCTGTGCGAAGGAGCAAAACAACTTTGCTGCACAACGTTTCAAGGCTTTTAATGTTGGATGGACCCACCAGACCCCGTAGTTTTTCAAGTCCCCATTGCATGCGCACTGCCATGGACAGATGTCCTTGAGCCCTGCGATATTTCTTTTCAGTACCTGTGCACTGGCTGATGAAATTATGGTGTGCTCTGCTGCAGCATAGCGACCATGAAGAGGGGAGCAATCATCGTGAATGTCAGCCGAGGCGGCCTGGTGGACACAGATGCAGCCACAGATGCGCTGGAGAGCGGCCAGCTCGGGGGACTGGCTCTGGACGTCTACGAGCACGAAGGTGAGGCAATTTGGACAGCCAGCGTCCAACACTCCCTCAAAAATCACTTTTTAGCCGTATTTTGTGCTGTATCTAATGCATGAAGGGCCTTGATCACAGCAAGACTGGTGGGCAAATTATTTGCTTCGGGGATTCAGTGCTCACCATCTTGGTGTAGAATTATTGCCGTTTGCTGCAGTGTGTATATCATTGGATATTTTATATACCATATAAGTTATGGTTATATGTGGGTGACATCAGCGGATGTCTTTGCGCCTTGTGCGCGTGCCATGCATGCATGCGAATTTTTCTATGCTGAAGAAAAGCTTATGTGCCCTATTTCAGGCTCCCTCTTTTTCAAGAACTGGACCGCGGTTACGGCTGGAGAGCGGTTCAGGTCCTGGGACAAGAAATTCCAGACACTGAAATCTTACCCCAACGTCTTGGTCACCCCCCACTCGGCCTTCCTCACAGAGCAGGCCCTGTCAAACATCGCTGCCACCACCGTAGATAACATCGAGGAATTTGGCGCCGGCAAGAAGCTCACGTACCAGGTGTTACCAAAGTGAGGCAGGATGATTTGAGTGAGTTTCCTTGGATCTGTCAGAAACTGTGTGATTGAGTAGATATTGTATACTACAGTTATGCCGCTCACGTCCAAGCATGTTCTTCCCTGCCCTTGAGCAGAGCGTTCAAATCTTTCAGGATCATGAGGACTTTGCCTTTGGTAAATTTAGTGTAGTGTAAGGAGAATTGCAACCCAGAATTGCAAATCCGGTTGCAATTAATATACCACACCTGCTCGGTGTCGTCCTAGCTTGTTTAAACCTACAGGCGAGTTTATATGGACATTCTTACCCCGTAGTGCAATGGTCTGGAGGTCCTAGGACTGTATCTTGTTTATGTTCGTTCCCCAGACACCAACATCGATGCTGGCATGCACGGCCAATGTCTATCCTTGATACCCAATATTGCAATCACGGTCGGGTGCGAATGTTGTGACTATCACCACACAAGATGGAGGAAGGAACTTGGCAAATACACAGGGTATGAGGCGCCCTGTGACGTGATACCATGACAGAAATGTACATTAATATACACAAATGCACAAGTCCACTACTGCGCACTTTCTCCTTGCGTTTACTCATGTGAAACAGTAGAAATGCTTGCAGGGTCAGAAAGTCAACGAAACGCTGTTGTAGACCATCTCATCGAACCGTAAAACTGTGACAATTACTAACTCTGTGGCAAGCAGTGCAGCAAAAGGGACGCCGTCGGAGCCATGTACTGCGCAAGCGGTGGCCAGCGGTGCTGGCTTTTCCTATTTTACTGCCTGGTTCCAAGGTCACTCATGTGCAGTAAATGGCAGACAAATTTTAAAATCATGATCGCTTTATAGCATTTTGCACCCAATGCCAATGCTGTGATCACCTAGGCACAGGTATGCTCTCCTTCTACACTGAAAATTGCAAAGCATTGTTGCACTCCTGCAATATAGAATATAGATTTTTTACCGTTCTTAGTCGCGGTAACTCACGTTGTAACATAGATTGCTTGCCAAAATATTATAAAGAGTCCTGTGGACAGGAAACCTGAGCAGCAGGATGCAGACTTGCAAAGGGTTCAGGAAGTATTGTGAAATAATAGAGGGTGTTACCATTTAATTACAAACAGTACTGTGCAGTCTGTTGATGTTCGTTGCGTACTTGTCACCACCGATGAAGTGTTCTTGTATATTACTTCAAGTGCAGAAGGTGTGCAGAATACGCCTGACCATGATTTTACTGGACACCAGCGGCAATTTCTGAACAAAGTCGGCTGCATTTCGCAGGCTGACAGTTGTAGGACGCTCATTCCTGTGACATAGATTTTGAGGTCCCCCAGTCTCCCACGCCGAAAATTCCGGATACATTTTCACGGATGGCCAAGGTGATCACTCATTTGGTTGGCTGCCTCCCTTCTAATTCTGCAATTGGCAGGTCATGGACATCAACTCTGACCGTGCCTGCTTACACAGCTAGTCTCCTTGAAGTCGGAGGAGACAGGGGAGCAGCACAAGCTCAAGCTACATGACTTACAGCCAGACGGGACTGGCAGACTGGACTGGGCTGCTGCAAAGGAGGCCTTTGGTGCCGACCTACTTGAAATTAAAGTTGAGGGAACACCGGGGCTCCTACAAGAAGGCGACAGGAAAGGACTGACCAGAGACACCTACAAGCCTGGGGAGAACATCTTAGTCATGATCGGCCGCAGAGCCCAAGGTATGAATGGTACACCCCATGCAGATTTGTGCAGATGTAGATGCGCTCCAGCTCCAGTGCCTTGTGTTGTCACACGTGGCCTGTGAGGACATGGCTAGCATTGAACAGCCTGTGTTGGCCTCAGCTGCAGCTACCGGCAGCCAATCTGTTATTTGAAGAACTTTCCAAAATTCATTGGTGTTAAAGAGCCTATCTGTATGATGCCAGATGCGTCAGGGCAATCCTCTAGTCAGTTGACCGCACTGCCTTCATAGCCTGTGGCATCTGCGTCGTCCAGGTTGATGCGGCGGCCTTGTATTGCGGACAAGTATTGCTGGTGATGGCCAAAGCTGCAGGCACAAAAATCTAGGCAGCTAGATTTTTGTCTGACAATATTTTGGAATTCATTGTTCAGTTCTGATTTCATGACCTCATTTCCTTTATGCTTACAGCTGCGCCCAACCATGCGCTTATGGAGCAGGCTTTGCGCACGGTGGCGGACCAACAAACCACGCTGGAGGACATCAAGAAGATAATTGAGGAGCGGCACAATACCCTGTATCAGGACCTGCTGCAGATGAAGCAAAACATGGGGGGAACCCTTGCCAGGTCAGGTCCCAAATCTAGCGAGGAGACCCAAAAGGATTCCTCATCCCGTGGGAGCCACCAGGGCCCAAGCCCGATGTCAGAAGATCCACCCGAGACTGCATGATATGCAGCAGATGAGGATCTTGCATTTTGGCTCCCCTGTGATGACTAAATTGAAGTCTGTTCTGGCTTGCTTTCCCCAGGCGTCGCAAGTCACGCGGTGCTCAACCAGGCAAATACAGGAGCACTCTACCTCCAGTGATTGAGGCGGACCTGTGAGGGGGGTGTGCAGATGTGTTTCGATGATTCAATGGCTTGAACCATATCATGCAAAGGTCATCAAGTATTGATTGCAGAAGTGTAGTCCTTTGACATTTGTCAGTGTGGTCACACTATTGTACTACGTATACGTTGGCTATAGCTTAAGGTAGCCAACATGTGTGTGAGTACACAGTGCATGGTGGCACGGGTGTCTAATTGCATGCCAAGTTGGCTCAGACGACACGTAAATGAAGTAAATGGTAGTCCATTTATGTACAGTACACCACGTAGAGCATTCTGCATATATGCAGGATGGCAGATGTCGAGTTTGGCTGAGAATTAATTCAAGGTTTCCAAGGTCGTCATGCAAACTTACAGACAGGATGTAATTCTCTAGTGTGAGGATTCGCAATGCCATCCTGGGATTCGCCCATTCACAGCTTTCTTCCAGCTCCCCGCACACCCTGTGCTGCTTTAAACCAATTCCAACGGAATGCGTGGCCTCATAACCACGGTACCACGATACCCCCTCCAGTTTCTGTGCAATGAATGTGCACCTTCACCTTCTGGATATACAGAAACTTGCCATGCACTGCTTACTGCACCCAGCTCCCATGCTTAACCACCCAAGCAACTCCGAGTCCATGTACAATGCCCACATTTTTAATAAAAGTAGACCCGAGTCATCGCTTGAAGTCCGTCTGCTGCATGTCCGTCTGCCAGGCCTTGCCCTCGCTCGTCTGCCAGTGGTTGGCGGCCGACGAGGGGGCGTCCGAGGGCACCGTAAGCTTCTGCTGCCGTATTTCCCGTAACTCTGCTGTGTTCTTGCCGTAACGGGCATCCCTGTCCGCCACTAAATCCTCCCTCAGCTGGTTGTCTGCCGTGAACGCCATCATCAGCTGGGGCGGCCCTGCGCAGCGGTACAAAGAAGGATTTCAAAGAAATGTAATCCAAGTTTGAGTCTCTGGACAGGAGTGATATATATCCTTTGCCCCATACAGCTGGACCTCCCTTTCCTTCGTCCTCTTATCTTCAGACCATCAGAGTTTTCCTGGCAATTTCCCAGCCTCATTGGGGCCACAGCTACCATTGTGGCACAGAAAATTCCACAATACCACTGCCGGCTCTTTCACTTTTGCACAAGCCTCCAAAGATCCCTTTTAGCAGGCCTCATCACGGACCCCATGCCTAGCAAGATGGCTACTGCTGTAGCTCCATTGTACCGCTGAAATGACAATTGCAATGCAGTGCAGGGTGTGAAACGGTGACGCACCCAGAGGCAGCGGGTCCCCCCGGTCGACCTGCCACATGTGCCAGGTTTTGCCGTAGGTGTCGACCAGCTTCTTCATCTCCTCGTTCTCCGCCACCACAGGCACCCTCGGCGCATACAGCTGCCCAGACATCACCTGCGCGCATTGCGTTATGCCCTTATCTTATTATGGGCACACAAAATGTGTCGATTATCAAGACCTCAGATCCAAGGTGTGCAAGAGGTAGTCGGAGAAGTAAAAGTTCAACAAGCACACCCGGAAATGCTCAGGTCAATGGCAAATGGCATGCAGACTTGGCTCATCTTCATTCCAAGCCAACCACCCCAACAGCTGCCGGTACATAACGCCTTGTCAGACAGCTATGGTCCAAACACAGAGCCAGCTGAGCCGCTTCAGAGCTGGCCTCGATGATGGACCGTAGCTACCTGTGATGCTGATACTTGACAGCAACGGTGGCAATTTCTAAAAAGGCCAAGAGTATTGTATGCACAAGCGTCACATTTGTTTAGCAGCATAGGATCCGAGGGAAATTGTAGCTTGTTCTCTCATATAGTGCACGGAGGAACAGTCCAACCAAGCATATGCCAAACCTGTCTATACATAATGTGCATGTACAAGGCGATAACATGAGTAGTAATGCTATAACGTGACTAGTAATGCTGACCTCGTAGGTGTGGCTGTGCCAGTACTTCTTCTCGTCCTCTGGCAGCGAGTCAAACAGGCGGCGGGAGATTATGTACTCGACTCCGATCAGTCGCGCATTTGCAGCATCGCTGTCATAGATGACACACTGGCGCACTTCCTCGCTCAGATGCGAGCAGTAGTGGTGCGCCTCCACCTGGCGCAGCAAGTCATTGGTGAGTAAATCAGACCCATCAAGGGAGTTTGTCACGCGCTGTCTATAGAGGAGTGGAATGGCTCCCACCTGGCGCGACATGTCATGGGCGTAGAAGTGGAAGGCGCAGACATGCTGGCAGACCTTCTTGAGGGGGGCAAACTTCTCAGTGACGGCCATGCCCAGATTGAGCACCTTGGAGGTGAGAGACGGCGTCTCTCCTGGCACATCATTGTCCTGAACAGCAAAGGTGGCATTCACATCAGCTCCAGATGAAAAGAGTGACACGATCTGCACCTTTCGAGCAGTGGCATGTCGTGGCAGCTCCTTCAACCCGAGGAAGAACAAGCATTCTCAATTGAGCCAACAAGACGTGAATATACACGTCGATGTTCGACATATCCAGGACAAGGTTGAAGAGCCCTAATCATTCTCAATCTCTCCTCGGAGGCCTTGCATGCTTTTGGATCGCATATTGAACCTCCATTTTCCGTAGCTCTAAGTCGTTTCAGGTGATGAAGTTACAATATCTTCGTAGGATACCTTGCTGGCCATGCTGACGGCCTGGCGCTTCTGGGGCACTTCCTGAGTCCAAGGTGACCTCCTGCGGGATGGATTGATCTGCTGGACAGAAAACGTAATCCGACCACGATCACGCCCTGCAGTGCTGACGATTAAGGATTATCAGATATACAATGCTAGATTTATATGAACTTGTCACCCACTAGCTATTGTGAGTATTCATCATTACAGACGTCTGTGGACCCTGCTTTGCATGCTTTGCACAACACAGTGTCAAATTTGGTCCTAGTCTGTGTCCTTGCCAATCAATCAAATCGGTCCCACTCACTATTTGCAAATTAATGTCCTTCACAATGTATTAGTGTGCATGGTGGCGAGGGAGTTGATCTCGAAAGAAGAGGCCTTGCAGGCAGATCGATGCTAGACCCCAAATCGCCCCTCCAGGCGGCAGCTATCTTTCTTGGAGGCATCGGGGTACGAGTCTGATACCTTCAGAACGTGACCGATCTAATGTGCCTTATTACTCTGATGAATAAGGGGAAACTGCTCAAGTGCAACTCGTGAAGGTGAGTCTTATTTGCAGGTGATCGCATACACTATTCTAGATATCAACCGCACAACGAGGCTCAATGAAAAGCCCATGACATCAGAACAACAGCGTTACCTGCAAGAAATGGCCAAGAACATACAGCAGAAGTCAGGTGAAGTTCTAGCCAACCACTGATAGTTTGGGTTCCAGGAACCAATTCGGGACAGTTGATCATAAGTTGCTATGTTGCTGCAGACGATCCCTTGAGCGAGTTAGCAGCTGCAATCAAGCCACGATAGAGTGTGCCACTCATGCCAAAGGCTTAAATGTCTCCACCTATGCTGTCCTGGCGATTCGGGTCACATTCTGGCCCCCCCGCATATCCTGTCGAGCCTCGTTGCCAGCAGTACAGAGCCCACTGCTACAGCAGATGGGCATTTCGGCAGCGGTCCCGGAGAACCAGGCAGAAGGCTGTTCCAGCACTTGCGCTGAGCAAGGGCGAGGCATACAGGTTGCTGGGCGCTGATCAGGGGTGCTCGCGAGCTGAGCTGCGCGCTGCATACATGATACGCATCCGACAGGTGCTGCTTGTCTCAATGTGTACATTTCAGTGTTCCGTATGGCAGGAGAACTTGTTCAAACTCGGCATGCACTTTTCACCTTCTTTCGCGGCATATTGCAACAGGACAGCGCTCCCACAAGCTACCAGACATCCAGTGGTTATCTTTCAGCATCTCTTGTATGCTGGCGCCATGATGTCGGCAGATGTCGAGCCCATGGCAAGAACAGAAGAAGAAAACCAGCTGCTCATTTGCACGAACTTGCTGCATTACCTGGCGTAGAGAGGTGACTGACTAGATGCGCTGTTGTGTGCAGCTGCACCCAGATGTCAACCCCTTGAGGGATACCACGGAGGAGGCCACAGCACTCAATGAAGCTTATGCGCTCCTGCAGGAGGTAGCAAATGTTCTGACAAAAACCAATGCACCTGCAGAACTTTCCTTTTCGTTTGGACTCTTCTTCCATGAGAGTTCATGCAACAGCGGGACGCTTGGCCATGCAGGGATTCCTGACTGGGGAAGAGGAAGTTCCCAGCGTGTTTGACGTGCCTGAAGCAGAGCCCAGCGAGCTCTTCATAAATCCCTTTGCCTGCAACACCAGCCCCCTGCTTTGGCGAGAACTGCAGGTCAAACCCTCTCACCTGCATCCCACCTTTGACCTCACCCCATTTGAACATTAGAAGACCACAACAGACACTAGAACAGGACTGTCACTCTGTGATGGCCTTCAGCATGGTTGACTTCTGTCTCCTTCTGTCGCCCCAGGCCTCATCAGGGCGTCTATCATTCTTTCTATTTGATGGCAGTACGTAGATCTTCAAGCTCTCTGAGATAGGAAGTTTGTTGACTGCAGGAGGTAGTGAAAGGTGCAGATGATCCAGTGAGCGAGCTGGCAGCTCAGGGAGTGTACATCAGGGACTCGGCTGTGTATTACCTGACGCCGTGCCAGCTGGCGGCCGTCACTGCTGACCTGGAGGCGATGGAGGACAGCATGGCAGTGGAGCTGACATCATGGCTTGTCAGCGACTGCCTCATGCGCGCAGCCAGAGCCAATGACCGCATGCCAGCTCAGCGTCGCAGCTGATGTGGATACTTAGATTATTAATACCTAATGTTGTGGGACTAGTTGGAATGTCCCGGCGAGCTTTCATTCGAAGCCAGGTTCTACCACTTATTCTGCACAGAAGATAGAGTACGAAGCATGCATTGCTGCATTGATGTGAAACATTATAAGACCACTGCTCGTAATATAGATAAATACAATTCGGGGAAGCTGAGTGTCTGTTATCTTGCGAGTGAGCAGTCAAATGAATAACGCACGTCAATCTACACTATTAAACGTGAAACTGCGTTATGTAGTGTACGTACAGCACATGTATACTGTGGTAGGTCTAGATTCCGGCGGCTTGAACTTTGCAATGGCAAATCAGCAAGGCCGCATGTATAATTTGTTATACTTTGGCCTTTGAGGGACGCAATATTATCGCAAGCCTGCTCATTTGAGATGCGCAGCATTCTCAAAGTACTTATGTGGCAATGGAGAACCGGTACTGCTGCTGTACAATAATGGTTACTTTCTTGCAGTGTAAGCGAGCATGGTCTTCTGGCCGCCAGACTGCACCATGTCATCATTCATGCTGCTCATCTCTGCAGGCATTGATCCCACAACATCCACCTGCACATGCACACGGCTGTAACATAGTGATTACTGTAGTCATTACTTCATTCACATGCAGCACTGCTTATGCACTGCTGACATGTACTTTTTGCATCAACCTTGCACTGATGCAGGTCTGGGATGCAAGCCTATCTAGGCTCCTGTTCAACTGTGGCATATAAGCCCAGTGCACCGTCTAAATCTGTGTTATTTGAACGCCAGCAATTCCTGGAAATATCAGAGATATTACAACGGCTCTACCATGTTGACAAGTCTTCCAGAAGTGCTATATCACATCTGCATGGCCAACATGCATTGTAGGCCCAGCGGATTTTCCTCGCGCAAAGGTGCTTGGACACCTTGAACTGAATGCTGTAGTGGTTGTGCAAATGTTCATCAGAGGAGGTGAAGACAAATTCACCTGGGAGAAGCCAATATGCTGCAGCAGGGCTTTCAGCGAAGTGGGCGAATGCAGGTACCGCTTGGCATCCCCATTAGGCGTTGCTGCCCACTCCCCAGCTGGCTCTGACCCCACGCACGTCTGCAGCCATATAGGGGCACTAAGAACCGGCAAAATTTTATTGGGCAAGCAATCTGCAGAGGCTTGGAACCGCCCCGCCCACTGATGTGGTTCACCTCAGTTGCATGACAATCACCATGTGACTATGACTTTCAGGCATGCCTTCTCTCCCACTTTATATCATTGTGTGGTCCGAAGGAGTCACCAATCATCTCACAGGTGCACTCAACTGTAGATACCTACTGCAGGGTCTATTGCCTGCCTAGGTGGATTTGAAGGCAGTGGACCGTTCACAGGGCAAGCACTTGACCACATCACAACAAGCTGTTGCCATTGCCTGTTGTGACAGAAGTTGTGGAAACACAACGGCCGGCAGCTCAGGATCGCAGGGTGATTTTGAAGGCTCACCCCAAACCAGACGCCACCCGATGCTAAGATTTTGTACACATGTTTGGCGAACGCGCGCACATCTTCCTCTGAGAGCACGTGCAGCACGGCACCGGCCCACGCGAATGCCACGCGGCCGCTGAGGTGGCCGAGCGGGCCGCCTGCTGCCGTAAATGCCGGGTCCGTAAAACTGCCGAATGCCTCGTGCACCGCCAGAGTGTCCCTGTCCTTGAACAGGTCCTTCCCAAACTCCCTGCAAGTGACACGTCAGTGTCACCCTGGAGCCAGTGGCTCTTTCGCTGTCAGTGATTCACTGAGCCAAGATGAGCCTCACATTTCATGGCATGACTAGTGACTGCAGTACGACATCCTGAAAAGGAAATGGGACAGAACTGATGCACAGTATTGATGGCATGTGCTGACTTGTATAGACAGGTCAATGATTGCCGGCTCAGAAATATGGAATCTCTGGGCATGTGTCACACCAGTAATCAGAGGTGATGTCTGTGGATGTGATGGACTCTGTGGGCACGCCATCAAGAATCATCTGCCTCGTGTCCTGGCCGAAGCAGCATCCAATGTCCTGCGCGCACAAGAGACCCTCTAGTTGCCCAGCCAATCACATGCCTTGCATGCGCATCGTCCTATAGCAGCATCCGCACACAAGACACCGTATGGACTAATTCAGGGTCTGCATGGGGGCCCATCCATTAAACAGATTCCACTTACACCTGGACTTAATGCAGAGGGGAGCATACCAGGACAAGGAGGTCCGGATCAGATTTCAGGGCGGCGAGCGCCTGGGGATAGAAGTCGTGCGTGGGGATGCGCGGCTGTAAGAACATCAGTCGCTGGATGCATGCATAGACCCACAGCTGCAAGCACACCCACGCATTATGTCAGTCTTAAATGGGCTTTCTGACCTTCCCTTGTCCCTGATCCTTGGGAAAGGAGCTGAAAGAAGACATGAGTCACCGCCGGACTTTGTGCAGACACTGTAGAAGATTTAATTCACCTTTGCCTTGACCGCCTTCCAGATATTGAGCACATGCTCTCGAAGCTTGTCAAGGTCCTTCTCTCCAGTGTAGTGAGAGAGGAGGGTCAGGTCCTCATCTGTGAGTTGCCTGGGCTGATCTGGCGTGGCATATGGGTAAGGGCTTGGCTGCTGGGGCTCCGACGCCATATGACTTGACTACGCCGTTTTTGGATCCTTAAGAATTGTCTGTATCCCCCTATGAAGCACCACCCAACACTTAAAGGTAAGGAATCAAGGAGGCACTTATTCAATTTCTTTCCAGGAAACCAAAAGGAAACGCGATCCAGCACTAAACCTGCACATCAAACAATTGTAATTCAAAACAGTATAGGACTGGCGCATGGACTGCAGTGCATGGACTGGCGCACCCTGCCCGTCTCGGGGAATTTAACCGAGAACACACCGCCTCTTCGCTCAACGATTTGCGCAAGACTATTCGGGAGATTCAGAATTTCCAAGCTCCTTGATCACGTTACTTTGCGAATCGTAAGGGTGTCCCAACATGATGAGTTAGTCAAGACAAGACTAAAGCCATCGTGCGGTAGCTTCTGGCTTCCGCGAAGCTGCAACAGCGCTAGCATGTCCAAGGAGATCCCTTCGAATTTGGGGCGGGATATTGGGCTGTACAGAGGTTCTTGCAATCCGGAAGATTTCCCACCTTTATTTAATTATTTATCAGACGTGTTTATTGCGTAGAAGGACGAGAAGACTAGGAACCTTGGGTGCAATGGAAATCTGATCTGTGAAGCTTTTGAAACGTTTTAGTCCGAATGAGCAGCCCAGGCCACATTATAGTGATCTAAACCACACTCATATACGCTGGTCATATATTGTTGAGACTGCTGATAGCCTCTTAAACACCTTGCAGGTCGAACCCATGAAGAAGTGCTTGAATGCTTGATTGTTCGGATTTAGTTTCTAACAAAGCCTTATTCCTGATTTGCGCACTACGTTGCAAATCAACACAACTGAGGCAAAGATATCCCCACCAGGAGACTTGGAAGAAGAAGAAGAAGAAGAAGAAAGGAACGCATAACAGGAGACCCCGGGGGGGACCCCTGCCACGTGCGTACGGGCGCAGCCGGGGGGCCGCGCAGAGGACATCACCTCAAGGCTAGCCCCCGTCATCAAAAGGGAAGGTCGTGGGTGGTCGGCGGACCCGGAAGGACCGCCGCGGGGGCAGCACGGGCATTGAAGGCTGTGGCAGGCGTGGGGGCGCCGCGCGGGTGTGGGGCACGGAGGTAGGTGCACGGCGGCGGCGCTGCGGCCGGGAGGGACGGTGGGGTGCAGGGAGACGGAGAGAGGGGCGAGTGTGGCGGCCGGAGCGGCGGGGGGAGGGGAGACCTGCCGGTAACGGTGGCGGGGGCTGACCTTGGAGGATGGCCGCCAGGTGTATAGGGGAGGGACCGGAGGGAGCGGAGACGCGGAGGCGTTTGCATTGGAGGCGGAAGTTGCTCTGGACGCGGCAGGTGGCCTGAATGACAGAGAGGCTGAGGGATTGAAGCAGGCGGGTGAGTGCTGGTGGGGGGTCAAGGACGCCGCAGCGAGTGAGGACCGGGCGAAAAGTGCTTGGTATGGTGCCAGCCATGCCAAGAATGAGGGGATGGACTTCGACGGTGCCCCAGCCGTGAGCAAGGAGTTGAAGGCGCAGTGTGTCGTGTTGTTGACATTTTTTGACGGCGCGCTCGTGGATGTATGCGTCCGTTGTGCATGCTATTTCAAGGAGCAGAACGCTGTGGTGAGAGCGCTGGGCTAGAGACCAGGCTGCAAGAGTTTCGGGAGAAGTGGCGGGTGGGATGTCGGGAAAGAAAACTATGTCCTGGCGAGAGGCAGGGTGAGGGAGTGCCCAATCAGGGACAGTTGGCTGGCGGGCGGCGGCGTTGGGAGTGTCGCGGTGTCCTTCTGCATCAAAAGAAAATGACTCACGTGCTGCCAGCTGGTCAATCGGCTGACGTCAGCATGCATGCACTTCCTGATGTCTGATGCCTGTCTTACTTTTTCTTGACCCACTAGGAATTTAATGTGACCTTCGTTATCTCTTCCGAAGAGGTTCGCCCATGAAGGTCAGAGAATGCACATATACCACACCGCTTTCCATAGACGCATCGTGATTTCCTAGATGCTACATATATCCTAGATGCTGCAAGAAGCAGGAAAGTGTGATCATTGGATAAGATTTCCAATATGATCTGACGTTGGCGGCAGTAGCAGTAGCCGCTCATCTACATCTAAGGCACAAACCGCCCATCATAATCTGATTCTGCAACGAAACTTGGAACGACTTTGCCGGTATGCCACCTTTCAATATTTATAATATGTAAAGCTTATTTTGTCGATATTAGCTTATTTGAAACCGGGAGGCACAATATGTGTGTAGCCCTCGCAGCACTGGCTAGCCATTACATCTGCACAACCAAACAGGGCTGAAAGGCACTGCATTCTGCTGTTTTCACCAACAAGAGCGCGGGGAAAGAGAGGGGCTCAAGTGAATATTTAATACATGTCTCAGGTCAGAACACTGCGATGGCTTCGGTCCGGCCCAATGCTGGATCGACCGGGGATCTGCTAAGGCTGAGGGTGATGGATCCCATGGATATGGAGTCTGGAGGCCAAGGAGTCAACCCCACTCTTGCCAGGTCCTTCCCAGCAAAGAAGGGGGCGTCAATGGTGCGCACATCAGCAGTCCTGTCCCTGTAGAACACTCGCACTTTCATCCCCATTGCCCCATCTTACGATGATGCATATCTCAAGAAATGTGGAGATCCTGCAGTCTGTGCCTGCTCCTGCCTAGATGCAAATGTGACTGGTGCACAGAGTCACACGCCCCCGGGCTTGTTCTCATTTCTGGCTCCTGCGCTGCGCTTTTGTAGCCCCACAGAGCGAGGCTGGCAGGGGGCGGTACAAATACTGAGTACCGTGCCAACGGTTGATTTGGTCTTGCTCTGATATGGCGAGTCCATCAAGGGGTAGGATTGTGGCAGCCTCCAATTGCAGCTTGTCTGCAGGATGTACCTTGCCTTTGGCAGGAAAAATGTGTAATAATAATAGTGCGAGCCAGGCCTGTCATTGAGCGTCCCTGCTTTGCCTGACTCATGATAGATTGCCCCGCTTAGAGATAATGTGAGCCCTTTGATTTACAAACAATATCAGAGCCCTTTCTGTTGCAGGGGTTGGCAAAGGTGGACTCAAAAGTGCTGTACGTAGCAGCTGCAATCTTCGGGTTGGTGGTTCTCTATTTGGGGGCTCACACCTCCTTTGTGGGGGTCTTTGTGCTGGTGACGTGCTTCGTCATGCTGGTGTTTGCCGGCTGGCTGGCAAAGTGGGTCATGGCCAAAGATGAGGGCACCGTGGACATGCAGGAGGTGACATTTGCTCTTGCATCCTTGCTTGCACCAATGTATCTTTGCATGCTGCAAATCCTGGACCCCTTGGTGGTGTTTTGTTCGTTTGCCTGTAAGTCTTGGTCCTCATTGCAGATCCCCAACATCTTGATATACGATGATGGTTGTTTCTTTCCAGGTTTCTGAGGCCATCAGGGAGGGAGCAGAGGGATTCTTCAAAACTCAGGTGCAAAATTATAAATGCACTGTTTTCAGCATGCCTGTCAGCAGCAGGAGATGCCCTGCTTGGCCTGCTGGGCAGCCGCCCTTGCAAAGAAAGTGCAGGCACTCCTACTGACAGCAGTACAATTCTTTGAATGCTCCCAGCATTGCTTATTGCACTGCATAATAAACAGAAATGCATGCGCTTAATATCCTGGAGAACTCTTGCGTGAGTGCCGACAATCGGCTTTCAATCGCAAGAGATCATGCATGTTAATAGCTTTGATTTGTGCATGCGCAGTATGGGGTGATCAGCAAGCTGGCGCTGGTGGTGTCGGCTGTCATCTGCGCCATCTACCTCTTCAGAATCCAGACCCCCGAGCAGGAGAAGGCCGGCCTCACCAGGTGCTTCTCAATCATGCTAAGAGGACCAGCAACGTGGGAGGAGTGAGCTGCATAAATGTACCCTTGCTGTGGGAGTAGCCTTTCAGGCACCAGGATATGCCTGAAGCATGGCTGCATGCATGCCTTCGTGCTGCTATATGTAGCCTGCACCTCAAATACATGCCCTTTTATACTGCCCAGCTGCTTTATCCTGCCTCTTCCTCTCCTCCAAGAGCAGTCAGACGTGAGTTTCACCCTGTCAGCTTCGCAACTGCTCCCAGAGCTTTTTGACAGCCATGCACCACCTACGTCCTGTATAAGAGCCATCTCGATTAGTGCAGGAATTTCTGTGCACTGATGCCAGCTGCAATATTGCAAGACTATGCTGTAAACCTGCTCACAGGGTGGCAGTGTATTGCCCAAGTCCGTTTGCGTGTTCAATGACGCCTTCGTCGCAGAGGCTCTAGCGAGACGACCACAAGCAGAAGTTTGCTTTTTCAGCAAGTCTCGCCGTAATATCCATATTCCAATGCAGGACGACGTTGGCGCTGCTGACGGCGATGTCATTCCTGCTGGGAGCGCTGTGCTCCGGGGTGGCTGGCTATGTGGGCATGTGGGTGAGCGTGCGCGCAAACGTGCGTGTCTCTGGCGCGGCGCGGCGTTCGGCACGGGAGGCGCTGCAGATTGCGCTGCGCGCCGGCGGCTTCTCCGCGCTCGTCGTTCTCGGCATGGTGCGTGTCATCTGCACTGATTTTGGCGTCCTCGGCCGAACCTTCTGGCCTGCTTATGAGGTCTATTCAGGCCAGGTCATTGTGCTTGGCAAAGGGCCGATCGGAGAGCTGCTACACCAATGGAACCTGCCCTGCTGTCGAGCAAAAGCAACATGCTATGCCAGGGGGGTACTGCACAGCTGTAACATGGGCATCAGCTGACACTTTCATATCATCCTGGTGCAATCGGTTGCTAGTCCCCATCGCTCCTCCTTCCGCCTGCCGATCAAGACATTGTGCTTGACAGTTATCGGCAGCACCTCCTGACAGATGCCAGCACCTGCGACGGCGCCTCTCCTGCTGTTTTGTAGCTACTTCTTGTCATTTTGGAACAAAAACATTCAAATTCAAAATTCAAAATTCAAATTCGAATTTGAGCTTGTGTTGCGTCTTCCATGCACAGACGGTGCTGGGCATCACGATAATGTACAGCGCCTTCTCGTTCTTCTTCGTGTCTCCGGGCGGAATGGCCGCAGCGGACATTCCACTGCTGCTGGTCGGCTACGGCTTTGGAGCCTCCTTCGTGGCGCTCTTTGCGCAGCTGGGCGGCGGCATTTACACCAAGGCGGCTGATGTGGGCGCGGATCTTGTGGGCAAGGTGGAGCAGAACATTCCAGAGGATGACCCCAGGTGATCTTTCCCAATGCGCCACTCGCCCATTTTCGCCCCTTTAGATTCTGACGACAGGGGTACAAAAGACTACCCCCTGTCTTTGTTAGTCTTAAGTACCCCCTGCTAACGACAGGGTCGCTGGTGCAGAAACCTTTGCTAGGTGAAGTTTGCTGAAGGTGATCATGGGGTTGTTAGAGCTTCAGGAAAGGGCTGGCTATTGGATTCTGATTTGCTAGTGTGTTGGAAGATCCGTATAATTGGGCTCCATTAAGCAACTCTTACGAAAGTGGTCCAGCATGTTATTTTGTGTCTTTCTCGACTCAACACTTTAGTGCAGTGCAAATGGCTATTGCTGCCTGAAAATGAGATCACAGGAGACTACTGGACTTTCTGTGGCTCCAGCCTTAGAACAGCGAGCTTCAAAAAGTTGGTGGTCTCTCTGGTGCCATTTTCAGGCAGCTCCTCTCCAATCTGAGCAGTTTGTAGATGCATAGAGCAAGTAGTATATGAACCATAAATTTGCATGGGATGCATGGATTTGAGCTGGTTGGAATCATTGTAAGCCATCAAATTTTGTGCAGGAATCCTGCGGTGATAGCGGATCTGGTGGGTGACAACGTGGGTGACTGCGCTGCGAGGGGCGCTGACCTGTTTGAGAGCATCGCCGCTGAGGTCATCAGCGCCATGATCCTGGGAGGCACCATGGCAAAGAAGGTGCCCCTTCTCTTCTGCACCCCTACATCCCTCTTGCACCCGTGTTGTTCTGCCAATACTTGCTCAGCTGCCCCCAAAGTACCTTGATGTGACAGTAGGACACAAAAATGCCCCAGTTTGCTTTCCTATAGTCAAAGCCCTGCTGAAGCTTTGGCCACAAACCCCACAAATCCCTGGAAATGGCAGAACATGCTTCTTAGTACAGGCCGAGATTATACATAAAGTATGGGTTCTGTGTTGATGGAGGACTACCTCTTCAGCCTCTAGCTCAAAGCAAATTAATGTAATGGCAATTGGCAGGCAGATTATTTTCCGGTGAGGTTACAGAACAGCTACGCATGAAAAGCACGCATCATGTGATGCCACATAAGCAGGCACTGAGCTGTAGAAGGTTGTGGCTGGTGCAGGCGGGTATTGAGGATGCGAGCGGCTTCATAATGTTTCCGCTGGTGGTGCACACGATGGATCTGGTGGTCTCAGCAGTCGGCATCCTCTCTGTGGGCTCCAAGTCCTCCGCCAAACCCAACCAGGCCATAGAGGACCCCTACGATGTCATCAAGGTGTGGGTGAAACCTACATTCCGCCTGAACCCCTGTGGCTAGGTCCAGCTGGCATGGAAAGGAGACTCAGCCGCCAGTAGTGAAGAAACATGCAAAGGCAGTCATGGCCTGTTACCAGTCGCCAGCTGCGCGCGGCAGGATGCGCCTTCAGGCTGCTTTCTTGCCCTGGTTTGCGACATGCATGCAGAAGCTTAAATCGTGCCAGCCAAGTTTGTCAACTGCCGGGACGGGGTTCTGACGGCTTGGCATCTTGCCCAGCCGTGCTGCCGTGTCAAACCATGCAAATTCTTTCCCAGCCCCTCTCCATTTCAACATGACATCACCGTTCTACTGATACAAGATGCATACATCATGGGGGATGCAGTAAGAGCAGAAAGCTGTGATACGCTACTGCTATGCTGTTTTCTTGTGGAATAATCAGAAGGCGACTGTGGTTTGCACAGGGAGGGTACAAGGTGGCAGTGCTGTTGTCAATTGTGGCGTTCATTGCCTCGTGCCGGCTGTTGCTCTACTCTGCCGTCGCACCAGCCGCCTGGCTGCACTTTGCTGGTGAGCCACTTGCCTGCTCCTAGTGCAATTTATTCCTCTGCCAAGTAGCGTAGTTCTGCCTCAGCAGGGTCCTGTACATTGCCTGCCTGACACCTGGTTCAGGAGGGGTGGCCATTTTTTTTTGGTTGGTGAGTGAGCTTTTGGGATAAGGAGAAGATCTGCAATGCATGGAGTGTATCCCAAGAGCTCCTGTCTGCCGTCAGGCATTTCATATCACACGCATGCAGCTTCCCGGCACTGCAAATTTCCTTTGGTTTCCCACATTCCTGCCAAGCGGCTTCTCATCCCACCATGCATTTAATTTCGAATTTCGAAGTTCGAACTTCAAAATGCTGAATTATACTGCTGCTGCAGGCTGCGGCATGGTGGGCATAGCGAACGCGTATGCGTTCGTGTGGATCGCGCAGTACTACACCGACTACAAATTCAAACCCGTGCGCCTTATTGCCGAAGCTTCCACGACCGGCCACGCCACAAACATCATCGCAGGAGTGGGACTCGGACTTGAATCGACCGCGGCGCCGGTTCTGGTCATGAGCGCCAGCCTCATTGCCTCCTACTGGCTCGGCAACACATCAGGTGCCCATGCTAGCCCGCCCGCCCATGATTCTTCCTGAGTGGATTGACGGATTGAAGAAAATCACCTTAATGCTCTTGGCTGAATGCTCTTGGAGTGGCAGTTGATGCTGTGCAAAGACAAACGGCGGTGAACTAATCCAATCACCAGATATTTTTACGGTTGGGCAAGGGACGGCGATCTGGGTGGTCCAGAGGAGCTACATCATGAGACATGTATCAGCACATTGCCACTTTGCACTGCTTTGATTGAAGGACTCTTAGCATTCCAGAGTGAGACGGGGAAAATTACAAGGTTCAATGTGAAGAGCGCGCATCTTGATTCCAAACCTGAGCTGCACATGTCAATGCATTAAGTGCAATTGACACAATTTGCCCTCTGACTTCCCTCTCATCTGTGCTAACACCAATGCAGCGTGTCAGGATGACTAAGATAGTGCTACTTCTCTGCAGGGCTGACAGAGTCGAATGCGGACGGCTTGTTTGGGACGGCGGTGGCGACGATGGGCATGCTGTCAACGGCAGCCTACGTTCTCACAATGGACGTGTTTGGGCCCATCTCGGACAACGCCGGCGGCATCGTGGAGATGAGCCAGCAGCCAGACAGCGTCAGGGAAATCACCGACCTCCTGGTGAGTGCGTTCTTCTTGTCCCTTTTTTAATTTTGCTTACTACCATTTTTGTGGGGACCGGCATGCAGCATGTTCCCCAATTGATGTCCAACCCCAGTGTGTCTGCAAGTACTTAATCAATCTTGCTGTGTCCATATGTGCATTTGCGGAGCAAGTGCTGCAATGTGACAGACTATCTGTTATCAGTGGAGGGCTCAGAAAGTGTAGCAAGGCATTGTATTTTGCGCCATTTAATAAAGAGCTTGGGGTGCCCTGCAGGACGCAGTGGGAAACACGACAAAGGCGACCACCAAGGGATACGCGATAGGCAGCGCCGGTCTAGCATCGTTCCTGCTCTTCACTGCCTTCCTGGACGAGGTGGCAACCTTCTCAGGGCAGCCCTTCGACCAGGTGACCTCTCCCCAACACCCCCATGAGCATATTTTTGCCCTTATATATTCAAAAGCTTTTTTACTGATAATGAGTGCACACAGGTCCCATTTCCTGCATTTCCTGTTCTCCGACAAGCACCTCGCACAAATTTGATGATGCCAGGGCCCAAGATGGTGCAAATGGCTTAACAAGCTTGCTTGCAGCTCATGAGATGACAGCAGTGAGGAAGGATGGGGACAGACAGCAGTATGGTTGTAAAAGCGAATCGGTGTGCTCAGGTGGACATAGCGACGCCGGAGGTGTTCATTGGGGGACTGCTGGGCGCCATGCTAGTCTTCCTCTTCAGCGCATGGGCCATCATCGCTGTGGGCCGCTCAGCCCAGGCAGTTGTCAACGAGGTGCAGACCTTCTCCTGGACCAATTCACCGCTCCAGGAGAGCATCCTGGCCTTTGTAGCGGGCCTTTTTGTCAGGTTGGAGTGCGCTGATGTCATGACAAATGTCCTGTGGCTCGGAGCCACTGGCTCCTATGGTAATCTTCAGAGGTGGAGTCTGGCACAGCCTGCAGTCTTGCATTCTGCAGGGCCTGACACGATGCCATGAGATGGTCCGGGCACTGGAAGCAGCCGATGCCATCAGCTCGGAACAGCCTGGACAAATTTCCTATGACACCAACACCAGCAGTATTCATCCTTACGTGGCAATCAAGAATGAGTGGTGAGTCAGGGTTAGTATTTTTACTAATTCTCCCTCAATAATGTGATGCAGGTGCGGCGGCAATTTCAGGAGCGGCCGGGGATAATGACGTACGCGGAGAAGCCCGACTACGCACGCTGCGTCTCCATCGTCGCCACCTCAGCGCTCAAGGTGACTCATCCCTTAATTTGCAAATTTAAACAGGAAAAGTCCCTTTCAAAGAAAAGGACACTCTACGCAGAAGCTCTGCAACAAAAGTCTTGTTTGAGGCATGCAAGCGTCTAGTGGGTGTGCCAAAATGTGGTCTGGGACAATCTGGGTGCCTCTGGGAGCATCATTCAATACCTCCCGTCGTGGTCTTGCTGCTCCTGGCACGTCCATCCGGCCCAACAGCTCCTGTCAGTGTTTGGGCAGGACGGTCACCTATTACATCATCCTCTCTGCTCCTGGGGGGTTGATGTACTTGCTGAGGTGCTCACATGCTCCTGCGATGCAAAAATGTAGGAGGTCATCATGCCAACTGTGATCTTTGAACTTTGCGCAGCTCCTTCTCCACATGAGCATAGTCTCTGACAGCTCACTACAGCCACCAGGCTGCTGATGGGTCCCTTGTCATGCGTGCGCAGGAGATGATCCGGCCGGGGTTGTTGGCGGTACTGTCGCCTTGCGCGGTGGGCTTGGGATTCCGGGTGCTCGGCTACTACACGGGGCAGACCCTGCTGGGGGCCAAGGCCGTCGCCGGGCTGCTCATGTTCTCCATGGTGGCAGGTAATTGCTCTTCTCCTTGTACATCTCGATGCCAGGTGGCAGGTGAAACATCATGAAATTGAGGGTGGGAATAGCAGTGCTGGTCTGCAAAGGCTGGCAGGCTTGCAGGGCGTGTTATATCGCAAGCTGGCGGCAACATGCCGCTTTGCTGGCACATCTGGAATTGCGCGCTAGCTTGTGATGGGCTCTGTTGCGGCACTCCTCACAGTGCTGCACCACAGAGTATGTAGACACTTAGCTGCTGTGTCCCATCTTGGTTGCCCACTTACTTCCTTTTCATAGAAAGAACGTGCCGTGGAGTCTTAAGGAACAACTTCACACATACATATTGTTATACTTTTTCAAGGGCCACATCAGCTACCAGCAGAGTGCAGTAATAATAAAGGCGGACCCCATTCCCACTGCTGTCCATATATGCAGGTCCTTGGCTGTGGCATAGAAAATGTCTCATAGGAACTCAGCAGCGATCCGCCAATTCTGGCGGGTCGGACAAGAGATGTCTGGATTGTGCTGGTGTGTCCTGCCAGGGATCCTGATGGCGCTGTTCTTGAACACGGCGGGCGGCGCGTGGGACAATGCAAAGAAGTACATAGAGAGCGGCGCGCACGGCGGCAAGGGATCCGACGCACACAAGGCCGCCGTGACGGGGGACACCGTCGGAGACCCGTTCAAGGACACGGCAGGACCCTCGCTGCATGTGCTCATCAAAATGATCGCCACCATCTCGCTCGTCATGGCACCCCTTTTCTTGGACTGAGAAAAGGTACTGGGATGTCAGGCATGCGGTCTGAGCAAATTCCTGGGACTGAGCAAGGGACTCGCCAACCGTCTGGCATGCGGTGGGAGCGTCTATTCGGGCTGAGCAAGGGGCTTGTGGTGGCACCCCTTTTCCTGGGCTGAGCAACAAACTCGCCACCGATCTTGCCAGAACCCAATACCGAGCCAGACTTGCCTTTTGCATCCCTGCCCTGTTGGCAAGCTATAACTATACAGCTCATGAGGATGCCAGGGTCCTGAGATTTTGATTTGGTTTTGAATGGAACTGCGATCATCTCGCTCGTGGTAGGCACTGTTGGCTGAGCAGTGGGCTCTTTGATTTATTAGAGTACCCTGGAGCGAAGATCCTTGTGATCCTTGTGTATCCTTTTGTTGGCGCCGCATAACTCAAGAGCGGGACACAAGAGGGCCCTTGAACGAACAAGGCAGAGATTTTGGTGCCAGGGCAGCCTGCCATCATTGCTCAGGATGACTCAGCATGGCTCTTCTGTGGAGCAGAGACACCTGTGAAATATGGATTTTGTGCATCTGTCCAGCAGTGCAGTGTTTGATGCTATCTTTGAGGGTGCGATATAGAAGACAAAGAGCGATTTTGGACCCAATCAGCCTTGCAAGCTGAAGCTCTGGCATAGTGTCATCTTGCGGACCTCCCAATTTTGCAGCCTGGTGGCTGATGCTGAGCATGAATGAATGGAAAATCACTCGACCACCGGTGCCATAAAAAACGGCGTTTCCATGAAAAATTAAGCATTGCATGGCAACTTACTGTACAACGGTGCAAGAGACCAAGAGCTGCCTGGGTGAATCACCGTGAGTCCTCTCAGAACTCCAACATAGCTTTGTGTTGGCATCCGAAAACCTGCCTCGCTCAGGATCCCCTGGATCAATTCTCTCGGCAACTTCTGCATGCCAGCATGCGCATCATAAATTGCTATACTAACCCCTTTGCCTGCCAGGTAAAAGCAGGTGAGCACAGCTATTGCCCTACCCTCAATGGAATTAAGCACTTCTTTACCCACATTTGTGTGCCATAGTGCCGGCATTTCGCAGCCCCACTGGTGACAGTAGAGCAGGCATTGCAGTCACTGATTGCACACTCTCTGTAAAGCGGTATCCCCCTTAAAGCCACAGATAGAGATCCTCCTCTAGCAGGTCCAGCTGGGTGTGCCACACCCCTCCATTCACACAGATGTACTCAAGCATGTCACACCGGTGCATTCTCTGCCTTGTGCGTCCCATTCGCATCCCATGACCTCACACACATAAGCCAGGGACGCCACGCTGCCACTACCCACAGCCCAGCATGGCATGGGTCTTCGCTTGAGAATCTGACCCGCTCATAGGGACAGCCGTTACTATGGACATACACTAGGCAATCAAGGTTCTGCATGGCGTATGCAATAGTGTACTCATCCCACGGACAGCCCGTAGCGCAAACATGCCAAGTTGCCGCTCCGCGCTGCGACTCGGCAGGTTTTCGCATGACAAAGACAGCCATGCTCGTGCGCATACACAACGCATTCTAGATGCCCTCTCTCTGCCGCAAAACTTGATTGCTTTTGCATGCCATGGGCAACCATGCTCGTACGCGTGCTGCAATCACTTAACGCTTCCATGCCTCGCTGCGGCGGCACTTGCATACCAGTTCTGAGGACACACACTTGCACCCTCAAGTCTCACAGATCATCTAGAGGAACAAATACGCTGTGGCTTGACCTGAAGAGGACTTGTGCAGATAGTGGTGTGAGAGAAGCAACCAACGTTCTGGATTTTGGACAAGTGAGTCAACACGAAGTCTCTCAGCAACAGCATGGGTTCCTCAATTCAACTCACCGGGCTTGGGTAAGCAGTCCAGATTGCAGAAGCCAGCATCCCAGTATTTGCTCTGCAGGGCCGCAAATCCAAATACGCCGATCTGTGCATGCCACTGAAATGCAGAATGCTGATGGGTGCATTGCGGCAGTCCGGCAGGCGATAACTCCATAGGAGCCATCACTTGTATAACAACATCTGTCTGGCATTGGCCAAGTAATAACTAGCATGGCAGCAACTGGGGTTCCTGCTCTTCCGGACCCTCACTGCCGCTCTCTTCCGAGTTTATCCCGAGGGGTCTTGAATTGCACCAGCCGGCCTTCTCTACAAAGTCCCTTGTCACCCTTGTCACGGCTGTGGGACTGCCTGCAGTGCAACTGCATACCTTCAAGGAATGTAGGATTTGGCTGAGACCCTGCGATGCTGTTTTTAATGGCTTTCATCCAGGGCAAGGACACCTTCTGGAGTCCTGCACTGTTAGCAATGAATATATTGCGCTCTTCTTGTGCTGCACCTGAGGTAATGCAAGCCTTGCAAGGCTGCCATGAGTCGCCACCCTCTGTCCTGACGAGCGCCAGTGCAAGCACATCCTCGCCATACCGATAGCAGTGCTTCATTATCTGTAATATGAATGTTCTACTGAGCGTCAGGAAATAGTCCTGCGTTGTCCAGAGATATCCTTTGGCACGTAGCAGCAAAGAAAAAGAAGCAAACGCCTGCGAAACTTCGGGATGGTCTGGGGTGGATCTACTTAGTCGATGATGACTAGAATGATGTGAAATTTTCATCTGCGATCTGCAGACAGCATACCTCACCTTGCTGTGATAGAAGCGTCACAAGACAGTGGGTTTGGCAATCGCCTTACTGGAAGAGAGGATCATTCCTTTATAGGCCTTTGGGGCGTCTGGCATATGCTTGTATCTAAACTTCAAACTAAGAGAACCTGCAGAGCAAACTGCGAAGTGCTTTCTGATCAAAATGCTGGAAGGTTCTGTATCTGTCGCAGCGAAGCCTTGAAATCTGAGGTGAAGCCGAGATTCCGAGAGATACGCACAGAAGTTGTGGGATGTGCTTCCACGCGTTGATTTCTCCGTGCCTGTGTCATTGCGTTGTTCGCACCCAAATTGCATCAAAGCTCTTCTTCCTTGTCAATCAGTGATAAACATGGGTTCCAGTGGCCCTCCCCCGGGGTATCCAGGCGCTGGCAACCAGCAGAACTACCCCAGTGCTGGTGTGAAGCCTGAAGATCAGAAGGCAGGTGGCTACGGCCAGCAAGCTGGTGAGTTGTAGCACTTTCATGTTATTATTTTGGTCAGGATCGGAGCACTTGGTCTGCCCGAATGCATGAGTTTTGTATGGCTCAGCCCACCTCGAGGTACTAGGTCTTTGCTTCCGCGCAAAGTCTTGGATGCTTTCCTGCCGAAATTAATATACATCCGGGTTCTGCAATAATGAAAAGGCGCACTCTCATATACTATGGAGTACCTCACTGCTCAAAGGCGAAGCAAGTTGAGACCAAACATTTTCCTTGCGAACCAGTTTTCGAGGCCACGGCTAAATTCAATAACTCCATGCACTGGGTGACGTTTACTTTTTGATATGCAGCGTACGGCCAGCCAGTCGCTGGATACCCCAACTACCCACAGCAGGTGCACTGACACCTGCCTTCTCTCAATAACAAAGTACTTGATGCTCTTGTATATTGGCCACCAGACGTTCTTCTAATGTCATGCTAATTGACTGCTGGTGGCATGCAGGGCGGCTATCCTCAGCAGGGGTACCCTCAGCAGGGCGGATACCCTCCCCAGGTGCTCATCCCTGTACATCATCTTTATCCTGCCGTCTGTCTGCGCTGCTCTGCAGCTCCATGAATGAAACAGTGCTCTAGCACATGCTGGAGTGGGACTGAAATATGCACTAGCACAGGCAAGGGTGCAATGGACAAATGTATGGGTGCATCACAGGGGGCGCAATATGGCCAGTACCCGCCGCCGCCGCCAGGGCAGGCGATGTATGTGCAGCACCCGCAGCAGCAGCAAGGAGGAGGAGGCATGGGTGCCGGCCAGGGCTGCCTAGCCGCCTGCCTGGTGCGGCCCAGCGCTCTGCACAGCACTTTCAATTGCTCTTATCATTGGTTTGGCACTTGGCATTTGCTCTTTTGCAGCTCGACTCACTTGGCAGCTGCAGGCGCCCTGCTCAACCAGAGACTGGTCTTGTCCAGGATGGAACCTGCGTATCTGGAGATACACTTGGTACACGAGGAACTGAAAGTGTTGACATGTGTGGCTTGCAGGCAATGGCGTGCTGCTGCTTGGTGGGAGACGCACTCTTCTGAGGTTGGCACTGATGAGATGTACGGCTAGTACATATCTGTTGAAGGTTGATCAGCAAGTTGAGGCTCTGTGCAGGGCCGAATGTTTGAAAAGAGTTTAGCCGCCATGACAGAGGAAGCTTCCGTGGTTGCTGTGACAATTGAAGGGTGTTGCGAGCTCTTTGGCCAATGGGCTGGCATGTGAACTCAAATGCAGCATGTTGGTTGAAATTTGCAATTACTAGTTAATTTCTTTTTATACTAGCTAGGGGCATGTGCTTTGTATACAATAATTCGTGAAATGCGGAATGTAGGGTTGAGGGTGTCTGCAGGATTTTACTCACATGGTTCTGCGGCATTTCAATGTAGTGTCTGAAGTATGAGACGTAAGTACATCAATGGGGAAGCATTGCTGACTCTGGAGCTAATCATCTTGAGTGATGCGATCTCTCTGTAAATTGTTACCGTTTTTGCTAGAGTATTTGGGAATGCCTTGGTTACAGAGCCAACGTGGGCTGCGACACATGGAGTCAACAAAGTGGTCGTGGCAATTGCAAGTCGCCATGCAAGCCCCGAGGCGGGTGTTCAGCAATGAAGAATCATCAATATTGCGTCTGCAACATCCTTCAGCGCAGATTGTCAGGCAGTCAACGTGTCACTGACCGTACGAAGTGTCACTGACCGTGCGAAGTCAACCGTAAATATAGCCAACAGAACCAGTGTTCGGGAATCCCATCACCTATATTTCAATGCCATAGCTGCAGACAGCATCCCTGTCAGCCTCTCACATGCATATGCATACGGGCCAGCATGCCACGATGAATTCTGCATATCCAGCAGCGCACTGATGATCTCCCTCCTTCTGTCTGCGCGCTACGCAGCATGCCTTGGGGCCTCACTCTCTTCTCTTCCTGCAGCAAAGTCTGCTTCGACAGATGCAACCTGCAACTTTGCAGCGCATGCTGCCGCCTGGACTCTACTTTCGACTGTACGATATAAACCAGATGATATAAATTAACCCCTGCAGCAAAATCTGCTCCGACACATGCAGCATTCTGCAGCGCATGCCGCCATCGGGGACTGTAGTACGATAATTCCCCTGCCGCCGCACGCCTGATTACACGCGTTTGAGGGCTTTGTAGTAGAGCTCGATGTAGTCCAGTGCCGGCTCGCTCCAGCTCCAGTCCTGCTCCATCACCCGCTGCACCAGGGACCCCCAGGCCTCCCTCTCGCTGAACCAGGAAGTCAGCGCCCTGTGGCAGCACTCGCACAATATTAGCTATAGAACTCCATGTCATTTCTACAAAGGCTTGCATTGAAATACGGTGATTGTGTGTCCTGCATTCACAAATGAAGCAGTGCGGTGCCACCGGACAGCAACCATTGATAAGACAACAATTCATGGGATACTGGGTGTTCTCTCATGGCAGGGAGAAGCGCTTCAGTGCATGCTAAGGCATAAGCAGAGCAGAGCGCACAGAGCCGGCAGTGACTGGCATGCAGCAATTCCATACTTTTCGCAGCAGCAGCTAGAGGCACTGCAGAGGTAGCGGGAGAAAATTCGCCTGATGAGTGGCACCAAGCAACATACCTGGGATGCGGGGACTGCTGAAGAGGGGATCCTATCACTGCAAGGTGCAAAAACCAAGATCTTGGGTAGAAGCCGCACCGGTTGAGCGCGTAGTCAATGCCTGCCGGGTCGGTTCCCTCAAAGTTGTAGCCGTTAGTAACCATGCCCTGCTGCGATGCGCGCGCCACGTCATCATCCACGTCAAAGACCGTGTCGTTCAGACCGCCGGTTTTGCGCACCACCGGTATCGTGCCATACCTGCGCCAGCACATTTTGCATCTCAAATTGGTTCTTGATCAGATGATTTCAGATTTACAGCTTGCATCAAATTGTCAGCCTTATGGCATGCACAAGATGAGTTGCAATTAATCACCTATGCACCCTTTTGCTAAAAAGCAGACATTCCAAACTTAGGTGTGCGCCAAGAATACATGTGTAACGTGGGACTAATGACAACAAGGATGCAGGGAGGGAGTGATCTGAAAAGTGTCATCTCTGCAGCCCGAGAGATGAAAGGTTCCTTTGGCAGAAAGGCTGGCTGCGCACCGCATGGCGATCATCTGGGTGAGGCCGCAGGGCTCGAAAATGGAGGGAACTAATAATATGTCCGCCCCCGCATAGATGAGGTGACTCAGCGGCTCGTCGTAGCTGAACCAGCAGCGCGCTCGGTCCGGGTACGCTCGGCCCATCTCCCCTGCCAGGGCATTGAACTCCGCCTGCATGCATCCTTGCACCTCAGCTAGGTTTATTGTTTGAAGTCTACATGGCTCATGACAAGATTCCTTGGAATTGACGTATAACTTGTGGAGATAGTGCCAAGGCAGGGGAAGGTTCAAAGGAAATTGCTGCTGCAGTGATTCTAGCTCTGTGATTTGAAAACAAGCGCGTGATTATAATGATACCAGTTTCCCAGTTCACACTTCTATCTTCCTCTTGCCCAATGGAGTCATTCATGAAAACCTAACAAGTGCTAAGTCTTCCACCCTTGAGAAGAAGAACAGTGACAGAGCTGTCACAGGCAGGTGACAATTGTCCTGGCGTGAAGCAGTCATTAGCAATGAGCAGGACACTTTCAAAGCCAGGGAACAAACACTACATGATTAGCCTCATCAAGGAAGCAAATCTGCAATGTCACTCGGTGCGGAGTCATGCTGTCCTGTACAGCACAGATTTGAGAGCAAGCTGATCACTGGCTGACTGATGCATGGGCATGTGCCGGCAGGTGCGCGCACCTGCACGCGAGGGTCGGGAGCGGATCCCAGCAGCACAAACTGCGCGCCGCGCTCCAGGGTGCGCCAGGCGGCGTGCTTGATCAGGTGGATGCCCTTCTGGTGAGTCAGCCGGGTCACCACCGCGACTAAGGGCGCCTCTGCGCCGCTGAGGCCCATGCGCGACCGCAGCTCGGCCTTCGCCGCCGCCTTGCCGGCCTCCGCGTCGGCCGTCCCGTAGTTCCTGCGCCGCAATAATTTTAGCGTTTAGAATTCAGGGTGTGTATGATTGACCCACAAACAAATGTGCTGCATCTGCTCAGCTGGCGGGTGTGCAAAATTGGTGCTGTGATGATGCTCGGCGCCTTGCAGTTATCGCTTTTCAACATGAGCTTATCTTTTGATCATATTCTGCACAGCCATCAATGACATGGAATGGGGACGGCTTGCTGAACACTAATCGGACCTGCACGCTCCCAGCATCATGATGTGGTTCATGCAGTTGAGCATTCCTTCGCTGCACGTTTGTGAAAGTGCGTGCAATTGCATTATTCCATTGCCGAGTCAGGCCAGGACAGGCAGCATGTGGGCACAGCAGCCTGACACGCTGCAAAGTACCGGCCGGCAGTGGTTGGACAAATCGCGGCGGGAAACTCTATGGAGCTGACATCAGATTGCCAAAGCGGGGTTTCAGAGGATGTGAACTGACCGGGGCAGGAATCTGTCGGTGAGTGGGTCCCAGATGTCTTGGTCGATGCCATTGCGGATGCCATAGAACTTGTCCATATGGGGCGCTATAGCCGGGTGCCCGCTCACCTGCACATGCACAAATATGCAGCAATTGTCATCCCCCAGCTCACATCAAATTATTTGATAGGACCCTGAGTGTTTCGCAATGCAAATTTGCTTCATCCTGACTTCCCCTTGTGGAGCTCAAAAGATATGCATCGCTGTTCTTTCAAGAAAGAACTGGACAGGACAATGCATGTGTATGATGAAACACAAAACTGCCAAAGTGTTCGGGACGCAAGGGGATTGGCTAAACCGAATCCCTTTGCTGCATAAAATGATCTCACGTTGCTGTTATCGAGAGCCACCGCTCCACAGGCAAAACCAGCACCATCACAAGTGGGACCGCTTGCCAAAGAGAGCCGCTAGCATTGGCGCACCTCGGCTGCATAGGTGGGAGAGACGGTGGTGCAGGCGGCAGCTGCGCCCATGGCTCGGCCGATGAGATCAGCCCCGTAGTTGAGGTTGTGGATTGTGAATACCGCCTTGGTGGCGCCCCCCATGTCCCCAAACGCCACCGGCGCCGTCGCCCAGTCGTGCGTGTGCACTATGTCCGGCCTGTACAATACAAACCAAAGTCGACTCCAAATATCTGCAGAGCAGTGTGCACATGACAAAAATCGGCAGATATATCACTCCCCTGCAGGCCACTGCGTCCGGCCTGCACCATGGTCCAAAGGGGGCCATTTGTATATTCCGAGGAGAAAGAATGGGAAGAAGAATGCTGCATTGCCAGGTAATTCACCTCCCCTGAGAAACAAACCCTAGCAAGGGTGGGCGCACATGGCGGGTGAGTGGTGCTTGAGGTATTCGAGGGCCGCCCCGCAGAAGAAGCCGAAGCGCGCCGCGTCGTCGTTTCTCCCGTAGATGCAGCCGACCCAGAATGCGCCGCTGGTGGGCTCCAGGAAAGTGGTGGGAACGCCCTCGACCTCCCCGGCCCACACCTTGGTCTGCACATTTGCGAAGAAGAAGTCCTTCACCATGCGCAGGCCCCGCACCTGCGCAGCCGGCACATGCAAAGGTTACGCTATTGCCAAAATAGGCCATGCATGCCAGTGCGCCAGAACAGACGATGCATGTCACCGCGCCAGAGTAGGCCATGCATGTCAGGCGCCAGAATAGGTGGTTCCTATTACAACGCCAGAACAGGTCATCTGTGCAGGATATCTGTGCGTGTTCAAATGTCCTGCTTGGCTGCTACCCTCAGATTCAGACTCAGGCATCAGATCCAGCCCACTGGACGCGAGTGTGACTGACGCTGCCACCCATGTCAAGACAAAATGTGTCAAGACAGGCAGTGTCAAGACTTCAAAAGTATACATTCCTGCATTGGCGCGTCCGGGAAATAACACTTGAATGCAATTTTGCATCTGCAGATATGCAAGAACTTCAGTCTTGGGCATGTGTGTGGTTTGATTTTATAAAAAGAGGTGTTTTTTCAACAACTGCTGACCTCATCGTAGTTGATGATGTCATACTTGGGCAGCACAATCTCCACCTCGTGCCCCTCCTCCTGCACCGCCCTCGCCAGCGCTGTCACAACGTCACCCATGCCGCCCACCTGCCACAGGAAATATCAACTCTTTCAACACGCCCTTTTGATTTAGTACTGCCCGGACGATTTACAACTCAAGTTTGATGGTTCTTGGCCTTCTGGCAGGCTATCTCGGTAGAACTACATCTAGGGAAGCAAAGGAGGTTGTTGCCTAGTGCAAGCTGAACAGTTAGCTGCTGAAAGAGACACACTCCTCCTGGCAGAGAAAGGATAAAATGGCAGGGCCCAACAATACAAAATAGTAGCACTGCAAAAGGACAAAGACACCCTCGCAGCACCTTGGTTATTCAAATGGACACATGTGGCATTTGCAGCGGCGGCTGCTCAGATGTTGATTTGAAGATTTGCAACTGCTGCTTGCTCTTGCGACACCAGCAGGCCTCAGCGTAAACATCTCCACAGTTAACCACCAGGTGAGAACAAGTGAGCTGCAGAGCAAAAGCACTTTGGCGATGGGCGCCATTTGGTTGGCCGCGGGACGGTCAAAACGAAAGATCTGCTATACCCCCTTGCACTGGCTGCCACAAGCTTCCACAAATTTGGTCTAAAGACCAAACAGAACAAAGAAAGAGCACCTTGGCGATGGGCGCCATTTCGACGGAGACATGCGCGATCCGCAGCGGCGGCTGAGTGACGGTTGAGCCGACAATCGGCGCGTGGTAGTCGACGCCAGAGTTGTTGTCATAGAATCCACCGTGCAGGTCTCCCGTGTCGCTGAACACCATGTCCATGCTCCACGCGTCCGCCGGCACCTGCACCATGTTCTTCATTTTCAGATCTGAACTTGTACAACACCTGCATTCGAATTTGTATTAGAATGCGGCATGCCATACAGCAAGCGGTGCTGCTCCGAGGCCGCTGAGTGCACCGACTGGGCTGTGGCCAGCAGGGGGCAGCTGTGACTGAAAGGGTGTTCTGATCAGGGAGATATTTGTGCACACTTCATTGCAGCCTGGTCTCCACGGTAGCTTTGCAAACAAAGCAGTCGGACACACTGAACCCTGTACAGGACGTAAAATAGGGACACTGCTCTGCGTTTTTAGCATAGATCACACAATATATCCCAATGCCAGAGAGAGGAAGCATATATTGACGGGGTCATCTACACAAATTTGAGTGCAGGATTACGAGCGTGCATGTGCAAAGTACCTGGACTGAGCCCTGGAGGAAGCCGGTGGCGCCGGGCAGGCAGGGGCGCATGAGCTGCGGCAGGAAACACTCCGGGTGGGTCCACCGGTTCCAGCTGCCGCGCACCCACACCTGCAGTTACCAAAGGACACTCTTCAGGCGCAGATCATTTCCGTCCTACAGATGGAGACTCGAGTCTCACATCCGCAGAAATAACCCATCATCCTTGATGCAAACTGTGTAATGCAGGGCTCAATAAAACAGCCGCATGCTGGTATTCCTGCCTTGCAGTCAAGTGACTCTGTTTGCTCAGAATGCCTGGTCCCTGGAATCCGCACAAATCCATATGCAAAACAAGCCTAACAAGAGAGGTCAGGAAAGTGCATGACGCAAGATATCTCGTGCACCTCTGGCCGCCCGCGCAGCACGGTGGCATCGGGGTTGTAGAACACCGTCAGCTGCTCGCCGGCTGCCGGCCGCACGGGGCGCGTGTAGAGCACCTGCCGCTGCAGTGCCCGCCGCTTCCGCATCGCAGCCGCCTGCAAAAGGGCCAAAAAATCAGTTTTTCTTGTTAAATCGAGGTTTGATTACCTCGGTTGTTGCCGTCAGCTGACAAGCAGCTTTCAGGCTCAGGACCTCTTGTTGAAGCGAAGGTGTCTTTGGGAACCAAAGCTCTGTCTAGCTTTGATAGAGCATGGTCAGGCCCAGGCTCTAAGATACCCACAAGGCTGGACATGTCTAGAGGTGCAAGCAAGGCTATCATGGCACACACAGGTCTTAGAACAGGGAGGGCGCTCGGCGCTGGTGACTTCTAAGTTGTATGATTGTGCAATGCAAGCATCTGGCGGCGGAGAAAAGCCAGGGACTCACCTTGACCTTGGCCTTGCGCACGGTGCGTTGCGCTGTGAGTTCCATACCCCTCTCCAACGCTTCGCTCCCCTCTTCCAGCATCGCCTCGTACAGCTCCGACACATAGTCCTCGTCGCTCAGTGCTCCCTCTATCGCGCTGTGGAAGTCCTGCGCGCATGCGTCAGAAATTTTTGAAATAATCTCCTCATCAAGTTCATTTTCAAGAGACCCTGACCAGTATGGCAACTCAGGTTCTACTTGTGTGCATTCCAAAGTGCATCCTGGCCTGGGAAGGAAACACAAGGATTTGGCAAACAGCAAGCTTGCTGCCCCCTGAAATACAAACTTCAACAACTGAATCTGCAAGGTTGCATGCGACCACTTCAGGTGTGCTTAAGACCATCTGCTGCCCATTATCATCTTAAAGGGCCATGCATCAATTAAATTGACATAAGTATTGATAGCACGTTTTTGGCCCCGGCTGGCGGGGGGCGGTACAAATACTGAGCACAGTGCCCACGGTTGACTGGGTCTTGCTTGGATCTGGCGAATCCAACAAGGGGTAGGAATTTGGCAGCCATTACATGCAGCTTGTCTGCAGACGCACCTTGCCTTCGGCAGGAAAAGCGTGTAATAGTAATAATAAAATAATAACTGATAGCACCAAGGAACACGTGTTGCCCAATTTTCTCCCAGGCTGCCATGCAACACAACAAGTGTTACGTGAAGAAGGTGACATCACAGTAAAATACCTGCTGCCCATTGTTGTCCCAGGCAGCCAGGGCGCTGTCAGAGAGCACCCAGTCCACAACCAACGCATATGGCAGCACATCAACCTCAGCCGCCCACCAATCGCACCCCTCCCTCTGCAGCCCATACCTCTGGACCTGCCACATGCCGCCACACTCGTGAGGATACACTCTACGTCTCTGCAATGGTCTCTACTGTCAAATGGGCCTGTTTGAGCACCGTCCAACGTAAAATGCGCACAGCTATCCTGTCAAGAGATTGCACAGAATTTTCAGAAAGCCATGCTAAATACAGGGCGCTGAGGAAGGGTGTGGCGTAGCCAACGGTGTCTGCAAGAACTCAGACTCCTATGTTTGCCATCAGACCTGAGCCTGCTACTGTATTCACGGCATCACTGATTCTTTCTGCAGACACTGACCTCGGAGTCTGACAGGGGCGCCATGGGGATGTCCTGTTTCTCCTCCTCCACCCAGGCGTCGTGGCTCATGTGCAGCACCACATCCCGGGCATGCCTGCTCACAGGTAATACACCCCCTTTGGTAAATCCCCCAATGATTGCTTTAGCCATGTCGCACCTCTTACGCAGATGGCATCAAAACATTGCTCTTAGATTATATGGCCCGCATCCTGACATGTGACAGTCACATATCATGTGAGCAGTGCCATCATCTCGTTACAGACCTGTGATGAACACGCTCCCAACCCGATAGATCTAGCTTGCACAGCCCACTCCCTGACTGCGCTGGTCACATTTCATCACCACAAGTACAGAAAATCCCTTTCCCCTGGAAACACCCTGAGATGTCGACGGCATGTGCTTTGTTCGGGAGCCAGTTAGGAGCTGTGAAAACGTCAGGGCTTCACCTGAGGGGCCCGTGGGCTTTGTTGTAGGCCAGAACTGCCCGCTGCCCGGCTGTGGGCAGCCCGCCTGCCCAAGCAAACACCCCCTGCCGCCCCTGCTCTGTGCGCAGCGCTGATATCTCCGGACCCCTCCTCTCCGCCACTATCGCTGTCGCCTCCTTCAACATCTCCTCCTGTGTAATCATCACACAGAAGTGTGTTTATCAACAGTAAGCAGACACTTGACTGTGAACATAACAATGTTTGGGGCCTCCTGCGACGGTCGAACACAAGAAAAGAAAGGGCTGAGACGGTGGATTGCGTGGTACCTGCTCAGAACTTTTTAGCAGTGCACTCACAAGCAGGGCACAGCAGTAGACACTTCTCTCATGGCTTTTGAAAGCAAACACGCCCACACAAGCAAGCCTTCCTCTGCATAGAGTTCTGTCTCCATTGTACTGGTGCCAGCTGGCGGGGGGGCGGTACAAATACAGAGCACCGTGCCCACGCTTGATTGGGTCTTGCTTGGATCTGGCAAGTCGATTCAAGGGGCAGGATATGCGGGAGCCTCTGCCTGCAGCTTGTCTGCAGATAAACCTTCCCTATGGCAGAAAAAGCGTGTCATTATGATCAAACTGATGAAATACCGTACTTCACTTTTTGTCATGCAGGGAGGACCGCACCAGTCTGATCTGTCGGTAGAGTTCCCTCTCCTGCTGCGCGCGCCCCTCGGCCTCCTCCATTTTCTCCTGCCACAGCCGCTCCTCCTCCGCCTCCAACTCCTGCACCAACAGTAATCTGTACTAATTGATTAAAGATGTGACTTTGTGGCAATATATTCCTAACAATCTCAAATGTTGATGCGCCCAAGCTGGGTTGCAGTACGCAACCGTATTGCAGAGCAGACCCCTCAGTATCATTGCACACATGCGTAATTAGGATTTGTCATGGCCTCATTTGGGATTACTTGCGCCTAAACAGCCCATTCTGTCATATTGGCACCGTGCCCTACTGCCAGCGTGGATTGCCACGGATTTTACAATAACAGCATTATATTTATTTCTAATAGCTGAAGTATCCACGCACCGCGAGGCGTTCCTGTTCTGCGGCTTCTTGTGCGGCTGCGCGCCGCTGCAGCACCTGCTGCTCGGTGGAGGCGCCAACCAGCGGCAGCGCATAATCCGCGCCGCCATTGTTGTCAAACACCCCGCTGCCGGCGTCCATGACCACATAGTCCACCTGGAATGTGTCCTGCGCGCGAACACATGCACCTTTTAGTGCCCTTTCGGATTCTGTCCTTGAGCTCATATATAAACTTCCACCGCCTGAATCTACCATCTGCAAGCAATCTCAAGATCCAGTACTTTTGGGCATTGAAGATCATCGGCAATTAATGATAGTTGCCCAAAATGACATCCATGCAGTTTCTTCTTGCTTGCAGATAATGCCATGTACATCTGCAAGGTAAGTCTCACTAAGGGAGTAGTGTGAAGCTCTTGTCTGCAGCAAAGATAGCACACATTCAGCTCGCTCGTCATCCTGTGCAGTCGCCCTCTCCAAGGGGATCAGCTCGGTTTCAAATCACTTCATGCCAATGCATGCAGGGAAGCAGAAATGCTGACCTCTGGGAGCTGCAGTTCTAGGCTCCACCAGTCAGCGCCCTGCATGCCCCGCAGCTCCTGCGCTGGCTGCATCTCCAGTGTGAGCAGCCGCTCCCACCTGCACATGCAGGCCCCAAAGAGTTCAAATGAAACTAAATGGGATGTCCAACAATGAAGACAGCTGTGCAGGCACTGTTCCTTTAATCCAATCGCAGACTCCCTATACAGGCACACCCCCTGGCCCATAAGCTGCCTGTCGGGCTCTGCTGAACTGTTGCGGCTCGATGAATCCTCTTTACTCCATTTCACAAGGGTATGGTGTCCCTGATGTCTTTTTTCAGACTGGTGACAACTGCGAGCATGCCTGCAGGTACTGGCACTCCTGCAACATGATCTAGCCAGCAAGCTACATACCGGTCGATGCCTGCTTTCATCACAGGCTTTGCCCCGGACGGCATGGCCCCTGCAGAGTTGTAGTACAGTGTCCCGCCGCTGCTGCCCACTGGGATGCCCTCCTGCCCACCAGCCCACAAAAATCACCCCATGCAACATGTGTTCACAGTTTACAGTACGCATTCAAGCACATATTTTAGCACATAAGCTGTACGCATAAGTAAGCAGTACGCATAGTGAGCACATATATAGCCGGTATGATGAGCACAGGCAAGACCAACCCAGGATGCAGACAGAAGTGCTTGTCTCCAAAGCGCTCATAAAAACGGGACCCCATGCCAAGTAGCAAGCGTGCTGGACAACTCATGCGCACGCAAGTATCCTTAAGCCAAAATAGTCCTCATTCCGCAGTGGCAAGATACAAAACGAGATGAGAGGAGAAATGAAGGCAGAAGCGGCGCACCTCTGGGACGTTGAAGCAGCGTCTGCCCTCTTGGAGGGCGGCTGCGGCCAACGCGCGCGGCTGCTTCTTCTCCTTTCGGTGCAGCTGCTCCCTGGCTACCGCCAACGCCGTCATCACCTGCCGACATGGCCAGATTTTTAAATTTTTCAGTTGACACCAAGGCACACAATTGCCACAAAGAAGCAAGTTTGTCATATAAGAAACATCTCGGTGAACACCCATGCTCCCAGTCAGAAGGACACTGTGAGACATTGCCATAGGTCATACATGGTCAGCCTTGCTTGGATCTGGCGAGTCCAACAAGGGGTAGGATTGTGGCAGCCTTTAACTGCAGCTTGTCTGCAGGACGCACCTTGCCTCTTGGCAGAAAAAGCGTGTAATAATAATAATAATACGTTGTCACGAAGGGCATGAACGTGTCTGTCTGATAGGGGCGCATGGAAGTGGTGGTTCGCAGAGCGCAAACCACTGAACAGAGAAGCAAGCAAGAGTGAGCTTTGCGAAACTCAGCAATGCATAAATGAGGCTCACATTGACGATGTCCTCGCTGCTGTGCTGCTGCGCGCTCTCCACGGCCGCCTCTGCATCCTCCGCAGCCTCCTCCAGGATCTCATCCACCGTGCTCAAGCCAGGCTGCGCACAACGTCCAGGCAATTGAGATACGTCTCCCATAAAGCAACGGACTTATCAAGGCTGGTGATGCCCCTTGAGCCAATTGCATCTCATATTGCATCCATCATTCACAATGCAACGATCACGTTCATTCAATGACAATTCGCATGCCAGACTTTTGGGACACTGGGCTTCCAGCACCAGCAATTACATCTTGTCTCCTCTTATATGAGCAACAAATGGAATTATCAGCCAAACCCCTTGCTTGCACACATGTGCGCACAGTCTCTCGAGTGCACGATGCAGGGATAGCCAAGGGGGCAATCGGTCGTGAGGGATGACTCACCCCCCGCAGCAGGTGCTCGTACTTTTCTTTGAGCTGTGCCAGCTTGGCGCGCGCCTCTGCCTTGTTGGCCGCCAAGTCAACAACCAGCCCCTGCAGCGCGCTGTTCTCCGCCTGCGTTCCATTCGTCAAATATTAGTAAGATATTAGTCGTGATCTGCTAGGGGTGGGTTGCCCGATTCAAACATTACTAATATGTCATGGGATGCCCCTCAATGACTTTCGACTGTACACCACTTCCCACAGAGCAGCAATGCTGCAAGGATGGCAGAGAGGGGCCCAGCATATAGTAGAGCGCCCAGGCCTTGCCCAAGCGGCTCTTTTGTGCCCTCTGCCTACGTGCAATACTCAGAAGGGCCCATGATGATAGATCGCTGCAGTCCAATTGTTGTTGTGGCACCAGTGAGCATGCCTTCAGTCTATCCACATCTCGCAGCAGAGGGGCCCCCCCTTCCATTCTGCTTGCGGCTCGCGCCAGCGCGTCTGCACGTGCCGCCTCCTTTGCCGCATTGGCAGTCGCCGCCTCGACCGAATGCCGGATCCTGCATGCACCATAGAGCAGCTGTGAGGTAAAGTAAATCAGAGTCCATGTGTGATTGTCCCTTCAGAGCAAAGATCGCATATGGCTCACAAGGAGGCCTTGGCAAAATGCAGGTACACTGAACTATTCTATGATACCTTTTCAGTGCCGGCAGCAGGTGAGCGTGTGGGCCACCCCATATTCAAAAAACGAATGTGCTAGTGCCAGAATTTTTATGGTTGCATCAGTGCATGCACCTCTCAATCTCTTCTTCGTCCAGAGAGTGCTCAGCCGCGGCCCGGGCAGCCGCCACTGCCGCCTGCTTCTCATCGCAGAGCTTTCGCGCCAACGCGCGCGCAGCCGATATTTTAGCCGCCACCGCCATGCGCGCCTCGCTGGTGCTGCGCCGGAGTCCTCGGTCCGTACCCTGATCAGGCGCGCCGTTTTTTCCGTTACTTTCCCCCGCGCCTGATCTGGCCGCCTGCTGCTCCTGCACCTCCGTGGCCGCCCTGCATGCGTGCGCTGTTCCGTTGGTATTTTTGCGTCTGGGATTTTGGATGTGCACGGGCTAGGCAAGTGCGGCTAACTGAAGCAGACCCTAGCCGGACCATCTCTCCTTGTGGATGCCTTTCCAGCCCCAAGATAGGATGGTCCTTGCTGAAAGCTCCACACAGCAGCGAGAGTTGGCTCCCTCCCCAAGCCGGCCCACAGAGAATGCGCCTGAGTAATGAAGTTAGTGGAGAAGGGAAGAGCCACATGCGCAAAGACAAGCTTACCGGCAAATAGCATTGTTCAGTCGGTCGTGCTGCCTCCTGTTTCGCCGTTGGAGGGCCAACAGATGCCCAGGCTGTCTATGCGGCTGCCAGCTTGTGCAAGGCAGCGCTTCCCTGCCAGAGCCGCTGGCATGGCACAGGTCTCTCATGCTGAAGCTGTTCATGCACCTGCTGTGCACTGCATCCCCCCTCTCCAAAGGTGTGGCAATGCTCCCTTCGCCACTCTCAGCCTTGCCTTTCGATGTCCCACAGGGTATTCCCCTTTCTCAAGGTTGCAGTTCCTAGAAATTTCTAGTACCTGCAGCATCGCCAGGTCATTGCTGAAAATGGTAGACAGGGTACAGATATCTGGGATTAGCATTGATGCCTAAGCGTCCAGTGTTGCCACATTTGATGAGCCTCACATCGATATCAATGCAGTACTATAAACGTTGATTTGAGATGCATCCTGATTCGTCCGAAATGAGCTGGATCCATAACCAGCAGCAAGGCAAGCACTTGGAGGAAGTTGAAAGGAAGCTTTGCCTTGAAGCTCTCGTTTAGAATCAAGTCAAGTCGTTGTGTATGCAAAGATAATATTAGAGGCATGATAAGTTATTGTATCAGAAGATGATGGATGGCTAGCTTACGGACCTTCCTATTTTTCAGCTGTAGAGTGAGGTGATCGCCGAAGACAATAGTGAATGTTATATTACACCTAATTACGCAGGCTAATAGCCTACGGACCAATCAAAAATATAGCTTTCACCTTCTCTGCGAATTTAATTCCTTTGACTTGCTGCGACCACAGCAAGTCGACAGATGGGCGTTCCCTGTTGGTTGCTGCAGATTATTACCTGCCCTCCTCCATCACCATCACCATCACCAGGACCTCTGCCTTCTACATCTCTTCCATCACCAGCATCTGCTCCTGGCTCGGAGTGTTGCATTTGCTCATGGGATTGCCTTCCTACATGGCTGATCGCCTTTCCACTCCTTCTTGCAGGTAGTGTTTGGTGTCTGCCTGCTCTCCTGTTCTTTGCCTTGCACTGATTCACTGTGTGTTCCTCTTCAGACCGAGCCAGGCATACTTATCCATTTGTCACAGTGATGTTGTTTGCCTTTTGTGTCCTGTTTGTCTGCATGTGTCTGACGTGTAACAGGATAGCGTCTGGGTAGGCTCTCCTCAATTACATTAGATACTTGTCGCCCCAGCTTGCTCACACTTTGTGGGACGTCTCAGCGCTTGTCGCCTGGGGTGAGGTTGCCCTCTCCCCCCTGCGTGCGTGTTGCCCACCCTGTGTGTGGGGATGCGTATTAAGGGGCCTTGGGTGATCGCTTGCGTTTGGGTTTCCTTGGCTTCCAGAGGTTGAGGAAACCGGCTCTTGTGTGTCCTAACAGATCCTTTCTCCAAGAATCTCAGCACACCTCCACATGTTTCGATCACGATGCTTTGCCATCACACTTCTGCTCTGCTTCTCCTCTTCCAAGGTGGGTTTCCAGGCTGGTTTCGGTCAATTTGGGGATCCACATGGTTTGAGTCTTGTGCTTGGCTTTGATGGGTTAGCAGTGCCGAACCATTCCTGGAGTTTTGCAGGCGATGAACTACTCGGCTCAGTGGGCTCTTCACCTCCCTTCCCAGTCCAGCTGCAGCCCCACACGCAGCGCCACCTTTGTGCATCAGGAGATCAGGAGCGCATGGCCAGGTACTGGGCTAGGATGCAAGGTCTGGTGTCCATGGGCTATCTTGCCCCTGGGCATCCGCACGTCCCTACAGCGGCGGCCGCTGCTACTAGACACCTGTCAGCAGACGCCCTCTTCATTGTTTCCAAGCTGGTCCAGCATGAGCTGGTCCCTCCAGTCAGCCTTCAGGAAGAGGAAATCCTGGGTTCCTTGAGCACCTTTGTCCGGGCACTGCCATGTCCGCGCTAATGTCCCGTGAAGCTTCCTTCTGGCCCGATCCAGTCCAGTTTGTTGGCCTAGGCTGAGTGTGTTGACTACTCTGCGTTCTGCGTTGCTTGACTGGTCTGCTAGGTGTGTCGCCCGGCGTTTGTAGGGTACAGTAGAGCGCCGTGCTCCTGCTTTTGCATGGCGGTATGGCCTCTCCCCTGACAGGCTTGTCTTGCTGATACGGGAGCACTTTCGTGATCTCCCTGGCGTGGGAGGCTGCTCTTAGGCGGTCCCGCCACAACTCTTTTAGGACTGTCATGTGCGTTCCCTGTTGGTTGCTGCAGATTATTACCTGCCCTCCTCCATCACCATCACCATCACCAGGACCTCTGCCTTCTACATCTCTTCCATCACCAGCATCTGCTCCTGGCTCGGAGTGTTGCATTTGCTCATGGGATTGCCTTCCTACATGGCTGATCGCCTTTCCACTCCTTCTTGCAGGTAGTGTTTGGTGTCTGCCTGCTCTCCTGTTCTTTGCCTTGCACTGATTCACTGTGTGTTCCTCTTCAGACCGAGCCAGGCATACTTATCCATTTGTCACAGTGATGTTGTTTGCCTTTTGTGTCCTGTTTGTCTGCATGTGTCTGACGTGTAACAGGATTGCGTCTGGGTAGGCTCTCCTCAATTACATTAGATGGGATCAGCTTCCTAGTATGGGGTTTTCGGGGGATATAGACGGCACAGAGCCAGGGTTTGTCAGAAGGGAAACTGCTGCATGCATGAAACGCAGATGCAAACAAGACGCAAAGTCTGGGATTTGTGCTAATTGTTGATGTTTGTTTGCTCCCTTAAGCCAATTAAAAAAAGAGGATTTGCAAATCAGTTGTCCCCGTTTGGCAATATATCAGCAGTATTGCCAGCAACATCAGCAAAGGAAAGCCAATTTTGTTGGCATATTAAGTGTGACCTTGGAAAATCTATTGTGTTATGTGCAACAGAAGTATTACCATTCACCGTCGGGGTAGAAAACATTTACATCAAGATGTAGACATCAGGTAGACATCAAGATATACACACCATAGACATCCTGATGATCCTCAGAAGCTTCAGCTGACCGATGACGTAAATTAATGTTTTCTTGAAACTTCATACATGCCACACACGCGTCACTGTGGTAAATCAAGGATGGCCACTCAGCGCGCTGAGAACCAACCCCAGGATCTACGATACACAGTCCCACAACCCAGCAACTGCCAGTAAATTGTAAGCTACGTATCTTGATCTAGTGCAGAGCTCTATAGCTATCATAGGTGGCCTCGGAGCTCACAGAACTACTTCCTGTACAGGACTGAGGTGAATCTGCAATTTCAGTTGTCATTAAGCACCATCTAGGGACATTAGCTAATGCTACCTGACTACGCCTTACAGATACACACTGACTATCAATCTAGCTACAAAGAAAAATGCCTTCAGGGCCCAGGCAAAGCCTAGATGCCCATTTTGCCAGAATTAAAGGAGCCTGCGCAATAGGGAAAGCATGTGCTGCCTGCGGATACCGTAACAGGGTCTTGGTTCGTCAAGGGAGCAACCCCAGCCTTCTGACAGGGACTTCGGGTCCGTATCTGGACCCAAAGTCCCCAGTGTCTTGTTTGCTGCCCAAAAGTGCTGGGCAACGCCCTATCTAAGAGGGGGCCAGAAAGCACTGTCTCTGCCACCCTGACAATTTTTTGAAGCGATGTTATACCCATTGTGAGTACAGATCAGCGGCATTCGGACCAGCCGGGGCCGAAGCCGAAGAGGACAAAGCGCCACAGGGCAAGGAACACCGGCAGCAGGAAGATCAGAGCGCCCACGCCACCACCCATCAGCAGCAGCTTGTTCCTCTTGTACCAATCCTGGTACTTCTTCTCCACAGCATCCTGTGCGCAGCAGTTGCCACTCAAGGGCATCAGTGGCTGTTGCTCTCTGGACAATCTAGAGAGAAAGAAGTATGCAGACACAAAGGCAGAGCGATCGCCAGGAGGTAGGAGAAAGGGCTGCCTCGCGAGTGCACGTCATGTAACAACAATACAAGCCCGGCCAAGGAGCACTAAATGACCAAATGAATGATTGAAGTCAATTGCAAAGGAAATCCTCCGGCACAGCGCTAAGCCGATAGTGGCAAGGTTTCTCCTTTGAAGTTTCAAGGTCATGGGCCACATTGACACAAATCCTGGTGGGAGAGACAGAAAAACAGGGACGAATGCATTGGACCGCAGGTGTTTGCAGCCCAAAGCATCCCAACACCCTTGACATTCCCGTAGGCAAAGAAAGCGCGATGACAATGGCCAATTACGAATGATGTGCTTCTGAGAGCTGCAGGCATCCTCACAAGAATGTGCCTTCCTTGGGGGAAGCCAGTCCTGATCTGAAAGATCAACATCTACTCTTGGAGAGGGCTGAATATCAAATCGGCTGTCAGGGAGAAGAAAAGCGCACATATGAGCCAACCACAGCCTCCATGGCGCCATCGCGCGCAGCTTGGCGTCCCATGGGAGTGCCAGCAAACTGGGCCAAGACAGCTGCTTGCGCAGCCACCAAATTTCCAATCACGGCTGAGCCCTTCTCATCTCCGAGGATGTTCAGACCTGCACGCAGTTGTTACTATGATTATTACACGCTTTTCCTGCCAAGAGGCAAGGTGCGTCCTGCAGGCAACCTGCAGTTGAAGGCAGCCACAATTTTACCCCTTCTTGGACTCGCCAGAATCACGCAAGACCCAAAACAACCACCGTGGGGACAGTGCTCATAATGTACACCGCACCCCGCTAGCCAGCGCCCACGTAATTTGCAAGCGCACAATTGATGTCTTCCCACACAGACAAGAGGCTTCACTGGTAGAGATTGATCTCAGCAAATGCCACAAGAAGCTTCATTGATTGAGCAGAAACTTAGGATGTGCCACACACTTGACAGAAGCCACAACTGCAGCAGCGAAAGTCAGTGCAGAGCAGTAGGTGAGGCCTGTATTCTGGACAAGTCTGGCAACAAATTGTGCGGCACTTGTGAACGACACTTATCATTTAGATGTTATTATTAAATATCAAGAATGCCATGTAGGTAGGGGAGGCTTACCTTCATGAAAGGCAGCCTGAACACCGACAACGGCCTGGGTCTTGACCAAATTGGAGATGGTGTCCAAAACTTCCTTCTGGTTGAGGCTTTCCAAAACCTCCGTGAATCCAGCGTGCACTCCAGACTCCACGTACCTGTAGGCGGTACAGGCGCAACTGAAGGATCGGCTGTATTATCAGGTCTGTGACAATCAAGTACGACAGAAGCTGCGGGATGGTGCGCAGGTGTCCAGGTTTTTTAGTCCTTGAGCTGTTATAAACCGCCTGAGATGGCATCCGAATTGTGTTTTTACAACGCGGAGAGCTGTCGCACCCTTCGACTCGGTGATGCCGAGCATGCGGCGCTGGTCCATCGTGCAAGGGTTTACCATTCTGCTCATCCTCCTTGTCGTGCTTGCGGTGAAGCTTGTGCGCAATTCTTTTTGCCAGCCCACTCTGTTCCTCGTTAGCACCTTCCATTGGATATAAACTTGTGCCACACCCTGTTCACAGCAGCAGCGTTGATTGACGGATGAGAAGGATCACCAGTCCTGGCAAACCGCCTTTGGTAACCGCTTCACTTATATGGTTGTTGCCGTTTGAAATTTTAAACAGATATCTCATCGGCACATTGGTGTTGCAGCTGGTAATTGACACCAAGGAGACTGGCAATTACCTTGCAGATCAGGCAGTCAGGCGGCTGTTTATATGTGGTTACAAAGACACCTCTCTTCACGAATCAGTCTTGCAGCTTCTATTTTACCCAATGCCTTGCGGTCTGCGCTGAGTGGCAAAGTTTGGTATAAATAGAAGCGCAGCTGCACCGAAAGGAGAATCTGTCGGGAGGATAGCCTCATCAGGCTCTGCCGTGCCCATGCAAGATCTCGCCTCTGCAGCATCAGCAAGTGCGACATGTGGGCGGAAAATCGGGAACTACTAAGTGAAGTGATTTGAACTCTTGTGCAGCTAGTTCCTGCCACAAGAATATCTCGACATTTCTTGTCGGTCACATTTGCATGTCCACCAGCGCGGCGCTAGCTATAGCGCTGATCATCATGATGGGTCAGGAGCTTCCGAAAGAGTCTTGGCCCGGACTTGCTATCGCTAATCGTGATCAGATGCATGCAACAAGCAACCTTACACTTCTAAGTGTGGACCCCTTCAGCCACATGCCACACAACAAGTTGCAGCCCGATGGGCACTGTGTCAACGTCATGACGTCAACGTCATGTGTACACGTATACGGTATGTTTGTGCACAAGCCTGGAAAGTCATGGCTACACCTAGTAATAACACAAATAGAAGGTTCTTTAGAGTCTGGTGGTCACTCCTACCAAAAATAGCATGCCAAGGCTCTGTGGTGCCCCGAGCAAGCAAATCCATCAACCCACTACTCTGCTTGCTAGTGCCACTTCCCAGCACCCCTCACTCTCAGCTAAGTGCAACACAGGTCCCTTCTGCAATGCCCAACTCCCCAGGCTCCACCTTTAGGGCCATTTTTGTGACCCAGTGGGCCGCAAAAAGCCAGGGTTTAGAGACTATGAGGCGAGTAATCGGCCACCAGAACATCACCACTACTCAGGCTTACAGCCGCTAGTTTCCCACCATGGAGGAGGACCTCGAGGTCTTAGACGACATATCTGGCTCCCCCAATGAGCTCACATCTCGTGGTGCGCGGCCGCGTCGGCCAGCCGCTGGTTGGCGAGCACGGCGGCCGAGCGCGGAACGCGGATGCGGCCAGAGCGGCTGCGCACGCCGGGCGGCTCCGCTGCGGTGTTCCCCAGGCCGACGGCGGCCGGCGCGGACGCCGCCGCGCTCGCGCCCAGCGCGGCAGCGGAGGCCACAGCCGCGGCTTCCGTTGGCGCGGCGGGCGCGGCCGGGGCCGACCCGTGGACGGCCTTGGGCTTCCTGCCGGGATGGCGCTTCGGCGGCGGCGCCTGCTCCGTCTCCTCTGCTGTCAGGCAGAGCGATGGTGTCTCGTCAGAAGCATACAGAGCTGCGCAGATATTTGAGACGTAGGGTATTGCAGCTAGAGTGGAGTTGTGTGACTTTGCCGAGATACCAAGCACAGGCTCATGCTTTGCGTGCTTGGCATAGAGTACATATAAACAGACGCAAGCAAAGAAAACGAGTGAGTGCTACACCTTTGACATTCCAGCAAGAGACCACACCTCCAGTTGATGCAGGAGCAACAGATTCGTCCGGGAGAGCAGGCTCCGCCCCTCCGGTGTCCTTCGCGGCCCTCTCCTCCGCAGAAATGGCCGCCTCCTGCTGCACGGTTGCGCGGATGCGAGCAGCCGCTCGGTCGGCGGCGGCCCGCTGCGGCGTGCCGGCCTTCCTCGGCCGGCCCGGCCGGCGCGGGGCCGGCGCCACCGGCGCTGGCTCATCCTCTGCGGCCGGGGCTGCTGGCGCTTCTACCTCTGCACGACAGAAATGGTTCATCCCCATTGGACAAGCAAGTAGGGAGGTCATCATGCTTTATACTTTTGTATGTTTCAAAGTTGAGGACATAAGCGACTTCAGTGTTGCCAAAAGATATGGACATGCCTTCTGTGACTGGGGCGTCCTGTGGGGCGGCCATCTGTTCCGCTGCGGCAGCTTCCTCTCCTGCGGCGGCAGCTTCTTCCTCCGGTGCAGCAGCTGCCGCGGAGACCTTGGCGGCCGCGGTGCGGGCGCGTCGGCTCGGCGGCGCCGGTGCCGGCTCCCCGGCGGCCGCACGCTTCGGCGCACGCCGGCCGGCCGGCGCGGACGCCGTCTCCTCGGCGGCTGTGGCTGCCGACGCCTCCTGAGCAGCCGCCTTCCTCGGTCGGCCGCGGCGGCGTGCCTGCATTGTACATCAGCCGGCTGTCAGATCTCTGATTCTGGTTGTGACATGGATGCTCCAGTGCTTTCATCATCGTGATCAGAGTGACAAACTCTGCATACAAACCATGGCATTGCCTTGCTGCGAACAGACAATCTGAAAGTTCATGAAGAGCTGCTTATCTTTCGTGTGGTCTTGATCTTTTCAACACATAGAAGAGAGGTAGAGAACAAGAGCTGCACACCGGCCCACTGGCGACCTCGCTCTCAGCCGGCGCCACAGCCTGCCTGGCGACCTCAGTGGCCGCCTTCTTAGCAGTAGACTTGGCTGCGGCTGACGCGCGCTTTGGCAACTCTGTCGCCGCCTTGCGCGCTGTCGGCTTGCGGCTGCGCTTCGCCGGCGGCGCCTGCTCGATCTCCTCATCGCTCCCTTCTGCGCATAAAATGTCGGAAGCTAAAAACAGGCGCCGATCCAGTTTCATGGCAGCTTTTCCTCTAATCCCTCAGATTTGGTATGTGGGAACTAGATTTGCAGAGCGGAAGGTGAGAATGAGGACATTGGGCAACATCAGCCTCATTGCAGAGCTGTACACAGCTACACATGGCTGTTCCCAAAGCAGGCTGTCCTTGCACAACTAGAGTGGTACGCCCGCAGGCGCATGCGAACAGAACTCCTAGTCTCTACTCCAACTAATCTGCAAGTTTGCTATTGTTCCGAGCTCCTCAGCCCCTCATTTTGCAGCTCGATATGGATTTGGGCAGGCCATATCTTTTTGGCCCCTTTTTTCCCAGGTGCTCCTCTAGATTGGGCGGACTAATAAGGCCATCCAGACCCGTGCAAGGCACCAACGCGTCATTCCAGAAGCAGCTGGCATCACCACAGATATCTTCAACAAGCACTGCACTCCAGTGTCTTGACATGCCTGAAGGGGCACCTAGCTGCAATGCCTCTTTGATGCCCCTTCAATGCCCCTTTGACATATCGACCTCGTTGGAATTCCCGCCAGCACTGCAGCAATTCTGAGGGCAACCTTCTCCCCAAGAAACATATTCATAATTATGAAAACTTCGGAAGCTCACCCTCGGCCACGTCCTTCAAAACGTGTGTGCGGCGGGTTGCTGCGTTTGAGGGGCCCGGGGACCCCCCCGCTGTGATGCCGGTTTGTGCACTGGCGGCTGCCCGCGGCCGCCTGGCCCGGCTGCCCGCCTGGGCAGAGAAAAGTCCCGTTAATAATTTCCTGCGCTGCGCATCTGTGATATAGCAGGAGTTCCTGAGGTCGCACATTGTCAGCCTGCAAGCTTTGCTGCAGTCCTCAAGCGTACCACTAGCAAGCTCCAGCACCCTGAAGGGAAACACTGGCCCCGCTTTGTGCCAGTGCCACAAAAGCACCACAGGACTTTGCTGGGAGTTACTGCAGCAACAGACTTGACAGTGACACACGCAGCACTAATGCTTAGGCTGGTCAACTACCTACTGTGCTTGAGAGAACTCTTCCAGGAAAACACTTGCTTGTGCGCTAGGGTCATAGGACACGACGCCATTTTCTCCCTCTAGGAGGCCTTCTACATAGATATGGGACATGGCAGATTGGGATGGGAACAATGAAAAGTGACTGCAGCAAAGCGTCCAAGAGACTGCTGCAGGGGTAATTGAGCTGCACCTTGAGCGCTGTCACCTTTGTGTCAGCGGTGGCTTCGGTGGTGGCCGGCTTGGCCTTGGGCGGGCGGCCCCGCTTCTTGGTCTGAGGAGGCGGTGCCTCCTCCGTCTCTTCTTGGGGCGCCTCATCAGGCTCGGCTGCTGCAGCGGCCTCATCCTCAACCTGCATTAAGATTGCAGATGCTTTGGGACAGACTCAAAAGATAATGCGCACTTACAGCCGCCAAAGTGATCTTTCGTGCAGATAGAATGGACATCAACACTTGTCCTCAAGCGCATGTAAAGATGCTGCATCATCTGTGGAGCTCCCTACAGATTTTGTGTAGACACGCTGGCACCAAGATTGCCACTGAGGCGCTTGCAAGCAATTCAGCATCGATAACGCTGCCCTCAAAGTTCAGTGGAATGTTTTGGCACAGGCACCGATGCCGGAGTGCCTGGAACTGCTTCAGTGTCAATGCCTTTAGGTGTCTGAGAAACAGCACGAGCATGTCAAAACAATGCCAACATGTTTAAATATAACGCGGCAGCATGGGGAACCTGACACGCGCAGATGAAAGGAGTGGCTCTCCTGCGTGCTTGAGGCGAAATGAGGATGAAAGAACATTTCTTGCCAGCCAAATGAGGCTGATCAGTTCCGAGAAACAGTCATGAATATGAGTGTGGGATGGAAGCCTGCCTCTAGAGGCCCGGTGGGCGTGTCATGCGCGCGGGTGTGGCGGGCGGGTGACTCAGCGGGCGCCTGATCTGGCGAAGGAGCAGTGGGTGTCTTGTGCCCTGAAGGGCGCCCACGTTTTTTCCTGGGCTGTTCAGATGCGAGCTCTTCTTTGCTCTCTGGGGCCTGCAGGGATGCAAAATCCAGACATGGTCACATCACAAGAACAGCATGGTCCTTCTTTTATCTGAGAAGCGCACAAATGGAGGGAACACCAGTGCATTTGGGGAAACATGAAACACATATATGTCCCTGCATAAAACAAGTGCTCATGCAAGACAACTTCTTTCCAATCAAGGATCAAGAGACAACATTTCAGGACAGAACACTCACAGCAACGCTGGGAGTCTGGGTGGCAGCTGCGTCCAAGCTAGATGGCAATGCAGATGAGCCCAGGTTGCTTGGCTTGCTTGCGCTGGGTGCCTGAACACAGAACACCCATCCTTCAAGCCCCAGGATTTTTCTCGCGGTCTAATTTTAGGCATCTGTAAAAATCCCTGAAGATACATAGCAATGTTAAGAATGTAGGCCCCCTAAAACCCCATTTGTCCTGCAAGCGGCGGTGGCTGCCCTCGATCCA